GTCTAAAGCTATTGGTCAACAATCGAAAAGTCCAAGAAATCCTTTGCAAGTGAGAAAGCAGGATTCGTTCGGTATGCCTACTGGGTATAGCACAGGCAGCAACTAGGGAAATTGCTAGGACCCTTTGTTAGAAGGATGACTTCGAGCGGCGACGGCTTCGTGGCCTCAAATAAGCTACCGATGCTAAGATACTAGGGAAGGGAGGTTCCCCCGGTCCCCAGGGAAGACCCCCGAGGAGTTTCCCCTCCTCTCGACCCAACCTTATTGCATTCCCACCACGACACCGTAGCGTCTGACCTATCTGCCGCACACGCGCTACAGGAAATGAGAAGCCATCTGTTTAAACGTTATTCTCATCGTTGCTATCGTCGTCAGCGCGGCAAGGGATCCGCATCACTGCCGTGCGGGAGTCTCATTAGCACCGGATGCTATCCAAGTACGTACCTACCTATAGGCATGACTTGTCGAAGAGTCGAGGGGACACGGCGGCGACACCCATCCACTTCATTTCGCCCATCCCCGTTTCCCGTTTCCCGTTTCCCATTTCCCACTAATTAGTTCCGGCCCGCGGGACCCGGCGTTTTGGGTGACTGACTTGCTCAAACCTAGGCATCGATCTCTCCCAAGATCTGTTGCATCCAGGGGTTCCCTTCCCTAGCTTCGGAACGGGGCAGCACAGGGGTGGATCGCGTAAGGGTTTACTTATGGCGCCACGATCCGCGGCCCGACCCAGAGGGCCGGGAGCGAGTCAACTCTAGGTACGCGGATATAGATGTACCTCGAGTAATGGCTAAGTGGTTGGGACTTGTCGTGTTGAGCCACTAGGTACCAACGGCATTGCTTAAAATGTAAATACGTAAAAAAGAAAAAAAAAAGAATAACAGTGAGAAGAGGGGAAAGAACTCGGCGAGTGGACGATCCCAGTGACCTTGGTCAAGGGCAGCCTGCGTGCAAAGAAAAATTATGCCGTCAAGATCTTGGTGTAGGCAGGCTGCTGCGATGAACGGGGTTATACCGGGCCCCAGCCTTATCCCGTCTTCCCTCGCCAACTGAGATCCCCTTCACCATGATGGACCTTTCCACCGGGCACCTTGGAGCCGATTGCTCATCTCGGCCTAGGGGATCATCCCCGGAGATAAGCAGGACGAACCCGCACCCCTAGCGATTCCGTGATAATGAGCACGAGCGAGTTGCTGTGCACTTGTTCTCCTTAGGCGGGAGGCCTGCGGACGTAGTGCAGGACAGCATAACACGCTAGAGGAACTAGTGACCTGGACCGGCATACCAAAGAAATCTAGATGGCCCGTCAGTCAGCCCCTGATCGGCCCCTGGCTATATCATGAGGGTGTGCACGTACGTCCTTCGTAACGAGAAGGGGTAGAGCGGCTCGGGACTATGGTCATGAGCCATGCGATCCGGGGCCACGAGGAAAAATTGATGTGGTGCCTAGCAACATAGCGATGGTACAGCGCCGTACTGCACTTTGAGACACCAGCGCGCCGTTGGCGGGAGTGACCATGACGCACACCGAAAGCGGGCAAGCCGTCTGTATCGTTTGACGGCCGTTCTCTCCCACCGAGAGGCGGCAGCTAAGCCTCGACGGAACGGGGAACGACGCTGCGTGACGCCTGGGCTCGACGCGGAGACGTGCGGAAGCTGGCGGTGCTAGCTCGGGTTGACGTTCACGATGAGTAATGATGGCGCGCCATGGATGGAGGGATGGATGATTGATGAGTCAAAATACGGCGTAGAACCGAGCTAGTCGGGAGTGCAAGTGGCAGTGGCCAGATTTACGAAAGCTGTGCCGTCGACGGCTGGGGACGAGAAGATCGGGTTAGGTAGGGTTAGGCGGGTACCTAGGTAGGTACGTAAGCACTACTGCCATCGCATGCCGCGAGGCGGGTACCTCCTAACCATGCCTGCGCCAGTGGTGAACGTTAGCAAGTACGGTGGGTAACAGGTACCTAACGCAGGTAGGAAGACTTGCGCTATGTCATAGGCTACGTTGCACCGGTCGTGTCACTGTGGCCTCTACCAAGGGGCATTGGTATGTTACCACTGCTTGTAATGATTTGCACGCCGCACTTGGGCCTGAACCGGGCGCTGTCAGCCGGGCACGATTCCCTTAGTACGCACTAACCGTCTAACCGGCGAGCAGGAAGAAGCCGTTTCTGGAAGAAAAAGGGGCGAGATAAGGCTGGACAAGCTTTACTAGAACCACCCCCGGACAAGACCTACCTAATAATACCTACCCAGGGATAGCATTCGAGAGCGGGGATAGGCGAAGGCTGCTGCACTCCGCGATTGGCCCCGAGCTGGGTACGGGCGGCCTGCGCTAAGAGAACTTCAATCGTGGGCGACAGCAGGCTAGGTAGGTCTAGGTAGGTAGGCAGGTACCCGGCTCGCTACCTGTTACCCGTTACCTGCCAATACCCAGGGGACTCGGTGCATCCACACACGTCCATCCCTACCCCCCTTCGCACCCCAGGTCCCGCCGTTATACGGCCTTATCCGGCCGCCATTGTGAGGTAAGTGAGCAGCGGCTGGTATGTGGAATACGGCGGTGGAAGAAAGCGGGCAGTGCACGGCCCAGAGCTTGTTGCCTACCTATCTCCTAACCCTAGGTACATAGGCAATCCACTGTAGCAAGCGGGCGTACGTCCCTACCTATAGCAGCAGGGTTGCGTGGAATGGAAACGGGTCGACGGCATGCGGGCATATCGTATGTACGGGAGATGAAGGTTGCCTGTGTGTGGCTTGCTAGAGGCGGCATAGGCATATGAGTGGCGCCCAACGCCCTGCGCGCCCGTAGTGGGTAGTGGGCAGGTCCCGATATGATGTAGGGATAACCTGTAAGGTATGACATCCTGTTAGGTTGGGATGTAGGTAATAGTGTCCCTCGATATGCAGGGACCTTATTAGCATTCGGTGCCTCTTCCAATGCCTGTTGGGGTTGGAGAGGTCGTTAGGTGGGCAGCTAGCTCTGCTAGGGTCGGTGAGGCTTGCATCCGCTAGCTGTATGGCGTGTTCGAAATACAGAGAGTAGTAGAGGGGAGGCCCCAAAAGACCAACCAACCACGGGAAACACTACCTAACAAAATAATGAAGTACCCAACCGACCTGCCTACCTACATCTAACCTACCGCCAGCGCCGCTTTGCGAAGCCACCCACTCAACGGTTGCGTCCCAACTTGGGTGTAAGTATGTGCACGCCGAGCAATCTCCTCGCAATGACATCGGACCGTACCGAACCCAACACGCACGTCGCGCGATGCCTGCTGCTGCACGTCAATCGCAGAACCTGCGGGGGGTGGAGAGGGGGAGCGGCTCACCTTAGGTATAACCTGGTCAAGCATCTGGGGTAAGTATCGTGGAGGCAACCCGAGCGAGTGAGAGACGCGAGAGTTCACGGCCCATACCTAGCCTAGGCCGGCTTGGTAGTTAGCCTAAAATAACGGATGCAAAACGGGGAGAATCTGCCTCGCGCATTTCCTGCAGCGCTGCCTGTGTTTATCGTCGCAGCTTTTTACGCCGTCTCATCGAGCCGTGCCGGGTTAGAAAAAGAAAAACAAAAAGCAGGCGTTGTGCGTTGTGCGAGGGTGCGCCTAACACGCAGGCCGTTGCAAGCCTGGGCAAAATTCGCGGCGCCGCCAAGTTCCAATACGGGTATGGGTTGGTTCCCCTTCCCGATCAGGCAGCCCCCAGATTCAGCGAGTGTTACCTATGAGTAGTAGTGAGTTCCGCTCCGTTCACCTATACTTAGTCGTGTGGCGGTTCTACGTCGGTATGTGCGGCGTATACCTAACTATATACGTGACGTGTATGTGGTATTGCTTCCGCTCTCATCCTACGCGCAAGTCAGAGGCTAAAAACACCAGTGGCGCCCCCACCGGCCCGATAGTGTTGTCCTTTGCTAGTTGGTATACGAATTGTTGGTGATATCCTTCACCTGACTTCTCCCAGCCTGCTGGTAGGCAGGGAGGTGACACGGCGTTCGTCAGGTAGCATCTTTGACGAGCGTTGAGGCGAAGCCCACCTACGACAGCCACAACCAGCCTGTTGGTGCGAGAGTAGCCGACTAGGTCAGCGCCGGCGCTCTCATTAGACGGCGACGGCTTCCCAGGTCGCCATCCGGCGTGACTACATGCTAACCTCGCCCGTACGCCCTGTCTACGGGTCCGACGAAACCCGCGCACGTCGAAGCAACGAGAACCTTCGCGATTCAGTCTGCCTAGAACGGGCTCGAAGGCAACAACCGAGGTGCAGATGTTGGGGGGGGGGGGGGGGAAGGGGGCGGGCTAGGGGAGTAAAATGAACGTGGAAGAACAACACGAGTGGGGCGAGAGTTAGGTAGACACCAATATAGCCCGCCGTCTAGGCACGTATAGAAACCCGGTAGGGTCCCAATTGACGGAGAGGGTGCGAGTACGTCTGCCCGCTGCCGGAACCGAGCTGGCACGAAGAAGGCTGGGTCGTATTCTATCTTACGATGCAGTCTGCAGATCTCAGATATAATTATACCAGAAAAAATTCCTACAAAAAGAAAGGAGGAGGGGGAAAAAAGACAAGGGGGAGATAACGGGAAAGGAGTTACCGCCAATTGAGTCCCTCTCAGTGTCAATAGAGAATGCAATCAATGCCTCCTGCTACGTAACAGCACCTTGATAACTTGGCGAAGCCTAAGCGAGAAGAGGGTGCGAGAAGTAGACTTAGACGTACGAATGTAAGTGTCCTATAAATTCCGCCATCGGAGAAGTTTCCCTATCCCTCGTTCGACGTATGATGTGCGCGTTACATCGTTACACCGACCGAATCTGGGTAGGTATAGCACCTAGGTGGTTTGTGTAACGGGGCATTACGTAACCGCGTTTCCAAGCACGAACCTCTCGACGATAGCTCTTTAGAGTCCGGGACAGAGATCCATCGTCAACGCTAGCCTATTGTCTACAACATCATCTACGATGCTATGATTTATACCTGCCTTTCCCGGCCATAGACTTGCCCGCCATCCTGCCGTATCTCGTGCTGGCCGGAGCCCGCCTATCCTGTCGTCGTCTGTCCTGGCATTTCAGAAATACGGGGTTCTTTGTCGGCAGCTCTCCGTCGAGCCTCCTCTTTACCCACCCGCCTCTCGCAGCACTGCGTAGAAAAATGTTGAACAAAGCCAACCGCACTCAGATCCCGTCCGCCGAGGAGTGGACCGTCAAGAATGAACGGGGCCGGGAATATGTCATCCAGATCGGCTTCCCTCGTGACTGGGCCACCTACGAACCCGTCGCTGGTGACTCGCTCGTTCCCGTCCTGTGAACCCCCCCCCCCCCCCTTTCCCCTTTCCCTCTGGGATCAACTAACGAAGGCCCAAACCCCAGCTACCTGACCGACGGGAACTCTGCCTTCCTCACCGCCCTCGACGCCCTGCACAGGCGTCTCTGTAAGCGCGACCCCAGTTTCACCTCCGGCATCATCGTTGGGATCGGCTACCCGCTCCCGGCCGACTCGCAGCCCGTCTTCGACCGCGAGCGCAGGCAATGGGACCTGACGCCGCCGGCCTCCCCGGGCTCCTCCTCCCCCGAGGGCGGCGGCGGCGCGGACGAGTTCCTTGACTTCGTGTGCGACCGCGTCAGGCCCTTCGTCCGGCAGCGGCTGGCGGCGACCACGCGCGGCGCTGATGTGAGCGTGGGGAGGGAGGCGCTGTACGGGCACTCGTTCGGCGGGCTCTTCTGTCTGCACGCGCTGTTCACGCGGCCGCAGGCCTTCGCCTGCTTCGTCGCGAGCAGCCCGAGCATTTGGTGGGACGGCGAGCGGGTGCTCGCCGAGGAGGCCGCGTTCCTCCGCAGGCAGGGGGAGGGGGAGGAGGGACAGGGTCTCGAGGAAAGCGGAGAGGGAAACGCAGACGCAGACGCGGACTTGGAGGGGAGGAATAGGCGAAAACCGTCACTCATGTTGTTCGTGGGCGGGGAGGAGGAGGACCCGCCCCGGCGCCGGGGAGAGTCGGAAGAGGCGTACAGGAAACGACAGGCGCGCCACGAGACACAGCGCATGGTCACCAATGTCGAAACCATGCATCGCCGGTTGCGCGCGAGCGGCCGCTTCGAGCATCTCTCGTGCCGAGTCTACGAGGGCGAGGACCACGGCAGCGTGATCGCGTGCTCCCTCAGTCGCGGACTGACGACGTTTTTCGAGAACTGGCCGTTGGAAGTCTGAGAACTCGGAGCTTCAAGGATGCCCACCACTTTTGCTACCTCGCTGGGACAATCTTTCTAGGACAGACGAGTATGGAGATATCGGGTTGCGTAATGGCTACCTGGGCCCACCATTTCACCCCCTGTATAGTTTTCTTGGTCTGTAGTATTGGTGTTAGCTCTACGGTGCTAGACTAGTTGTAGGGAGCGTGAACTGACGATCACCAAGCCTCGCATAAATCACAACCACCCCATCAGGTATCGTCGCCTCTTGGTTGACCTACGGTAGTGGGGAAAGTCTACCAACAGTCGTCTGACGTCCGTGGAAGCTTGCTGATTGGCAAAATACCTCACCTTGGGTTAGGTGGTGCGCAGACTCCGGACACCGAAATCGCTCAGTGCCATCGCCAGTCAGTTAGCTTCGAGGCAGGCCCTGGTCGAGAGACTTTCCTGCTTCGCCGGTACAAATGCGGAATACCAAGCCTCGGCCAGACGTCACCGCTCCAGCCAGCGCCTCCCGCCCCCGTCGCCGCAAGTTGTAGCACTGTAGAGGGACGCACAGGTGCAACGTGGACGCGTGGTCAGCCCGTTGCCAGCGATGTAACGGGACACACGAGCGCCTCTTAGGTCAGGCCATAGGAAAGGGTTTTCGGCGCTAAGTAGCTAACCTAGGCAACTATTCTCGCTAGGCCCGTGGAAAAGACCGTATTCGCGTGGCCGAGAGCGGATCTGATAAGATTAGATGGGGAGATGCGGATTCCAGAAGCGATGCGAGCGGGACGCTTCATTGGCTTTAGATTTCTTTGATATTAGCTCTTCTCCCCCCCGTCCTGTTTAGCGTCGCAGAATGGGCGCGGGCGAGAAATGGAGCGCTGCGACATGTGAACCGCGGGAATGGCTCACCCTCAGCAGACAAGTCGGCAGTCCGGGACTATGGCCGAAGAATGTGGTAATACCAAGAGCGCTATTGGAGGGGGGATATAGCTCCCAGGGTGTGTAGATATGGCCTCGTTTTCGCCTCTTCTGGCCTCTCGGTAAGCTCTATTTAAGGCGCCGAGGGACAAATCGGCGTCCTATGCTGTTCTGTATTGTCTCCCACACAGCTGATCGAAACGACCGTCAAGCTTCACCGAAAGATAGGTCTCCGCAGAAGCCGACATGTCTAAGCATCCAGACGTGGTGCTAGAGGATGGGCGCGACGACGAGTCGCTAGAGAAGTCCGCCGGCGTGACCCAGTCGGATGCGCTCAAGCGCTCTTCGCGGAAATGGGTCATCACCGCATACATAGGGTACGTGTGGACGGGCGAGGCGTCGAGATTGGGAAAACTAACTAATACCTGTTGTTACACATATTAGTCTCTACCTGATGACCTTCGTCCTGGCCTTCGACACCTACTCGACCGGCACTTACAGCGCGTACGCGACGAGCGACTTCAAGGGGCACTCGCTCCTGAGCGCTTCTCGGGTCGTGAGAACCATCACCAGCATGCTCGCACACCCGATCGTAGCGAAGTTGACGGATGTAAGTTGACGGCCCGTTCTCTGATTCAAATAAATAGCATGCAATGGCTTACGGCAGCAATTATGCGTGCGACTAGATGATCGGCCGCATTGAGCTATTCGCCATCTCTATTAGTCTTTCCGTCTTGTCTCTGGTCCTGTTCGCGTCATCCCAGAACGTGGAGACGTATTTCGTGAGTGTCTCCGGCTACTTATACCTACGTGGCGAATGCCGAGCGACACGGCTTCTAACTGCTGCCCTACGCGTCCCTCTATTTAGGTCGCGGGGTTCTTTGACGCGGTCGGCGGCACGGGTTTCAGCATCACGCAGCAGATCTTCATCTCTGACCTCACCACGCTCCGAAACCGCGGCCTCTGGCTGTCGCTCCCGGACAGCATCAGCAGTATACCCACCCTCTACCTCGGGACGATCGTCGCCGACGCATTCTTGGCCCACTCGACCTGGAGATGGGGTTACGGGATGTGGGCGATAGTCCACCCCGTCGCCGCCATCCCCCTCCTCCTGACATTGTTCTTGTGGCAACACCATAGGAGAAAGACAGCCTCCGGACCACCAAAGGTCCCTCTGCTCCTTCGAGATATCCAGCCCGGCGACTCGATCTGGACGAAGATCTATAAGGTGGGCTGGGTCGAGCTCGACTTCCTCGGGTGCCTCCTCCTGATCGCCGGCCTATCCCTGATTCTCGTGCCCGTATCCCTCACTGGCTCCCAGAACAGCATGGCCTGGAGCCAGCCGCACTTCATCGCGATGCTCGTCGTCGGGTGCGTGTTGTTCGTCTTGTTCTTCGTCTGGGACTCCCTCTTCGCGAAGAAACCCTTCATCCCATTCCGCCTCGTCAGGCACAAGACCGTCATGGCCGCGTGCGCCCTGTGCGTGTTCGACTTAACGCACTACGCGCTATTCTCTGTGTTCTTCCCCAGTTACCTCCAGGTAGCCGCACATTACTCTCCCGGCCACGCCGGAAGAATCGAGTAAGCATCTGTCTATGTGCTCAGCTATACGTGATAGACACCTCTCTGACGTTGGCTCCTTTTTTTTTTTTTTCAAATAGCAATTCGCTACGAGTGGCCTTCCAGATATCCTCTCTCGTTGTCGCCGTATTGATGCATTACTCCAAGAGGGCCAAGATATGGATCCTGTTCGGCGCCACCCTTTGCGTGCTCGGACAGGGGCTTCAGATATACTTCGTCAATATCGATGGCACGCATCCAGCCAACGAAGCATCTTTCGTCACGGCCAAGACCCTGGTGGGAATTGGCAGGGGTTTCTACCAGACCGCTGCCCAGGTATGCGTGCAGGCCGTGGTAAACAGGGACGAGGTGGCGGTAGCTACTGGTGTGTACTTTGCGTCCATGAGCCTCGGAGGAGCGATAGGCACTAGGTAAGCATCCTTTATTTTGGCATTCCCGACTTGTCCATGACACTTCTTGCGGGTGCTCTTCTAACATCTAAAAGCATCTCCGGTTCCATATGGCGGTCGAATCTGCTCCCAAAACTCAGTCAATATCTGCCAGAGGCCTCGAAATCCAGGGCGGAAAGCATTTTCCAGTCCATAGTGGTAGCGCAACGATTCGCTGTCGGAACCGCTGAAAGGGACGCCATAGACTTGGCATACCGGGAGACCCAGCGGCTGCTCGCCATTGCTGCTACGTGTGCGCTCGCCCCCATGTTGCTGGTGATGTGGTTCATCAAGAACGTCGATCTCGTGAACAACAAGCAGGAGAAGGGGCAAGACGGAGAGGGCCATGGTACATCTGATCATAGCAACACGACCGAGGAGAGGGAAAATAGCACTGAGAAGCCCAAAACCTAGGAGCTCGCGCTTTGCTCCCCTAGCCCGACAAAAACTAGCTTCGAACCAAGATAGTATATTGGCATATAGGGCTTGCAGCGTCGCCGACGTGTGCCTACGTTGCCGTCCGCTTTAGTGATATTTCGTTAGATGCCGCTAGACAGCTGTCGCTCTCTCCGTCTCGCCGTGAGACACAGTAGGGTCTTCTCTCGAAGCAGAGCCACCGCCCTGTGACCAGACCACCTGCCTATACGGTCTATCGTCAGGGTTCAGATCCGTTCCGTCCACAGAAGAACCGCGAATAGCTCGAACCACACCACATGCGGAAGAGCTACCCCTTCTGGTGCATTAGCTAGCTCGCAACGTCCAGGGAATGGTACCCTCGAACCGGACTCCACAGTCAGCAGATCTCTTAGATTCGGGAGCGGCCTCTTGGTGACACATCTAGCCGCCGCCAAGGCGGCCTATACATACCGACGTACGTAGAGCCAGCTACAGCTAAGGGGGCGTCTTCCCTGTGCATCTGCCAACACATCTGCTCAGTCCCGTTGGTCGGTCATGCTGACAGATGCTCGAAAGCTCCTGCGTGCTGGCTGCTGCGGAAACGTTGCCTATGAGAAGGGGTCTTTTTCTTTTTCGCCTTTGTCTTCTCGATAGAAGACAAGGAAGGATGCCCTCCCCTCCATTGGTTCGCGTCTCTGTGGCATGGGGATATTCCGGGATATTTCACCACAGCTCTCCGTCCCCCAAGAAGACTGAGTGTGTCCACTTCCTCGGGGACTCGACGTTAGTACCTAGGTTACTTAGCAAGGGTGGAGTGGGGATCTTGGTTCTCGAGATGGGTCGCCTCATCCCCGTCGGCTTGGATGTCCACAATGGATTCGAGTGCCCATGATGAGGGTGACCCGGCGGGTTCAAGGGCACGAAGGGAGCCCTTCCTCTGAACTCCACATATCTCGTCCACATAGTATATCTCACGATATCTTATAAAACCGGGAACTTCCCTGGTCTCCTTCGCCCGAGCCCTTGGGAATTCCATGTTATGTCTTGTTTACCAGCCTATACTAATAGTGTGGCTGATATAAACACTGGAGCCCTTCTCTGAAATATGTGATGGCGGAGGCAAATGAATCAGCAGGGTTACCCATCCTGATTATTGGAGCTGGTAAATCTCCCCGAGATACATTGTAACTAAGCTTGTAGTCGTGGCTAAGAACGACATCTTATATGCCATTAGGCTGCAGCGGTCTGGCTCTCGCACACGGTCTTCACCTGGTAGGCATTTGCCCTTTTCTTTCCCCTTGGTGCTTGGCTTAGGCTTAGTTTAATTCCCATTTCCCTTCTCGCTGTCCCGTCGTCTGCTGACTGTCTCGTTTGCAAAATACGTAACAAATATAGAAACGTATTCCGTACAAGCTCTTTGAGAAAGACACAAGTCTCGCACCACGGAATGGGCGCGACTGGGGCATTTCCTTCCATTGGTCCCGTGATATGCTCGCATCGTTGATTGGTGACGCGAAATGGAGCCGTATAAACGAGGCCCTCGTCGATCCGTATATATCGGCAGAAGAGGCCATTAAGGTGCCCCTGATTAACGGGAGCACGGGCGAAGTTATTAATGTGATGTCTACGCCCGACATGCGTCGCGTCTTGCGTTCGCGCCTGCGCTCCCTGATCGCCGACGACGTTCTCGACGTGCAGTTTGGCAAGGCGCTGGAGCACATCTCGTATGCAGACGACGGCCGGAGCGTAACAGCATACTTTGCGGACGGGGCAGCTGAGACGGGGTGTCTAGTTATTGGCGCGGACGGTAGCCAGAGCCAGGTCCGCAGCCTCTTACTCGGGTCTGAACGGGCTAGCCTTACGCGACTACCACTCGCGGCAACCTTCGTCACAGCGTCGTTCTCGCGGGAGCGAGCGTTATGGCTGCGTAGCCAACATGCGTACCTAAATGCGCTTTACCACCCAAACAACGAAATGGGGATGTTCGCTTTGCTGGACGGGAAGAACAGGGACGCGCCCGAGTCGTGGCGTTTCAGCTTCTATGTGTCGTGGCGATCCCCCTTGGAGGAGCAAACCGAAGAGGTGGCGTCTGGTATGAGCGTACACGAGAGGCTCCTCCAGTTCAAAGGGAAGAGCAAAGATTTCGCCGATCCCATACGTAGCTGCCGGGAATGGATCTCAGATGACCTAGAAGAGGTTTATTGGGGCGGCTGCGCGAACTGGGACCCCAGCTTACCAGAGCACACGTGGGATAATCATGGCGGCCTTGTCACGCTGATTGGCGATGCGGCACACCCAATGACCTATCGTAAGTAAACTTAACGGAGGAGGGATAAGCCTTGATCACTTCATCTTTTCCCCACCGCACCCTCAACACAATATGCTCGGCAGGTACTGATATGATATCCCATCTAGACCGCGGACAAGGGCTGAACCACAGCGTCGCCGACGCCTTTAAACTCTTCGAGAAGCTGGCAAACGTGGGGATTCGATCGCAGAAAGAGCTGATCGACGCATATGAGAGTGAGATGCGTGCCCGGGGCGGAGAGGAGGTTCGACTCAGCGAGATGAACTCGTTCATGGTGCATGACTGGGATCAGGTGGGACAGAGCCCGATCGTGAAGAGAGGAATGGGTTATGGTAGCGGCAACGAGAGCAAGGCGTAATCTCGAGAATAGCGGTTACGATATGAGCGACTCTCCCAAAACCTTGACCAAAGCCGCGCGTGCTATGCATCAAAATAAAACGACAATTCTCGATTTCCGGGGTGACAGAGGCCAAATAGGGAGCGTACCTATGAAAAGAGGTTCACTTTCCGGTTCCCTGGTCCCCTAAACGCCAGCCCCAGCAACCGAGCCTCCCATATTAGTAAGAAATAGTTTCCTCGGTATCACCAATCCCATGGCCCTTATGTTCCTATTCTCCCTGGGCCTACGATGAAGTTGGCGTGGTGCCAGCTCTGCTTTTCCTACGCCTCGGCTTTGATGGCATTCCGGTGGGGGTCTTCGGCGTCTTATCACCCTTTGCGTCTTTCTTGTCAAGCCCAGGGCCTGTGGGCCCTTTGAGAGAGGTGTTGAGAGAGGCTAAACCTAGCGTCTGCAGCTTATCTTTCCGGCCTGTAGAGCTTAGGTGGAATTCGCCAGGCTTGCCCGTGATGGGGTTTTCGTCCATGTATTCGCCTCCGTATTGCATGTGAATTATCAAAGATTGCTCCGCTAGGCGGGAATCTAGAACTGGCTGATTCGTCTTCTTAGATTCCGGCGTGACCTTACTATTGTTCCCCCCTTGCCCCTCAGGCATCGGCGTCGTTCCTTTCGACTCTAACGCCTGTGCCCTCGAGGCCGTAGTATTCAGCGTGGACTTGTACACGTGCCCGAGTGATGGTGACCATATCCGCGCTTTGTCTGCAGCTGGGAAGCACTTGTTTAGGGACGACGTGATAGTAACCTAGACAGGCCGGTTAGAATGGGAACGGAGTTGACAGGGAGGGAGATTGGTGGGGAGAATAACCATTCTATAACTTAGGATATCGGCAAGCGTAGGGGCCATGTATATATTCTCGCCATTCACGTAGTAGGTGGCATGGACGGAAATGTCGTCTTCCGGCTCCCGCTTGCGACGCGTCTGTTTGCGGATGACCCAGACGCCGGTGCCCGTGCCGGGAGCCATCTCGGCAGGCTCCTGAGCGACTATGAACTCCAAACCTGACATCTCCCTCAGGCGGCCCTCGAAGAGTTCGCGTGTCTGGATCAGGTGAAACATGGTAGGATTGAACATGGCCTGGCTGGTGAGCACGGCGTTGTTCGAGGTACGGTCGAAGAAGGGCGACTCGGCGAAATAGAACAGGACGGAATTGGAGTGAATACCCTGCATGGACTGTGCAAGCCCTGGGTGGCGCCATTGGATCTCGTCGAGAGGGGGTTCGTTAGTGGTGGCCATCTCTGCCGAAGTCTAGCGGTGGATTGTGTAGTAAGGAGATGATAGCTGGGAGAGACTGGCGCATCGCGGTTGAAGGGGTATGAAGATGGAGATGGAGGTAGGGATATGTAGATTCGCGACGAAAGAGCTCAAGCTACTGTAGTACCTGGGTACCTTTACAGGTAGGTACCTGCCCATTATGATGTAAGCGTGTACCTAGGTATCTAAGGCACTCTCTGTAACTTGCTACCCTTTTCATTCCTCATCCCAGCCCTTGAGGATACCTAATTTCTTCCCTCTCCCATCGACCACCCATACGCTCAGCCTCCGCCTGTACACGTACACGACAAGAGAACCACTAGCAAAACCTTGCTGAAATACCGCCTCTACCGCACTTGTCCCCGTATACGTTCTAGATGGATCTTGTCTCGAGCATCCGCAAGACGGGTTCCCGCGGCGGGGTCAACTTCAATTGGGACGATGTCGCAGGCTCGAGCCATCGAGAAAATTATCTCGGCCACAGCCTGAAAGCCCCCGTCGGCCGCTGGCAAAAAGGACGGGACCTTACCTGGTACGCAAAACCCGACGGACAAGACAAATCGACGACGGAAACGGAGCAAGAGAAGGCCGAAAGAGAGCGGAAAGAGGAACTGAAAAAGATCAAGGAAGCAGAAGAGGACGCGTTAGCTCGCGCATTAGGGTTACCAGTCGCCCCTCGAAAAGCTACAGGCGCAAATGCTGTGGATGTTAGCGAAGGGAGAGGGGTGACGAACGGCGATGATTTAAACTCTCCCACAAGAGGAGACAAGGGACCGACTCACGGTGACCGAAAGGCAGTCAAGAGGCGAAATGATGTTGAAACACATCACCGGAGGAGACACAGGAGTCGAAGTCGTAGCCCGGGGAGGCGTCGAGATAGGTCACCGAAGAGGCGGGACGAGGGCAATTACCAGCGCAGACCGAAGGACGACAGAGATGACAGGCGCCGCCATCGAAGCCCCGAGAAGGACGATCGGCGACATCGAAGGCCCCATCAACGGGAGCGTAGCCGGAGTCGCAGCCCTCGAAGATCGGGGAGAAGAAGGGATGATAGGGAGGACAATAATAACTACAGACCGGGATTAGGAGATAGACGGCCACGGCGGAGCAGCAGCCCTCCAAAAGATCGGAGACGGAGGTCTCCTGGGGATTCTCGTTGATACGGTGCAGGAAAAATCTGCGCGGATATTGCCGTCTGATTATTTGCCCTTAGGCAGGATACTGCATAGGACGATTGGCAAGGCAGAGCACACGGCCCGGGATGGTGCAACTACGTTAAGGGTTAAGCACTGGGAATACCTGCAGTGTTTGCGCCCACAACATGCGGTAGAGGATATATCTGTATATGTAGGTGTTGTTATAGGTATGTCAGCAGCGTGGAAACCTCGACGAGACCATTCCTAAGTTTACCCAGGCATGTCTAACCTTCTCGGCCGGAATCCAACCGTAAGTTGGCAGCAGGTTGGTTGACTTGGTGGTTCTAGCATCCGTACTCCTCTAAAGAATGTTGTTGTCCCCGGCACGGGCTCTCTATTCACGGGAGTCTTCCATGCCTTGGTGAGTTACCTCTATCTTGCCCTGGCCTGTTTGCAGCCGGGGTTACCCGTTCGCTTCGGACGTCTAACATGAGGCCGTACACATTACGTTTCCCTTGTTTTGTCTTCGGTAGTTTAGGTACCTATTTTCGTCAAATTACGGCTGTACACATCTGTGTTGAGGTCAGCTTCAGGAATACTTGCCCGAGTTGCTGCACATTGAGATAGTATTGCGTAAACCGTAGACGTCTGCATTGTATGACTTGCGTACCTATGTAGGCTTATATGGTCTGGTTCAACTGCTACGTGACAGAGATAATCACGTAACAACATAGTGATACCCATTACTTCGTGCCTCTATATCTAGAGGTACTAATGTAATACTTGGTACTAATATCCATTTATGGTATGTGTGTTCCAGAGGTACTTTCAGGTACATACAACCTTAGTGCCTAAAGAGGTGCCTCCTACAACCCCCCCCCAAGTAATATGGGTACCTAATGCTACCTAAAACCCGAGGTACCTGCATGCAGAGAGCCAACCTGACCTCGGGTTGCCCAGGTACCTAAGGCAGGTTATAGAGGTACCTCCTCTAAATAGTATGATTACACACTACAATGCCTTTCGACGACCGCCACCACTGCCAACCACAACCACCAACCAGTTGAGACGGATCGGAGCTGACTCCTTAGGTTGATGTAAGTCGGCTGCCTTTGTCACCGGATCTGAGTCCTGGACTCGTAACAGTACGTCTCCCACATGGTTCAGGCTTCTGGAATTTACTCGAGCTGCTTACCGTCCCAGCCTCGTTCGTCTCCGTCTCCGTCTCCGCTTCCCTCCGTGCTGCCTTGTGTCGTCCGATCCTCCTTACCCGTCGAACTTACCAGATTCTCCAGGGAATTGCTCACTCTCTTCTCTCTTAAGGACTTCGGCCTTTGCTCTCCGCGCCTCGACACATCTATAACTACCCCCCGTCACCCTCTACCTCCGAAGTGTTGGCTCCGTTCTCTCTGAAATACGATGTTCCCCTAGAACCCATTCCCAATCTGCTCCACTCGTTGTAGTAATGGATTATGGTCGACTCCGGGCTGCGGCCCTGAGAGACGGCGAGGATGAGGAGGCGGTAACAGTAGATACGAGGGCCCTCATCGACAAGGTTCTGGCACGATATTCGGGCGAATGGACAACCCTGCGAGAGCTCATCCAAAATGCCGCCGACGCCCAGGCCACTATCGTCAAAATAAAGTGGGAGACCCTCCCTTCGACACAGATAGCGCTGCCGTCGACTACCGACCGCTCCGAAATCCTTAAGCACATAATCGTGAACCACACTCTCCGTCGACTCGTCGTCCAGAACAACGGCCAGCCGTTCACGAGAACCGACTGGGGAAGGTTGAAGAGGATCGCCGAGGGCAACCCCGATGAGACCAAGATTGGCGCGTTCGGCGTGGGATTTTACAGCGTCTTCGCCGACTGCGAAGAGCCCTTTGTAAGCTCTGGCCAGGAGGCTATGGCTTTCTACTGGAAAGGGAACGCTCTCTTCACCAGAAAACTGCAACTCCCCGAAGACCAGACTACCTCAGATACCGCCTTCGTCCTAGACTACCGAAATACGACCACACCATTGCCGAATTTGCTGTCGGTCGGCCAGTTTCTAGCCACGAGTTTGACATTTGTGGCCCTCGAGAATATTGAATTCTGGATTGACGACTACAAAATCCTCCACCTGCAGAAGAAGACCAGTCCCAGCGTTGACGTTGCTCTGTCGAGAGATATTGAGACTACTACTAAGGAACGTCTAATGAAAGTACAGAGTGTCGACCGTGCAAGCGCGCAAATAGACGCTACTTTCATGAGCGCCATCGGTTGGAAACCCCAGGTGGTGACGACGACGAGGAACGAGGCCTACGGATTTGGTAGTTCAGACATACCCTCGCTACGGAGCTTCTTCTCTAGATTGACGGCGAACTCCTCAACCTCGAAAAGTACCAAAGCAGCGAAAGAAGAGAAGGCCGCCCAAGAACTGATAACCGAGGACATCACCGTGCCGTCGTCATCAACCATATTCCTCAGGGTGACGACGGCCGCGATCAAGACATCCGTCACTGCCAATTTTTCCGCCGAGTTAGAGAGAGCTACTAAAAAGCCTCCTCCAAAAATCGCAAAACTATCAATCCTGACGTCTTCGTACGATGAGACACAGGCTTCAGAGGGGTCCGACAGCTCCAGGGCTGTCGCTAAGGCCACGAATGTCTTTGCGTCGGTTCTGCCTAGCAAGAAAGGCGGTCGAATCTTCATCGGGTTCCCAACTACCCAAACTACCGGCGCAGGTATTCATATCTCAGCCCCGTCAGTCATCCCCACGGTAGAGCGGGAGGCCATCGATTTAAACGCGAGATGGGTTAGAACATGGAACATTGAGATGCTACGAGCCGCCGGCATCATGACACGACTCGCCTTCCAGAACGAGATGGCTGAATTGCAGACCAAGCTGCAACGAGCTGGGGAAAAGTCTGGTGCCAACGTCACACCAAGAGACATTGCTAAATATATGCCGGAGGCGTTACATATACTGAAGGCTTTCACATTTGGGGACTCCACGCCCAGTGGCAATGTTTCTCAGATTATTGAGCAAGCGTTCTGGATGTGTTTTAAAGGGCCTTTCATAGAAATCTACAGTAGTCGAGGCGTGCTTCCTACAACCATGGTCCGACTTGGCTCGCAAGAGCTTGCTCAGTTTGTTGACGGAATCCCAGTAATTCCATCCGAACTCGAAACCACCGGCTTTGTTCAGAAGCTGGTCGAGTTCGATTTATTATATGCTATAACGGTCGATGATGTCCAAAAAGAGCTGTCTGGGAAGCCTCTCAACAAAGCCCAGCTCATTAGCTTTATCCAGTGGGCAAGCAAGAAGGCAGTTCAAGGAGAGCTTGATCCCCCGAGCAGAGATAAACTCCTTGACGTCGCCATAGGCCTCGTCAGCGACGGTGATGACGATTCGGGTGGCATCATCGCTCTAGGAGCCATCAAGCATTATCTGAGCCCTAACAAGATACCTGCTGGATTGCCCACCCCGCCGACAACGATAGCTTATGACTTTACCAGGAATTGCAATGCCAACGAGCTCCAAGCTCTAGGTTGGGAGCCTCTCGAGATCGTCCCCTGGCTACGATTCTTAATGGAAGCTGGTCCGACGCGACCAGAAGGGCAAGATTTAGCGAAATCCCCGGAGTTTTCGATTCGCATACTCACCATATTATCCAAGAATTGGGACAACCTCAGCCAAAGCTCGAGGGGTACTGTCGTGTCGTTGCTCCAGAGCCAAACCGTGATGCCTACCAAATTAGGCATGAGGAAACCGACGGAATCCTTCTTTCAGAGCGTAAAACTCTTCGACGATCTTCCCATTATCGAGGGATGCTCTTCGCTTAAGGAAAAATTCCTGTCTGCCATCGGTGTAAGGAAGACAGTAGACCTGGACACGATCTTTACACGCTTGCTCAATCGCTCAGCTGAAGCTGAGAATTCGGGACACGCGAAATGGAGTCACGTCGAGCTCATCAAATATTTAGCGTCGGTACGGAATGATATCCCGAACGACGACCTCAAGAAGCTTAAAGAATCTCGTATATGTCCGGCGGAAGCAGGACCTCCCAATCTTGAATGGTCTAAGGAAAGCTCGCAGCTCTACAAGGTCTCGGAGCTTTACGAGCCTAGGGCGCCACTGCGACCCCTGAACCTGAAGATCATCCAATGGCCCGGAGGTGGCCTGCGAGCCGGCAGTACTGAGGGCAGGTTTTTGGCCACCCTCGGCTTGCACTCGTATCCGTCGGCCCCCGAGGTCGTGGATATGATGGCCTCGTCGGATCAGATGTTGAGGGCCAATGCCTTGCATTATTTCCTTACTTACCATCACACTAATGGCTACGCAGCCTTCGACGTCGGGTCAACTAACAAGGCGTTTCTACCCCTACAAGGGAACGCGAAGCAACTTGTGACGCCGTCTCAATGCTTTACTAACGAAGCTTCCGCCGCTTTGGGCTTCAATATCCTCAAAAAGGAGCTTCATCCTCATGCTCCCGTAAGCCTACATGACTTCTCATCTCATTAAGGCATATGCTGCTCAATGTTGCCTTTGACTAACCTAACTATGGACCAGAAATTTGGTGTAGTCGCTGACCCGCCAATCGTCGAGTGCGTCGAGCGTCTAATCGCCAAGCCTCCTCGGAATCAGCAAGAAGCCATGCTTCTCTTCGGGTACTTCGCAACTCGCCTGAACGAGCTGGGCAACAGTTCCATTACGAGGCTTCGCGATTCCTCTATTGTACCGGTCCTGCGTCAAGGGCAGTTGCCCGCTCCCCATTCACTGTCGGGTGCGTCAAACAAGGTTGGCAATTTAATCCATCTAAGCCCCCGGAACTGCTACCTAGGCAGCTCTGTGATGTATGGAGATATATTCGACTTCGTCGACTTTGGCAGTTCTGCGAATGCCTTTCTGTCCACCTGCGGGTCAAAGACGGAACCAACCAAATTAGAAGTCGCACAATTGGCAGCAGGAGAACCGGCAAGACTTCTCAGCGTTCTTCGGAGCTCGGAGAAATACCTGAGTCTTTTGAGGTTCTTGGCCGAGGATATGGCGACTTTGAAGAGAGATAAGGAGCTTTGGAAGAAGATGAAAGCTTCTCCGTTCTTGTTGGCATTCAAGGAAATCAGCGCACCCGCAAAGGAGAAGGCTCCGGAGAATGAAGAAGAGGAGGCTCCCATCAGACATTATCAACTTGCAGCCCCGGAAAATATCGTCATTCTGGATGACTACATCAGCTACCGCTTGTTTAAAGACCACTTGATCTGCGCACCCGAGGAAGATATCTTGGAATCTTTCTACATAGCTCTCGGCTCTCAAACTCTTGCCACTATCATCCAAGAAGACCTCAAGATCGGGCCACACAGCACGAAGCAGGACGGCGCAGTCTGGCTTCGGAAACACGTCCTCGAGCGGTCAAAGCTTTTTATTCATGAATATGCCAGATACAAGCGCGACGCCATCAAGCACGACGCGAGGTGGCTCGAGAAAAACCTGACCGTAGAAGCCGTGCGGTCCGTCGCACTACGCCGATCACTTCGTGGTCAAAAACCATCACATACTGAAAAGAGATCTGCAGCGAGTGCAAAAGGCAATAACGGCTGGGTCCTTTACGTGGCATCGGAGTCGTCTCGTCCCGATATGTACCAAGTAGGACAGGCAGTCTGCCAGCTTATTCTAAATCGGCCGAGTCAGCAGGCTTATTTCTTCTTTGAGCCGTTCCTCAAACTCGATCTGCTTGATTTGAGAGCTCGTGGATACAATGTCGACCGTATCCTCAGAGCCAAGGCGGCCGAAGCTAGGATTGCCGAGGAAGAGAGACGCAAGGCCTTGGATGCCGAGCAAGCTAGGATCAGAGAGCGAGAAGAGCTATTCGGGAGACAGAACCAAGTTATCACGACATCCGCAAGGGAGCAGAATAAGACGCCACCGCCTAGGATGCCCGGCGGATTCGAGTTTCCGGACGATAACCCTAAAGCGCTATTTCCACCACCCATAACACCGCAGACGAAGAAGGGTAAAGGAATCTTCTCCAACCTTTCCAAGCGGTTTGGATTTGACACTTCCGACGAGGCGGAAGAGAACCTGAAGAAATTCATTGGCACAAACCCCGAGCCAGTACAGCTGCCACCAGCCGAGTCTTCAGGTTCTAAATCTGGCAAAAGGGACGAGGGCAAGGTCACGAACCCAGCTATCGTCCAAAACAATCTTCTTGGCGCCATCCAGTCCACCAGGGCACATGATTCCTCGCAAGTTTACTCCCCCCCAACGACTCGAGAAGTCAAGGAGCAGGCCACGTACTGCGACGACACTGCAGGAAAGGATCTTAACCTAGTCGCGGAGGCGTCAAATAGCATGCGCATATTTGTGTCCAACTCGATCCCCAACTTCGATCCGGCGCAGTTCCTCGTAGCAAATCACAGATCCATAAACTCTTTCGCCTCGCTCCTCCAAGATGTCGGTGACGTATATTCTATCAACAGGTCGGCACTGCACATATTCTACGACGAGACAGGCAACACGATCGCCTTCAACCGGAACGGTAGCGTGTTCTGTAACCTGCGCTTCTACGTCCAGCTGCACGCGGACCAGCCGACGGGCGAAGGCAGAGCGGCGGCGGCGGTCTGGTGGTGGGTGGTGCTGGCCCACGAGCTGGCTCACAACATCATCCAGCCGCACAATTCGGATCACGGATTCTATACGTAAGCAACCCGACATAGCGGCGAGACATATAATAACCCCTCCCCTCCTCTGAAATGCGCATGCTAACGAGGTGCTCAGCGAGTCATTCGTCAAGCAGTACTTCCCGCGGATGATGGTGAAGGTCACGCAGCTGGTGGGGGCCGCGACCGTGCCGCCCTCGTCTGCGCCGAATGCCAGCCTGCGCCCCGAAACCGGCCCCGGGCCCTCGGGGGTTCCACCACCGTACCAGTACAACTAGGGAGTCCGTACGGGAACGGAGCTGCTAGACGTTCCTCGAGGGAGCGATACTCCTACACGCGGCAGACAGCAGGCCGGTGTCCCTCGGGCTGAGAGGCGGGCGCGACCTGCAGCCAATCGGCGACCACGGAAGCGAGACTCCAGCCCAGAACGGCCTCACGAGCGGATCTTTTTGACGGGGGGACGGAGGGAGAAGAAGAAGAAACGAGCATCTAGTCCATAGAATATCCGGTCTGACGACCGACGATGAGCAAACAACCGCGGCACTTGCATTTAGAGCCCTCCCGTCCGTATCGCATCTCATTGTACACGCAGGGGAGAGAAAGGGGAGAAAGAAGGGGGGGAGGGCCGGGTTAAATCTTGTACACTGTAGCATATTTGCATAGACCACTAGATGTCGGGCTGGCCCCGCAAGCGGTACTCTATAGACTTGAATACACGGTTGAACAAGGGACACAGGAGGCCTAGTCGGGAAGCCCAGTCGGGAAGCCCAGTCGGGAAGCCCAAGGTGTAGCTTTAGGTGTGCGATGAAAGTCGAGGGACGTACGCAATAAGCACGGATCTCCAAGTCCAACGGGAAGTAAGTCACCAGTAGCAAGCAGGTTGATATTTCGGCCCAGCCCGGTAGTTTTTCACCCCTATATACGCAACAAGCCGACAGGGACGCCCAACACCCAACCTATACCTGATACCCATCTATGTACGGACACCACACGTCTCCGAAACCCTCCACGGCAATCAACCAACCAGACCGGCCGCAGCACGTATACCCAGGGGCTCCATCACGACCCGGCCCGTCCTTCCATCCAGGGATACTCACTCCACGACCCAGCCCTTGCCGGGGACCTTCCTCTGCGTGACCTTCCTCACGGGGAGCGGCCAGCCCTGGCCGCCGGTGCCCTCGGCGCGCAGATACGGCACGACCCAGCACTCTCTGGTCGCCGCCCCCGCGGCCGTTTCGACTACCTCGCGGATCGGCTTGCCGTACGTGAGGAGCGGCGTGCCCTTGGCCAGGGCGGCGAGCTGCGCGCCCGTCACGTCGGTGAGCGCGAGCATCCGCGTCTTGGGCCGCGCGGCGCTCGGGTCTGCGGTCGGGTCCGCGGCCGCGCGCTGCAGGTGCGCGTACACGACGTACTCGGGGCACTCCTGGGGGCTGAGGTGGGCGAGCAGCGACGAGGGATGTATGTAGACGAGGGCATCGCGCGGGTCGGCGGCGGCGGCGGTCGGATGGAGCGGGACGTAGGGGACGTCGATGGCGCGGCGGGGCTTCCTCGCCTTCCCGTGCCCGTCGGCGTCGGACGGCGGGGCGGGGGCCAGGTCGGCGCGGATGGCAACCTGGTCGACGAAGCCGGCGGCGACCATCTGCTTGAGGGCGGCGACCTGCTTGGGCGTCGGGCGGTCGAGCCGCTCGCGGAACGCGAGCCCGGCGAACGCCGGCACGTCCTTCTGCAGCAGCCCCGTGATCTGGCGCCGCAGCTTCTGCGCCTCCTGCAGCGCCTTGAAGCGCACGAACCGGCTCGCGCACCACTGCTCCGTCGGCTCGTGCGCGAACTCGCCCACCACCTGCAGCAGCTTGATCGCGTCCGACCCGTCGTCGAGCGCGCGGAAGTTCCGGTGCACGTCGCGGTACCGCTGCCGCGCCTGCGCCTGGCGCGTCTCTGCCGCCACGTCCTCGTTGGTCCGGAACCCGCGGTCCTCGCCCTCCGCCGCGGACACGGCCGGCACCGCCTGGCTCTCGGGGATGAAGACTTCCGCTACAGACAGGCCCGCGACGAGCGCGATGGTATAGGGGAGGCAGTCGTGCAGATGCCCGACTAGTAGAATCCGAGCAAACCGGGGTGGCAGAGGGAACTTTGCCATCGTCGATCCGATCTGAGTGGCTTGGCCAGATTCAGTAATTGCCGACAGGTACTGGAGTAGCTTCTCTGCTTTCGCTAGGCTCTGCCGCTCTGGGGGCGTCGGGAAAGGGAAGTTAACCACATGCTGGAGTCGCATTGCTTTCAGCTGCAAGACAACGCCTTCTATGGGCATCCTCAACAGCTCCGGGACGGCGAACTCGGCGAAATCCCGCTCGTAGACAGCAGATGAATATAATCGGTAGCAATGGCCTGGCCCAGTTCTGCCCGCACGCCCAGCTCGCTGGTTCGCGCTGGCCTTGCTGATCCACCCGACCTCGTAGCTTTGCACGCCCGTGTCTCGATTATACTTCCTCTCCTTCGATCGGCCACAATCGAACACATAGCGAATGCCAGGTATCGTTAAACTCGTCTCAGCGACGTTTGTTGCGAGGATAATCGCACGTGAGCCTTCAGGGGGATCTTCAAATACTCGCATCTGTTCTCTTGTCGGCAATAGCGAGTACAAGGGAAGGATATGCATCTTCAGGGGCCCCGTCCCAACATCATCCGAAATATTGAATTCGGCATCGTCTTCTCCTTCATCGCCCTCATTATCCTCGCCGCTAACGGAAGACAGAACCTCGTCATCGTTTATAGTTTCATTGCTTTCCCCAAACTCGATATCCTCAACCTCTAAAGGTGCGTCATTCGCGGATATTCGCACTTTCGGATAAGCGACTGGGTTTAGGGTACCGGACGCAAGTTTCAACTTCTTACTCAGTCTTTGTATTTCGTCATGTCCGGTAAGGAAGACCAGGAAGCTTCCAGGCGGGAGCTTACGATGTCCCTTCATAATCTTCTTGAATGCTTCGTCGACGTAATCATGGTGAGTCCGTCTAGAAAAATGAATAGTAACCGAATGCTGGCGCCCTTCGACGTTGAGAACGGGAGGTGGTATCGGGAATAGCGTTCGATTTCGTATAAAATCGTCTACTCGTAAAGTGGCCGACATAATAATTAGTTTTAAAGGGGCTAGTTTCGAGTCCTCGGCCGACATTTCCTCCCGTAATTTGACCACTCGGCTGAGCATCCCGATGAGGATATCCGTGTTGACACTTCTCTCGTGGGCCTCGTCAATGATTATTGCGGAATACTTGCGGAGAGATATATCACTGGCTACTTCACGGAGAAGTACACCATCCGTCATGAACTTGATGGCCGTCTTCTCGTCGGTTGTGCCCTCGAACCGAATCTGGTATGCGACAGTATCTGACCGATCGCCTAACTCTTGTCCCACGCGTTTCGACATGCTAACCGCAGCAACCTTTCGCGGTTGGGTAACGCCAATTATACCTGGTGTCGGGGATCCAGGAGAACCGTACCCAGCTTCGAATAAGAATTGCGGTACCTGGGTCGTTTTCCCCGAGCCAGTAGCACCGCATACCACGACTACGTTCTGGTTGTGGATGGCCTCCATAATCCTCTGCTCTTCAGCTACAACTGGCAGTCGTAGCCGCGCATCCTGTATCTCGGATGTCCTCCGAACAGAAACGCCGAACGCTTTGCGTCCAGTGTCCTGGGTCGGGAGCAGCTCTTGAGGCAGTGGATCCTGTTCCAACGGACGGGGTTGAAAATTCTCAGGGACTGGAATGTCCAGGAGAGCGGTATTGCTTTCAACGGGCTGGTAACCAAGGGCAGTGTTACGTTGTTCGTGGGCCCAAGCTTTGAAGGCTGAAGACCTCTCCTTTCCTTGAAATTCACCGCTTTCTTCTTCAGATGAGCTTTCCTCGTTACCAGACTCTTCATCCGTCGATCCTTCTCCAGATCCCCCGGAGACGTTCACGGAGTCCGTAGAATCATGCGCGGACTCTTCAGAGCCGAAGCCGCCCCATTCCTCGTCCTCCACCGCACCGTCACTCGTGTGATCTTCCTCCGAATCGTCGGGGGGCGTCTCGGGCTGTATAGGCTGTGGCCGTAGGGACACCTTGGATTTGACGCCGCCGCGCTTCTGTCTCTTTTGGATAACAGGCCGTCCCTCGTCATCCACTTCTAGAGGTCGTTTGAGACCGGATCCTACCGCCACCGCCGTTGGCCTCACGGGAAATGCGTCGCCACCGTTTACGCTAGTATCGGTATCAGCCGTCGCCCGATCATTCCGCGACGTCGCTCCATCCCGGCCAGTGAAGCGATTATTTGTCGATTCCAAAACATCATGGTCGCCCAACTCATAGCTCTCCGGTGTATCTCTCCTTTCGAATAATAAACTCTCGTCACCCTGGCCAACCCCAGCCTGTCGTTCCCTTAACGCGCGACCAAGTGCCTGACGTTTTGTCTCCTTGCCCTGGCCAAGACTCCGAGTGCTAGAAAACAAGCTTGTGTCGATTTTATTCTTGGCCAATTCAGCCAAGAGAGCCCGATTTTCGTCCTTCTTGAGCTTGTTGTCGATGTACTTTTCGAGCCTTTTGGCCTTTTTGCCGCTCACTTTAGCCTGCCCTTTCAACTCTTCTCTCAGCTGAGCTCTCTTGACTTCACGAGCTCCTTTCTGGGCATCGGGGAGGATCTCCAACGCATTACTATCGTTTTTTGAAGAGGCTGTCTCGTGGTCCCGAGTCCCATTCTGATGCGCTTTCTCACGCGCGATGACTTTATGCTTCCTCTGCCTCGGAACGAATTTTGGCATTTTGACGGCGTTTGACAGGACAGACGAGAAGGTGGCATGGAAACGAGAATAAATGATATTCAAAAGTTGACCGCCTGGCAGAATTCCTTAGCGCTACTTGAAATGGCCTAGCGCGGGGCCGACGAAATATCCCGATTAGAACATAGTTCTATTAATCATATATCCTAATTAGGTAACTATACGATTATCTAATTATCAATGCAGCGAGCCGTCAGGTACCCAATTACATACCTTAGGTACCTCCTACCTGGACATCGTCGACACCACAGGAAAGCACCAAAATTTCGACGTCGACATATACCTTGGCCCGCTTCAGCTTGGTTGACTAGGACAGTATCTTCCTAGATAATTGGGGCCGTCAGGCTTAGCAACTATGGATGCCTCCCAAGTAATCGAAGCCCCATACCCGGCTCGGCTCAAACACGATACTGGCCCTATAGATGGAGTCCCTACCAAGGCCGGCGCTACGTTCTTTTTCGACAAGATAATCGTCACATTGTCACAGGAAGGAAGATTGTCCCAATGGGTACATACACACTCTCGAGACTCAGATAAACGTCTAAATCTGAAATGCTAATCAACTTCACTACAGATCCAAGTGCCGCTCTCGGCGCCGTCATCAGCCAGCGTCGACATGGCTCTGGTAAATGACAGCCTGCTACCGATGTCGCATCTAACTCCCAAGACGCTACTAGGCGGTGGCGGGGAAGAGCGTGAGGCCCTCGGCCAGCTGTACGCCGTCCAGATCGCGAGCTTCATCCTGAGGAAAAACCCGGACGAACGCCGCACGCTGGTCGTCTCGCTCGGCTTCCCAACCCTCAAGCGCGACCGCGAGGTGTTCTTCGACCTGCTGGAGCTCGTCCAAAAAGTGCTATGAAGTAAGACGGAAAGTGATGCTCAAACGGAAAGGGGAAGAGACGAGAAGGCGGCGAAATTGACAGGTACTACGCAATTCTCCCTCCGTCATGCAACGATCACAGTTGCACTAGGCTCCAGCGCCTTCTTCGCCTCTTCCCTCTTGAGAAATTCTTCCCTCTGCCGGCCAAATCTCAGCTGACACCCTGGGAGCGTGTCAGCCCGAATATTCTCAGCGAAGACGCGTGGGTACTTACAGTCACCACACGATATCGGCTCATACTTGGCCGGATTCGACTCCGAAGTACACGAAGGTACGACGCCTTCGACGCAGTTGAAATTGAGGCCTAGGAGATTGTAAGTTAGTCAATAAGCACATACGATAGGACAAGACAATTAGAGGGTGGTGTGCGTACCGAAGAAGAACGGCATGGAAACGCGTTCGGCAGTGGACTCATTCGTGACCCTGTGGACATTGGATACGTAAATGTCGTTGCAAAGCCGCATCATGAAGTCGCCGATATTGACTACGAAAGTCCCCTCGATCGGAGGTGCCTTTAGTAGGTCGAACGTTAACATATCAACTAGTTTATCTCAATCCAATCCTTCTCGGCTCACCCTAAGCCATTGTCCCTCCCTGGATAGCACTTGCAAGCCACCCACGCTGTCTTGCCATAAGAGTGTGAATAGCTGCAAGTCCGTGTGGCTCCCTAGGCCCACGAAGTTGTTTTCGGCCTCGTCGGTCGTTCGTGGTCGGTAATAATTAAAGACGCCGTCAGCCCCGGGATACGTGACTTTGTCGTCCCAATAATCTTCTGGCAATCCTAGCGAAAGAGCAAACACTCTGACCAGCTTCCTAGCTAGCTTCAAGCAGCTCCCCCAGTACGCGAGGCAGTCCTCCTTGAAGCGCGGAAGATGAGCTGTGCCCTCCCACTACGAGATGCCAAGTACAAGTTAGCAAAGGGGAATCCGGTTCCAGCTTAAACCCCCACGCCGTAGACAGGACGGCGAGCTTTATGTATAAATGTACCTAGATGAAACATAGGTATACTGTCCCAGGGTAAGGGGGATGTGGGCGCGAAGGGTTCGGGCCGAGAAAGTAGTAAGAGTATGGGTACGCACCACAAAGTCTTCGCCGCGGATCCAAGGTTTCACTTCCTCGGTGATATCGGAGATGCTCTGCGGATGCTCCGGGTCGAGCTCGGGGGAATAGCGGAACGAGAAGGACTCGCGGACGTCGACGCTCTCGGTACGGGAGATGCGCGATTTCTTTAGCCCGAGGTAGCCGTTGTAGTACTTGCTGTGCACATGAGAATCAACGAGGTCCTTCTTCTCCTGGGGCTGCCGCATGAAGGTGATCGCCTGCTCCCTGCACCGCGCGATAGTCCCCGGGGCGATGCCGTGGTTCTTGATGTAGAAGAATCCGTAGTTCGTCGCCGCCGCCCTGAGGCTGGCGGCAACTTGCTGACGGTCACTAAGCTCATCAGAGAACATGGGGGCCAGGTCGATGACCGGGATCTCGTCCGGCGTGCAGTCTCGCGGTGGATTGGGTAGGACGTCTCGGTAGACGACACCTAGACTGGACAGAAGCTCGAGCTTTGCGACTTCAGATGCCATGTTGCTTCTCTTTCTCCCGCCCTGAAACGAATATCGGAAAGTTCAGAATGTTAAGTCGGTCCTTAAAACTGAATTTCATAGAGGGTCAGACAATATTATGGCGAGTCGTGAGCCCCTTTATGTATCTTACACAAGACCGCGCCCAGTATAGACTTAGGTATTATTCGGCAGAGAGACATATCGAAGTGGGGGAGCATTTTCCCATGCCACTCCCCAATAGCAATTGACTAAGGCCCTTGCAAGTATCTTAGTTGAGCAGCAGGCGATGCTGCGGTTGAATTGGATACACCTAATGCGACCAAGTCGCTAGGTAGTTCTACACCCCGCCAGTCCTCCACCGGATACCGGCGGAGTCTTGGAACCATTGTTGAAATCTATCCCTCTATACGTTTCTGTCTAGTTCTTATCCATGTGTCCATGTTCCGCCGTCTAACACCGGATGCGTTTCGCATTCGCTTCTTTCCTTTCGAGGGCATGAATCGAAAAGAGGGGGGGGGGGGAGAAAAGGGGGGAGGTTTATGTTGGAGCAACGATGCCGTATCTCTCGTAGGGGAAGTTCTCGAGGCTTGGTAGCTGCTCGGCCCAACCATCGTCGATCGCGCCGCGCTTCTCGTCGTCGCCAATTGAGAGCGTGTCTGTCCTCCCCGCAAGCACCTCCTTCTCCTTGCCCTTGAGCTCGGCGGCGAGACCAGGATGCGGGACCCACACGACCCTCATGCCGGCGCGGCGGCCCGCCTCGACGCCGAGCACGCTGTCCTCGAAGACGAGGCACTCCTCGGGCGCGATCTCGGCAGTGCCCTCGGGGCGCGTCGCGTTGATGGACTGCAGCGCGACGAGGTAGATGTCAGGCGCGGGCTTGCCGCGGCCGGTCTGGATCCGCGGATCGTCACCAAGGACGCGGTGCGCGGCGGGGATGAGCTCGATCACGGCGCGCGTCGCCGGCCGCGATGTCTTCATGTCGTAGTTGAGGCGGGAACTGCTTGATGCGAGCCCGATCTCGACGGGAAGTCCGCGCGTGTTCCGGCAGTCGCCGCTGAGATGAGTGAGGAGCGCGGCAACGCCCGGCAGCGGCTCACACTCCGGAAAGTGGATGTGGTGCTGCTCGAGCTGCTCCGCCTGGTACTGCTCCCGCGAGATAGGCAGCCGTGCCCACTCGTGGAAAGTGTCGCCGTTAGCGGACCCGGGCACGCCCATCATGCGCGCCTTGACGGACCAGGGCAGACGCGGCCGCCCGTGCCGCTCCAGGACTATGTCGCTGCATAGCGTGTACAGGTCCTCGGTGTTGATGAGCAGCCCGTCCATGTCGAACAGGCACGCCCGCACCGGCGGCAGGTCTGTGGTAGTGCCGACGGTCGGGGGTGTCGACCCCGCGCCGTGATCCTGGGCCGCGGGCATTGCTGGAGTTAGACTGGGGTTGGAAGTTGGTCTCGTAAGGCCTCTGCCTCTGAACAGGTCCGGGTTAAGGCACACAACTGTTGCCTAGCAAGCTGTAGATAACTAGGTAGGTTGTTTCTCGCGGAACAGGGCAAGCGGTTCACATCAACAAAGAAATAGGCGGAGAGGGGATGGGAGTGCGGAGCGAGGAGGTAGAGCCAAGTTGGATCAACACCTTTGCGGACGGGGTTGATTGGTTGCCTACCTAGGTAGCCTATCGACGAATAGCATTATACCTATAGGTGGTTACCTACCTACCGTAAGTTTCTTATGATGCTAGGTGCCTGCTGGGGTAGTGGGTACCTATAGATAGGCCATATTACAGGCAGGTGGTGTAGGTAGTTAAGGCAGACCGTAGGTACCTCCTAAGCCGCTGGGCTTGACATCTGCATCCTATCCTAGGTAGGTAGGTAGGTAGGTAGGTAGGTAGAGGTAGGTACCCAGCGGCGTCTCTCCAAAATCCCGATAAACCCCTAGTTATATCCACCTTCACTAACCTCTCTGACTTCCACCTCATCACCAACTGTTTCCGAGCTCATCGTCCATCTCCTTCGCCACAACCCCAGAGAACGACCTATACTCCATCCCTTGTATCGGACCAGTCGTCGCCTCGAGCTGCTGCAATGCCCCTCCTTTCCAGAACCCTCCCGGTCTCCGACGACATCGAGCGTCACCCTTACGGCATCTCCAGTAGCTCGTTGCGCGATTCTCGGTGCAGACGTTTGACAAAAGGGGAGAGCGAGTATTATTCCATCGCACGGGTGCCCGTTGAACCAGAACAAGTGCATTACGTCCTACCATCTCCCCTCGTAAACTTGTCGCCTATAAACGTCGATCGTAGGAAGGGCGCGCGCTGAGAAGGCACCAATTCATACGCCTAACACTATTCCTACTATTCGTTCGGATGGCATGGAATGAAATATGGAATCTTCACATCTCTCGTCAAAAATCACCCTCATCCCAACTACCGTATCCATGTACGATTATAATGAGTGTAGGGTGGTATGTGGATCGGTGTGTTGTGTGTGTGTGTGTGTGTGTGTGCACGTATCTAGCATTAACACGATAGTAACCCTCCTCCACCGACGGAGAGGTTCGCTCTATATTGACCCGCGCAGCGAACTAGACATCGAGCCATCGGCCGCACTGCCGCCATTGTGGGGAAGCATCGCAATTCAACCGGCCGCTCACCCATTCCCGGGGCGGAGGCACAGGCACCAGGGGTCACCATCGTGGGGGGGGGATAGTAACAAACATGCATTCCCGACCGCGCGGAATTCGCCCGAGTACTAGAAGAGGCGGGAGCTTTTCTGACTCGATGCGATACTCTCCGTGCCGCTATCGTCGGTGCAAGTAAAAAGTGGGAAGGGAAAAATGGCGGGACTGGCGAGTAATCGGGTCGGATATGCCCTCACACTCCACACTGTCCGTGGCCGGAGGTCGATTGTGCGATCGTAGCACTACTAGTTCGCCGTCCTACCCCAGTCTACAGTCGGCTGATCCTACATAAAAGGAGCTCGATCGATCTTCTGACGTCAAGTTTCCTTCACGTCGCCAAGCAATACTACGAGATGAGAACGGTGTCTTCTTCCGCTCAGAAACTTAGGTGCATCTAAAGAATCCAGCGCCCGGACACATCAGCATAGGCGTAGCCGGTTCCCTGCGTCCGACGTATCAACCGAAGAGAATAACTATAGGTATACCTTCCTGTATCTCTATCGTCGTTATCATCACCATGGCCCCGCCGGTCCCCGGGTTCAAGCTCAACGAAAACGGGATCCCGGACTTCGACGACCTCCCGCTGCGGAAGGGGGATCCCCACCTCTCGGCATGGGGGCTGTACGGCGACAAGGACGAGCTCGGCACCCTCAACCGGCTGACTGATGAGCGGGTCGCCGCCGCCGCCAAGAGTGAGATCCGGACGGGGCGTAGGTACGCATGAACCCCCCTTCTCGTGCCTCTCGCTCCCCTCCTCCCTCCCTTCTCTGACAGAAGCATCGTCCATCGGAGCTGACGCGTGATGCGGGGTTTGTTGGAGTAGGATCTCGCTCAACTGGCCGCTCAACTCGCAGCAGTCGGGGCGGTCCTTCTTCTCGCGGCAGGCCTTCCACCAGGAGTTAATCCGCAAGGACCCGCGCGTCGTCAACGACGACGTCTGGTCCTTCAATTCTCAGGTCGCCACCCAGTGGGACGGCCTGCGCCACTACGCCTACCAGCGCGAGGCCCTCTTCTACAACGGCGTCACCCAGGAGGACATCCACGGCCCCGGCTCCACTGTTAACGGCATTCACGGTGCGTTCCCTCCCTCTCTCTTCTCCTCTCCTTCTATGAACTTCAACGCTCTGTGCCAGGGCACCCCGCCTGAACATATACATATATAGACGAAGGATACAAATAGAACTAGGTAGCCGGCTGACGAACCTACCTCCGCCAACAGCCTGGGCCGAGCAAGGCATCGTGGGGCGCGGCATCCTAGTCGACTACCACGGGTGGCGCACGGGCGCGCCGTCCCCGCCGTCCGCCAGCGCGGCCGCCTTCTCGCCGCTGGCACAGACCTCGATCCCGCTCGAGGACCTGCTGGCCTGCCTGGCGGCGCAGGGCACGGCGCCGCGGTTCGGCGACATCCTGTTCGTGCGGACCGGCTTCGCGGCCGCATACGCCGCGCTCACGCCCGACGAGCTCGCCGCGCACCGCGCCGTCGTCCCCCACCGCTTCGGCGGCGTCGCGCGCTCCGCCGCCCTCCTGCGCTGGCTCTGGTCCACCTTCGCGGCCGTCGCCGGCGACCAGCCCTCCTTCGAGTCCTGGCCCTCCGCCTCCGCTGCCGCCGCCTCTTCTCCTTCGGTCGACCCCGACGCCGACCCCGCCCTCGCCGGCCACGCCCTCCACGAGATCCTCCTCGCCGGCTGGGGCTGTCCCGTCGGCGAGCTCTTCGACCTCGAGGCCCTCGCCGCCCACTGCCGCGCCGAGCGCCGCTGGAGCTTCTTCGTCGCGAGCGAGCCCTGCAACGTCCCCGGCGGCGTCGCGAGCCCGCCCAACGTCCTCGCCATCTTCTGAGCCTCGACCCCCTCCTGCTGCTTGGGACAGCCAGGAAGGGAAAGGAAAATAGGGAGGGAAGAAAAGGGGGGAGTAGAGTGAGGTAGATCGCACGTCCGTCTACCAGTTCCGTTTAGGTTTCGATACTTGCCGCGTTATGGCTCGGCGCGTACTTAGCTGATTACGAGTGCGATATGGGGGCACGAAAACAAGGCCGGCTGGTTACGCCGGCAGAAGGGGGAGCGATAGGTATGCGTGTCTGACTGATAATAATTGCCCATAGCTATGGTAAACTGCAAGGCCTACAACACGATACGACCTGTGCTCCGTCCACAACGGAAAGCCAACATGTACTAGTAAGTCGATGACACGAAAGCGTTATTGAGGCCGTGACGTAGAGAGCATAGCACAACAAAGAGCAAGTAGCATAGCGTGTTCGGAAGGCTAGCACCATATCTCAAGGCGTCTAGCTCGGTTTTCATTAACGGTCTACCCGGTATCGTATGCGACACACCGTTTCTTCACCGTACACGTAGTTTTCGCCTACATAAGCAAACAGTCCCTGAAACTGTTTTCTTTTCTCTTGCTCGAACCCATCCTTTCCGGGGGGCCTCCTCTTTGCGCCTCGAAAGGATCCACCTCTAGACTCGACCGACAACGACTCAAAGCACCGCCAAAATGCTAACCTCGACAGGATGTTTGGATCTACTAGGCCAAGACAACTAAACTAGCCAGCACCGCTGCGATAAACGGAAACATCGACTCGATAGCCAGTTGCTATTTGAACGCTTAGATTGTGTTGTCTCCCCGGGCCGCATCAACGCTTCCGGTCGCTAGCTAGACGTTAGTGGAGAACAGCCACGGGGCGGGCAAATTATGACACTCACGTGCTGAGCCTCCTAGATAGAGTCTGTAGCTTCTTATCGTTATCGGCCTCCCGAGAGGCTCGCTCCAGCGCCTGCTGTCGTTCTTCCTCCTGTACTCTCACCACTTCTTCGTGACTTGGCGGCAGTCTTTCGTTTTGTATGTCGACTTTCCTGGCATCCTCGAACGTCGTGATAGCGTTCTTGATTCCCTCGGCTCCCAGCATTAGAGTTCCTGCCGGTAGCCGTCCGCCGGAAACAGTCTTGAGCTCCGTGACCTTCTCCGACTCCTCTCGCAGTACCTGGAATACTCTCGACAGCCTGCCGATGGCCAAGATCTTGTTCTTGATAGCTCGTCGCTTATACTCGATCGACTCCGGATCCGCGAAGGGTCCGGTGAGCGGAGGCGACTGTGGACCTGGCGATGCAGACATGGGCGTTTCCTCCTTGAGCTCCTCCTCGGAGCAGGTGCTCAATATGGCGATCAGCATATCAGTAATCTTCTCGCCTACGAAAGGCAACGACCAGGTGAAGACGTCCATAAAGTTGGGAAGCCAGTACGGGTGCGGCGTGCAGTTGAACTGCCTGATGTTCATCACGTTATTCTCGTACTTGAGCACCGCCGCCTTGTTGTTATAGACGTCGAGGTAGTTAGGTGCAGAGAAGATGGTCATGACGCTCGGGAAGCCTGTAGTCCTCGTCTTGCGGTACATCCGGTATCCAGCATCTTGCGCCTCGTGGGCTCGGATGATGGAGAGGAGGTTATTTTTCTCTAGAAACGCGCACGCTGCGGGATAGGAGAAAAAATATGAGCAACCGCGCACGTGGTTATGCATGAAGTACTCATTGGTTTTCTCCTGGCCGAAATCTTCCAGAGGATCGGCCCAGAGGATGTCGCACATCAAACCTTGAGTTGGTGGCTCCCGGAACCGGTCAATCTGTTTTATTTTTCATTCGTTCGTATTAGTGCCTACTTATAGCCCGCGGCGACGGCAGAATCGAAGGATGTTGTGCGAAGGCCTACATTTTTCAGGTCATCCAGCGTGTGTAGCTCGGGGCTCAGCCCCCCGTGGATGCAGAGGAATTGCTTGTTCATGACAGCAGCGAGCGGGAGGGAGCAGAACGATTCCATGCATGCTTCGTAGATAGCCTCAGAGTACTTGTGCTTGCATTCGAGCTTAAACGTGAAGTAGTCGGTAAGATGACGGCACTCGTGGTTCCCACGCAGGAGCCAGAGCGTCTTCGGGTAGTGAATCTTGAGCGACCACAGGTATAGCACGCATTCAATGCTAAAATAGCCTCGATCAACATAGTCGCCGAGGAAGAGATATCTAGTTTCGGCCGGGTCCCCACCAACTTCGAAAAGCTTCATCAAGTCGTAGTATTGACCGTGGACATCGCCACACACAGTTATCGGGGCATCCATCTCGAGCAGGTTAGGTTCGCTCCGCAAGAGCTCGGTGCCCGTCTTGATAATCCATAAGGCTTGTTCGTCCGTCAGCCGGCCCTCGCGGTAGAAGTGCTGCTTCAGGAAGGCGATGTCAGGCTTGGTACGAGTTTCGTCGTGGAAGAACTGCTCGTCGGTGGGCTTGAATGTAGCGGGCGCCTGGACATCTACCGTGGTTGGTTGGTCGGTTGGTCAGTCTTCCTTTTTTATTTCTTTTCCTCCTCGCCCTATTCTCCAAATGGCGGGGTAGGCGAGAAAGGAGAGATGACAAGACAGGGCATATATATGTATACACACACGCATACAGGCGCGAGCGTATTTGGCCGCGTGGGGGGATAGACGGAGAGGTAGACGGAGAGGTAGACGGGCGGAGACATACCTTTGCAGACCCGTTCCATCGTGCTGACTTGCGTGCCATCCTCCATGGTGTGGATGCTAAAGTCGATCTCCGGGAGCGGCTTCTTCTCCTTGATAGCGCGGATGGCATTGTCGACCTGGATGTTGCGCTGTCTCTCCACAGAGGGAGGGAGGGGCGCCTGGTCGTCGCCGGCTTCCATGGTGGGCGATGATGCGCCTTCGGCTACGGGGGACTCGTAGGGCTGGCAGCGTCCAGTAGCAACAGTCGAGCGGGATAGGAGTACCCAAGACGTTGGCGAAGGCAACAGTCAGCTCGACGATCTATGGGGATCGCGCGCTGGGCGGTGCTCAGGGTGTCGAATGTGGAGAGGAGCAAGTAGGCAGGCAGGCTAATAGGTAGGTAAGGGAGGAAAGTAGGGGGAGGGCGAAGGCAAGCAACGGAGACGACGAGATAAGTAGAGGAAAAAAGGGTCAAGGACTTAGCAGAGGCTTGCTTGCTTAGGAATGTCAGGCTCGGGGTGATGAGGAAAGGCAGATTTAGAGGGACGGATGGCAAGGCACGAATCGGACCGGAAGCTAATGGATGGACGTCCGCCCAATCTGCGCTGCCAACCCCGTACCAAGATATGTCTTAGCCCAGCTGCGCTATAGCTCGCTGGGGCCGTACCTAAGTAGCTTTCCTAATACCGTCTCGTATCTTTGCGCCACGCCGCCGGAGGTTGGGTACCTCGAGCCCTGGATGGCACCGTGGTGGGGGAAGGTACCTAGCGAGTACGAAGATACGGTGAGAGTTGCCGCCTGCACGTGCTAGGTTTGGGGTGGTCCTGGTGTATTGCTATACCTGCATACGTACCTCTAGGTACTATACATGCCTACCTCCTATGTGCATAGCCTCCCTAGAGAGGGTCTGCCGGGTTCCGCAAGCAACCCGCTCAGCCTGAGCCGCTAGCCAGGAAGCCTGGCGGGGAGGGCGCAGGTCCTACACGAGGTTAGGTTCAGTGAACAGCCTGCCCATGCATCATCACCCACCCCCGATGCCACATTCTTTGTTTCCCTACATCGGCTAAGTGCATACCTACCTCACTTCTGGGGTACCTAGGTAGGTATTGGTAGACCGTAATACCGGTATGCACTTACCGCCAATAACACCAGCATCCCTCATCTGTAAGCAAGCCCTTTCGAGATACCTACCTGTCGATTTTCTGGTTTGCAGGCACTGTGTAAATCCGATAGTATTGGTATGTCTTGATCACGTTAAATCAGCTTCGTGGCGAGCTCAGGTAGAACGGTTCGTGTCGTTCCTGTTCCTCGTTGAAATCGGAGAGGACCGGAATTAGTTCATGAAGATTGACACTCGATATTGTTTAAAGAAAAAAGAACTCGTCATCTGAGCACGAGTGTTCTAACAGAACCCGAGACATATATGACCGGCCCTACCCCCACCATGAGGGCCGGAAAGGGGCATGAAAGGGCATCGGAGCAAGATAAGACAAGCTGCTCCAACGAAGCTCCCATCCGGGTTGCCTAAGTGGTACAGTGGCCACTGTCGATTGATGCCGATGCCGGTTGTGTGACACGAAGCATCTGAGGAACTACCTAACCTAGTAGGTAGGTATAGATAGGTACCCTTAAGCTCCCCGGGCTCGCCTACATACCTACAAATATGCAAGTCAGGACTAAGCTCAGAGAGCGGCAAGAGAAGACGTCACATACCCCATCGCAATCTTGCCCTTCGTGAAATTCATAGCCTCGCCGGGGATGAAGTTTAGGATATCGGTACCGGTGAAGCCCGATGAAACCAAGTTGGCGCGCCAACGCCAACCCATTCGACGGCTAAGGACCTGCCTATGCCGACCCTGTGAGCTACCGACACCCCCCCCGCCACACACACACAGATATAATATAGGTGTGTGTATGTAATATATATATATATATATATATAGAGAGAGAGAGAGAGAGAGAGAGAGAGAATGAAACTTATATACGTATGGTGTCCTAAATCAGTTCCTATTGGTTCCTACAGAGTATCAAGAATGGAGGGCATGAAGCCGGACGTAGCTCCTACAGGCATGTTGGATAGGCTCTGCTTATCTCTCGAAGACGAAGTGGAGGCGAAGAGAAAGCCAACGATGGTTATGTCGGTCATGTATTCCGCAATGACGCTCATCGTGGCACATGCAGCTCGGCTATGCAGTCGAATGGGGGGGGGGGTGGCGTATTCTCCCAATTTCGTCGAATGCAATATGCTAGCCTATAACGCGCTTGAGGATCTCTTGCCGGGGGTAGTTAGTATTTCTCCATCTTGAGATAAAATCATCCCGGTTAACTAGAGGCGTAGACACGAAACATTAGCATAGAAAAGCGGTGCCGGCGCGAACTTGACGAAAGCATGAAACTAACTGTAGCCGCCACATATCCGTCGTACTCCGGTAAAGGCGCTTCTGCCATGGAGGACCCGCCAGTTGTCAAACACTAGAAGAGGGTATGTAAGTAGGAATCTTCGTTATACTGAGTACCATTCATGCTTACCCACTAGGTTGCCCGGCTTGAGCTGGAACCAGTATTCCATAGAAGGCCTCGTCAGAATGTTGTTCCACACCCTTGCGGCCCTGTACCATTCCGCCGGTGAGTATTCGGAGTCGAAAGGGACTACTCCACGATCATCATTATTCCACCTAACCCGGTGGATGTCCCCGGTATTTTCGTCTATTTCGAGGACCGGATACAACTTATCAGGAGAAATTGTGATTCCCTTGTTGCCGCTGGCATGCCAAGGTAGCTTGACTCTACTCAGCACCTCGAATGCCTTGGGGTCCTCGGCTCTTAAAATACTGGCAGCGTAGAATCCATCCACAAGCAGTGATTGCCCTCCTAGATTCGAGCTCCCGCCGTCCTTGGTGCTGGGGTCTGTATGCGAGAGAAGATGGAACGCCTGCAATCCAGCCGGATCGGTAAAGTAAGTGGTGTCAGTATGCGCGCCCAAGGCTATGTTGGTATAGGCCGTGTCCGCAAGTGCCAAGTCCGGGATAAAATCGTAGAAGCCACCGTAATGCGTCTGCCTGATAAAAGCAATCTTTTCCAGAAGCTTCTCGGTGAAAGAGGCGGACTCGGTTGGTACGCCCGCCACAAAGGCGAAACCATCGCGTTTCTAGGTACGCTAGTGAGAATGAACGTCTTATCCTCAAGCGGAGTGAGAGATCACCCACGATGAAATCTGTCAAGCGGCCAACCGTGTCGACTTCGTTTGCTACGATGTCCTTGTATTGCAAGGACGGCGGCCAAGCTGAGGAAGGATTTTGCGTTCCCTCTGCGCCAAAATACCTTACTCTAGGGGGTGTAAGTAAGGGTCGAGGAAGGGTCACATCTGGTAAAACGTACTCGACAGGCTCCGGCGCTCTCTTGTCAGACTTTAGATAAAACTCGAGGAAGTCCCAGGGGTAAAAGCTTTCGTGAGCGTCCGCGGACCCTGTGCGAGTGAGCCTACGGTGCTTCCTAGCGCCGTCCGGGAATCACAGAGTCTTACACCGAATCCTGACCCCGTCTTCGTTCGCTTGGACGTGCGAAGGTTGGATATCTTCGGGGATCTAATTCTGCTTTAGCACACAGATTATTGGATTATCGAAGAGACGGCCACGCTCTACTCGCCTCGAACGTGTTGAAGTTTCTCTGCATAGTATCCTGATGGACGCAGCTGGTACACCGGCAATTGTCACTTTGCAACGTGAGTCGCGAAGCCCGTGCACGCCGGCTCTCGGGCGGGATCCACGTACCGTAGCCAGATATTGGGGCTTTCATGGTGTTACCAGCAAGGCCTCAGCAGCAATGCTCAATTTGGAACTATCTACTTACAGGGAGGTCCGCTTAGCATCGCCAACGGCGTCCTGGTAGGAGAACTTGAGTTGGCCAGGCGAGCTTGAGACGAGAGGCTTCACCGCGGTCGTGGCCAGGGTCCTTAGGTGCAGTTGCACGGAATAACTCCAGTTGGGATGAAAGCCGGATGCCCGCCTGTAAAGAATCGTCAACAACGATCCTCGGCCAAGGGGGGCTCTACTCGATCACAGACCTCATAATACGGCGGGCGTATGTGGACATGTCCTGTCCGAGGCCCAGTTTGGAAGACATATCGGCCTATAGGAACAGTGAAGCTGCGAAGGTCCCAATACAGAACCAGACTATTGGGCAGTGGAAGGGATCGTGTAGTAGGAAGGTGATAGGTAGTGGCGGTTGAGAGCATTCGAAGAAGAAGCTTTCTGGCGAGCCGAGGGCGTGATCGATTATCGACCCATCAACTCGCCGGCCAGCCGTTGTACCTGCACAGCTAGGTACCTCGTAGCGCACCTTAGGTACCTAAGGTGCTGAGGGCAGGTCAAGGTCTCTAGGCAGGTATTACCTTAGGTACCTATAAGTGAAACCCGCTCCAATGCCAACTCACCCATTGTACCCGAAATTGGGTACCTAACTAAATTTTGACTAATGTAGGTACCTCCTAAACTTGGCTAACAGGTACCTAACCTTAGTGGGTTAGGTACCTAAACTCGACTCCGCATTCTCACAACGGAAAAAGTTCAGGCATTTTGATATTATAACTACCTACCTTCTTATATGAATGCCTAGGCATATATACAAGGTATCGTAAGAATACGCGAGGAAGCAAGTTGCTTTCGTGAGTTTCCTTATCCCTAATCGGCGCTCTCTCTTAAATATGCTGTAGGCATTAATTACCTAGGTAGGGTTAAGTCTGACCTGGGCTCTCGACCGAAGAACCTTCAAGCTACCTGCTACTGCTTTTACAACCCGTGTTAGCCTACAGCGTCCTTCCCCTTGATCCGAGCATATTGACAATGGCGACCAGGAGTGAGCGCGCGATTGTCTCTGTTGCGCAGAGATTAGTGATTCTACTACGTTCTCATACTATTGGCGCTTGTCTTTATTCCGTGCCGTCGAGATGGTTCCCAACGTGCGACATGCTCATAGAACAGACGCAACGGTTCGGGAGGCATCCGACATGGAATCGATTATATACCCCGAGAGATTTCAAGCGTGTTGAGACTGGCTGTCCCTGGCGAGCTAGCTCCTGCCTAGACATATACCGACATGGCCACGGTATCACCAGAGAGAGCGCATCGGATTGACCTGGAACGAGGCCATGCCGGGCCTAGTCGCCGTTCGAGAACCACCACTTGCGTGCGCTACTTCACTTACAAACTCGTCCCCTTATATGGTGCGCTCCTTATAGCCTTCGCTGTTGGCGCCGTCTTGATTGCGACTCTTGCTTTTGACAAGCCTATGCCTCACGAGGGGACGATTGTGGTGTCCATCCTCGTCGCTCTCTTCCTTCTTCTCTTCAGTATAGGGGGCGCGTATCTCTACCATAAGAAGCATTTCCCACCCCCGACGAAGGGCCAACATGCCGGTGACCGTCCCCCAGAGAACAGTTACTGGAAAGCGAAGACCAAGAGGTTGGGTCAACAACTCCGAGATAAAAAAAACGCTGCTAAAAGATTCGCATGTCGCCGTGATAGTCACATCAGAGCTGAAAGGGCCGATCCCTCGGACACAGAGGGATACCCGGCTAGGTCAGAGGGCGGTGAGGTTCCTCCAATCCGACAACCATCGCAAGAAAGGCAGTACCAGCAGCGGCAGCGGTTGGGGGGGCAGACTCATGGACAGCAGCCCCAGGCACCCCCATCCATAGTGATAAGTGATCAGTCGGGACCAAATTACACCCCAAGCCAAAGGGGCCCTGGACGAACAACCAATACGTCTCAACAGCGCCGCCCTTCTTATACCCCTACTGAGGGTACAATAATGGAGGAGGGAGAAGAAGAACCTCGCTCACCTAGCCGGTCCTCAAACGGCATGGGCGAACCAAGGTCGAGGTTGTCTTCGGATGGAGGAGTAAGTATCTAGTAATTTTTAGGGCTTCGCTGAGTGAGCGCTGCAGCAAATCCCTCCCCTATTCCCGCCTTCGCCCCTATAATAAGAGTGTCTATCTGACTGTCGAAAGGACACACTGCACCCGTTGACACAACACCCGGTGTTGTCCGGGCATCGCGTCGCTGGGATGACCGTGAACTCGCGAGCCCCGTGCCGCCCGCCCGTGGATAATGCGCCGCCCGGCCATCAGGGGCGTTCCCAATCAACACATGACACCATGGCAAACCATCAGGAGCTCAACGGAACTAGGGTTGAGGTCCCGCCCCCATCACTCCGGGCGCCAACTGCGTCTCCGCGAGCAGGATGGCTGGAGCCGGAAATGGGACAATGCCGCGCCTTCGTGGCGCGCATAGAGCACGACCGGTTGCTGGAACTCGCCGACGAGATTTCCTACAAGAACCTCCCGTGCATGACAGCGAAGGAAATACGGGCGGCTAAAATCGGGGGACGGAGCCTGCGCCACGTCGTGAACAAGAACACAATGCCAGAGAACATCCCCGGACAAAACATAGACGGATTGTCGAAATATAATTGCCTTCACGTTAGACGAGGACGGCGCGGACCCGGGAAAAAGGGGAACAGGACCTCGTTCGCTCGTGCGAGAGGGAGCCTCCCTAGGACCCCCTCCATGCCGAAACCGCCATGCCCCGCTGCCAAGAGTGTCGCCGGAAACAGTGAAGGAGACCGCTGCTCCTTGCCGTCTGCCCAGCGCTTCCAGGCCCTGCGGAGGAAGCGCAAGCATGAACGGTCTACCCCCGGTTTCTCAACGGGTCTCGCGGCGGCAGCGGTAGCGGCAGCTGCGGACGAACATGACGGGGAAGGAAGAGGGGAAGGAGAAGGAGAAGAAGAAGAGGAAGAAGAAGCAGAGGATACGAAGCACGCGCCTAGCGAGACACCTCCTCACCCCTCCCCGCCCTCGGAACCCACGCAACCGCGCCGCTACGGCCATCTTTCTCCCTCCCCGTCTTCCTCGCTCTCTTACTCTCCTTTTTCTTCGCCCTCCTCTTCGCTCTACTCTTCGGCGTCTGTCTCACCCTCGCCCCCGCTCTCACCACCACAACCAGTCGCCGCGCCCCCGCGGCGCGCCCGCGGACACGCGGGGTTCCATGGCTGCCGCTGGTGCCATGCCTACCCACACTGCTCATACCTCTACTCGCACTGCCTATACCCCTGCCTCTCCTTCTACGCCGATCCGAGCCGCGGCCGGGACGAGCTGCCGCCGGAGTGGGTCCCGCCGCGCAAGAGCAGTGCCACGCAGGCTTCGTGGCTGGGCTCGCTAGCGACGAGTGCGGGGCTGCGCGGGGTAAGTGTTGGTACTAACAACAACACCTGCTGCTGCAGTAGCGGCTAGGGTGTATCAGAAGACTGGCGTTACGGGACATACGAGGACAGTAGTAGGTACGGCTACGGCTGGCGTTTGGCACGGAGTGAGGAGAAGAGGGGTAGCACGGAGGAAGTGGACGCGAAGGGGAGGCGATGATGCTATGTAAGAGAGTCAAGCCATAAGCAAAAACAGGAGTTGAGCATCTTGAGTCTAGGAATTCTAAAGATCGTGACCTGCTGCACAGGCACCACACCACCATGAGGACGGGTATCGTCATGTTGAAAAAAAAAAAAAAGAAACTGGAAATAGGCCCAACTTCTGAATTATCATCTTTGCCTCGATATTCAGCGCGCCTACCTTCTGTGTGTACGCTCCACAGCGTGGCGATAGTCAGGGCCCTATATATATTATACGTTGAGAATACGGTGCTCAGACACCGAGGAGCCTGTTCCAGAGGGAGGTTGCGGTCCTGACGGGCTGCAATGGCGGCGGGGACAAGATCACTGTATTCCACTTATCCACGCCGTCGATATATATGGTATAGTTTAGACGGCTCTGCTCGCTCTCCGCTTGCTTCTCGATGGTGACGGCGCCAAACTTGGAGTTGCCCACATTTATGTATCTGCCCACGTTAGTACATCCGCCCACTACGCGTGCGAATATCCTCATATAACTTACTGGAGCTTAACATCCTCGTCGTCTGTCTGTTTATAGGTGCCGATGGGCGAATAGAACTGATTTAGAGGGCTTGCGGAGAATTCGTGGACTGTAACGGCCTCAGTCCACTCGCTGTCCTTGGGCGGCGGAAAAGCAGTCGCGCCAAACTCGTGTCGATCACCGGACAGAATCACGACACCGACTCCGAGGTTACCGGCGTCCCACATTGCTTCTAAAATCTTTCGACGCTCGGAAAGGAATCCACCCCAAGTGTCGCGGGTGTTCACCCGCCAATTCTTGGTGAATGGGACGGAGCTGGCAATAATCTTCCACTTCACTCCCTTGAGTTCGGGGCGGTGAAGCCAGTCGAGTAGATCTCCAAGTTGCGTCTCACCGAGCATCGTCTTGTTCGGACTATCGAACGGCTCGGAATTCTTAGAGCGATAGGTCCGAGTGTCGAGCATGAAGAAGCTGGCTGGGCCCTGCGTAAACGAGAAGTAACTTGCTTCCTTACGAGGCAGGAGACCTGAGCTTCCGGCCCTCTTCGCGGGCGGGGGGTTAACCTTGGTTTGATAATGATGCCACGGGTCCGCAGCCGCTTGATATATGCCAGTCGAGTTCGAGTCCCAGTCGTTAGAGATCTCGTGGTCGTCAAGCACGTGAATCCAGCTGAGGTTTTGGCCTACGGCGGGCCAGTCGGGAGAGGCGTAGACTTGGCGGTACTTCTGACGGTAGTCCTCGATGGAGTCGCCAAACCGTTTAGGCACGTCGATGTAGATAAAATCGCCGAGGAATAACATGAATTGGGCGCCCAAGTTCGGCAGAACCTTAGCCAGGTGTTTCATGCCGGGGAAAGCTAAGGGGTGGTCCATCGGGTTGTAGGGAAGTCGAGGAACGATGCACGAAGTAGACACGAAAGTAAATTTGCCATCGAATAGGTCCGGCATGGTCCCCGGCTTTGGGGCGGCTGTGAATTCGCCCGAGTGGTTGTTCGAGGTGGTCCACTCGTACACACGCTGCTTAGAGTGGCTCAGGGGAAAGCTGACCACTGCAGTATAATCGGTTTCGTTGGTGGTACGGCTTACGCCGCCAACGGTCTGCCAAAGAGGATTGTCAAACGGCGGCTTGGCATCCTTGATATGAATCCGAACCGTAATAGGCATCTTGGACTGGTCCGGCTCCCTAATCAACAACTTCGCCTCCGTGTCCGAAACGTACCCGACGCGGGCGAACGAGAGGTCATGGCTGGGATGGAATCGCGCGGGCGAGTAGACCATGTCGGTGACCATCAAGACACACGCAATATTGATTAGGAATGTGAAGACGGTCAGGAGAAGGCTGTTGGGGCTCGGGATTCCCTTTAGCAGGGTGACGATAGGACTCGGTTCTCTGGGCACGACTGTTGCGATCTCCTCTACGTCAACCTCCTCAACTACAACGGGCCCGTTTGCATTTCCATCGGCAATATCATCCTGGTTTACCACTTCTTCCCTCACTTCGACGTTGGCTGAGTCGATAAGCGCGTATCGGGATTCGGTCATGTAGCTCGAGATGAAAGTTGGGGCGTAGATTACGAAGAGGGTGTATATTAACGGAATAAAAGGCTATAGGCGCATATCAGTGTGAGGGAGGCGGCGCGGGCGAGGATCGCAAGGCTCGCGGCGACTTACGGGTACGGCGGCCTAACCCGTATTAGCGAAAGAGATGGCAGACGTAAGGGGGGGTAGCTCTTACGTATCGAAGGAAAATAAAGGAAGTAATTCTAATAGCTGCGGACGTGATCGCCGCGATATGAGTGGTAGGTTTCTCCATCGTCAACGACGTCGACTTTTCGGGATAGCAACTTGAATAGATGGGCGCAAAGGGGGAAGCAGCTGGGTCCTGGCCGCGGGTTCAAAGAGCTGTTCGTCAGGGCCTCGCCAGGCTGGAGCAGGGAGGGTGTGTCGATGAGAGGATAGCCTAGAGGTCAGAAGACAAGTAAATGATAGGAAGAAGCGAAACGGGATAGTGGTCTCAGTAGTCTCAGCAGCTGAATGCCCTAGAACGGCGTCACGGACCGGGCATGAGAAACGGAAGCCATCTAGGTACCTGATCAGGCTGGAGATCCGATGCTCTTTTTTTTTCTGGATGTAGGAATGTAGATGATAAGAGGAGGTTTAGGTAGGCTACGTCGCAAGCTCCCGGTTGTTTGTGGGCAGATGTTCGGTGCAGATTTGGGATGTGACGACAACGATCAGCTACATGCGCATTGCGTGGCTGGAGCTTCGACGGACGACAACCAACAGGTACTACGACACCTGGGCGTCATGACAACATCTTCCAAGCTAGCAACATACCGGGCGTCATGGAGGGAGCACCTCGGCGGAGAGCGAGCGCGGAAATATCTTGGCATCGTGTTATCGATCCAATTAGAGCATCCTGATTACCTACCTAGGTACCTACCTACATTGTCCCGGGTCGTTACCTCGACGAAACCTGCTGAATAGGTACCTGGTACCAAGTCGCCCGGCCCCACACCTGCGTCGATCCAATAAGGCGGATCCAAGGTCGGCAGGTCGGACCCGATGGGTCCCATCCGATGTACTCATCCATCTACACGTACGTACCCTCATGAACGAACGGACGCACGGGCCGAAAAATAATCCGCGCCATCTAGCGTCCCAAGGAGCAGAACGCCTGGGCGTTGCGGTTGGTGGATGTGCACCTGAAGCCTCTCGCGACAAGCTGTCCAGAAATCCTGACAAGCTTCGTAATCCTAAGTTGTGCGAAACAACACAACAATGAAGTCCACGCTTTACTCGGTCGGGCTCTTCGCCTGCCTCGCATCCCTGGTGTCTGCTACCGCTTTAACTTACAAGATCTCTGCCAACGAGAAGGCCTGCTTTTTTGCCGCCCCAGAGAAGCAAGGCGCCAAGGTCGCATTCTACTTCGCTGTACGTCTCTGCGCATCTCCGTACTCGTGGCCTAGGCTAACCGGCTCTCCTCGCTTCAGGTGCAATCCGGGGGCTCTTTCGACATCAACTACGAGGTGACCGGCCCTGGAGGCAAGGTCATTTTGGATGGGGAGAAGGAGCGCCAGGGCGATTTCGTCTTCACGGCCAACGATGTCGGAGAATACAAGTTCTGTTTCGATAATGACATGAGCACCTACTCGGAGAAATTCGTCGATTTCGAGATTTCCGTGCGTATTCCCCTTGTTGGCGAGAACCGCATACCCAAATCTGTGTTCTGACCCCTCGTCTGCAGGTCGAAGATGAAGAGCGCGCTCAGCTCCCATCTAAGCAAGGATCGACTCCGGAGCAGACCACCGTCCTCGAAGAATCTATATATAAGATCTCAGGCCAATTGTCAACCATCGCGCGGAATCAGAAGTACTTCAGGACGCGAGAGAACAGGAACTTCAGCACCGTCCGAAGCACCGAGTCTCGAATCGTTAACTTCAGCTTGGTCCAATGCGCCATGGTGGTTTGCATGGGCGGTCTACAGGTCTTCGTTGTTCGATTCTTCTTCCAGGTAGGTACCGAGTCGGGCCAGGCTGAGATCTGCGCTAATTTTGTCCTTAGGGCGCACGGAAAGGCTACGTGTAAATGGATTCGAAGCATCACGGATGGACGGGTTTTGCGGCGTATTGGAACACCGGTGGGCGTGGTGTGGGTAGCCAACACATTATGTATATATCATTGAAGGCAAAACAGGGTGGGATTTTTGAGCTGACCTATAGCCATGACTTCCTTCCATGAGCAAGTGATAAGAAACATTTACGAATATAAAAATTTATCTGTTACGGGATTTTTCATGTCCAACAGCCTACCTAAGTCGTAGTACGGTGGAGTGAATTCGTGACAGATCTAGACAGCATCATTCATAGTTGCAAGGGTCCCTTATGTAATCTGTGGCGTAGTCGACCCCAGCCACAGTTAAAATCAGTACGTACCTAAGCTTGAGTTGCCCATGCGCCGAAGTTTTTGGTAGCGATTTCACCCTCATGTACCATCCCGTACCTGCACACCACTCGCGTCTCGTCCATCATCTTCATCTAAAAATCCTTCCACCTCAACCTTCGACAACATCGACGCCGCTACTCGAGATGGCTGCTTCTCTGGCAGCTGCCCTGCCGAAGCCTAAGTACACGGGCGAGGACGAAGAAATCCCGGCGTACGCCCAACAACGCGGACCGAGAATTGTTGGAGCCGGCCAAATTGACGAGTCGCAGATTGTTCTCCGAAGAACCGGCCCACCGCCGTATGGGCAACGAAGAGGATGGCGTCCGCGAGGCCAGGAGGATTTCGGCGATGGTGGCGCGTTCCCCGAAGTACCCGTCGCCCAGTACCCTCTGTCAATGGGGAAGGAATCCAGTACAAGCAATGCACTAGCCATCCAAGTTGACGCTACTGGCAAGGTGAAATACGACGCGATCGCGAAACAGGGCCATAGTGAGGGAAGGATAATCCACTCGTCATTTAAGGACCTGATACCGCTCCGGCAACGCGCAGATGCAGGCGAGATCACCCTGGACCGGCCGAGCGAGGAGCAGGTGGCGGAAACGACAGAACGGACGAAGAATGCGCTCGCCGCGCTCGTCAGCGGCGCTGTGGCGGCTCAGAAGCCTAAGAATGTCAACATCGGTCAGCGGAAGGATCCCACGTTTGTGCGCTACACGCCGGCGAATCAGATGGGAGACAACTCGAAGAAGCAGGATCGCATCATGAAGATCGTAGAAAGGCAGAGGGATCCCAGTACGTATATCCTAGGGACTGCTGTATTCCATGCCACGGGGCGCGTATAGGAACGATAAGTGTCGGGCAACGGACACGCTACGGCACCAGAGATCCTTAAGAGAGGTTGTTTACTAACTTGATACTCTACAGTGGAGCCGCCCAAGTTTAAGCACAAGAAGATTCCTCGAGGGCCTCCTAGTCCACCACCGCCCATCATGCACTCGCCGCCACGGAAGTTGACCGCCGAAGATCAGGAGATGTGGAAGATCCCGCCCCCGGTATCTAACTGGAAGAATCCCAAGGGATTCACAGTTCCTTTGGACAAGCGATTGGCTGCGGATGGTAGAGGGTTGCAAGATGTGACTATCAACGACAAGTTTGCGCAGTTCTCTGAAGCACTATTTATGGCGGACCGACACGCTCGCGAAGAAGTCCGACAGCGAGCGCTCATGCAACAGAGGCTTGCGGAAAAGGAGAAGGCACAGAAGGAAGAAAACCTACGGATGCTTGCGCAGAAAGCCCGAGAAGAACGTGCAGGCGCCTCCAAACGCCGGGACTCTCGCACATCGCGCGATTCCCGATCGCGGTCACGTAGCTACAGCCACTCCGATTCAGGCTCGGACAGCGACTCGTCGGAGGTTCGGGAGAGAGAAAAGGCGCGTCAAGAGAGGCGCCGGGAAGAGGAGCGGAAACTTCGCCAGTCTCGCATGGGCGCGGAAAGGCGAATCCAGGTCATGGCACGAGAGCAAAACCGCGACATCTCGGAGAAGATCGCTCTGGGGCTGGCAAGACCGACGCAGCAGGCCGAATCCATGTACGACTCACGTTTGTTTAACCAATCCAGCGGTTTCGACAGCGGCATCAACGAGGACAACCCGTACGACAAGCCGCTATTCGCAGCGCAAGATGCGATTAGTAGTATATACCGTCCGAGCCAGAACACGGACGAGTACGACGACGAAGGGGCGGGAGACCGGGAAATGGCCAAGATCCAGAAGACGAGCCGCTTTGGCGAGGTCCTAGGCAAGGGGACGTTCAAGGGGGCCGGCGATGCTGAGGTCAGTGCTGCTCCCATTCCGGTACCTATTTACGCTGACTAATTCGAACCACAACCCAAACAGGTGCGAGAAGGACCGGTGCAGTTTGAGAAGGATGGCGCGGGCAACGATCCATTCCAGATGGACAAATTTATGGCCGAGGTCGACCAGAGCTCGTCGTCGAAGAGAGGCTACGGGCTGCAGGAAGGAGAGTCTAGACAGCCGAAACGTGCCCGAGTCGAGGACGACGACTGAAGAAGAGCCACCACGGTCACGGTTCGAGAGCGGTTCCTATGGTGGTTGGTGGGGCGCATGCTGGCATAGTTATTGGCGAGGTGGATGGCGAGGCGGATGGATAGGGAGGCCGTCTGACCGAGGAGAGAGAGGTGCTGTCTTCATCTGAAGACGTAGCCGTACCTGACCGACCTGCCTTACTGATGTCTATAGACGGGGCCAGGGGTATCACCCAGCAGACGCTCCGTAATTATGTACACTTCCATTCTGTCCTTATATGTCTCGTCACCGGAGTAATTTCTTTCGAAGGATACTTCCCCGGCGCATGGGTTCTCCTCGTCGCGAAGCCATCGAATTGTGTAAACTCAACTCTCGCCGTCCGCTTCGTCTCGTTTCACGCCGTCTCTAGTTGCCCGAGGGCCGACCTGGCACGGCGCCCAGAAGTGCGGATCCGCCGGTTGGGTGCATACTTGCAGTGTGCTCTGGCGATAACACGAGGTTTCGGTCTTGGCACATCGCCGCATGGGGACAAGCTGATCCAGTAGGTGAACCCGACACGTTCTGGTTTTATATGCATGCGTGGGTTTATATGGGGAGGGGGGTTGTGATTCGGAAGATACCTAGCTAATCGACGGGCCAGAAGGGGCCGTGCCTAGCTTAAATCCATCCGAGGGGCGACGGGATCGTACTACATAGGTAGTACCTACATAGCTACCTACCTCATAGCTACCTGCCCATCTACGCATCACACGTGAAGCCCGACTACTTCTCCCCATCTCTCTGCATGGCCCATCTACATGATGCGTCAGGTACCTCACCTAGTAGTTGCGCTGGGCCTCCCGCGCCTTGGGCAGGGTACCCAAGGTCTTATCGTCACCTAGTCGACAGGACGGGAGGGCGTTCTGCTAGTTTTAAGACATCTCTTATACGCTCTCCGTCTCAAGAATGCCGAGCTCGCACACACAGCCCGATGCGACACAGAACGACCCATGGAAAGGCTTCCGTCACCACTCGCATGCACACACAGGGCCGTGCACATACAGAGATATATGGTGACAGTGCCTATGTGACAGGGAATAGTGAACACCTATCCACCCTTAGGGAATGCCGTGGGCATCGTCTCCTGTCGTGAGCACCGTACGAGCGAGACCAGCATCACTGCCACCACCCGTTCGGCACTGGAACGGGCCTAACGTGGAACTCACAACGCGTCAGCTCTCTCTATCTCTCTATTCCTCTCTCTCTCTGCGCCTGCCTTTCCGTCGGCTGGCTAATGGCGGGATATTATGGGAATGTCGTCGGCTTTTCTCTTTTCCTTTTCCTTTCCTTTTCTCTTCACTTTTCCTCCCTTATTAGCATAAGCCCAGGTGCTCTACCTGCCCGCCCTCGTATTTATACGTAACTGTGTGAATACTTATCGGCTCTCGGGTTTTTTTTTTCGTTGACGCCGAAAGCAAGGTTCGAAGCCGCTGCGTGTACGTAAAGATAGTGTCAACTTCTCCTCTATTATCTACCCTCCGCCTCTCGACAACAGCAGCAACATCGGGTCCTCCTCCGTGCAACTTTCTAGGACCACCAATGCTACCATCATTCTAGGCAACAGACTGCGTGAAATCCAACCGCGCAGCTGATTGGTCTGGTATCCCTGGGCAGGTCCCCTCGCTTATACGCGATACCAGTAGTCTTCTACTCTGGTAGTATATCATCGTTCTCATCACACACGACCCATCGGAACCACTCTGCAGCCCTATCTGCACGACCGCATTTCGGACGTAAAAGCGATCCTGAGGCACAGCAGTTAGTCCGCCCTCGCCCCAGCTAGTCCGCTTGCAGCCAGGTCTCGCCGGGACCCTTGGCTTGACGAACATATCAACGCCGAGCCCTGTAGCACCTATCATAGATATAAATATGGGCTGGGAGGACACGGCCGCCCTGCCCAAGGCTGGGCCGGCTACTACCTTCGAAGTCAGGGACGCGAACGGTCCAGTCAACTTCGTAACCCACCCATCACCGTACCACCACTTGAAGTTGTCGGGAGACGATATTAACATGGCTTCCGATGGAGCCGACGGGCCCTGGTGGAATCCGAGGTACTGGCGGAAGAGAACGTGGGCTATAGTCGTCGGTGTCCTCGTCGCTATCATCATCGTCGCCGTTGTGACCCCGATCGAGGTCGCCAAGAGGAATCGTTATCCGGATTATTATAGGATCGATTACGCACTGGCTGACGAATGTGAGTCCTCTCGGGTTCCACCTATCTACCCACCTGCCCAGTTGCTACCAGCAGTGCCGTCGCAACATGCTATAATAATCTTCGTCTTCATATCCCGGGTTGACACTGACCTTCCTTCTTCCTAGATTCCGGGACTACCTTTTTCGACCAGTTTAATTACTTCGTCGGCTACGACCCCGCGCAAGGGTTCGTCCACTACGTCCCGCGCGAACAGGCGACGCAACTGGTACGTGCGGCGGCATCCCCCGGTGGCTCCCCCTCCCGCAACGCATCTGCAACGCATGCAGTCCCAGCACTGACGTCCTTTTTATCCTAACCGTGCAGAACCTCACGTACGCGAGCGCCGACGCGGCAATCCTACGGGTTGACACGAGCGTGGGGCCGGGATCGGAGCCGGACGCATCGACGGGGCGATTCTCGGTACGGTTGGAATCAAAGAGGCAGTATGACACGGGGCTCTTCGTGTTCGACGTTCGACACACGCCGTTCGGGTGTGGGACGTGGCCGGCGCTGTGGCTCGCAGACCCGGTTCACTGGCCGGACAACGGCGAGATCGATGTACTCGAGGCGGTCAACCGTGCGGACACGGGGAACCAGATGACGCTGCACACGACGGCCGGCTGCACGGTGGATGCGCGACGCATCATGACGGGCGAGTCTCTTGCCACAGACTGCCACAACGCTACTGACAACAACGCGGGCTGTGGCGTGCGCGGGCCCGTCGACAGCTATGGCACCGCGTTCAACGCTGGCGGCGGCGGCGTCGCCGCAGTAGAGTGGCGCGCCGAGGGCATCCGCATTTGGCAGTTCCCCCGCGACAGCATCCCCGCCGATATCGCCGCACGCCGCCCCGACCCCAGCGCCTGGGGCTCCGCCTCGGCCGACTTCCCCAACACGAACTGCGACGTCGGCGCGTATTTCCGCAACCAGAGCATCATCGTCAACATCGACCTATGTGGGCAGTACGCCGGGTCGGTGTACAGCCAGAGCGGCTGTGAGTTCTTTTTTCTTTCGCTCCCCCTCCGTCTCCCCTCCCCCTTTCCGCTTCCCCTGGGTATAGTGAAGCAGGCGGAGATAGACCGCAGCAGTACTAACCGAAGGGGCAACGACTTTCCAGGCCCGAGCAACTGCACCGACTTCGTGGCCAACAACCCGCAGGCCTTCACCGACGCGTTCTGGGAGTTGGGCGCATTCGAGGTATACCAGCGCGCCTAAACGTGCTTCTTACCGCTGTGGCCCCTTTCTGGAGTCTGAAGGGAGGAGCTCGACGAGAGGGAAAAGGAGGAGGAAGCATCACGCAGACCAAAAAAAAAATACCTCTCAGGTTTCTTACTACGGCCAGTCGACGGCCCACTTGTATAGTGACCTAGTATAATAACCCCCTTCCCCGAGCGCACCTAATTAGCGCCGCCACCGAGTAGGCCAAGCGCGGACTGAGAGAAGATATGGCTAGGTAGTCGAGTGTCTGTCTAGTCCCGCGAGTTGGATCTCGGTCGCGGTACAGCGTACTTACTAGGAGATACGACGTTGTGGCGTAGTTGCGGATTTTTGTATGCACGGGACTGGACGGGAGGGACTGGACGGGAGGGACTGGACGAGAGGGACGGGCGGGACGGAATGACTTTTTACGAGCGTCGTGGGGGCCCGACGGAACGAGATCGACGGATGGACATGAGGATAACAAGTAGCTCATTGTCTACTGCTACACGACTACCAATACTGGATGAAGAATAGAATTAATTGCTCAGCGACGCGATGATGATGCCCACAGGGCTTGGGGGGGGTTTTTTTCTGGCGTCGCTCGGGACTTGTTCGGCGAATGTTTATCTCCCTATCGAGCCGTGTATTAACCCACATGTGCTTTTGCCCCCGTCGTGAGCCGCACGGTTTCGAGCAGTCCGAGAACATCTAATCGAATCTGACGTCGCGTCGATGGCAACCGTATCGATATGTGTACAGCTTCAGCATTTCTTCCAGCAAACTCATCTCCCTTTGCCCAGTGCCGTCTACGGAAGTATGTACTCATACACATACCTCCAAACCATCCAAAGTTCGTGTCCTAAGCGGAGAATGTGTGTGCCCCCGTACTTTGACCTCTTCCCGCCCTCTCGTCTATAGATTCGTGGAAATCCGTAACGCCGTGATGCTATGCAGCCTACCGACCCAATGCTAGCCATATAGAAAAGCGAAGGGGGTGAGGTGACCCGCTTCGAGTCCGCAGGAAAGGAATATTCCGTACTCGTACAACGCCGCCCCGCCTCTCTTGGTTTGCCACCAGGGGCCCTCCTCTCGCTGTCTAATCGTCCCTCGGCTGGCGCAGCCAGGCGTCGATGGCGGCGCTGAAGGCGGCGAAGGCGGCGCAGCCACCGGCGACGGCGGCGGGGCCGCCGTTGCGAGCGAGGATGCCGCCGGTGAGGCAGCCGGCGGCGGCGCCGTTGAACATGTCGTTGCGGGCGCGGTAGCCCTCGATGCCGCACTCGATGCCGGCGAACATGAGCCCGACGAGCCCGAAGTTCTTCGCCGTGCTGTACGACCGCGACCCCATGTCCTTGAACCCGATCTTGAGCTGCTGCCGCAGCGGCAGCGACGTGATCGCCTGCGGCGCGGCGCCGGGCGTGCCGGGTGGCGCGCCCGGCACCGGGGTGTGGAAGGGTGTGTCGTAGGCCATCTATAGGGTGGGGTAGACGGGCAGGAGGGGTTAGTAAGTAGTAAGTAGGGGTGATAGAGAGATGGGATAGGAGAGAAAGGGGGTGAGGGGGGGGGTTCACGCACGGACGCCATGAACATGCCAAATAGACCGCCCATGCCGAAGCCCATGACGCCGGAGATGGCGGCTTTGCCGAAGCAGGACTCCATCATCGCGTTCAACTAGTCGGCAGGCGGTCAGCAATCGGTCGGCCTCCACGCCAGCGTCGGGCGGGCCCGGAAGATAGGCGCGGACGAACTCTCTTGATGTTCGGGTCGTTGGGGTCGTATTGCGAGGACCCATTCGGGGCGGCGGGGCCCGCTCCAGCTCCGGGCAAGCCGTTCATCTTCTCGGCCCTTCCTCTGCTCTTATCTCTGCTGGTCTAGGGAAAGGGAATAGTAGGCAGGTAGGTACGCTGCACGCCGCCGAAGCGCTATCGGTTCTCGTATCACTGCTGCTGCGTAGAGATGGATGACGGTTCTGGAATCCGATAAAGGAATCGATAATCAAAAAGAGCAATAATTAGGTATTTTCTGCCGCCTGCGCCCGCCTGACAGTTTGAGCTAGGTAATTGTGAAAGCGGAAAGTGGGGGAACCAGCCCCCGTACCTGCGCCGCGCATCCGGACCTGCCCCGCGTCCCTTTTTTTTTTTTCTCGTGCGTTTTCTTCGGTTTCTCTGGTTCGCTGGTGCAAGCTGCGACCTGCATTGGCCCGCTTTCCGTCTGCTTATTGGGGTCAACCTTGAAAAAAAGCAGAGAGGGAAAGCACAATCGAATCGATAATTATCCTATCAGCAGGCTCAACGTAACGGGTTATGTAGGTACCTACCTCTAGGTACTTCCACAGACGGTTCCGACGCCCTACCTAAAGTACCAACCTGATACAGTACACAGTACACGATATACGCCTGACCCCACAGCGGCTATGAGTAGAAAGAATAGTAGCAGACGGACCCCTCACGGACTACAGGTGAGGTACCTGCTACCTGGACCTCCTAGCCAACCTACCTGCAGTGGGATAGGCCAGAGGTAAGAGGTAGGTATGCGCAACTCACGATCCGCGGCTTATCGCTGCTGTCCGTAACAACTACAGACGACTTCCACCCGCTCCCTAGCGTTGTCGTTTGCTACCTCCTGCCTGCTTGCCAAGGCTGGTAGCCGGGGAGCCAATGACGGCACACGGTCTGGTCGATAAAGATTTTTTTTTTCTTGCCAATCAGATTACATTTCTCGATCCCAGATTCTCTATCCTCGCATACAAATATCGGAGGTCTCAGCTGTCCTACTCAACCTCAATTTTTACTAGACGTTGGCTCACAATACGTCAGGTTGCTGCTGTGTTGGCCCCTCGCCTCTCAGACATCGTTACGGGCCAGGAGCCGGCCTTCGAACAATAACACCGCCGCAATGACGGACAATCTCGATAAATCCGAGGTAGCCACGGCTATGTACGAAGAGCTCGTGGAGCTCGAGAGGGAATTCGAGGACGTCGAGGCGGAAATCAGTGAGTGCCTACCTACCTTCGATGGCGCGTAGATGTGGTAGATGCTACCGATGTGTGCCACTCTACCATGCTAGCCTAGCGCGGGCAAGGTGGCTTGTGGGCAGCGAGACGTGGGTGCTGACGAGCCCGTCAGTTCGCCAGCAAGTTGCCCTGACCAAGAAGCTTTATGAAAAGAGGGCGACGCTGGTCGCCAAGATCCCCAACTTCTGGCCCTTAGTCTTGGAGCAGGCGCCGCCCGACATTGACCAGTACATCCACCCCGCCGACTCCGCCGTGCTCCTATCTTCCCTCACCTCTATCTCGGTATCTCACTTCGAGATCGATGGCGGCAAGGGCGACCCCCGCAGCGTGGCCATCAAGATGGAGTTTGCCGAGAACGAGTGGTTCGAAGACAAGGTCCTCGAGAAGAAGTTCTGGTATCGCCTTTCCAAGGATGTCGAGGCCGGCCTTGTCAGCGAGCCCGTCCCCATCAAGTGGAAGGAGGGCAAGGACCTGACTCACGGCATGCTGGACCTCGTTGTGAAGATCTGGGAGCAGGACAAGAAGCGGGCCAACCGCGACAGCACCAAGATCAAGAAGGAGGCAGACTACACGCCCGACGAGAAGGCGCTGAAGGAGAAGATCGAAGCCACCGGTATCGGTGCCGTTTCCTTCTTCGGTTGGTTTGGATACCGGGGCCTCGACGTGTCCGCGGAGGAGAGCCGTCTCGCGACGGAAGAGGACCGAAAGAAGCGTGCCGACAGAGCCGCCGGCAAGGTCCCGGAACCCAAGAACGAGCCACAGGGGGCTGACGAAGGCGACGAGGACGAGGATGACGACCCTCTGGCCCTCGAGGTCTTCCCCGACGGCGATGAACTCGCTCTCGCCATCAGCGAGGACCTCTGGCCGAACGCCCTCAAGTACTTTAGTAAGTTTTATCTCGCGCTATCCGCCGACTCACATAGCCTAGCAGGAGAGTGCTAACACGGTATACCTGAAGCGAACGCTCAGGAAGCCGACTATAGTGACGTGGACTTTGAGGACGGAGACGATGAGGATGATGAAGAGATGGCTGACGACGACAACGACGACGATGAAGAGAAGCCCAAGGGCAGCAATGCCGTGCCTCCGGCTAAGAAGCGGAAGGCTTAAACTTTCCGATGCGAAAGGATAAAGGAAAGCCCATATCTCGCGGCCGTGGCCGTTGTTTGCGGATACGTGGGCATAATAGCGATACGAAGGATTGGACTCCCCTTGTCCCTTAGTAGGCGATGACGATAGCGATGCCTTAGAGGTCACAAATGCCTGTGTCTTATGTATACGATACCACCCCTAAAAGTTATTTCATTTTTTTATTCCACTCGGCTCATCGGCCTAGTGGCAGTAGACGACGGGTGGAAATTGATAGAGAAGAATTATCTAGTGCGTGTCTCACACGGAAGCATGAGCTAGTTGCCGAACCGAGTAAATGGCAACTCGTCGCACCTGATACACGAATCTCGATAAGGGCGTTTGAAACCGCCTGGCTCTGTGGTCCTGCTCCTGCAATGTGTAGACCTGCTGCCGCCGTTCCGGGCTAGATGCGGCGGCCATTCTGCAGCCTCTGATGGAGCAGCTCCTACAGGTGGCTAACGTGACTCGAGTGTCCTGGAAGTAAGCAGATACATCCCGTACGGTCCTGTCTAAGTACGTGCGGGCTGTCAGAATACAGGGAGCGGCAGCCTAGGCGGTTCCGAGAGAGGTAGGTAGGTAGACGAAGCTTCTAAGGCGACATGTCTCCAACTTGGGTCCGGGTGGATTCTGGATCGGCCACCTACCTACTGCGTATTAGGTATTACCTACCTACCTAGATGGCTCTCCTGCCAACCCTCCAGACGAGCGATTCCTTTCTTCAGGTGCAGGCCAGTGGTCGGCCGCTAACTGGAATCAGGCCGAGGCCATCTCGGCCGGGTGCTTGCCTTGAGGACCTATCTCTGCCATGCTGCCATGCTGCCATGCTTCCACACACCTGTGTATATAGGTGCTTGGGTTCGGACGAACCTATGTTACCTAGGTATTTGTCCATGGGACGAACCAATGCGGGAAGTTCCGCGCGTCTACCCTTATTCGACACAGATACGACTCAGGTCCCTCCGTGAACGGGCTGTTCCTGCTACCACCACATGCGACGGGGAGGAGGGGGGCCACATAGGTAAGTATAGCCACGCTGATGTCAAGTGGACGGACGGTGTCTTAAGATGCCTCTTAATTCCCGGCGATCCGATCTTGGTTGCGCCCGACGATCCCCATCCCCATGTGCCATAGTATTTGGATAGACAATTTCTGGAGCAGGTCAAGTTTGGGTAGATAGGTACTGATCTACCTGTAATGTTGCTGGACATTCATACCTATATCATACCTATATTTACTTAGGATGCCAATGGACGCTACCAGGGGTTAGATGCACCTACACTTACGTACTTCCTACCTTAGGTAGGTAGGCACCTGAAGCGATGCCCCTAACTCCCACTGCGTCCCCGGAAGGTACCTAAGGTAGGTAGGTGTAGGTACCTATTGGACGCTGAGGTCAGAAATAAGCCTGGCTCTGCTTACAACGTAACCGCTCCTTTTTGGACCTTTGGGAGGCAGTCAAGCTCTTTATGACAGGGGTCGACTCCCCCGTCTTCCCCACCGGATCTTCCTCATCCATCCCCTGCCAACCTTTTCTCGTCTCTGCACGCCTTTTATTCCGACGTCGTCCTCTTCTTGGAGTCTAGGCTATTATGCCCGCCTCGCGCCTCGTCGCTGTCTAGCACTACTAGCATTATGGTTATTCATGCACCTGCCCGTCCGTAGAGGGATTCATCACTCGAGGCCATATCCGCAGAGAATATACCTACCTACACTCAAACCTCTCTCTCTCTCGTGCCACATTGCCTACCTCCGCGACCTACGAAGATGGCCAGCCAGCAAAGCAGGATTGGGGCGCGATTCTTCAATCCTCTTTCTCCCTCGGCTCTTTATGAGTAAGAAGGGCGAGAGAGATCTGACCCCCCCCCTGCCCCCCTCCCTAGTCCGCCCCATCCTGTACGCATCCCACACGTCCCCTTTCGAGACGGGAGCTCCGCCAGGATCGAACTCGAACCGTTTCAGCGCGCCGATTACCCAAGCACAGCCTCACGGGCGAAGAATGGAGAGCTCCCTCATTGCCATGCTGGCGCCGCCGCCGCCGCCGCCGCCCAGGTTGGCTATCACGCACGACGTAGCACCGTAGTAAGGAAGACACTATTCTTGTGTCATGAAGCAGGGTCGGAGCCCCTCCACTCTGTCGCTTCCGTGCCTCTGCCGAGAGCCACCATCTCAAATTCGTTCTGTTTTTTGCGCCTCTTGGCCTCCCGGGCCAGGGTTGGCCGCGCACAAGGTCAGCCGCGATGGCCAAAGATGCGATTGACCAACCCCTTGTCCTGTAGATGCCCAGTTGCGCTGTTTGGCAAGTTACATTGGTATGCGTGTGCGTATGCGTTATGTGAGTCCGCGCCGAGATGGGGTGGTACCCTGCCGTTGCTGCGGGATGGGCTATGCCACGCTTCATCACCCCCTAGGGAGCTTGTGTTCGATCTCGGATGTGTGTGTGTGGATGTGTCTTTTCACCTCTTCAACCATCTCTTTTCTTCATCTCCTTCGCCATTGCTTCTTGATCGAGGCTTCTTTCATTTCGTTTTGTTTCGTTTAGTTTAGTTTCGCCGCGCGACCTCTCCTTACCTCTTCTTTCCTCTTTCCTATCTCCAATTCTCACTCCTGGTCGAGCTCTCCTTTGTACTAAACGTCGTCCTGGAGACCTGCTTGATATTTCCATTGCTTGAGTCGGTACACGTAAGAGCGGCGGTAATATTGTCGTCGTTCGTCCATCCCGGAGCTCTAATCTCGACCCTTCGTTTCTCGCGGCTCACAGCGAAACCCGAGGACATGTCCTTGTCCTGAACCGATATATCGTATTCCTTTTGATTCGAAGACCGACGCTTTCGCGAGTCGAGGCCCATCGAATTCCTTTCCTCCACGGCATCACATTCACTCTAATAATGCGTCCGATATTTCAAGCTGCAGGCATCGTGAGCCTGCTGGCAGGTGTAACGGGAGCTATCACAGTCGACTTTAACGATGACAGTATGAGCACCTCAAGGGCCGGTATTTGGACAGTCGAGGCTAACAAACAACAAGGATCTATAAAGGACGCAGCCAGCACGGTTGCTTTCGGGTTGGTGAAATATTACACAGGAAACAACACGGGCGATGTCCCGGGTAACTTGCCTGACCCATACTTCTGTACGTGACCCAATCTTCTCCCCCTCGGCGCGCTCGTCACTAATATCGGCGTTAGGGTGGGAAGCGGGAGCCATGTTTGGGACGCTGATCGACTATTGGTTCTACACGGGAGACGACACATATAATGCGATAACAACGCAAGCTATGCTGCATCAAACGGGCGAGGACCGCGATTTCATGCCCCGGAACCAGACAAGAGCGATGGGCAACGACGACCAAGGGTTCTGGGCCATGGCAGCCATGTCTGCCGCCGAGAACAACTTCCCGAACCCGCCGGAGGACGAGCCGCAGTGGCTGGCGCTGGTGCAGGCCGTCTTCAACGAGTATGCGGGTCGATGGGACACGGAGGATTGTGGTGGCGGGCTGCGTTGGCAGGTGTTCGCGTTCAACAACGGATTTGACTACAAGAACAGCATTTCCAACGGCTGCTTTTTCAACATCGCCTCTCGGCTGGCGAGATATACGGGCAACCAGACCTACGCGAACTGGGCCGAGAAAGTCTGGGACTGGATGGAGGATATCGGGTACATCGACGAGGACTACAACGTCTACGACGGGGCCGGCGCGTTGAAGAACTGCGCCGACATCAACCGTGCGCAGTGGACCTACAACGCTGGTATATTCCTGCAGGGCGCGGCCGTCATGCAGAATTTCACGGGAGGAAACAGCACCTGGAAACAACGGGTAGAGGGCCTAGCCAAGAGGTCGCGCGAATACTTCTTCGACGATGGGATCGTGGTCGAACGTCCGTGCGAGGGCTTCAACTTCTGCGATATCGACCAGCAGAGTTTCAAGGGCTATCTGATGCGGTGGATGGCCTCGGCGGCGCAGATGGCGCCGTCCACCTTCGACATCCTAATGCCGCTACTCGGGTCGTCGGCGGCAGCGGCGGCGCAGCAATGCTCCGGCTCGCCGCCGGCGTCGGAATTCCGGGGCAAGCCCGGCACGGCGTGTGGGTTTAAGTGGACGGAGAAGGACAAATTCGACGGCCTCGTGGGCGTCGGCCAGCAGATGAGCGCCCTGTCCGCGATACAGTACACGCTAGTCAAGAAGCAGACGGCGCCCCCCGTCACGGCCGACACGGGAGGCACATCCCTCGGAAACGTAAACGCCGGGCGGCGGATCGAGGACAAGATGCCCTCCGTGCCGGAGATCTCGACGGGAGAGAAGGTCGCCGCCGGCTTCCTGACGAGCGCGATCGTGTTCACCATCATCGGCGCGTGCGTCTTCGTGATGCTAGACTAGGGAAGCCAAGCGGGCGCGAGGGAAAGGAAGTGAGACTCGACATCGTTGACGACGAAATGAGGATACCCTGCAGGACTATGCCAGGCGATTTAAAAGAAAAAAAGGCACACCTGGTACGAGGATAACACGTTTATATAGGGAACGTGGGCGGCACGAGCATGGTATCGGCGGCGTTCCGGGGGAGCTATATCCATATAGGCACATGCCTATATATTATTTACCCGCTTTGAAAGCAATACATTTTTGTATATACTTAATATCTTAACACTCATAAAGCTGAAAAATATAATGCCATCAGAGCATGATCTCATCATGTCTCAGCTGGTGAGCGGATATGAAAGCACCCTTGATTATGCTGTGTGTAGTACTCGTACAATTCCGCCCCGGGGGTTCTCTAGAGTAGCCGCAGCTCAGAATCTATCGGACTACATGAATACATCCCCCCCGTTGCCCCTGTTCAAGATACAGCCTTCGCTGGCCTATTGCGAGACGAGAGCCAACGGTCCGAGCCGGAACCCATCATCATTCTCGCCCTTTCTCCTCCTTCCCAGGGGTCTCCTCCCCCTCTACCGCCCCCCCCGAGCCTGGGCCTTGGTCCTCCCCTCCCTCGCCGGGGCCAGGCTCCTCTCCCTGGGCGTCCGCGGGCGGGGCCTCGTCGTCGGGCAGGTCTTGGCCCGCCTTCCTCCGGGCCTTCTTCTGCTCGATGCGGAGCTTCTTGGGGGTGCCGGCGAAGAAGAGGCGGGCGAAGCCGCCGAGGGTGCCCTCCATGCGGCGGTGCTCGGAGGCGCCGTCGACGGCGAGGGCGGCGTCGCGGATCTGGGCGACGAGGGCGGCGGCGACCTGGGGGTCGACGGGGGTGCGGACGCCGCGCTTGCGCGCGATCAGCACCTCGAGCCGCAGGCCCTTGTACAGGAACTGCCGCACCCGCCGCAGCTTGTGGCCCAGGTCGTGCTGCGCGATCGACCACGACATCTCCAGCTCCTTGCGGTTCACCGCCGCCCGCCGCGCCTCCGCCTTCGCCGCCTGCTGCGCCGCCACCAGCCCCGCGTTGTCCAGGATCCGGCAGATCGCCGCCTGCGCCACCAGCCCCGGGTCCAGCCCGTCGATCTCCCCGCGCAGGAACCGCCGCACCTCCGCGTTCTCCTCCGCCAGCGTGCGCAGCGGCAGCTGGGGCTTCTCCACCTCTGCGCCCTCTCGTCCTCCCTCTCGCTCTCCCTCTCGTCCTCCCTCTCGCTCTCCCTCTCGTCCTCCCTCCCGCTCTCCCTCTCGCCCCCACTCCCGCTCTCCCTCTCGCCCCCACTCCCGCTCTCCCTCTCGCCCCCACTCTCGCTCTCCCTCTCGCTCTCCCTCTCGCCCCCACTCTCGCCCCCACTCTCGCCCCCCCTCTCGCTCTCCCTCTCGCTCTCCCTCTCGCCCCCCTCTCGCCCCTCTCGCTCTCCCTCGCCCTCGCCCTCGCCCTCGCCCTCGCCCTTGGCGGCCGGCGGCGGCGCCGGCGGCGGCGCCACCATCACGAGCGTGTACGTGCGCAAGTCCAGCCGCCGGAGCACGGCCTCCTTGAGCTCCACCGGCTGCAGCTGGCTTTCGGGCGGGGGCGTCGCGATGCGCACGTACCGGTACGGTATGTTCTGGTTGGTCAGGCGGCCCTTGTAGTCGAGGCGGCGCAGGGCGGCGGTGGCGGAGAGCGGCCGGGCGCGCGGCGCCAGGGGCGCAGCCGGCGGCGGCACGCGCCGCGCGAGCAGCGGCCGCGCGCCCGAGTGCAGCGTCCGCGCCGGCCGCAGCTGATGGTAGCACGTGTCGGCCGGCCGCGGTGTCAGAGCCAGGCCGCGCCGTCCGGGGAAGTCCGAGACGAGCGCTCGGCGCAGCGCGCACGTCGAGAGGCAGCGGGGCGACGCCATGGCGGGCGCTCGGTCTCGCTGCTGGTGGGTGGATTGCACTGGTCGTGGGGCGGCGATGGCTGGCTGGCTGGCTAGCTGGCGGGTATAGGTTGGATGTCTTTGCTCTCCCTCATCGAGAATGGCAATGCGGCCCAGTGAAAGGGGTAGGGCAGCGCCGGCGCGACGTTGTCGTTGGTTGAATCGATAGGTGTGAATTTTTAGAGGGGGATAGATATTGCCCGCTTTTCAGTGGCAGCTTTAGATAATTTTTTTTTCCTTCGTTTTGTCGAGATAAACTGCGTATCTGCTTAGCAGTTCGGTACCTGGTGGAGGGGTGATGGCAGCTGGAGCTTTCCGGCCAATCACATGCTGTGAGTGGAAAGTCGGGGCTTCAGATGCCGAGCATTACGTTACCTTGTACCTCGTAGGTACCTCGTGCCTCGTCGTTCTCACCTTCACCTTCAGTCACTCTCATTCTCGCCCTCACCTTCGCCCTCGCCCTCGCCCTCGCCCTCGTCACCTCGTGCGTCACTTTTACCTACAAGCCACATATCGCCCACTGTCAGATCTACACTCAGATGGCCAGACCGCTGATGTCTTCTTCGCCTGGCCTATATTCATAGCCCCCCACCCGCACACGCTCGGTTCAACCCCCTCCCTCCCCTCTTGACCATGCCCTCGACCGGCACCGTCCTGGGCCACCCCTTTCGCGCGCTACTCTACGCGGCCAAGGGCCTGGCGCTGGGCCACCTGGTCGCCGCGTACGGGTGGAGCCCCGGGTACGGGTGGGGGCCGTCGATGCTGCCCACCTTTCGGACGGGCGAGTGGTTCGTGACGTCGCGGGCGCACCGCCGCGGGCGCGGCGTCCGCGTCGGCGACTGCGTCGTCTACGCCATCCCCTCGCCGCCCGCCTCCGCGCCCCCCGGCTCCCCCGGCGAGGACGGCGTCAAGCGCGTCCTCGGCCTCCCCGGCGACTACGTCCTGCTCAACGAGCCCGGCCTCAGGGCCGGTGCCGCTGCCGCCGCCGAGGTCGACGACCCCATGATGATACAGGTGCGTGGTGCAACGAGCGGCCCGGGGAGAGCGACCCAGTTGTGCTGTGCTGGCCTGCGCGCAGACAACCGCTGTGGAGCATACCCCGGCGCATATCTTTCTAGCTAACCCTCGGCACGCGCAGGTCCCCCACGGTCACTGTTACGTCGTCGGCGACAATCTGCCTTGGTCCAAAGACAGTCGCGACTTCGGGCCCTTGCCTATGGCCCTTATCAAAGGCAAGGTGGTCGCCCGGATATCCGTCAACGGCTGGTGGCCGCCCGCCTGGTTCTCAAGATTCGAAACCGGCCTCGAGCCCCTTCCCGCTGCATCGCTCCCTACGTGATCCGGCTGGGCCTGATACGCTGGTCCGAACATTTTATTTAGCGTGTTGGCCGTTCACCTCGCCGCCTTCCTACGGATCGCACGCGTATGTGCTACGGTGCGGGCGGGTGGGTGCAAGGCCACATGATACAGGAAATCCCTGGCCGCTGTCGTCCGTGCAGTAGAGCAACCGGGCGAAAACTGCACGTTCCTTTCCCTGGGACTGCCTTGGCTATTAAGCGGGATATCATATTTTGCATCAAATCGGAACAATCTAATTACAAGAACTCAGCCGATCCTGCGCGAGGAGCTTAACACTGCGGAGACATAACGTGCCTAGGACGAATGGATCGGGCCGAGTCATTCTTCGTTTCCTTTGGACTCGACACGGCGAGCCGCCTCGTACAAATGAGATTAATTGTCTCTCCCCTTCCGCGCCGGCAAGACCCGTAGCGAAGAAAAAAAAAATGCGATCTGCAGTACGCCCGCCCGCGATTTGAGCCGCCCAATGCGGATATGCAGCACTCCCTGTAACAAAAACAGATATCGAAGCAGCCTTTCTGTCGACGAAAATACGTGAATGCCTGCTTATATAGATACGCCTAGAACACCACAGCCAACCATGTCCGCGTGAATGCCGGTCGGATCAAGGAGTCCAACAATACTAACGACTAACGACCAAGTGGAGAGGAAGGTCTACTAACAATCGTCGCCGGGTAGAATCGTCACCTCATCCCTCAATGTGCGCCTTGGACATGCTCTGGCCGAGCAGCTCTAGGCACCGTTGCGCCAGGTTGACAACCTCGCCCTCGTCATCATCCTCAAACTCATCCGACTCCATTTGTCGCTTGGCGATCCGCTTGATCAACTCCACAATCGTGTCCGACTTGCCGATATGCGAAATTAGCGTCTTGTCTTCCGACTCCAATAGCTGCAGGAGCGTCCAGATGGCGATGTGCTGAAAGGTTGCATCCCCGCTAGCCAAAAACCTAGTAAGGTAGCCGTGGATGCCTCCGTTCGGTTCCGTCCAGTCCTGGATGAAGATAGAGTAGTCGCCGACTGTATCATGTTAGCCATCTGGGTAGCCAGGGAAATAGAGCTGAGCGCGACTCTCTCACCTTTCGAAGACAGATTGCCGAGGGCCGCGGCGCTGTTGCCTTGGACTTCGATACTAGGCGAATGTGTCAGAGGGATCAGGACGTCAAATACGCCCAAGTTCAGCAAATCCGTCTTGAGATGATCGGACAGGGCCAGGACCGCGATCGCAGCCGTCATCTCCGACTGGACCGTGACCGGAACATCCAGCACGAGCTGCTTGCACTTTTGGACTGCGCCAGCTTCGAGGACTAGTCCCTTGTTTCGATCGGAGCTGGCGGCTAGGTTTCGCAGGGTCGATATAGCATGGCATTGTATTTCTTCATTATCCGTCGATCCTAGGAGGTCGACCAGGGGTTTCAAGAACCCCGCCTCGATGATGGGAGACTCGTTCAAGGGGTGGATCGAGATGTTGCGTATGCAGGCGACAGCGGACAGTATGAGTGGTAAGTAGGAAGACTGAAGCAGCCGAAGAAGGGGGCTGAGGCCCTGCGCTCGGACGATATCCAGCTGATACTTATCGTCCGAAGCTAGATTGCGAAGCGCCAGCGCGGCCTGGCATTGCACCTTCGGAGATGACGAGTCCATTAAGTTAACCAGTGACTGGACTAGTTTCGTTTCCGAGGTTGCTAGTTTCCGTCGGTTATTAGCGTCAACGGCGATGTTGCTAAGCGCTGTGGTGCAATAGTATTGGACATCGACATCAGGGGACGACAGGAGTTGGACAAGCACAGGAATAGCACCTGCGCTCACAAGCTGTTGTCGGTTTTCGTCTGCACCACGGGCGCGTTAGTAAGACTAAACAGACCTCGCCTAACCAGCTGCCAGAAGATCCCATACCAGAATGTGTCATATTAAGGAGAGCACCAGTCGCATTTCGCTGAACCCTCATATCTCTTGATTTGGCCAGTCGAGTAAGCGGACCCAGTGCCCCGGACCGGGCAATCTTTGCCTTATTCTCTTCGTGTGTAGCTAGGTTGGTAATGCATCCCACGGCATTGCATTGGACCTCGACGTTCGGGGAGAGCATCTGGCGGATGAGGGGTGTCAAACCACCCAGTTGGACAATCAAAACCTTGTTTTCAGCTGAACATCTTGGTTAGATGGATAGCCAGCGGGGCCAGACCAGACGAGCTGTGCTTACTATTAACAGCTAGGTTTCCTAGTGCGGCGCTGGCGGCCCTTTGGACCTCGATATCAGGGCTCTGTAGGAGGAAGAGGATGGGATCCAGAGTATCACGGTCAACTTCCCGGACATCTAAGGGACATAGTTAGCCTACAGCTTCACCGTCAAGTAGACACCATATTGTGAGCTAGATAGTCTCGTCTGCCTTGTAATCCAGCACTCCTGTATTCAGACGTAGGTGAGGGGCTACATACCTCGCTCGGTGATCTCTGCAAATGTCAGGCTGGCACTCCGCTGCAGATCGATGTTGTCGGAGAAGACGAGGGTGCTCAGGGCTCGAAGGGGCTCGCCGGAGAAGAAGTCGGTCTCGCCGCGCTGAGAAATAGTTAGCTCGAAATGGGGCGAAGGTTGGTGGGAGATAGAAAACACACATTCTCAAGATATTGTAGCAGGTCTGCGACAGCTTCTCGTTCGCTATCAGCCAAGACTGGCTCGTAGAGTCCATCTCGAGATTTGCCTGCGCTTGCCCTTAGCATACTTTCGAGTGCTCATCTGGACGGAGGGCCGTTACCTCCGCAACACGACAGACAGGGCCCCATTGCTACAAGCAGGCACGGAGACGATGGAAAATGATGATCTTTGGTTGGTGTCGGCGATGGGAGGAGATGGTAGGTGGGTAAAAGCCCCAGACCAGATGAACCGCCCTCGGCAGCAATCAATACGGTTGTGGGTGCGTTGGCGTGTGCGTGTTCGTGTCGGTGGGTTGGTACAGTATATCGACGAGGGAGACCAGACAGATTGAGAACTTGGCGTCAGGTCTAGATAAGCCTGGTGTCCCGAGGTGGTCCTATGATGTATCCTCGTGAGGGACTAGGGCATGAACAGGAACAAGGTGTAGGCTGATGCGGCAACGGGTATGCTGGCGTACAGAAGATAAGGCGGCTGAGCGAAACGGCGGCAGGTGTGGAAGGTATTACGTCAAGGGCAGCCAGAACAGCGGAAAGGGAAGAGGAAAATAAAGAGGGTGGACAGGGTGAAGGGAAGTGGAAAAAGAAGATGGAATAGTGTGTTTGTTGTCGAGCCTTGCTACTGCTGGGCGGTATTAGGTGGATGTTTACATAACGAGGATTCTCCGAGTTGGAGAGGCAGGTTGCACTGGGAGGCCGTCGGGAAGAGAGGAGAAGAAAAATGGAAATGGAAAAAGGGACCCTTGCGACTACCTCCTTAGCTGGCAGAGCCTACTTGGACGAAGTGGTGATGCGAACGCACCCAACATAGAAGAATAGGCAGGTCGGGAGAGAGAAGAAGTAAGAGGTGAAGCAGAAGTAGGAGTGAAGGCGGAAACAGGTGCGCAGGTGGAAGCAGAGGGTTATTGACAGGGCGTTGACGACACCCCCACAAACCTACCCTGTTCCCTTCATCACGGCGCTGGGACTGTGTAGATACTTCCAGGATACCGAGGCTGCGCAGGCAACGGGCACCTGGTTAGCATGTAGCATTTCCGTACTTCCAGGATAGCACTATGTGAGGCATTCATCATGTGCTGCTGAGAGGTACTGGAGGTTAGATTAGGTACTCGGGTAGGTACATACTTACGTAAGTAGCTGTACTAAAAGAAAGCACGGGCAGCTGAGGTAAGTAGATATAAGGCCGGATCAAGCTTGACAGAGCAAGAGTTTAGGTGCTGCCTTACACATGTACCTGGCGGAGGTACCTAAAATATACCTCTCAATTTCCAGGTACCCGTTATAGTAAACCCACATGGCATGTGAGGTGAAGAAGAGACACTTTACTTACCTTCCACAAGCGTTACCTCTTAACAGGTACCTAGATACTTATTAAATACATATACCTGCCTAGTATATATACCTTAGTGTGGCCATCTAAGGAACGGGTAAATAATTAATTAAATTATAGTTATCTACGTAGCCTTTTAGAGCCGTTTTACGTGCCTTTTATATCCCGATTAGCCCTCGCTAGGGCAGGGCTTACCCTATAGCTATACGTAACCGATTACGTACTTACGCGCCTATACGTCCTCTTAGCCTAAGTAAAGCTATCGTTAGGCTTTTAAATAACGTAAGGCCTTAATTCCGTAGTATTTTCCTTCCTTATCGCTTTATTTATATACCTATTTCGTTTAAGGAGTAAGGCTATTACGGGTCCTTTAGATATAATAACTTAATAAACCTCTAGTATTCCTTCGCCTCTAAGGGCTTCGTAAGCTTATTAGTCGCGTTCTTAGCTAATGGTACGTATCTTAGCTTAACGTATCCCTCTTTTACTTCTTGCCTTACGTAATAATAGTTCTTTCGGATATACCGCTTTTATTTATTTATCGCGGTTTCCTTTACCTACGTATTCGCCGTCGTATTATCGCATCGTAGGGTAATAAGGCCTACGGATATTACGCTTAATTCCGTAAGGAAATTACGTATTTACGCGGCATTTGCTACCGCCGTTAATAAGGCTATATACTTAGCCTTTCCCGAGCTTCGCGCGACTACCGACTAAAGCTTCGACATTTATACGATCGGGGCTCCTGCTATAAAGAATACGTAACTATTCGTTAACTTAGCTATAGATATATCTCCCGCGTAGTTCGAATTTACGTAGCCGTAAAGACCTATCTCGTTATATTCTTTATAAGGGTAATTCTCGTTTAATTACCGATACCGGATCCCTCGGCTTACCGTTTCCTTAAGATATCGTATTACGCGTTTAATTCCCGTCTAATATTCCTATAAGGGGTTATTTATAAAACGCGCTTAAGTCGAGGCTACGTAATTAATATTAAGCCTCGTAATATATACCGGAAAGTTCGCTTTTCCTACTAACGAGGCATACTTTTAAACCTCTCGTAGGTCGGCTTTATCGTTAGCCTCTCTCGGTACGACCGCGTTCCGATTCTTTAGGTTATACGGTAACGGGTATAGCTTCGTATCGCCGTAGTTAAGCTCCTTTAAAGCCTTTTCCGTATATTACTATTAATCGAGCCGGACGTCCCCCGTAGAAAACGATCGTTTTATCCGGACCCCGAGAAATTAATTAACGTTTCTTAGGTTAATTACCTTAACCTTTTCTTTAATTATATTCGCGAGCTTATAAAGTCGTTCCTCTTTAGGTCCGAATAATAGGAAATCGTTTATATACGAGGCGATTACGTTTCTTATTCCGGGTCTTATATAAATAACGTCGTTTAAGGTTAATAAAACGTAGCCGTATTTCTTTAAAATGCCTCTTATACGTTATTACTACGCGGCTTTAGCTTATTTTAAGCTATATAACGGATTAATTAGCTCGATAATCTTCGATTCGTTATAATTATAGGTTTATTTCTCTTTTTCATAAGCCTCGAAATATTCCTTTAATATAAGGAATTACTTTATAAAGATCCTTTCGTTTAGTTTCCCGTTAAGGTAGGCGGTAATAAAGTCGATCTAAAGGATATGTTATTAATAAATAACGGCTAACGCTATTAATATTCTTTACGATATTACTCTCGCCGTTATCGCCTTGGTTTCGTTATAATCGATATTTTTTCTCTATATAAATCCTCGGGCGTAAATCCGTACCTTTAGCTTATCGAGATCTCCGTTAAATAAGAACTTTTTCTTTAAAACCTATTTAGCGTCGATAAAATAACCGTTAACTACCTCGCTCGGTTATATAAACTTAAACGTATTACGTTTTAAGTTCTCTCGGATCTCTTTAAAAACGGCCTAGGTTTAAAGATTACGCTTTAGTTCTTTCATTGCTTCCTTAAAGAGCGGTTCGTTCTCGTTTATCCTAAATAGGCCCGCCGTTATTAGTGCTATTTACCTATGGCTTTATTCCTACGGTACGGTAATAAGCGTATTAATATAATATAGCTTTTCTCGGGGCGCGATTTTAAACGCGATTTTAGGCGTATCTTATTCGTCTTTAAATACTTCCTTTAACTCGCCCTTTTACGAGCCGCTTAGCGTTAAGGCGGAGCGTACCTTATTTAACTTAAGTAGTACCTCTAGTATATAAATCTAGGGTAATTTCTTCTTCGGGCGCCTTCTCCGGGGGCGTATCCTGCCCTTATCCTTATTTATAACGTCCTCGTCGACGATATTATTATCCTTATTACGAACGCTAGTCGCCGCGATTTTCTTCCGATGCCGTAGCCGTTTTTAAACGTACTTAAGTAAGGACTTAACGACGTTCCTTAGGTCTAAAGCCCTTTCGGAGTCTCTTAATTCTTCGTAAAAGATAACGTAAGGCGTCTTTAAAAAACGACCTCCTTTTACGAGCTAGACTAGGTAGTTATATTTCCCTTCGTAACCTATAAGAACGGCGCGGGCTTTACGTAGTTTTATTTTCTCGGAAACTACCCGATAACTCTTATCGATATAGGCTATGTAACGGCTACCGACGATACGTAGATACGCGTTATTAGGTTTATAATTCTTTCCTAGCTCTATGCCGTTTATAAATCTCTCGTATAACGTAAGTTCCTTCGCGAACGAAACGCTAGTTTTATTAATCGTATACGCCGTTACTACGAGAACGTAGTCCTAGAAGTAAGTAAGAATCTTTATCTAAACGTAGATTACTCTAGTATCGTCTTATAAGAAGCATATACTTCTCTCCGCTACGCCGTTTTAATACTAGTTATTTAGCGTAAAGGTATTTAACGTAATATCCCTTTCGTTATAAAATTATTCGATAGCGCTTATGCCGAACTTTCGGCCGCCGTTAAGGTATAATATTCTTATTTATCGCCGGCTTTTATCTAGGGCGTTCGGTAATACCTCGAATAATTAATAAACTCGGGTAAGGTAAGTTATTAGTACTTATTAAGCCTTTCCCTTAAACTTATACTAGGTAAATTCTTTATTTCGGTTATCGTCGTTTATAATTAATATAAAATAACGGTAGTTTTCGATCGATAGAGGCTATAACTTTCCGAGGTCGTACTAAGTAATTTCCTTAGGGGTTTAGGTACGCTCCTAAGGGTCCTTCGAAGGTATCCTAGTAATCTTTACCCGATTATACGCGTAATAAAGTACCGTTTTTATAAGTACTAGGTTTAAATCGATTCCTATCGACCTTTTAATAATTTATATAAGTCTTTCCGTATTAGGGTAATAAAGGCGGCGATACTATAGTATTAGCTACTTTATGGTATTATCGTTTAGTTATGTTAGTATCGCTTATAATATTTCGCTAAGCTTACCGAGTTAATACCTTAGCGCGTCCTCTTAGTACCGTTTAAAGGGAAGAAGTTTCGGCTCCTCTTTCTTATATTCCTATAATAAGAAACCTCGTTTCTTAGGGTTTAAGGTCGTTAGAACGGTTCCGTTAGGGTTTATAATGTTATTCTTATTTAGCTAGCTTTCGTTACGATAAAATAACTTTCCCGAGAAGATCTTAACTAAGAAGGAGCTAATAAATAATATATAATTTAATTACGTTCGGTTATATCCCCCGTCGTCGCCGGTAAGGTAATAAGTAGCCTTGCCTATCTTCGTAACGTTTATAAGGCTTCCTTCCGTATTAATAACGTAACCCGGTAGTAACGTTACTACCGTTCTCGGGTCTAGATCTCTTAAATCGTTTATAACGTAAACGTTAGCTCCTATATCGAAAAGTAAGTAATCCTTATAAGCGTTAGCCCCTACTCCGTAGTTAATTCTTAAAGGCTTTACGGGCCGTTCGTCCTTTAGCGGGTTAGCTATGGTTAGGTTACTACCGGGGTTAATAAGAATAGGCTTCTATTTAGGGTCCTTCTTACGGCGTAATTCGTTATAGGCGCTTACTAGCCTGGAAAGCTCTACCGTATCTATCCTCGTTCGATATACCCCGCCTTTATTATCGTAATAACCGAATTAAGGTAGCGTATACGGTACGTACGTAGTATATTACGTCGACGGTTATTTCGAACCGCCCCTTAATCCGCCGGGGACGCTATCGCCGTTATTATTACCGCTACCGTTACCCTTGCCCTTTCGTTCCTTTAGCGGTTTCGGGTAGTCCTTAGCCTTATACTTATACTTCTTATAGTTAAAGTAAAGGGGCTTTTCTTATTAGTTCTACGAAGGCTTTTTCTTCTTACCCTTTTCCTTACCTTAGGCGTTATTAGCCTAGTTATTATTATCGCCGTTACTTTTATTACCTTTATACTTATTAATCTTATTACGGAACTTCCCGTAGAAGTTATTAAATACGTCTAATAGGTCTATAGGTCTCGTTCTAGTTATAGTATTTACGATTTTAATTTAATTAGCTACCTTATTTTATATATAGCTAAGGAATATCGTAATTTATTACTCTTCGCCGATTACGAGGCCGGTATCTATATACTAACGAACGGTTAGTTATTATTTAAACGTAAACTCTACCGGGTCCTTACCGTCGTATTTTATCTTAATAAGTTACTCCTATAGCTCCTATTAATAAGCCTTTCTTATGAAGGCATAGGTTTAATCGAATATCTTTAATATCTTCGTACCTAAGCGTACGTCCGCTACTAACTATAAGGGTTAACCTCGGTAGGTCCCGGCGATTACTCTCGCTAGGGATATTTTATCTTATTCGTCGAGTTCTATTCCTTCTTTATACCCTGCTTTTTTTATAAAGAATATAAGTATATTCCGATATAGGCTTTAGTTCGAAATTCCCTTAAGATAGGCGTCCTTATCGGGGTTAAAGACGAATTTCTTTTAGTTAATCCTACCGTCCTTTTTAAACGCGGTATCCCTATTCCTATTCCTTACCCTCCGGCTACGTCGTCTACCGTAATCGGAATTACTATTAGAGGAGCTTCCTAATGGGTTACTTAAGCTACGGCCCCGGCGGCGATAACTCTTACGCCGGGTTAAACGCGAAGTACGATAGTAGCGGCTATTCTCGCGGCTCCTACGGTAATCCTTACCGTAGATTCGTTAAATCTCTATAGCCGACTTATTTAATTTCCTCGGAATCTCTAGGTCTTTAATATAAGGTTTATCCTTACCTTCGTTAGCGTCGGTAAAGTCGCCTTTTTCTATTAAGTCGGCGACGTTTTACTAGGGTTAGCGATAGCTTCCTTACCGTTATTCGCTTATTATTTCTAGCTTAGTTATTATCTCCCTAAGGAAATGCTTTACGGTATTTATACGTTAGTTAATATATTCGGTCGTTTTACGTAAGCCCTCCTATAGCTCCCTACGCATTTCCTTACGGAGGTCCTTTAACGCGATATCTTACGTAGTTTCTTATTCGGTTCCTTCCTCGGCCGCCTTATCTTATGATTTCGTAGCTATCCTCGTAACTATCCTCGCGATTTAATCGTTTTATTTATCGATAACCTCTTTCTACCGTTAATCGTAGTTATACGATTACCCCGGGCCGTTCGTTTATCGGAGCTTTCGTTACTTAATTACCTCCGTAACGTAAGTAGTTAGATAATAATAAAATAACGTAATAATAAGCTTACGAAACGTATGAGGTACTACTATATAGCTATCTAAGGAACGGGTAAATAATTAATTAAATTATAGTTATTTACGTAGCCTTTTAGAGCCGTTTTACGTGCCTTTTATATCCCGATTAACCCTCGCTAAGGCAGGGCTTACCCTGTAGCTATACGTGACCGATTACGTGCTTACGCGCCCACACTTAGGTTAGATACCGATGTGTATATAAGTAAGTATCTAGGTATGTATCTTCCTATAGGTATGTCAAGAGGTAAGGTACTCTCCAGTTAGGTATGTACCTCTTGATATACACGCATTACCTATAGTATATCTACAGATACCCAGGTATCTACTTAAGCTTAAGTATGTCTATTATTTATCAGCCTCTAAATGCATTGTTATACCTCAGGCCTACATCCATCAGGCACTTCGAAGCCGCCATCCATCAAATACCTAGATTAGTAGGTATGATTCAAACTCAACCTCTTGAGGGGGAGCGCAACCTGACCTATCTCCCCACTACTACCTCTAGCTTATGAAAGTGAGAAAAAAAAGGAATAAAAAAAGGACCCCGAATTCTCGTCTCCATTGCCAATTCAGGACAGCTCTTGTCGCGTTTCCGACAGCCACATAATAACCAACCCACCCTAGCAACCTATACCACTCTTGATCCGTGTGTACGTGTAGTGTGAGGATATATATACCGACCTATAATGTCTATGTATGAGCAAATAGATGGGTGGTTGGGTGGGTGAGTGCAAGGTATGTGCCTACCTACGTTTCTGCATGTCTCTATATACGGATGAGATGGGCATATGGGTACGTACATCTAGGCAGATTAGACATGAGGGTGTAATCGATTCCAGCCTGGCAGAGATAGCATCCATCTTAACGACGAGGCGAGAGAGGGGAAACCTGGAGCCGGATGAGGGGGGTAGGTGAGGAAGACAGATAGGGAGATAGACACCTACCTGCATAGTAGGCAAGTCTGGTACGAGGTGCCACCGATGGCATCCCATCCTGCAGCTCTCCGCCTGGCAGGCAGGACGCAAAACTAGGCGTGAATGTTTTTCATGTTGCTCGAAAACTAATTTCTTTCCCTTCTAACTTTCGTTTCCTTCCCTTCTCCCCTCCTAGCCCTCCTAGTTAGAGCCTTGCTCGCTTGAAGCTATTCCCAATACCAGTCAGGTGGGCACCACTCAGGGATGAGTCTCGCTTGCGCTTATGACCGTTGACATCGCTTTAAAGTGAGTCATGTGGAGTTGTCACCACTGACACAAATGCTGGAGGGATCAAAAGCAATTCCAGCATGACACACACAGTCTAATATAATAAAATATAAAAAGTCGAGCTTCTTAGCTCTCTCTGTGTGTGTGTGTGTGTGTGTGTGTGTGTGTGTGTGTGTGTGTGTGTGTGTCCTTCCTCCAATGTCTCCAACCCATCCCCTCCTATTCCCTTGCGACAAGACACCCTCCATCTTCCTTTCCAACGGATGGCACCGACCTCGTAACCCAAGTTGGCTGGCTGCTTATGCCACACCAACTTTTTAAGTAGACGAGGGTAACGAGAATTTACGTTATCGTCTGGTTGTTGAATAGCATTGCCCAGATTCTATCCCACTCCGGCCATCGGTGTCTTTCTCAGGCGTTGATACCCTTGTGCCCCCCCCCCCCCGGTGCTACTTTGCTCCATCGATACGAGAGGTTGATCGCGACAAGATATGATAGATCATTTGGTTGTGTCCGTTCCCATCCTGCTTTTCTTTTCTTACCTGCTATCCTTATCTTAATCCTGCCCCCAAGCCTGTTGAATACTCTCTTATATTCCGCCTATGAGTATACTTATCCAGACACTGAAACACTCGCATGCATTATGCATACATGGAGGGGTTTCCATCAGCACACAGCAGTATTGATACTGGCCTCTTCCCAGGTGGGTGCATGCGCAATACTACCATGTAGGTTGGGCAAGAGGTAGGTTAGGGGGCAGTTAATCTAACTGCCGTAGGTTGCGTATACTGCACTTACTTTACCTACCTAGGTAGATAGCCTCCTGCATCGGCAGGGAATAGCTTGAATCAACCATCGAACGGTACCTAGGTAATAAACACAGTCTAGCAATAGGAACGGGTTCGGAATTGTCACCGGGATGATTTCCTGTTACATTTTCATGGTCTGCCTTTTATAATCTACTCAGATATTAGACTATACGCAGGCAGACATTTCATTTTCTGCGTTACTTATTTGCCTGCTCAACCAACCTAGGTATCTATTGCCTAGGAGGTAGGTAGGTACCTAGGTATGTAACCTGCCTAACTTCCATAGCAGCATGTACAACAAGTTCAGGTACCTAATGTAGAGGTAGGTAGGTATTTAGATAGGTACCCACCCTACCTACTCCACCTACGGTACAGGACTATTAATATCAATTCTAGGCCCCTCAAGACAACAAGGCATGGGACTACCTACGTAATACCTCTTAGCATTAGGTATTTAATACGATCAATCCGACCTCATATCTAATCAATCCATCCTAGCTGTGTCCTTTTCTATTTGCCCATCCCATCTATAATTGTCGCTGCTGTCACCGGTTCCCAGGTCGCTCCACTCGCCACACCTTCACCGTCACCATGAATTTCAAGGTTCTAGGTAACGAGCAGGTATTCTCATTACGTCTTCTTCTTCCTCTTTTTCTTCTTCCCCCAGCGTGCAGTGTTGGGTACCTATAGTGACTAACGACCGTAGCTGTTAGCTACCTTTAGGTGCCTAACCTACTGTCTGCCTAGCGACAACCCCACTACGGGCCCTGGCCTTGGGTACCTCAAGTGATTCCTGCTGCTGCAACTGGTAGGTAGGTACCAGCCTATCTGCTATCGCTGTATCGCGTCTTCCGTCGGGGCCATGCGAGAGCGGCATGCCATTGATAAAGAACTAACACCCTTCTTTCGGACCGTCTCTCGCTCTCCACACCCCTCCCCCTCCCCTCTTCCCTCCTCTCCCTCCTCTCCCAGCCACAAAGCACTACACCGACAGATTCACCACCCTCCCCACTGACGCCCACTGACACCCGCTGCCGGCGCCGACTTACGCCTCCTAGACATCGAGGTTCCACCAATAATTTCCGCCTGACTTAGGATACAGAAGAACCCCCAAGGGAAAGCAAGGGAAGAAGAAAAAAAAAAACAAGGGAGGACAAGGAGGAGAAGGGTGAAAAAAAAAAAGAGGGACAATGGCTAGCGCTTCGAGTCGTGATGCACCGACCGACGAGCCACAACGTGCTTCAGCCGCTTCCGCTGCCGCCCCTACTGCCAGCCTACCCTCGTCCATACCACCGTCGCTGCCTCGAGTCGGCCACGAGCTGCCCTTTGTTGCACCGTCTTCATACCTCAGACCCAAGCTTCGGAGTCGCATAGTGCCTGTAACCTCCTCCGCCCCGATGAGTCCCATTGATGAAGAGCAATTGCAAGGCCTGGTAAGCTACCTATCCCTTTCTACCTGTCCCCGTACCCATACCCGTGCCCGTCTGCAGCAGCCTGTTGCGAATCGCCTCCTAGCTACCCTCTCTCACTCCGTCCCGCCCCCGGACATCCGACCCTGCGCGCCTTGCCTTTCTGACGAACCGACTGACGTTTTTTCCATGCCTGTAGAAGGGCCTGCGCAACTTTCTGCGCGTCAGAACCAGCTATGATGTCCTCCCCCTCTCATTTCGCCTTATCATACTCGACAACGATCTCCTGATAAGGAAGAGCCTCGATATCCTGTCCCAGAACGGTATGGTCCACCTTTCCAGAAAGTCATATCCAAGATTGCGACCTCTGCGACAAGTCTGGCCTGCCCCTAACTTGCGAGGTATTAGGAATTGTGTCTGCGCCTCTTTGGGACTCGCAGCAGTCCCGATTCGCCGGTCTTCTCACGGCGACTGACTATATAAATGTGATCCAATACTACTGCCAATTTCCCGAGCACATCGATGACGTGGACAAGTTCAGGCTGAGCAGCCTCCGCGGTATGTTGTGTCCGAGGCGCAGACGTGCGCGGTGTAGAAGGGGATCGGCGAAATGTGGCTAATGCGTGAGGGGCGCTCTGAAGACATCGAGAAGGCAATCAACGTCTCTCCGTTGGAGACGGTGTCCGTCCACCCGTCGAAGCCCCTATACGAAGCTTGTAGCCGCATGCTCAGGAGTCGAGCTCGCCGGATCCCGCTGGTCGATATCGACCACGAGACTGAGAGGGAGACGGTCGTAAGCGTGATCACCCAGTACCGCATTCTCAAATTCATCGCCGTCAACACGGAACAGCACACGATGCTGCTCAAGCAGCCAGTTCGGGAGATCGGGTTGGGCACCTACAAAAACCTAGCGACGGCCAAGATGACCGACTCGGTCCTCGACGTGATAAACTTGATGGTCATCCACAACATCTCGGCCGTGCCCATCATCGATAGGAACAATATCGTGCTCAACGTCTTCGAGGCCGTTGACGTCATGCCCTGCATAAGAGGAGGGGTGTACGACGAACTAAAATCGACCGTGGGCGACGCGCTGTCGAAGAGACCGGAGGATTTCCAGGGCATCTACACATGCCAGGAGGACGATAGGCTTGATTCCATCTTCACTACCCTCCGTCAGTCCCGCGTGCACAGGCTGGTGGTTATCGATGATAACTGGCATCTCAAAGGCATCATCTCGTTATCCGACATCCTCAAATACGTCTTGTTTACGGGCGTCACCAGCGATGAGGGCGAAAGCTTCTCCCTACCGTAACGGGCTTACCTCGGCTCGAGATTTCCTGACGATGCACACGACACTTTTAGAAACGGTGGTAACGAGACTTTTGGAGTTCCAACTAGAAACGTGAGGGCAGGGGCCGGTCGGCATTGGAGAGGAGTCTGGCGTTTGAAGACTATCGGAGAGCCGGTCAGTCGTTGCATGAGGATCGGCCAGTCTGCTTGGACCCCAAACGGGTTTCTGTCCTCTTCCAACTCATCGTCACCTATCGGCTGGCCGATCCGAGTCGGTCCGGCATGAAGACGGGTGATCTGATAGAATGTTTATAGGGGTTCCGGGGATTTATACACTCTAGATTTGGGGCCCGGTAGGAGATGCAGGCCATCCGGATCCTACCTATGACGACCACGGCACTCACTCCAAGTAGGAGATATCCTCGTTAGGCATGCAAGGGCCCGTGTACGTAGGTACCTCTTTAAGGCCTAGCCCTTATAGGCGCCTTCTACTCGGCTGTTCGTTGAGGCTATTTTTTTTTGTTTCTATGGGTGGTTCCCATCATGCCTTCACTCGCCGAGGGCCGTGGGATTATCTATCGCTACTACCTTAGGTCCTTAGGTGCTGCCCCTCGCGGTTCCTTTGGGCGTTTCGTCGTGTATACGGTTAGAGATGGAAGGAGGATTGCGCTCGGGAGGTGACTTAATTCGATGGACTTCGTGCCCAATGCGGGCTTTACCATACACTCATCGGTTCGGCGCTCTTGGGTTTGTCTTCTCACTTCGAGTTTTCTACCTCTATTCTCTATAATCGCGCTGTGCTCCTTATGCTGCTACTCAGATGCAGTCTTACTACCATAATACTGACCCTGGTCCCATGGACAGCGATGGGTCTGTGACCTTAAGCCAGTCAAGATCTCTGTTACCCTTAAACCGGTCCCGGACATCGCTGACACGTACGCATCCATATTCAAATCCGGCGTTTGCTAGGACGCTGGCTACTTTGACTACCCCTCGGTCGCTTGGCACTCCGGATGCTCCCAACCGTAAGGTCCGCGCTTCGGCATCCCCCAGCGCCGGCCCCGAGCTTCCTGAGGAGGACGTGGAGGATGACGACGAAAGAGCGATATTTCATAGCGAGTACAATCGGCTCGCAGACAGGGTGGCCACCCCATCAAATCCCGGGTGGACCAACGTGTCCGCTAACTGGGAAGATCTAGTATGGCATACGATTGCTTACGCCGGTGGGCTTCTCCTCGAGCAGCGTAAGTGAAGCGATAGAATATCCAAATAAACAACCTGCTCAGCGGAAATAGGATGAAAACACGCACAGCTCACTACCGTGTCGAAAAGCGAGTTGGCTCTCCAAAGCTCTGCGACGGGTTTCCTCTGGCCAGTCGGGTAAATCGACACAGACCGTAATTACCAAGCCAGATCGAAAGCCGCTCCGGCACCGGCGAAGCATCAGCAACGTTGCCTTGAACCTCGCAAACCAGCCAAGGAAAGACGGCTTGAAGAACAAAAATGTCCCGGCGTTGGTCCGACTATGCGGGGAGAGCCTTTTTCACTTGCCCGCGGAATACGCGCCGTGCCCCCTGGTGTTGCCAACGTGCCTTCGCTCGCTCGCCCAGGCTCTCGTACAGAAAGGTCGGTTAGAGAGCGGACTCGTCTCCTGTCGTAACGTGGTAGCTGATTCGTCCCCATAGCTGATACGCGAGGCATCTTCCGGGTCCCTGGTTCCTCCCGGGTTGTAAATACGCTCTATAATTACTACTACGCCGACGGCGACGCGGACGATATCTCTAGCACTGCTCGATGCCCGAGCCTGCCTGCTCATATCAAGTACGGTATCCACGATGTTGCCTCTGCTTTCAAGAAATTTCTGGTCGGACTGCCGGGTGGGATTTTGGGCTCTTTGTCCCTGTTTGACGCCCTGGTTGCCATCCATAGCCAGCTTCGTGTTGACGGGAGGCTCACCAAGGCCGAAGAAACACAACTGCGCGCGCGGTTGATCGCACTCGCGATCGCGGCCGTAAAGTCTCGGTACCAGAGGGAGCTTATCTGTGCCGTATTTGGCCTCTTGTGCTTCATCGGGACTCTGGCGGAGGATGCACCTCACGAAGATGAAGCCGGGCGGCCGCTTCCGGCAACTGACTTGATGAGCTATAACGCTTTAAGCGTCGTATTCGGCCCCCTCCTAGTAAACGACTTGATCGACTTCTACAAAATGCGAAGCGCGGATCCGGAAGGTGAATTGCTATCACGTCTCCCGTCGCCTCCTAAATCCCGGAAAGAGAGGCATAAAAAATCCATGTCTCAAGGGGACGAGTCAACATCTCCACCGGCGATAAGCAAAATACACGTCGCGAATAGCGTCGCGGAGATGCTAATTATACATTGGAGAGAAGTCGTTCAGCACATGAGAAGCTTTGACAGATTGAAAGCTGTGAATAAGGTGGAGAAGGTCCGGTTAAGTGCAGCATGCCCGGATCCGCTCGCTCTGGGAAAGACACCATGCCAGGACAAGCCCGGGTTGTCTGTCTGGCAGGAGAATAGGGGCGCTCTCCCCGTAGTTAGAAGTCCGACACCAATACCCCGTAAGCCTATGTATTCACTCGCCATCCAGGCTGCTCAGTTCTAACGGCTAGAGTCAGGTACTAGCTTAGCAACACCACGGATGGGCGCCGAGGACCAACCGGAACCACTATATACTAAGCGGCAACAGCCGCGGCCGTCTGGCGCTGGTGTGACACACAGAGCCTCTGCGAAAGTCCTAGCCAGGTGCCTTTCGCCAACTGTTGAGGAGAGTCCACCGGCCGATTGCAAAGAGATGAACACAAGCCTCGTACGCGACCTGGTGGAATTATCGACCGGACGAATCTTAGTTAGACAAAGTTGCCGAGGATCACCGCAAACCCCTGGGACAGAGAGACCGACAGCTAATGGCGAGGGTGGGACTCAAGGCGGGATGGCGATCGATTCTAAGCGGCTGTCCGAGAGTCGGACAATTCCATCTTTTGATGGTAAGCGCATGGGCATACTTGCCCCTAATGCCGGAATTCCGGGGGATTGTGGGACATCCGGAAGCGAAGCGTCGTTGCCTGGGGCCAGGCCACCCATTCTTGAATGTGACATCGCCGATGCCGGTTTATCGGCAGTAGCCAAGAACATTGTGGATGCCGGAGAGATGGATTCTCAAATTATGTGTCCTCTAAGGAATTCAAGATCGCCGACTAGATCGCCGTCTGTGTCTAAATGTCCTCCTGATATCGGGGTTGGAGAGTTCGTTGCCCAGGTACAGAATACGGCTCCCGTTCAACAGTGGGACGAACCAGCCCAAGCTAGGGGGACAAGCACAGAATCACCGACGGAAGACACCAAAGAAAGGCGTCTAAGGCGGAGTCCAGGCTGTGTTTCGTTATGGCTAGGCGAAAAGGCGTCTGCCCCAGGTGATCAGAGACCGGGCACACCAGAATGGAAGCGGCAGCTCGTGATTAAGAGGGGTAATGGAGAGAAGAAATCACCGGCGGTCCCGGATGGGGAGAAGAGTCTGCTTGGGAAAACACCCCCTGGAAGATCTCGGGAATTGCCGCCATCGGAACAGTCAGGTCCCCTTTCGCCGACCAGGAGTTCGTATAAGGCGAAAAGCCAAACCGTCTTGCAGCGCTCGGGCTCGATGCTGGCCAACGGTTCCGTAAAGGCTATGGCTGCACGATTCGACACTGCAGCCAACGGTTCTCCTGAGAGTCGGAGTGCGATCCGTATGGGTAGGGAGTCTAGCGAAGTTACTTCCACCTCCTCAAGAACTCGGTCCGGGGAGGGGAACCCGCGTAACGCAGCCCTAGGTCGGCCACCGGGCACGGGAATCAGGATTCCTGACCGAAACCCCCCATCCGCTATCCAACACGCCGTCACCCACACCCACCAATATTCGTCAACTCATTCTCCTTCTCCCTCCATACCGCCTCCGCCGGGATCCGACGCGGACAACAGTGGGAGTGTATCACCTAAGGGCCACCCGCTACCCGGATCGCGGACGGAAGAGCCTGGGCAGCGGTTGCTGGAGCTGCAGCGGCGACTCGACGCAGTGCAGTGCGAGGTAGAGGTGTGGCGCGAAAGGGCCTAGAGGGCCGAGAAGTAGGTCGCTCGCCTCAGGACGAATGCGGCGAGGAGTGCTTTTGGGGATGGCCAAGCCAACAGGTTGAAGTCCGGCCTTGAGACGGGGGGGGAGGAGAAAGAAGGAGAGGTGGGGGGGGGGGGGGGATGGGAAGGGAGTGAAAGCGGAGTCAGAGGAAGAGGGTTGGACGGGACCATTCCCTCGTTGTCCACACATTCGCCAGAACACGCCGGAGGCGCCAAGGGTAAGGAAGACGAGCTGTCGGGGAGATGAGGACTCGGGCGGCGTAGAGAGAGTACCGGTACCGGAATCGGAGATGGCAACAGCTGCTCGGGATACGACTACGGCGATGTGTTGACGGCGGTAGAAACGCGACGACAGCGGCCGCACCAGAAAAATAGCAGCATGTCAGACGGCGTAACGGCAGAGCTATAAGATACCTACCCGTTGCAGGTATGCTCGCTGTTTGTGATACCGGTAGGGGAGCTAGCCGATGACTGAGTTGGGCGCGACGAGGGTTGTGGTTGTGCCTCCTCTCTCTCCCTTCAGCCGCTCTGGGGATCGGTTAGGTATCGGATAGGATAGAACATGTTGCCTTGAGTGTTTAGGAGCTTAGACGAGTAGAATACCTTGCCTTGCTTAGGTATAGGTAGAGGGTATGGGTTAGGCGACTATGCCAGGTGTATGTATCCGTCTCTGCCGGCCCGGCTTGGAGCGTGCGGGGGTTTCTATACCTACGGTTTCCTTGCCGGTTGCGTAGACTCCTCGCCCCCCGCCCTCTCTGCCCTCTATCTAGCTGATAGTAGGTATATGAGGTAGTTAAGGTACCTAGGTATTCCGAAAGGGTGCGGAGGTAGGTATACACAACGGACTTAAAAAAGTATAAATCTTAAACAACTTATAAATTTATTAGCGTTATTATACAGAAATAACCAAAAACAAATACACTATATACCTATATATATATATGCCCGATGCCGACTCAATCTTACTTGCTGCCGAAGTTGGAGACGAGGCGACCTGCCAACTTGGGAGCTACCTCCCGTCGTCGGCGGAGAGCGGTCGGATGGGGGGGGTACTTAGTTGGTAGGTCAGCTCGACTCGACCCAGCAGCTATGCCTACGTGTTATATCGGTACGATTAGGTACCGCTTAGGGGGGGGAAGTGTGCTGAGTATAAATGCTCGGTGCCTACGGGTAGGTATATGCCTTCTATAAACCTAGGTACCTAGGTAGGTACCTAAGGTAGGTAGATACAGGTACCCAGGGCACCCAGGTCGACGTAACTGGCGAACTGCTCCGGGCAGATCCGGCCCGGAAAGGAAAGGCGGGCTGGGGAGCTTGGCGCGGATTGGTCGCGGATACCCCAGATTATCGGGAACTTGGACCTGCCTAGGGTGCGAATCCTTTCCCTTCTTCTCGCCTCCCTCCTCTCTCTCGCTCTATGCGACCCGTCGATCTACACGTACCAGACAGAACCCGCCAACGAGTTCACTACACAAAGACCACGCCAGGACCATTTTGAGGGGAAATTTTGCTCCTTCTCACCCTAGTTCCCCGTTGGATTTGCCCCACCTCGTCTCGTCTCATTTCTACCTTCACCGTTTAGAGATAGAGATAGCGGAAAAGGAGCGAGGCTCCGCCGTGGCTAGAGGCCTAAGATCGCCAGACCCGCGATTCGCCCAATTCACCCAGATGCGACCGCACGGCTGAAGATGATCGACCTCGGGCGCCCATCATCCCTACATTGCTGCTACGCTAACATACCGTCCTACGAACCTCGAACCGAGCTGGAGCCCGCCTCTGGCCGACTTACCACACCCCCGGCATCATGACGAGACGGATAGTAAGTCCCTTATCTACATGCCTTCCTGTGGAGAAGACACAGAGTCAGCTAGCTAACCGCCACATCTTCTTGCCCCCCCCCTACCCCCTCAGGTCCGCACTATATCCCAGCTCACTGCGGCCGCCTTCATCGCGTTCCTCCTCATCTTCTTCCTCGACCGCAATTTTCGCCTCCTCCCCCACGCCGTCCACGAGTACATGCCCCAGCACCATCACGGGCTCCTCGTCACCGATATAACCATCACCGCTTGCTCCAAAGTCAACCTCTTCTCCTCCTGCAAGCTCGACTCCGGTGTCTGGCAGCGCGTCGACAAGAACCTCTACCTCGACAAGTCCTGGGTCTCGAGCGCCTACGTCCACGTCCAGCGGAAGAAAGAGGAGGACCTCACTCCCGAGGATAGGATCATCGTCGACGTCACCATCAGCCGCTTCGACCCTTCCAAGTCGGAAAAGGCACGCCCCGACGAGAAATGGGAGTCCCGCCCGGCAGGCCTGTGGGTGCTGCGATCATCGAGGCGAACCGCGAGCGACTCGAAAAAGGCCATCACGTCGGTCGATGTCCTCTTCGGCGATGACGCTGTCGAGGCCCGCGACGGGTGGGAGCTCCAGAACACGCCCCTACTACTCGGTGCTGGCACCGACATACCGGTTCCCCATCTCACCGTCCGACGCGGCAGCCCCGTCGAGCCCGTACGACCGCAGCCGCAAATCAATGACAATGGGAAATTCAAGATAATGCAGTTGGCAGACTTGCACTTGAGCACGGGGGTCGGTCACTGCAGAGACCCGGTCCCCGACGGCTACGAGGGCGGGCCTTGCCTCGCGGATCCGCGGACCCTGGACTTCGTATCCAAGCTGCTGGACGAAGAGAAGCCCGACTTGGTCGTTCTCAGCGGCGATCAGGTGAACGGCGATACCGCGCCCGACGCGCAGACGGCTATATTCAAATATGCGCAATTGTTGATCAAGCGTAAGATTCCCTACGTATCGATATTCGGTAACCACGACGACGAGGGATCGTCGCTGCCGAGAATGGGCCAGATGGCGCTTATCGAGCAATTGCCCTACTCGCTCTCTGTAGCAGGGCCGGATGACATCGACGGAGTCGGGAACTACTACGTCGAGATCCTCGCTCAGGGCACCTCGAAGCACTCTGCACTCACGATGTACTTGCTCGATTCCCACGCCTACTCGCCAGACGAGCGGCAGTGGAGCGGCTACGACTGGATCAAGAAGAACCAGATCGACTGGTTCCGGCAGACTTCAGAGGGCCTGAAGAAGAAGCATAGGGAGTATACCCACATCCACATGGATATCGCCTTTATCCATATCCCTCTTCCCGAGTACCGGGATCAAGACTCGCCGCACGTGGGCCCCTGGAGGGAAGGCGTCACAGCCCCCAAGTTTAATTCGGGGTTCCGCGATGCTCTAGTCGAGCAGGGCATCGTCATGGTCAGCTGCGGACAGTAAGTCTTTTCTTCTTCTTCTTCTTCTTCTTCTTCTACATCCGTACGTGGTTCTCTCCGTAGCCCCCGGCTAACATCGAAACCTCGCTTAGCGATCACGCCAACGAATATTGCATGCTTTCGACGAACAAAACCACGAACAAACCCGAACTGTGGATGTGCTACGGTGGCGGCGCCGGGTTCGGAGGGTACGGCGGGTACGGAGGCTTCGTGCGGAGGGTGCGGTTCTTCGATATCGATATGAACGGCGCGCGGATCACGACGTACAAGCGGCTCGAGTACGGCGATACCGCGGCCCGCATCGACCAGCAGATCATCGTCGACGGAGGGAGCGCTATCGCGCCTAGGCAGAAGAGGTGAACGCCGTATATATAACGGGGGATCGAGGAAATTCTCCTCTGATAGGAAGCTACGAACAGATATCACGTCGCTTTTACGCGGCTTAACGCCCACATGCGCTGCCGGGAATTGGGAATCCCGCCCAAATTGCCGCGCCACCCCAGCAGGCTGGGCGTCGAACCCCGGATCGAGAGCGCGGCGACGATTAGATGCGACTAGGCACGACGACGACAGAGAGAGGCGGGGTTTAAGGGGGGGGCGTTCCGGAGTACGATAAGAAGAAGAAGGGCTCTCCCCGGCAGCAGCGACGGCAGCAGTATATGCTATTCCAGCGTCGTTACGGATAGGATAGGTCGCCTTGCAAATGTAGGTACGAGAGAGGATACAGACCGCGACCACCACGTATACCTATGGTACGCATTTTTTTTTTAATGGCGACGGTCTTGCGGAAGGGGGAGAGAAATAAAAAATTACAGATACGACGACCGTGTGATGAGCGCAAGAAGTAAATATTCTTATCTATGTGCTGGAATCCCCGTGAACTTTTTTTTATGTAAAAAAAAAGATTCATAAGTTTGAAATAAGATAAAAACACGGTGCCGGCCCGACGTCAAGACGAGAGAATTCTTCGAGAAACTCGTAGGAAAAGGAGTTGCGTATGAGGAGACGTTACGGGTCATGCCAGGTGGTCAGTGCGTTGCGGGTTCACGAGGACTCGGGTATTTCACCTACTCCATTTATTTACGCCGTGCAGAGGAACGAATCTCCCTTTTAAGTCTCTTCCTCTCGGACCTCCTCAGGAGAGCGTGAGGGAAACGGGCAATGTAAGCGCAGCACCTTGATGGGTATAATGTCTCATGCCTACCCAACTGCATCGCTCGCCCGGGGCTCGTATTATCATCATATGCTTATCTACTCGCTACTGTCGCTCCGCTATCCCTCCCTACGAGAGGGAAACCCCCCCAAAAAAGAAAAGGAAGTAATCAACTACTCAGGGGTTGTGACAAGCAGTAATACAGTAATACAGTAAATCACATTGTCCCCAATTCCTACAACTACCCAGCAGCTAGGCTGCGAGCCGACTTACGTGGGTGTGCCGCGTCTAACGTCCCATCCACCTATCCTCCTCCTGTATGGTATCCCCTGCCGGACACGCGGGGGAGCGAGGCGGAGAAAGACAACCCGAGAAAAAGACGGATATCGGCGGGTAGGTACAGGGCGGTACGGATTCCCCCCCCCCGAGATCCCCGCCTCCATCCATATCCATTTCCACTTCTCTTTTCTCCTCCATTCTCTCCGGCTTTGCCGACCGCGGAGATGGGAGAACGAGCAGACAACAAAAACAAAAACAACCGAACCGGACAGAGCATAGGAAAAGTTGGAGAAGAGATGGCTCCAGTCATAATCTGACATGTGTGCTCTGGTATCGAGACACAGGTCGTCGGCCAACGACCTAACAAGACGCGGGTGTGGGTGCAGATATTTTCCGTGCGTCTCGGGGGTATAAGTGAGTTGTTCTCTCCCCTGACATTGCCCCGGCCGTTGGGGTTGGGGAATTTCCCCAGGCTTCTTTTCCTCGTTCACCGTGTACTGGCTATGCCTTCGCATCTTATCACGCCGTGCCCCCAATTCACGGCAGCTCCCTCTCCTATTTCTCGTCCGACCCTTGCTTTTTCTCCTTTTCCTCGCCCTTCTGTGCCATCTTCCGCCGGCGGGCCCAGCGGAGGAAGCTGGTCGGGGCCCTGAGCGCGTGGCTAACGCGGTGGCCGCCGCGCCGGTAGGTCAGGAGCATGATCCGTCTGCGAGTTCTGTAGCGCGCGTTCCACTTCGAGTTTTTGCCTCGCTTGCCCTTGCGTCGCGAGAAATGCTGCCTTATCATGGCCACGAGGTTACTGCCCTCCTTGAGCAAAAGTTGAAACATCTCATCCTCGAACGTATTCTCTTTGGCGGCAGCGGGTGCCAGTTGCCAGTGGCGTCCGGCCTCCGGAAGCTCGAGCAGGTTACCACGTTCCCAGTCCATCATGCCGCGACCGCCGTGCGCCACGTCCGCATTATCGAGCCGATGCCGGTCGCGGCGCACAGCGCGGGTAGCGCGGCGGCGGGTATTCCTCTCCTCTCCGAGCTGGTCCTCCGGCGCGGTCAAAAGTGCGTTATCGCCTGATTCCGACGCTTTGAGTACTTGCCGGATCGCGGCGGTTATCTGGGCGCGCTCGTCGTCGGTGTAGCGGCTCATATCGATCTGTAGCAGTGGCGGGCGTACCTCCTGGGGCGGCAGCGGAGGCTCTATTCGTCGTGGCTGCACCCGATTAGAGGCACGCGGCGGCCGGTAATCCTCGGGCGGCGGCCATCGGCCTTGCTGGCGCATCTGCAGGAGGTCGAGCACCGCCTCGCCCCAGTACGTGGCGTCCGAGACCTGATTCCGCTCATCAATGACGCTGTTACGCGAAGGGATGCCATCGCCGCTGACTGATAGAGGATGGGAGGGTTAGTTATAAGTTACAAGTCAGTAGGCTGGCACGTTAGGAAAAGGGTTCGGCGACCAGTTACGGGCCGCTCCGGGAGGAGCCGCATTTCTCTTGGCCTCTGCTGGGGGCCAGGGAGGAGATGAGGGAACGAAGGAAGATGAAAGAGGGGGAGGAGACGAGGGAGAGGGAGGAGAAACCTACCGCGCATGAAGCGCACGGAAAACATGCCAGGGTGGATGATGTGCCAACCGCCGGCGATGCCGCCGGTTCTCGCTACTCGCATCAGTATGTGCCACAAGCGGTGGTCGAAGGGGTCGAGCTCGAGCTGGCCAGCGCGGCGCTGGTGGACGTACATGACGATAAAGTACGGCGCGTCGGGGTCGTTGCCGAAGGGGGCGCGGGGTAGCGGCATGCGGTAGACCTCGCGCGGGCAGGCGCGGAAATCTCGGTTCGGCATCTGCCTAAGGTCGGCGAGTGTGGCGGCGTCCTCGTTGCGGAGGGTGGCGTACTCGTCATCGTCGTCGTACACGCGCTCCGCGGCGATGTTGAGCAGAGGCACGTCGTCGACCGTGCTGAAGCGCACGGGTCGCGACCGCCGGTCCGTCGGCGCGGGGCTCGGCATGTATGGGTCATCGCCGATGCGTAGCCGCGCCAGATGCATTCGCAGATTGCACACCAGCTCCTCGGTAAGCACGCTGTGCGACGAGTCGGCGGGGGCGGGCGGCACGGCGTCGAGAGGCGTCTCGGGGTCCCGAGTCTCGGGGACGGGGACCGCGGGTCCAGAGAACACCGGGACGGGCGGGCGGGGGCGCGTCGGGGACGGAGGGTAGATCGGTGGCGCGCCCGAAGATCCCTCCGAGGCCGGGGCCATAAGTTCCTGATCAGAGGACGTGCCCGAGCCCATCACCATGCCGCTGCCGCGGACGGGAGAGCGAGGGGGGCGAGTGGGGACTCCTGGGGGGGGTTGCGCTCGGAACGGCGGCGGCGGGCCAAACAGCGTGCCGAAGCCGATTATCGCGCCCCTGCCGCCGACGGGAGAGCGAGGAGGGCGAGGGGGAACGCCTAGGGGGGTTAGCGCTCGAAGCGGCGGCGGCAGGCCCAACGGCGAACTCAAACCGATTATCATGCTTCTGCCTCCGACGGGAGGGCGCTCGGGGCGAGGGGGGACGATGGGGGGTCCTCGCTGGGTCCGGGGGGCAATAGGACTGGGCGTGCGAGGAGCAGCGATCCTAGCGCCGTGGCGGCCGCGAGTGCTGTCTTGGCTAGGGCTGGCGACTGACTGAGTAAACTGCTGCTGCGGTTCCTCATCTTTATCTTTGTCGCCGCCGGACGACATTCTGGGTCTTCTGGGTCTTCCGACCTGGATACGGGAAAGGGAGCCAGGTGGATGGGGATTTGTGCGTATGTGGTTGCGGCTTTGGGTGCCCGCGTCAGTGCGTCTGGACTCCGGGAGGTGACGTGTTGCTAGCTAGCTGGTAGCCGGTGGGCGTATAAGAGATCGAGGCGGCGGCAAGAGAGAGAGAGGAGAAGCGAGTTGAGGAGATGAGGGGGGCGAGAGGGGACAAGCGTGTGAAGGACCCTACCCAGGCCGGTCGGGAATCGATCCAGATGCCTCAGCTGGAGGTGGGCGAGAGAGGCTCGGGCGAGAAATCTGCTGGCTGGGTGCCCTGGGCGTCTTGGTTGAGAGCTGCGGCCCAGGGTGTCCGTCTTGTCTATCTGAAGAAGCGCAGATGTGTGTTGACCTGGTTCAGAAGATGCTCAATTCCTAGCATGGGTTGTTTGGTTGAGGAAGAGGAGAGGACAGGGAACCAAAACAGGAGATCAGAAAGAAAGAGTTTTCTCCTTCTCTGTGTGGTGTATGGGGGCAGAGTATTAGTCAATGTCCTGTTGAATCGCCCTGACGATGGAGACGAAGGTGGCGAGACTCGAGGAGATTCTGTTGAGGATTAGTCGCCCTGTTGGCCTACAGCCCCTGGCAATAGTTGAACTGCAGAGCTCCCCCGGGCTAAGAAGACCCAGACGAGAGGCACAAAGTAATGCCAGTCTGTATACCGTTATATGATCTTCTGGCCAGAGCCGGTGCTGGTTCACGAAGCTAGACGGCTGGCCTATATCACGGGCCCCTGTGTGAAGGTGGGGTGAGGAGGGATGCGTAATGATTTTCGTATTATAATAACATTGAATTCTCTCCAAAGCGATGGATATCAAACTGGATAGCAACTTTACAATGGGCTATTGTTGTTCGTGAGGTTTCGTTGTGCAGGCAGACAAGCTGGAGAAGAGAGATGGGTAAATAACAGAGGGTCGGCACAGCTTCTGTCCATCTACTACTCCTTCCTCGTCTTCACACATGGCCTTGGAGGGAGACTGCCTACCTGGCATCTCCCCTGGGCAGGCAAGTGCCACGGGATGCCAGATGTCAGGGACAGCAGCAGCAACTCTCGCCGCCCCGAGGGCATTTTCATGACGTCCTTTTGCGCTTGGATGATATTCAGGGAGCTCCGACCCGAGTTTGTCTCGTCTCTGGCCGGTACGCAGGTACTTATCTGAGCCGCCTGCAGCGAATTGTTTTCAGTGCCCAGGGCAGAAGCAAGTAGGTCGGAAACGGGGCTTGCTCAGAAACCAACCACCAGGCTCTCGAGACAAGTGAATAGGTAGGTATCGGCCAAACCAAATATACCTTCTTCTCAACCACCCAAGGCAGGCCTGGCACACTGTGCGTAGGTGTACCTGAGGCACCCGAGGAAACCTGCAGGTTGCGGGATACCTAGGTAGGTAGATCTTCTATACCTCGCTTTTTTTCCTCCTCCTCCTCCACCTTGGAGGCATCCAACCTCGGGTGTGCCCTATATACCTACCTCTTACCTACCTTGATCTAGGTATACCATAGGTGGCCACCTATAGCTACCTAATATACCGACCTGCCTCAGACCTATGCCAACCTATCTATCCTCTTGACTGCACCAGTCTTAAACTCCCTAGCTCATTCATCATTGCAATTCCTCTACCCGTGCTCGACCTTGGTCCGTATATCCTCCCATCCGCGCCCGTCCCTTCCCGTGCCCACTTACCCGTACAACCCAAACCCGCCCGCTTACGTACCCCTTAACCCCCCGTCCTTATCTTGATCTTCACGTTTACGATATTGCATCTGGACATGGCGCCTTTTTCCGCAAGAAATTACTCCGTTCATCACCTAACGAAAAGATTTCATCTCGAGTTTCATATGCATGTTGTGGGTTTGTAGATTTCTTTCACTTATTTGTTTGACTTATCTGGTCTAGCGTGTGAACCTGAGTATTTCCTATGCCGGTTGAGGTGTGGGGGTTCTATGTCGGTAGGTTCGGTCTATAGAAGCTGTACGTGTTCGACATATTCGAGAGCCTGCTAGCGGACGAGCCGAAAAACAGGCTGGGTTGAGGAGCCGGCCCGTCCGTCCGTCCGTCCGTCTAGACATCCATCCGCGACCACAGCAGCATCCGTCAACCTCCTTTCTCCTGTCCAACTCTTCCGGGGAAGATTTCCGCCGCACTCGGGGCGAGCTCGTCGGGCTGATGCACGGCGTAGGTCACGTAGTCGGAAGCGACGGGCTTGGAGAGAAACCGTCACCGTTGCTGCTGTCGCTGTGTCTCGGCCGCGACCGGCACGCGCCGGTGTTGGGCGCTTAGACGCCGGCGATCTTGTAGATCTCCTCGAGGGGCTTGAAGTCCTTCTCGCCGGCTTCGCCGGTCTTGCCGCCGAAGACGAGCTGAGCGTTCAGCTGCCAGGTCTCGGGGATGCCCCACTCGTTGGCGACCTTGGCGTCGATGAGCGGGTTGTAGTGCTGCAGGTTGGCACCGACGCCCTCGGCCGACAGGGCGGTCCAGATAGTGAACTGGAGCATGGCGTCGGTCTGGGACGCCCAGACGGGGAACCGGTCGCTGTACAGGGCGAAATCCGTTTGCATCTTCTTCACGACAGCCTGGTCCTCGAAGAACAAGACCTACTTGCGACGTTAGCAATCAGGTATATGCCTCGGACGTCCTCGCCCCTCCCTACTTAAGGACCGGGGGACTTACGGTTCCGGCGCCGGCCTTGAACGAGGCAATGCGACCGGCGGTGCTCTCCCACTGCTCGGCCGGCACGATGGCCTTGAGGACGTCGGAGGTGATATCCCAGAGCTTGTCGTGGTCAGCGCCGAAGACGACGAGGACACGGTTGCTCTGGGAGTTGAAGGAGGAGGGGATGTGCCTCAGCGCATCCTTGACGATCTCCTGGACGCGGTCCGTGGAGATGGGCAGCTCCTTGTTGAGGCCGTAGATGGTGCGGCGGAGCTTGATGAGGTCGATGATGGTGCCGGTCTTGGTAGCCATGGTGGTCGGGTTGGAAGCGGCGGTCCTAGGCTGGGGCTTGACGGCGGAGCACTGGTGTGAGCTGGTAACGAATAGCCTCTGAGGGTTGCAGGTGCCGAGAGGGAGAGATCTGAGAGCTGAGGATGCTCGTAAGAGGGCGGTGGCAGAAGAGGACGAAGTGAGGGTGGCCGAGGTAGTGGAGAGTCTAGAGAGGGACCAGACAGCTGAGGTGAAGAAGTGCGGACGCATGACGGACTAAATATTGTACGGCGGAAGAAGAACTCGAAGGTACAAAGGAAAATACATGCAAGCAGCAACGGAGGCAGCAGCGGCAGCAGCAGCGGCAGCGTATGTAGGAGAGAGAAAGAAGGAAGGGCGAGGCAAGAATCAAGGACCAGAGCCGGGACGGGCGAGCCAATAATGGGCCGGGAGAGCAGCCAACAAGGCACGCCATCGCCCTCGCCCTGTGCCGACACGACCCACCTACCTAGGTAGGTACCTCTAGGGATAGGTACCTCCAGGGATAGGCACCTCTAGGGGTGGGAGGTAGGTAGTACTGTACCTCCTAACCTTGCCTACCATAGGGGTGGGCGCCAGTAGTCGGGCAGGCGGCAGAGGTACCTACCTAAGATCATAGTGTGCGGGCCAACACCCGACCTCAGTCAAGCTCCACATAGGAGGTACTGTACATACGTCCGTCGTAGCTCCAAAACGGGAATGCGCGAGATACCTACCTCAGAATTGAGATTATCTGCCTCCTCTCACCTTAGGTAGGTACCTCCTAACCTAGGAGGAGGAGACGGGGTACAAGTGCGGACGGTGCGTGATGTAGTAAGAATGATACGTCACCCTACACCCTACGACCCTTGCTTTCACCGCCGACTCTGCTGCTGCGGCTGCTGGGTCACCCGCAGGAATGAGCGCCAGCCAGGTAGAAATCGTACAGGCTAGCGCCTCAGTCGGGTTACATAAGGAGAGATGTGCGACGTGCGAGGCAGGTTCTTATTACCAAGCGACGGGGGCCGGCTTGGTCATGTTATCCACGGCCACGTACCTGAGGTAGGTAGGTAGGTATGTATCCATTCCCTCCGAGATAAGGGAGCGCGGACAAGGGAATGCTCCTCCGGGACAGATCGATACTCTAGATTGCCGTTGCGGGGGTGCCCTTATTTCTTTGCATGCAAACTTGCCGCTTCTTCACGTGCGGCTCTGCTGGCAAATAGGGCAGGTTCCTAGACAACCTACCTCTATCCAAGGTTACAGAGGCTAGACGGTATTACACGATTACACGGCCTTCCTCTTCTTCCCTTAGGTGCCTCCTCTCACTCTCTTACAATCCGGGTTTGGTAGCGCACCTATGCAAGTCCAAGCTCGGTGCTCTGTTCGGTCGTTCCAGCACTCCCCCCCGCCAGCTGCGGCCCCGCGCAGGTTCTGCTATGACTTGGTAAATCAGACCCGCAAGCATAATAGCGCTAGGTGCCTGTGTCCCTCCCCACCCTGCCCCTCCATCACCCCACCTCCTATGTCCCCATCGTCGCAGCTACGCTCCAATCAGGCACTGCGGTGTGCCGGTGTGCGTGCACGTAGCTACGTACTCCGCAGGGTCCTCGACCCCTCCCACCCTCATACCACGGTGAAAAATGGCCGTCGTGTACTGTACATCGACTTACGGAACGGAGACAGTCGTGTTGCGCCAACGTCGGATCTTGCTTACGCATGTATCCGTAATCCTTCTTCTCCCGATTTCCAAACAATTTGAAATCCGATTTCGACCGCCAGTCCTGAATCCGTCCGTCCCCTCTCCGCCCGCCACGCCACCCGGGTACCCGACTCGGGTACACGCCCGACCAGGTACCTAGGCAGGTACCGTTTCTCACAGAGATCGCTTACGTCAGGTATCTATCTACGGCAGGGAGAGACGATGTGCAGAATGGGTCCGATAAGGTGGGGATCGAGCAGGAAAAGGGGGGGGGGGGTTGGGAGAGGAAGGGGGGTGAGAGGGAATATCACGAACACCTCTTTTTTCCCCTCTCCCTCTTCCTTCTCCCTCCGTCTCTCGTCCTCCCTCTCTTTTACCCGCGTCTCTCGGCCGCCGAGATTCTCGACAGGATGCGGCTACTAAGATAACGAAGTGTCGGGTCGAAGACGACCAGGCCAATATTATTCCTCTTACCCCGCGATTCGCAGGCTAGGCGTCCGCGCATCCGCCTCTTTAGCCGCCGAAGCGCTGTCGGCACTGCGCTCGCACGCCCTCCTCGCGCGCGCAAGACCTCGCTTCCGGCGCTTACTCTACTACCCTACTGCTACCGCGTAATAGCCGTCATCTGTCTATCCCTTCTACCCTCCATCTATCGCAATTAATCTGCCCCCGTCCTCTGTCGGCTGTGGGGAGCGAGGGCGAGTCCATCGCGAGAGAGAAATGGAGGGGGTTTGGCTTGGGTTGGATCGGCCGTCCTGCTCGGCCGTTCTCGGTGCTTTCTTTCTTCCTTTGCTAGGAGGGAGGAGAGGGGAAGCGCCAATGACCTACGAACCGCCGAAACACACATATTCGGCAAACAGTTCGTCGACAGGTAGGGAGAGACCGTAACCGAACCCACGATGGTACAGAATGCTTGCCTGGCCCTGCTCGACGACCGGGAGTTAATTTAACCTCTGCTGCTACTTCGTTGTTCGCCCAGCGCGCGGCAGTGCTGCCGAGCTCGAGGCGTACGGGTAGATGTCCATATATTGTATGCACCTATCTGTACCCGTGCAGGCAGGTCTGTATGACGGCGTGTATCCCTAGTCTCCCTCCGCCGACACACACCACTAGTCAACGTTCCGATTGGACTCATGGGCCAGCGTTGAGATTTGTGCGATATGTTGCATGATCTTTGGGGTTGTTCCATCATAGCCTCTATCGGCGTTATCATACCAAGTATAACTAAACACAGTAATAATCACAGCGCATCCGCACACACCTACATGCAGCATAGAGAAAGAGAGGTATAGAGAGACAAGCCTCTAGTATACCTATATATCGAATCCTAGAAGAGCCAGCAATGGAAGTCATCCAATGGCTCGCCTACAGGTAAGTTGCCAATGCCTAACTGCGCGAAATACGCAATCGAATTATCATACCTACGGCCTATACCTCTCTGGCCTGTCATCACCTAAGGACGTACCTATATCCTAGGACCCTGCGATATTTAATAGGGGGCACCCTATACCTATTATTGAGACACAAGTACAAGGAACCCCCGCCCTCTCAACCGACGACCCCATCCATTCAACCAGATGAAAAATACTTGCCCATCAATCCCAGCCTAACCTTCAATCGCAGTCTATCGCTTACCGCCACAGGAGAACAAAGCGATGAGAGAAAGAGAGAGGCATATTCCCCCCCTCCCCCCCCCCTCCCCCACATGGTACCACGCTACGGAGATACGGGATATCTGCGACTGCTCAGCGGCGGCGATTCCGCGGGGGACGCGGGGTTAGCCCAGTCGCGAGCCCGCGGCCTTTTCGCTTTCTCTCTCTCACTGCCATTGGCCCCGCCACGCGAGATGGGTGCATAATAAAGGGCCTCAGGTTAAAAGAAACAACGCATTACTAAGGTCAGCTTACCTCACCTCACCTTACCTTAGGTTTCGTGCTGCAAGGCGCGTAAGCTGCGGTGGGAGGCTGCAGCGAGCCCAGGCAGAACGGCGAGGCTGCGGGGGATTTCGGTCTCATTGGGTTGCCGGCGGCGTCGTGCTGCCGCCCGCTGGGCCGCTTTCCGCATCGGGCAATTTTCGTCCTCCTCGACCTATCGCGTCTCGAGCTTTCCCCCCCCCTTGGCCCCCCAAAACGCCGCCCGGCAGCGCAGGTTCATTACGACGTCGCCCGCCTCAATCACCTCGCTCCCGGGATTGCTTAATAGTCGAGCCCTTCGCTGTCTTTTCTCCTACTACTAAACCACACTGACCCAATCACTACTGAGGCCCGCACTGACGGTCGAAACACGTTGCGTATTCTTTCGCACACAGGAACGGGTACACACGGTTTCGCAACTAGTTTCATTAGCATCTATGTACGGGTGCTACCAGGTATTATTATCCCGATCTCTGCCTAGATGGTCGTGTCAAGAGGAAATGCCCCGGAGCAACATTGCGTATGGCAACTACCCTGTAGCTATCTCGGCTACCTCGTGTATTCTCCTCTGTCCCTCCTGGCTTCTGTCATGTCCTCACATGCGGCAAGGTGCTCCATCGCACCACCGTAAAGCCAGCGCGAAAGAGCGATAAGAAATCCCCCCCCTTTTTCCCTCCGTAAATCGGACCCGGCCACCTCAGGTTCCTTAGTCTAGCGTGCGTGAGCGTCCCAACCTCCAGACCGTTTCTTTTGTTGTTTTGTTCTCTGAGAACGCCGGACGCTATGACCCAATAAATAAAGCAAAGGAAACTTGTTAAGCAGAGAGCGCTTAGGTATAGCCATAGCGCGTTCGGAAGCAGACGGGATGAAATCAAGTTCCCCGCAAACGTCGACGAGAGTGATACAGACCTCACCACGTCTCGGCGATGTACTGGCCGCCCTCCCTCTTGAGATCCCAGAATCTCTTGGCCTCGTCGTGCTCTAGGTTGCCCTTGAGCTTCGCCACCTTGATCAGGGCCTCCTCGACGCCTTCTCCCATCCCCTGGGTGCTTCCGCAGACGAAGACCCGTCCGTCGACCGAGTTGATGATGTACCATACGAGGTCTGCCTGGATCAAAACCTCGTCCTGGACGTAACGGCTCTCGCCACGTCGGCTCTGCACCACCTTCTTCACCCGATCCTCGTGCACTCCCCATTCCCCGCCGTACAGCTCGTCGACGAGCGAGTCGCGGACACCTTGAAGGACCCAAACCTTGTTGGCGCAATTCGCCTTCTTCAGGCGCCTCTGCACGAAGCCTCGGAACGGGGCGATGCCGACGCCAGCCCCGATAAGGAGCATCGGTCCATCGGACACGAATTCCTTGGCCAGAGGGTTGGCCATGAGGCCCTTGAACATGGGAATGTAGACTTTCGGGGCCTTGCCTCCCGCACGCTGGAGCTCCATGAACTTGTGCGATTGGCGCTCCAGGAAACCGGAGCCGACGCCTGTCCGCAGGCCCGTCCGCCAGTCGGCCGTCTCTTGAACGGTGACGGCTATCTCGATGAGACGGTGCTGCTTGCCATCGCGGATCTCGTAAGACTTGTGAGGGTCGTTGGAGAGGGAATAGAATCGCGGCATCAACTGCTGGAGTACGGAAAACAGCAGATCCAAAGGTGGCTTGGCAGAGGGGAAGGCACTGAGGATCTGGATGAGAGAAATGTGGGGCCCGGTCCTCAAGTCACAGAATATGCCCTGTCCCTGGCTAGAGCAAAGGAACATGAGGATCTTCTTCTCGTTGGGATCCAGGGCGTATTCGGCCAGGACTCGCAGGAGGGACTTGGTGGGCGAATAGGACTGGATGTCGGAGCACCAGGTGAGCAAGTCTCGCCGAGTGGTAACCAACTCCCGCGCTTCGTCCTCACCCCAGACGGTCGGCCACCGACCACGCGTGGTCCGAAGCAGTACAGGCTTATTGCGTAGGAACCGAGGGACCAAGAGCAGGTCAAAAACCTTCTCCACAGCCACGGGATCATTAGGAGCAGAGACGCCAATAGCTCCCCCGACCTTGAAGTCTATGCCTGTCTCCTCAGGATAATCGGTGATATCTATATCGAAATGGTAGGTACGCTTCTCGGCTCCGGGCTTTGTCAATTCGCGGGTGTTGTGAAGCCTAGCGGGGAAGACGTTGTATGGGCAGTGTGGTTGGACGAATGACGGGGGCTGAATTGAAGTATCCAGATCTTCGAGGGCGAGATTCCGAAGCTGGTCCGCAACGGTGGCTGGGCCGTCTTCGCTTCCGAGGGAGGACGTAGAGTCGGTGGGCGACGTGCTGCCCGAGACAAGCGGGAGGGGTTCGAGAAAAGTGAACTGTTCCGGCAGGTCTGGAATCTTAGTCAAGACGGTAGGAATGTCGTGGATTCTCAAGCACAGAGAGCGGAAGGCATCATTGTCAGGAAGTGGGACATGCTCATATTCGACACCCTCAGCCCCGTCCTGGGAATTCATACAGCAACCGCCGCCGCAGCATCGACTGATCAACTGCTGGGTGGACTCGCCCGTGATTCGACGGACATCAGCCGGGCTCTGGGCAATCAGCATCGTGGAAGCACGACGCCGTCGGGGCGTCTCCTCTGGGAGCTGCGGCTCATCCTGGTCCTCAGAGTCATCGGAGTAGGTAAGGGACGGCGCAACAGAAGGGGTGCTCGGGCCCTCAGGCGTATAGTCGTACACCACCGAGTCACCAAGCAGCTGCTGCTCCACGACAGAAGGCATGGTTACGGAGGCTATATTGGCAGGTGGGCAAGTGCCTCGTAGGGAAAACGGCGAGGTCAGTGTAGAGAATGGAACCAGGCCGGGCCGGTTGAGATTTGGCCTAGAGATGGTCAATTCAATTAACCGGCTCTGTCTGTAGCTTCCTGGAGGCACAGTGGACTGTGTGGGGTTTACGATATTGGTGGGTGGAGGGGTTGATTATGACGCGTTGGAGTCGGTCCTTTTTTCTGGTTACGCGTTGGGTGGTCGAGTAATGGGGGGTTCCTGTAGCAGCGCCTCCGAGCTGGTAATAGAATGTGGAGTGTTCAGGGTCCCGATATCCAGGATGCAGGACAGAATGACTGCGACCAGACGATCACGACTTGGGATGAGATGGTTATGAAGGAATCTGCTCTGTTGCGGGGAAACGTGAGCAGCCTAGGTAGTTGATGTTGCCGAGTCCAGGCGAGTTAGTGAACGGCGGGACTCTGGTGAACAAAGCTGGGACGGGACAAAGGATGATAGAACGACGTGCTGCAGGGTGTGAACGCAACTGATCAGGTGGGCGGAGGAGGGGAGGGTAGAGAATTGGTGCCGCCACTCAGTTGCCTACCCGCAGTCACAAACATGTAACTAGGGGAAAAAAGAGCTTGTGGGAAAGTGAAGGTGATTTTGGGGGGAGTGCGGGTATGTTGTATGAAATACGGCGGACGATCTCTAGGTAGGTTGGCGAGAAGGAAGGTTATGGGAGAAGAAGGGTTGACGGCTGGCGACAAGGGGTCAGCAGGGGTGTGGAGAAGGAGCCAGGGGCTAGGGCAATAGCCAAGCCAAGCAGAGGCAAAAAAGGCAAAAAAAGAAAAAGGTGCTATCAGATGGGCTTGCATTAAATCATATTTGCTGCGGGTCCCAGGTCGAATGTACCTCCGCGTCACCCATACATGCATACTATCCCTCTGCACATTAGGTGCATAACCCTACCTACGTACTCGTACATCGCATTAACCCGTGCAGAGGCTCGCCTCCACTCCTCCTCCATCCATCTTATGCCCCCGGCGTCTGATACTGTGTACATGTCCAAAGTACACTCTGTCCCCTACGGGCCTCTCCGATCCTTGCCGACGGGCGCGAGGAATCATCCATTGCTTTCCAGCTTCCCACGGCTCCTCAGTTTAGACGGGTTGCCCAAGTGCGCAGTGCCGTGGTAAAAGCGTGGTCCGCTGGTAGGACGGGATGGGATGCCTACGAGGGAAAGAAGAAGAAGAAAAAAAAGCATCCACAGCTACATATGCAATTTGGTCATCTTCCCTCTCGGACAGAAAGTTCTCCAACACACTTTGCCCTCGGGTTACCCAACATGAAGAGATCAGATAGACATCGTGCCAATGATCGGTCCCCCTAAGAAGGCATAGGCATCGCATTGGTCTACAAGCCCATAAGTTGCCTCATCTCGACATCATGTCCTTTCTGCGTGTGTGTGCTACGGAGTCCTACCGGACTCAACTAACTTCCCTGCCTTCTATGCGGATCACATTGTAGGTAGGTATATCAAGAGGTGGTGAGGTGGTATATATCATCATCAGGTGTGGTGTGCGTTCCAAGATACCGACTCCGATATCTCTCTCCCATGCCATCATCATTACCGGCATATTTTCATCATGGCTCTTGCTACTACCATCGCTCCCACGATGGCGAACAAATCCTGTCTCTTAACCGTCTCGGCTCACATGACCCCTCGGCAAAGCCCTAACTCTCCTTCTCTGGTCGGGTTGACATGGCTTAGCGCTGCGACGGCGTCGATAAGGCGACGGTGCTAACCGTGATGCTAGTTATCGCGGCAATGCTCTCTCGTAGCCAGGCTATTCTTTACGCCGCCCCGCGTCCCTCGGGCTGTTGCCAATCGCATGAGGCGCCGTGTTCCCTTTGTAGACTACCGCTGCGGCGATCCACCCGGGTTACTCTCGCGTGCGCCCCCCTCTCGCCCCAGACATGGTTGGTTTCCCTCCCTCTCTCTGAAGATTGCACAATATGTAATCATCACTTCCGCCATCTGGTCAAGTAGCATTGGTCCGTCGCTCGTGCGCTGGTCGGCCGTTACCCCGGATTCGTCTCCGCTCCACGAAAATCCATCCCCTTCTCGTCTCGACGCACATGCCCATAGCGCCTCTACACAACAATAACTAATATATGCACGCGTGTGTAAACGCCTGTAGCTGCCCAATGTCTCGACGAGACAACCCTGACGGCGAAGATGTAGACGAAAGCCCAGCGTGCCGACCCGGCGTCGTCGTCGTCGTCGGTTAGCGCTGCTTTGCGAGTCGAGAAGAGAGAGGGGGGGAGGACGCGCTCGACTCCCCACGTTAAATCGGCGACATGCGAAATGTGACAGGTAGCAACAGCCAACTGGTGGGATTCGGCGGCGGGTTTGGTATTACGACCCATCGCTGCTGCATGGGTGATCGGACGGGACTCTCGACGTGCAGAGATACCCAGGATTTCATCCTCTCGGCGCTAGCTGGCGGGCGAATACCACCGTCTCCATAGCCCGTCGCTGCTTGCCGACCGGGTGGAGCGTCGCGGGGACGCCACCTCTCCGGTCAAATATACGATAATATTGTGCGTGTGCGAGTCAAGTTTGGCCGGCGATCGAGTGGCACAAAGGATAGGATATGCCATCGTCATCCAGGAGCGTCCCGTGACGGGACTAGCGGTGTGGTCTAGAGCGCTCCCGTCCCTCTCTCGTCCTCTCTGTCTCGCATAAGCCGATGAGAACGGGGCGAAATTGCGTAGTGCGTCGCATGCAGGCTGTGCGTGTTGTATATCTGTCAGCAACAAACCTCCAAGCGATATATCACGAGAGGCATTCGCCGGAGAACGAATCGGCGGCTGCGTACGGCCCTGGCTCCTCCGTCCGCCAGAAGATTCGAAACATCGATAACGAATGCATACGTACATGCACACGTACATGCATGCACGTAACCGGGATAGCCTAGTGGTCGAATCTCGACCGATCGACTTCTCTCTCGCGCATAATTCGACCCGCACCGTGTCGGGTTCTGAAAACACAGTGCGCCAGACGGTAAGATGAAAGTACTGGAACCTACGTGTAGACCCCTCGCTACCTAGGTATCTACCTACCTATGCAGGTAGGCATACGTATACATATATGGTATGCACATACGCGATATGTTGGGCGCCCGGAAATGGGGTTCCGACGGGTAAGACAGACAGACAGTAGTAGTAGCCGCCCTTTTTTTGTTTTATTTCTGTCTCTCTTCATGTTAAATTCTCGCAAGATTACGGGCGGCCAGTAATCTTATCGATCAGCGGCCAGGTGCATAGCGCAGACGCCACGACTCGCTCAGCCAGCTGGAGCAGGCAGGCTTATCAATCTGATCGATCCCGAATATCCACCTGCGGACAAGTCAACGATAGCGAGAGCGACGTGCTGTGCACCAACAAACCGTTAGAGCCTTGGGCCAGCCCCGTTCCACGGCCCACCGCACATGTATACGTGCATACCACGCTGCTAGGGCCGTTAGGGGGGCCAGCCATTGCTGGGCACGTAGTAAGGTTCTAAAAAAAAAAAACTAAGGAGAAAACAGCGGAAATGCCCTCGTTTCGTGATCTCGCAATCTCCAGGAAACTGGAATAACGGCATACAGAACAAAAGCAAGCCAGCTCCGACATCGGTGGCCGAGAGAGTTGGTTTCCACCCTGTTTTGCCTGGGACAAGGAACCGCCGTTGTCGTGAGCCTACATATAAGGTTACATGGGCTGCGTCACAGCAGAAGACTAGGTACCTTGGGTACTTATGAAAATCAAATCTGATAACGCCGGACGGGTACTGGCGTAGCTCCATTTTCCCAATTCCCCGGGAAATGAATGCAAGCTGTGTACCCGGTATGCACATACTAATACGCCTGCCTTATGCATGGGACGGGGTTTGTGTGCCACCCGCCTACAAAACCTGCTACTACCATCATCCCAGCACCGAGAATAGCCATCAACCCAAACACCCTCCGTACCTGACCAGGCCGCATTCGTTCTTGTGAGGCTCAACTCGCCGCTCTCAACCTCCTTTGCCTCCCCCTTTTCTGCTCTTCCGATTCTTCTCCCATTCCCTCTTCCCGTAGTCCTCACCGGTCGGCTTCCCCAGAGGTTTGTTGTCGGTCGGTTCGAGAACATCCCATTCGATCGTACGACGTTCCCCCAGTCCCGACATCCCGGCATCCCCTTCTCGCGTCTACCCACCCCCGCCCCGCCCCCTGAAATCCCATCCCTCCATCATGGGAGGGTCGTCGCGGTGACACACGAGAGGGCAGCTTTTCGCGTCTCGCTTACCTCGGATTATCTCATATCTCATCTCAACGGTTCGGGCGCGTCGGGTACCGGTCACGCCACGTGCTATCGAATTTGACGAGCCAATTTTCTTTTAATTTTTCTTTTTTTTTGGCATCCATCCATCCATCCACAAGCCAGTCAGCCTTGGCTCGACACCCTTGTCCAACTTCGTTAATTGACGGCAAGCCGTGCTGATTGACGGATCGATGATCTGATAAGATTTCTCCTGTCTTGGTGCAGGTGAGGGGCCACAACTTCGGTCCAACCAAGCCACCCCAGACGGGTGCCCACCCTTCCAGCTGGACCGCCGCCCAGACGCGTTCGCTCGCTCGTCCTATCCGTTGGGAAGACGTGGCCGACCCAGCTCCGATCGCGCATCTGTCTCCTGTAGGTTATGTGTGCATAGGTATGGGCCGCAGAGCCTTGGTTAGATTCGGCACCTGATTGTGCCCTGCTGTGGGAACCCGCCCGCCCCCGGAGGTTTTCACCCAGGGCCAGAATGTTCCGAGCCACCGGGAAAGTACATATCCTTGTTACGGGGCGTCGTGGGAATCCGGAACGGACGATACGAGGCGAAAACCGCTCTACTCATAGTCCCAACAGCGTTTAGCCCATTTTAAAACAACAACAATAATAATAACTCCACTCCCTGTAGCGTTGACGCGTCGACCGCCTCTTCCTCCGTGTTTTTTTTTTGGTCCTTATTTCTGCGTTGATCGCTGCTCTCCGACTCTTCGGTGACCACAGCTCGAGGCTGCTGCTAAGGATGACGCAGCATAGCCTGATCTCATCGTGCTTCGACGACATACGATGAGATCAGGCTATGTTGATGGGTTATGGTCATTTTACCAGGCGCGGCAATTGTAACTAAAACTCCGCGACGAGGAGCGCAGATTGATACCTACGCAGCGGTGCAGGTAAAAGTAGCCAGGGGACCGGCTCCTGTGTACGAAACCGGTCAGGCCTTTTTTTTTTCTTAGGAGGAGCTTCCCCCCCCCCCCCCCAAAAAAAAAACCCGAGAGAAAGGGGGACAGAATAGGGGTACGTCCGCTGCCTCGTCCATGGAGTACATACGTGTACGCATACGCATATCCAGGAAAACAAGTCCCTCGGGATTCCGCGTGGTTTACCGTTTTGGGAACTTAGTAGCGGGCCTCGCGCGGCCATATACCGAGACACGCAGGCATCAGATAAGGAGAGCCTTATGCGGCCGTGAAGCTGGTTTCCACTATGTCTCACACAAGCAGGTATCCGCAGCCGGGCATTTGTCCGATATGCTCGTCTAACCTCTCAGACGAGATGACTTTTTGTCTCCGTACCAGCCTCGGAGAGCGCAGGTCTGGTGTTGTTGGAATTCGCGTGTGTTAAGCAAAAGGCCAGATCGATGTCCCTGATGCTTGGCAGCACGGTTGGCCCTTTCTATCTCACACATCGGCTCTGTGCGTATCCTGTTTATTGACGGATTGATGCGTTTGCTGTCTTGAAAAGTAATGTGCTGCCTCCATGTCGCGCGAGATGCCAGCGCCTCGCACGCAGGTCACAGTGGCATCGCATGGCCTCGGGCTAGGGACCCGCAAGCCGAGGTGCGTCACCCTTATAGAGAGGTATGCACTTACCGAAATCAGGCCCGGGTGCACGAAAACAGGACAGCGCAGACCAGGGCCACAGCCCTCATTTTAGTCCTGGGCAAATTGCGCAAGGCGTGCCCTGAAAAGGCGTTTGAGCGTGGCCGGCCAGAACCGGGAGGAGGCGGCGGCCGAGGCGATCCTGGCTCGCCTATGGATCCCCTTGGTGGGGCCAAACTCGGCCGGGCAAAAGGGAGGGTGAACCGGCGGGACCCGCTCAGAAATTCTCGTGGCCTCGAAACTAGCCAGAGGCGCGGTTCAGTCGGCATTACGAACCCAGATCGCAGGCGAGCCCGGGCTTCACAACCGAGAATCACCGCGCGTCGTGTTCTCCCTCTCTAAACGGCGTCCGTATAACGTAGGTACGTAGGCAATGTGGACCTACCCGTCTCCCAACAACAACCGCAGCGCCTGGAGACGCAAACAAGGACATCAACACCGCGCTTATGCCTCGGGCCCCCGAGGCTACAAGCACGTTAGCTATGGACGGTAGGGGCGCCGGCGCCGTGATGCGCATCGCCTCAGCGGGGCCACCGCCGCTCCCGGGGATTGGACGTCGAAGAGGACGGCGATAGCCGGCCAGGGACGCGACGGCGGCCGACCATAACCGCAGCCAAGAACGAGGGTGGCGGTGGAGGAGGAAGGTAGGTGGGGAAGAGAGGAAAGGGACAGCGTGGGGGCTGGTCCTCTTCCCAGTGAGTGGGTGGTATCAAGATCCAATAGCGCGAGATATAGGAGTATATTATCTCTTAGGCATACAAGAGCCTGGTTACCCACCTAGATCGTGTCGCTGTCTATCTAAGCGGGCCCATCTACACCCGCATATCCTCGAGGCCCAACTCGCTCAGACGCTTGCGACATCGACCCTCCCGGGATACCTTACCTCCTAACCCATGCGTCTAGGGGGAGGGGAAAACAATCCAGCAAGCCCATCTCGCTTGGGCGCCCAGCGTAGCCCGTGGGAAGACGCAAGCAAACGCCCTCTAGGATTCACATCTCGGCGTTATAAGGCCGGGGGGGAGGCAGGCGAAAGCTACACGAGTGGCCGAGAGAGCGAGCGAACGAGCGGCAAGTTTGTCTGCTACCAGAGCAAGCTAACTTGGGGAAAAAAAAAACGCTACAAAACAGAAAACAGAACAAGAATAAAAGGGAAAAGAGGCCTAGAGTGCGTAGCGAAGGTGACCCATGTCAGACCAGACGAGGTAGGCAGCGCGGGCGACGCTGTCGGCTGGCTACTGAGTTAAGTAGGTAGGCAGGTATTACCTGACATAAGATGGCAACAGAAAAGAAAATAGATAAATTGTTAATAAACGCCCGCCTCTTTTGAGAAGCTCTTTTTCGTCTAGCACCTTTTTCTCGTCTCAACCCTACAAGAAAAATGAAAAAAGGTGGGATTTTGTGGGTGGTAGAAAAAATGATACCGAGAAAAAGAAGTTGTGATAAATCCCCGAATGACCGGCGTGAAAGTATCCAAGACGAGTCAACTTCCCCCCTCCCCCAGCTATCTGCTTTCAGATGGAAAATAATATACCTAGCTGTCACCCCCGCTTGCCGTCGTCCCGATCCAGATCCCAACACTCAACACCAACACCCCCTCGCCCGCATCTCGGAAACCTGGATATCTCATATCGCGAACCGCACTACCCGTTTCTATCGTTTTCCTCCTCCCTCTTGCTCGTTTCTCTCCGCTCAACTTGATGCGGGGAATCTCTCCGCCTCCAAGAGACCCCTGAGCTTGAACGAGCGGAGCGAGTTGGTCGACTGCCTCGAGGTGTGTCCGCCTACGATGCTGCCCGTCGTCGACCTCGACAGCGACGGCTTGCGTACGAGCCCGTGGTGACTCGACGGGCCGCTTGCCGGCGCCGTCAGCGTCTCGGCGCGCCCCGGCCGCACGTTAACCCGCCCCATCGTCGCCAGCGCCGCCTGCATACTGTTCCGCGGGTGGCCGGGGTTGCTGCCGCCGCCCACAGGCGGTGTCGCGGAGCCACCGATCACTGGATAGTACGCCGCGCCGCTGACGTGCGGGGGCATCGACGCGTGGCCGTGCGAATCCTGGGGGCTATGAGGCCCGGCCACGCTTGTCTGGCGGCTGTGCAGGGCATTCCCGTGAGCGCGTGACTGGTTCAGCTTGTTCAGGAGCATCTCGGCCGAGAGGGACATGCCACTCGACGATTGGCGCAACCTCGACGGAGACCGACTAGACTCACGACTGGACGGCGGGCTCGGAAGTCTGGCGTGATGCCCGCCGAAGTCGTGACCCTTGATTCCGAGTCCCACGCCCGCCATGTCGCTCGTATCTCCTGGAGGTGTCGGTAGGCCGTTCTGCGGCATTCTGGCAGCTGATCTCTGCAGGTCTTCGAAATTCATCGGCATAGGAGGCATCTTGCTCAGCCTCCTGAGCGCCTTGCTATTCTTCTCCATGAAATTGTTCATAGCTTTGACCGCCCCGGCGTTCTCTCGAACCGCGACCGCGCTGGCATCCCCCGAGCTCCTGCCTCGGGCTTGGTGTACCGCGTTTAGAGTGATTTGCTGATGCGGCACCGTGTGCTGCGTCTGGACTTGTGTTGAGCCCAGAGTAGCCCGCACCTTTGACATGACGTTATCGAAGTCAACATTTCGGTTAGGATTGGCGCGTGACATGTAGTAAGTCGATTGCTGACCAGATGTGAGGACATCGGTTTCTGCCTTGTGGGTCAGCACGAAGAGGCTTCCATCTCGTATACACTTTCGCACCAGGGCCCATCGGGTCCTCGCTGGGTTGCGCTCGAGCTCAGGTCGATACACCGAGCACCGAGCTAGCTGAGCGTAGAAGACGCCCAGGCGGCGAGCGATGCGTTCGAGAATCTGGAGGAGGAAGGTCGAGAGAGCTGTGAGACGGCTGCTGTCTAGATCGGGATCTTGCAGCCTGTCGGCCGAAGAATACGAACTGGCGATGCTATCGAATGCGTCCATACCGCTTCCAATTTCTTGGCGTAGATCTTCGAGCAATTCGATATCCAGCTCTACGCTCTTAGCTGCGTAGGAGAAAACACCCCGCTCCTGGAAGCGGAGTGCGCTCTCGGAACCACAGACGAACTGGCCGATGAGGGCTACCTCGTTCATGCAAGTAACGGCATCAGAGCTTGTGTTTGCACGGGCGACTGCTCCTAACACGTCTGGCAACTGAATACTCGATCCTGGGCCGCTTGTGCTGGCGACGCAGAAGGATAGTTTAAGCACAAGTTCCTGAAGCTTTCCCCCAAACAGAGCAGTGAACCCTCCTTGGAGCAATCTGCTCTGGTAGCTGTAAAAGGTGCGGATAGCGATGGTGTTTGGTAGGTCCTCGCGCAGCCAGATGTTGGTGATTCCGACGGGGTCATACGAATTCGACGTCGCTAGCGATGCTCCCTGAAGCTCGTGCATTTCGATTTGGTGCGCTACCAAGGTCTCGACAGTGGTGCGTAGGTAGGCAGCCCAGAGATCATAGAGAGAGGATAGTTGCTCTTCCCCAGCCTGATAGTCGGGTTTAGGAGTGAGATGTCCGACGAAATACTTTGTTAGCAGACTGGCCACCTCGGGGTTGTTCGTGTGCGCCAAGTTATCGAACGACTTGGAACAGTCCACACCGGCGTTCGACTTGATGATTTGCGTGCCTCCGGGGTGCATGGGGCAGAAGTCCGTCACGTCGTAAACACTCCCGTGGACACCGATCCACATCCGCGATCCCGGCCTGTGACCTGTGTGTTCGGCGAGCTGCGACAGAGGAATCGTTGGCAGGTTGCACGGTAGCGGCTTAGGGGTCATGAAGACGTCGAGCATGAACCGACGTTCCGCGAACGCCTTATTGACAATGAGGTCGACATTTTCCATGGTTGCCGTGCAGTGGGTATAGATTGCTTTGCGGATTCCATTCATCACCGAGTCGAATACGGCCACCGAACCGCATACGTAGAGGTAGCCTCCCCGACCACCCTGTTTTTTAGACATGACGAGGTCGGAGATGGTGGCACCTTGCTCGATGATTAGGGTGTCGATATACCGGGGAGGGGTGTGTCTTTCGACAAGGTCTCGTGAATGAGGATCGTAGGTCAGCCCGCGGGAGTCTCGAGAGAAAGCCACATGAACCTCCATGAAGTCTGCGTTGACATATTCTCGCAATTCATCCTCGAAGCAAAACTTCTCACGTGACTGGACGCCTAGATATAAGTAGTTCTTGCCTCCGGATAATTCGCTCTCGTTCAAGCGATATTGCCAGAAGCTCCGGAATGGGGCGATGCCGCTACCGCCAGCGAAGAACGCGCAAGGCGCCATGTTATCTAATGGGAGGTGAAAGGCTAGGGGCCGTGACACGCCGACAAGGATTTCCTCGTCAGACAGCACATCGTCGGAGAGTGTGGATGGGTTCAAGAAGCCACTGGAAACGCCAGCACGACGTATTTCATCCTGCTTCGCAAATGTCGAGCACAGCTTGTACTCGGCGCGAGAGACGGCCAAGTCCACAGTGCTGGGGAGAAGTTCGTCGGTATAGCTAGCTATAGAATAGGTGCGAGGCACCTCAACCGGGATAAGGTCAGCGAGCCACGAGAGGTTTTCTAGGCTGAAGGCCTTGTCCCATATGTGAGACGGAGTGTCCATAAGCGCATCCTGAAGCAAATCGCCCAGGGTGCCTCGTACAGGCCATTCGTCCGTAGCTAAAACTTGAAGGACAGTATTGGAGGAGGCCGCGAGCATGCCGTGGATTTTGAGAGCGAGTTCCTTGGTGATAGGAGCTAAGTGACCTCGGCGAAGTATGTCTGCTACCGTCAGTTTTCTTACCGTCGACCTCCTCACCGACGCTAGGTGCTGCTCAAAACGCGACCAAGTGCCGGTTACGTTGACGGGGTCGTCGATATGGGCCTCTAGGCCCAATGCCGCGGCAACCTTCGCGCATTCTTCCCAGCTGTTGAGCGGCATGATGGCGAGACGATCGCCAGGCATGAAGGTGATACCTGTATCCTGAATGTCCAAGGTAACGAGAGCAATTGACCGCGAGGGATCGGTGTCAACATGGGATCGGTTAAGGACCCTCGTAACGTAGCGGCACTCCTCAAATGTACCTCGCATCTGATGTGGCTCCACCGACAAGCTACCCCCTACATCGCGCACCAAAGGTTAGCATCGTTTGAAGTCTTGGCCTAGGACCCTCGAGGAGACACAGAGGCACGCAGGGCCATCTCATAGAAAAAGTATCTTAGTTGTGACTTACGGTAAGGCTCTAGACGTTCCTTCATGGCATCTGAAAACTGCTTGTGGGTTTCTTCCCACGGACGCGAGGCGTCTGCGGCGCCAGACAGACCGTTCGTTTCTGTCCGTCCTATCTTGGCGGAAATTTCCAGAATTCCGAAGACTTTGTATCGGTGAGTGCCCATGAAGCCCCGTTCTCCCGTGTAAGCTTCGATGATGCCATCGAGCACTCCCATCAACCGTGGATCCCCAGACTGTTGGACGAATTCGGGAATACGATAATGGTATTCGATCGCGGCAATGAAGGCCCGAAGGTTAGATGGTAGCCATGCTCTCAAGTGTACGCCTTCCACGCCGAGGAATGACGAATACCTATTCAAATATTAGCCTCGCCTGTTTCTGACAAATACAGAGTTTGAAATCTGTCGGGGAAGGGATCGACACTCTAAGATGCCTTGATAATGATGATGTATGATAGTTCTCAGACTGAAGAGTATTAGACTCACTTCTTCCGGCCCAGAAACGCATCCATGACGAGAAATGGCGGGAATTGCAAACCCGAAGAGGCTGGGCACCTCTTAGATAAGGGTGTTGAGAATTTGCCCCAGCGAATCCACTGGTGAACCGGGACATAGTTCTCGCCCGAATTGGGGTTTACGTTGATGGAGTGGAAGGCATTGGGCATGCGTTCTAGGATTTCCTTCAGGCGGACCATCTCGCGTAGCAGCCCTTCCACGTTCTTGTTCATGACATGCTCTTGGCACGCCGCAATTGCATCAGGTCCATGCTGGAAGGATGCTGCAAAAGTTAGCAGCCGCTAACCCGACGGAGAGAGAATAGTATGCTTACCTGAGGTGTCAGCACAGCCCTTAAGGAAAGCTATTTCGGCTTTCTCTCCGAACACGGGCCATCGAAGGTCTATGTTTTCGAAGCGAGCGAGATAAGGGTAAGTAGAAGTAGGGTCCCTGATTTTGATGTTGTAGGATGACTGATCGGGGAATGAGAGATGTGGAAGTGTTCGACCCATGCGACGTGATATCTGATAGTATGGCAACGCTATGGAGAGAGGAATGCCAACTAGCTCTTCTCCTAGATCATCTCCCATCGGGACATTGGGATGCTTCTTCTTGGTCTGGGCAGAAGTGATACCGTCGCTGCCGTCATTTTTGGCTTCGAACCGATAGATCGAGCACAGCACTATCACGGCTAAGGTTAGGAAATTGCTAACGACAGGGTGTTCGGGTTTTAGTCCCGCGGATTCTGTTACAGTTCCGGGGGCTCTTTGGGATGCATAAATAGTCCCGTTGGGGCCTAGGGCGAGAGAACGTGAAAAGGAGAAAATCAAGTTCGGAGTATACTCACTCCCTAAGGCCACGACCGCAGCCCATAGGGCCTGATCTGGGATTATCTCCTTGGTGCCCTCTACGAGCGGCAACGCGGCGACGGACTCCTGGACACGCCCTCTGGCCACGCACCCGGGCATGCGCTCGCAGAGATCTGCCCATATCCGCCCTTGGGTTCTCGACAGAGCACCGATAGCCTCCTCGTAGTCCACGGGGCAGAATCCGTGATCTGCGCTAAGATACCCATCGATCCAACCAGTTTTGGGACCTATTTCTTCTGCTCTCAACATGACCTGTCTGGCTGGCGCCCCCAAGGCGACAGCTAGCAGGTCCTGCTCGTGAACATTAAATGCATCGATCTCGGCCTGAGTTTTAGCTTGGTCGATCTCCTTCACAGATGGGATATTTGTATATAGCAACTGGTTTATTGACTTGCGCTCCCTACATACGGTTAGTTTAGTTCGCACGTGTTAGCCTCCCCTCCGCTCGAATGATAGTACCTCATCCGAAGCCATTCCTCAGCATCAACGCCACGCGGGATCTGTCTCTGTTAGTTTTTTGATCGAGATAATGAACCAGTTGAGTTATAAGACGTACGTCGAATGCAGCATGAATATCACCTGGTTGGCCATACCCCGAAAACGCACAACCTCGCGGGCCCATCCGACTATTACTCCTGCTCCTTGTCGAGCCTGCGTGGCCAACGGGGCATCTCCCGCCCACGGAGCCGGACACCGGGCAGGATCGTTCAGACATGATTATCGAGCCAGTATTAGTAAATGTAAAGATTATCGCAACCGGAACTTAGATGAAAGGGTAGTAAAAGCCGCCAGGGCAGACGTGAAAGCACCACCAGGGCGGGCCAGAATATAAAGCGATAAGATTTAGAAGGTTACCGCACGCAGATAATAATAATAAAAATTATATAAAAAAGAAGTGGTGGAAGGCGGGTTAAGGTGAAGCGGTATGTATGTACAGAGATTCGAAGGAATATGCAGACCTCGTGTAATGGATGGTTGGGTCGGTGTGGGGACAGGTCGACAGGAGGCTGATCTGACAGCAACAACTCCCTATACCGCACATGCGCTCCCAGGAGGCATTTGCTGCTCGATAGAGGATGGAGTTCCGTCCAGGCCTGAGCCTAAGCGAAACGCGCCAAGATGAATATAGCTTGGATGGGGGCAGGGTGGCCAAAGGGGAGCTGGAGATTACTAGGGCCAAGGCTCTCCGCATCATTCGGGAGGGCCCACGAAGCTTCGCCCAGGATGAGTTGATTTGGGACCCATCGACAAGACTTGTCGCCTCATCATCCCTCTCGACTCCTGCACGGCGACGTGCATACACACGTCTGCGGGTTTTGCTGCACTGGGTCGTAGACAATCGGTACCGAGATCGTCTCGCGGACTGGTCACGTCGGCCATCAGTAGAAACAGGGAAAAAAAATGCAACCTCTTTTTATTTTATTGTAAGGAGTACCCCTTGCGGTTGGGGTGCCTTTCGCCTTACCTGGCCGTGACCGCATCCCACGCTTCTAGGCGATCGAGGGCATTAGGGAGAGAGACGGCGACGTTGGACCTGGGCCTGGTGGTTGAAAGCCATGACCGAATGGGGATATACGTCCTAGGATTTCTTTCCCTTTGAGGCCACCGGCCGGGGTGGCATGACGAAGCCATTCATGATTCTTTTTTTCTTCTTAGACGATCTAGATGGGTCGAGGTTTGACGTGGATGGGTCGCGGGAACGTGGAATTCCGGGCTCAGACACGAAAAGATGAAGGGGGGTGGCAGTAGGCCGAGTGCCTGAGGCAATAACTTCCCGCTCAAGGGTAGAGAGGCAGGTAACCTATATCAGGGGCGTACCTCAGCAGGTGGTTCAGGAGGGTACATACCGCCGGTCAGGTGCCTGCGAAGGTACCTCGGCTTAGGTACCTATAGGAGGTATGTGGAGGAGAAGGGGTTGAGACTAGGAGATGAAATGGGGTGCCCAGCCTCAACCTAGCACAGCACCAACCCAGCACCAACCCAGCGTTGGTACTGGGTCGACATGTGCCAACCCGTTCCATCGTCAATCACCACCACCACCGACCTCGAGCACATGTCCATCGCTCGCGTTGAATTTCCAGGAGCCGGGGAACTTGCTGATGAAACGGTGCTAGCTTCATCCCAGCCGCCCCCCATTACGTTATGAATACTGCCGTTTGGATGCACCCCGATTAGCTGGACTTAGCTAGCCCCCCTGCCGGCCTCCCCTATACTCATAACCCCAGCACCGAAGGTCTCAGCTTGGGTTGGTTCACCCCCGGTGCCTGCGTTAGCACCTACGTGGGTATAGCGATGGATGGGAAAACATGAGCCAAACTGGAAACGTCCATCAATCCAACTCTGACTCGTGTGACCGTGATCTACAGATCTCCAGGTGCCTCTGCCGCTTGCTTCATCTTGATCGACGGAAGCGCGCAAATCTATGCAGCCGCATATGTATATCTCTACCGTAGATCTAAGGAGGGCGGTTGCTGTTAAGCGACACCTGGACCCGTTGATACGACAATGCAGACGGTTTCTCGCGATATGTGCATGAACGCAGATACACACCATAGCCCAAGCCTTCTTCATCACAAGTAAAACTCGCTTCCGCATCCAACGGCCGCGAGGCGTGCGAATTAAACTTATAATAAGCTTAAACAGAACCCTCCCGCAGGATGCCCTTATTCTTGGCCGGTGGGATCCAGATTGCTACGCGCGTGGTGAGAGCAACTGAAGAGGAGTGGTGTAGGTAGCCTGGCTTTGCAGAAGAGGCCAGGGGTTTCCCAAACCCCGTCACCTCCAAGCCTGCAGAGACTTATCCCCCCTTCGTGGTCCTACATAGCACGTCTATGCTATTATGAATACCCATGTATTCCCTCATTTCATAATTCATATCGTACCACCAGTTTCGTCGTTTCAGTACCGTGCTATGTGCTATGGAGAGTAAACCTCTGTAAAACTTGATAATCCACGACGTCGATCAGGATGCCCAAGTGAAATCCTGGGGCCTGATTTCATTTCATTTCATCCCCCCTTCCCCTCCCCCCCCTTTTTTTTGAGAGAGAGAGAGAGAGTAAAAGCACGTCAACTTGTCAAGCAACCTACCTCCTCGAGGCCAACTTGTTACAGTCGCCAGTTCCGTTTCAAGTAGCTCGGCCAAGTGCTCTAAGAGGAAGAAGAAAAAACGAAACCCGTCTGTCCCGCCCTTCATTCACATTCCCAATTACCGCATAGACGACCAATCCAGGAAATCCCATTAGGTACGGCACTGGGAGTCACTTTAACCGCCGCCGTGCCATATCTAGGAAATCCTACACTAGAACGTCTGCGACGCCCATTGTCCGTATTGTCTCTGTTCAGGAAACTTGGTCAATGGTCGGTGGTCTCTCTCTCTATCATTATAGTCAATATTGGATGCGCGCTTAGGGAGGTGGTGGTGGAACCAACCATCTGATACCATTGCACAGTAATATAGGTACCTTAGGTACTTCGCGCGATGGGGATGGGTTGGCAGCGAGTCGTCCACGGTCGGTCTTAATTTAGTGATCACTATTTCTGATCGGGGGTATCATAACATATGCCCATTCCTTCGAGCTTTGCAGCTATGAAGTTTTGCTCCTCTTCGGCACCGAAGCTTGGGTGCCCTCATCCTTAGTGCTGAGCTCCCTCTTCGCCTTTTTTGATTTGAGCATTTCCCGCTTCTCCTGCTTCCGTGCCTCCTTGTCTAAGCTGCCAATCACCCTGCTTTCCATGCCGCAAGGCCAGTTCTCGAAAGCCGCCGTCTCCTGCTGCTCCGTCCATTCCTGCGGGAGCACCGCGAAGACGAGATACGATGTGTGCGTCTTGAGCTCAGGCTCGGTTCGGTGGATTAGCCTTCCAATCATCCAGGGTTTGGCTAACCTCGCTTCTCCAACTTCCTCGACCGGCATCGCTGTTGCGCCACCGCCATGAATAGATTCGCTGTCATCCTTCACCTGGTCCTCATCCGTAGTCATATCGACATCCTGAGTACGGCCGTGGTAACTCTTGAACCGACTCTCGACCTCTTTCAATTTCGCAATAGCCTCTCCAACGTCGGCTGCCGATTGATTCATGCCCCTCTCCCCGGGTGGAAGACTCAACCCGATTCTTTCTCGCATGATGTGAACTCTCTTGTGTGAGATTTCTACCATCTCGATCTCTACCCAACCCAACCGACGCATAACATCAACGGTCTTGGTGACTTGCTCGATACACGGCGAAAAGGTGCAGAGATAGACGGTCCGATCGGCGCGCAGAGGGGATTTCCATTCGACCGCGGTGCTATTTATGTTGTCAAGACCGCTGCTTGAGAGCTGGGATGACGTGGGCTTTGTTCGTGACAGATGGGGGAGAGCTTTCCACGGCGCTGGAAGATCTAGGAAGATACATTCAGCTTCCGGGCTTTCGCCGTCGATGAGGAAGCCGTCATTGTATACATCCCGGTGGGTGATCTGGACGATCCCGTCTAAAGCATGTTCACGAACCTGCTCTTGCAACTGTCGATATCGGTCCTGGTTAAACTCGAAACTGAAAACCTTCCCTCTATTATCGGACACGTCTTTGGGATAGCCGTTGTAGACTGCTCTCGCTGCTGCATGTGTGAAACTGCCACTTCCCGCGCCAGCCTCTATGATCTTCATGCCGGGCCGGGCACGGATGCGGTGTAGGATGTAGCTATAGTCGGGAGTGTACACGACCTGCGTTCGATGCGGCAAGCTAGTCGTCCACAGTTCCGGCGTGGGCGGTAGAATGTGAATGAAGCCGCTTGATGCAGCCTTGACATTCTTAGCTAGGCCTAAGCTAGAGACGGCATTCTCGACGACGTCATTCTCCGGCACTTCACGGCTAGCGGCGCCGTTGAGCTTCCGCTTTCTACCTCGAGAACCAGTGTCGACAACGGATGCCCGTATCTGAGAGCCCCAAGGCTTATCAATTAACGTTGTGTGTGGAAAGGACCCAAACCGCGTATTGATGACCGCGCCCTCGACGTACCCGTCAATAGAACACGAGGCCGCTTTGAGGTAGACAGGTTGGACGTCATCACGGGACAGGTGGGCGAGGGCGAGAGAATTCGGCGCCGTTCGAGATGACGGGTCGAGAAAGGGCGATGTACCCGACATGATCTCTCAATCCTCCTCCCGGGCACGCAGCGTAAGTCCGAAAGGGCACAAGAATAATAGTAGACGTAATCGGAATATCTATACTACGTAAAGAATGGATTGGCGTTATGTACTCATAACGAAGCAGGTATGGCGAAGAGTCGTAGGTTGGATACCTATCTCAGGCGTCTTACCTGGCAAAATTTCCTAGAATTGGCGGATAGGCGAGGTAATAGCGATAGCGGGGCCCTTCGAGGGCCGATAACGACATCGGGGTGGGATAAAAACAGTCGGTGTGGAGCGGCAGAATGGAGGGGTTAGCAGAAGTTAGGTTAGGTAGGTACCTAAGGGAAGCCTGCAGGTACCTACTAAGGACGCAAAACCCAATACTGGAACCTAAGGTTATCGCTAGCAAAATCCGCAGCCCCATCTACCTCCTACAATTACAGAACATAGGAGGTACCTACGTGTAGGCACCTCTACCTACAGGTAGGTACCTACACCTAAGGTACCTGAGGTAACCTAAGGTGAGGGAAGTACTCCCATGTACCCTCTCAGAGGAGGTGCCTTGGGTACCTAGATGGTACCTGAGAAAGTTGAGGCACAGAATTACGACATTCTCGTCGCTCCCCTCCGCTGACCCCCTTCGTTGTGACCCAAGAAAAACCACTGCTGTCGTTGGTAAACACCAACCCCTATTTCTGTGGGCGTAACGCTTTTCCCTCGAACCCCTCCTCCTCTCCGACCTTGCCATCTGAATGAGCCTCCTCCTCCTCCGCGCAGCCAGGGGATTTATCACGCGGGCAAATATCATACACCTTCAGCGTAGACGGTTTGCGACACGCCCCGCCATGGACGCCATCAAAGTCCATAACTCCCTGAAGCCGGGAGCTCCAGTCCCCTTCGTTCCTATCCAGGAGGGGAAGGTGTCCTGGTATGCCTGCGGACCGACGGTCTACGACCAGAGCCATCTCGGCCATGGGCGCAACTACGTGTCCACCGACATCATCCGCCGCATCCTCCTACACTATTTCGGCTTCAAGGTCAATTTTGTTATGAACTTTACAGACGTCGACGACAAGGTGCGCGGTGTGCCCTTTGGGTGCTGCTCGTGGGCTGCACCAAGCTGACAGTGCCTCAAGATTATAATAAAAGCCCGACGGCAACGACTACTAGACCTCGAGAAGCAGAAGGACTACAGCGACGACGAGATCCTCGAGCTCGGACAGGCTGCTTTCAGAGCGTATGCGAAAAACAACCTCCCTCAGCTACTCGAGGGCGAGGGCGAGTTAGACGTGAACAATTACATCCCCCGGAGAGATGCCGCTTACGGAAACGTGCTGGCTGGTGGTACTTTGGCGGGCGAGGGTAAGGCGGGCGACGCCGAGGCTAAGCTCAAGATGCACATCAGCAACATGACCTCCGCCGTCATTGCCATCAACGGAAACCAGGTGTTTAAGGGTGCGGACGAGATCTTACTACCATACTTGGATTCGTTATATAAGGAGACGATTGACACCAGCGACCAGTCAATCTTCACCGATCTGACCCGATTTATGGAGGGCGAGTTTACTGATGATATGGATGCGTTGAACGTGCTTCGGCCTGACGTGGTCACGAGGGTCACCGAGTACGTCCCGCAGATCGCAAAATTCGTGGAGAGAGTTGTCGAGAAGGGGTTTGCGTACGAAGCGGAAGGGTCCGTCTATTTTGACATCGCGGCATTCGAGAAGGCCGGCAACACCTATGCGCGCCTCCGACCAGACAGCCGCAATGATAAAGCATTACAGGAAGAAGGAGAGGGCTCCCTCTCCAAGAGTCTCGGAGGGAAGAGGAACGCGGGCGATTTTGCGCTCTGGAAAAAGTCTAAGCCGGGTGAGCCGTATTGGGCGAGCAAATGGGGCAACGGACGGCCGGGTTGGCACATCGAATGCTCCGTGATGGCATCCGACGTCCTCGGATCGCGTATGGATATTCACTCGGGCGGTATCGACCTTGCCTTCCCCCACCACGACAACGAACTTGCCCAGAGTGAGGCCTACTTCTGTGAGCATGGGCACGAGCATACCTGGGTCAATTACTTCCTGCACATGGGTCACCTGTCGATTTCTGGGTCAAAAATGTCTAAGTCGCTCAAGAATTTCCAGACCATCAAGGATGCCTTGGCGTCTACCTACACAGCTCGGTCGATGCGCATAGTATTCCTACTCGGTAAATGGAATGATGGTGTCGAAATATCACCGGATATGCGTACTCAAGCCGACACGTGGGAAAGTACAATCAATGTGAATTGTCTGCTGGTTCCCCAAGCGTCTGGTCTAGTGCTAACAACCATCGGTAGAACTTCTTCACCAACACGAAGTCTCTGTTGATTGAGGCGTCTGGCACAGTATCAGCCGTGACTGGCGACGTCAAAGCCCTTTCTATTGGCGATGACGAGTCCCAAGAGGGTTTGTGGGCCGATTTACAACAGGCCAAGAAGGATGTTGAGGCGGCCTTCACCAACTCCTTTGACACCCCCCAAGCCATGCGAGCGATAGCAGAACTCATTAGAAAAGCCAATATCCATATCAACGAGCATAAGGCTGACACTAATCTCCGCGCCGTTGAATCCATCGCTCGGTGGATAACAAAAATAGTTGGCATTCTTGGACTCGATGCTAATGCGAGTTATCCTTACGAGGGCCTCGGCTGGGCTTCCGCGGCCGTTGACGCCAACCTGGACCCCTCGACGGCTGTACAGCCATACAAGGCGGTTCACAGCGCTGTCTATGGCGAAGCACGAGCTCTCAACCTACCCACCTCTGAAACTATCACCAACCTCGTCTCTCAGTCGCCCGACCCGGAATTTGACGCCTTGGTCGACTCCGGGGTCAGGGATCCCGAGCAACTTGCCCTGCCGTACATACGGGCAGTATCAAAGCTGCGCGACGAGCTGCGGCGACTAGTACCGGCAACGTCATCGGAGACGAAGAAGTCAATTCTCTCTCTTAGCGACCGCATACGTGACTTCGACCTCACGAACCTGGGGGTTTATCTGGAAGATCGAGCCGACGGGCAGCCATCACTGATCAAATTCGTCCCGGCGGCGGAGCTGATCGCGGCTAGGGAGGAAAAGGCGACTAAAGAAGCAGAGAAAGCACGCGCGAAAGAGGAGGCAAGACTGGCTAGGGAGAAGGCCGAGGAGGAGAAATGGGAGAAGGCGAAGCTAGCGCCGGAGGATATGTTCAAGAGCGATGAGCGATTCGGGGAGTGGGACGCCGATGGGCTGCCGACCAAGCTGAAGGACGGCGGCGAGGTGCCGAAGAGCCAGGCGAAGAAGCTCAAGAAGGACTGGGATAGGCAGAAGAAGGCGCACGGAGAGTACCTAGCCAAGTTTGGAGGGGGTGTGGCGTAGAACGGGGGCGGCTGACCTGGACGAGGTTCCCTGCTCCGGACGGGAAAATTCAGCAACAAAAGCGAAAGAGATACCGTACCATCTATTCGGGATGTTATGTTACTAGCACCTAACTTGTTTTTTTTTTCCTTCTCTTCATTGCTTATCTGTGTTCCATGCTCCCCAACTCGAGACAGAGGTCATCAGCCTGTAGGCTTATTAGTCTCGTATTACCCTCCTGCTGCCACGCTCGCATGATATCTATAGTAGGTTTACTCAATAGCCGTATAAAGCGGGCCAATAGACGACCGGGTCGGCTTCCCCACGTCTAGCTTCTGCTTCTTCCACTCCCCTCTCCGATCCAGCTGCCCCAGCAGTTCGTCGCCAAGCGTTCGCCAAGCCGATGTAGCGTCTTGCCTTGGCACAGTCCCCACTAGCCCCTAGGGTTGGACGGGGTGTTACCTCGTGGTTAAACCTACCTCACCAATCACAGAGTCCTCCGAGCTCTCTTACACTCGTATGAGTAAACGAGTGTCTCGTGTACGTGTCCGTATGACAGGCAGATAGAACGAGCTCCGAGTCGAGATCCTCTCTTTTGCTTACCTATCTGGCTTACGTGCCGCGTTCTGACTTCTTGCTTTCCGGAGAGACCCCCGATGGATGTGCCCATGACGTCGATGATCGTCGGTATGTGAAGCCTCGCTATACACGTCTGGACACGGCGGGGCAGGGAATCACCTCCCTACCTATCAACGAATACCTACTGGAGGTAGACGCTTGTACTGAGTATGAGAGGGCTTGGTTTGAGGGTAATTGGTTCGTATACGCGAACAGCTTTGACGTGTGCCAGCCTAGCTAGAGCATGGGAGGGTTGGAGCCGCCTACATCCGCTTGGCTAGCAGATTTAGATAGCGCGACTCTGTTCATCTATCTCGGGCCCTGTCCGTCTCGCTCAGCTTAGCCAGGCGGGGCCGGACAAGATAATATTGGCGATAGATGGCTAGCAGACATGCGTCTCTACTACTCCAGCAACTTACCTCAACCCCTCAATGGATGTGTATGCGATCTTTCCCCGCGATCACGAGGACCCCGTTGGCACCTAGGGACTGGATCGAATCGCAGAGTATACCTTCTCGAAAGTCTGTGTCTCCCACACGCTCGCCGGCGCCTTGTGCTTTTGATCGAATAGTAAGCTCGCTCGATCCCGGAGCCAACACTTCGTTCCTCGCTGGCTCTGTATGCCCTCAGGAGAATCAAGTCGCCGCGGGAATAGTAAGGGATGGATCCGCACGCATCTCGCCGTTGGGTGAGAATCTCTAAGGTCAATTACTCTGTGTATCTTGTGCGTGACGTACCTAGAACGAATAATCCAAAGAGCGTGCCGGTTCGGCCGAACGGGTATCGCCAGTAGTTGGATCCGCATATTGATGTTTTCCTTGAATGTATGTATTGTCGTATATAGCATTATCGGCCAAGCTATGGTAAGAAATCTGTATAAAAACCCGTTCTACCCGGGCCCTTCACATCTTTTGAACAGCACCTTGTTAGTTCGTTAGACACAGCTTAGCTCGGCATACTTCCCATTCATAACCGGAGACAACATCGCAAATCCTCATTGGAAATCTCTTGAATCCCAAGAAAACCCCAGAAACTAGCAAATATGTGTGGATTCGGTACGTCAGCCCAGAGCGTACGAGGCACGCATTACTGGTAGCGGCATTGTGGACTGCCTGCTGACTGATATGACAACCTTAGACAAGGGCAAGATCAATCGTGACAACCTCTACGGCGAAGCACGCCAGGCCAAGATCACGCACGAAGTGCTCGGCTGTGCCGCGGCCTTCGAAGCCATGAAGGTGTTCGAGGAACGCTATCGGAAGGAAGGTGTGTCTTCCTGCCAGCCTTACCTTACGCTTAGCGTCTCCGTAATGATGAGCCCTAGTGCTGGTCTCAGATGGAGATGTTTTCGAAATAGCAGTCGGCTAACACGCTATCCCTTCTCTCTTATAGGTCAGGTCATGAAGCACACCCTCGCCAAAGAGGTCCTCGCCGATATAGCGGGCGCCGAGGTCGACAAGCTCGTCGAGACTAAGAGTCTCGAATACCTTGACCGAGAGAAGGCCAGGCAGCGCGCCCAGGAGCAGGCTGTGTACCTATATGACGCTCAGTACAGTGACCTGTTTCAGTATGACCCGTGAGTGAACCCCTCCCTATTCTGCCTCTTATACGTTTCTCCATCTTCCCCTACCCTCTCAAATTTTAAAACAGTTCAAGAGGATGATGGCGACCACGGGTTTTAATTGCTGACGGGGATTATTCTCCGCAGAAACAATCGACAGTGCCACCCCGCCTTGGTGTATTAGATTTCGATACCACCAATGCTCAAGCCGTAGAAAGGATATTGGGCCTAAGTGTCATTGAATACGGGGAGAATGGGTAGGAACTCCGGATCGGTGCTGGGAATAGCTATATACTAGTCTCGCAGGGGTAGATTAGCAGAACATTGAGACTGCCCATACTAATCTCGGTCGCCCTTACGTGATGCTGTGTTCTATGAATGAGTGGCATCCCGACGGAATATATCGCCAGTGTCCAAAACTATCGAAAGTCGACTCGTAGGTAGTATATAATGTATTTCGGGATAATTAGGGCGATGCCACGGTATATTCATTATATCCACTCTCGATATCTCCGGAGTCGACTAACCGGACTGAACATCTCTTCCGGCTGATTCTCATCGCCTCGGCATATCGTAACGGTATCCGAAGTCGATGCCACTGGCTATGAAGTGTTCAGCAGAGTGTTGGACGTAACAAAATGTCGGGCAGTCCTACTCGAGAATGGAATGCGGTGTGGCCTTCAGAGATATCCTCCCATTCTCTGGTGCTTCCGCGACAAGATGCAACGCTTGGCAGCTTTGGTATCGGCGATAAATAGTCATCCCTGGCGTATCTTGATGTTATCGGCGCCCCAACCGTTTCCTTCCTTTGCTTCTGTTTTTTCCCGAATAACGCTAACGAAATGCCACATTCATATGGACGACTTTCCTGATCGCGTTCGTCTACCTTCCCCCGCGTCCGCTTGCCCTCGCCCTGCTGACGGTGGCTCGCCCGCGGGCCAGACCAACACCCCGCCCTCTCGCGTTGCGACTTCGGAACATGGGCGCGTTCCTATGGAGGAGGAGTGGGATGTTAGCAGTGGTCCTAGTCAGGTCGTGCGAGTAGAGGTCGATGCATATAGCACAGGATTTGGGGAGCCATACTTCAACATGTCTGGTACGATAAAGAACCGCACATGGCTGCCGCGAATGTAAACTTGATCCAAGTGGCTCACTCTCCCGTCGCGTGCCGTCACCGTGATGTCCTTGAGCTGTACGTTCATATTGTCTTCGGCTGCAGAGGTGGCTTGTTAACAACGCATGTGACGGACCTTAAGAGGAGGGTGAGGAGCAAAAGCGTAAACATACCTTCGAGGAGCTTGCCACGGTATGTCTGACCGGAGCTGATCTCTAGCGTGACGATGTGGCCTTGCGCCTCGTTGAGAAGCTTGATGGGGATTCCAATTGTAGACGTCATTTTGCGCTCGCTGTTCTAGCTAGAAGGATAACTGCGGCTCGAGGAGTAAATATCGAGAATATAGGCGCGAGCGTAGAGCGTGATCGAGTTCGGTTGCGCGTCTGTACTATGGGATGAGGTTTCGAGCTGTGCAGTCGAACACTGGATTTATCACAAGATTGAATTGTTGATGAACCCGACCAGTGGTACCTGGGTACGGTTTGTGTCGTCAGGCGGGAAATCAGATTTTCCGTTCTCGCTTTAGGTCCAGTAGCCGCGCAGTATCTAGGTACATGTTACCTCGACATGGAGAAGTCTCGGTTTACTAAATACGCTATTGATTTCCCGAGGATTACCATGCTAATTAGTATTACGTGACCGTACCTAAGTACCTCCTACCCCTGGACAGTTTATTCCATCTTGGCATGGACCCCTATAATGGGAACTGTAAAGCAAGTACCTACCCGAGTACCTATCTACCCCTCCAAAAAAGTGACGGAGAGCGCCCCTCCATCTCTTGACTCACATCCGTCTGCAAAAGGGGACAACATCATCTTCCTTGCCTCCCTCTCTTGCCCTTCCCGAGACCACACACGATAGCCAGCTCCGAAGGGGCCAATCCAGGCACGCCTATACCGTCGCCAAGAACCGGAATCCGCAACACAGCTTCAGATATGGCCTCACACCCCGAGGTCCCAGCCCAGGAGGTTCCACCAGCTGCGGACTCTGGCGCTCCAGCTCACGCGACGAAGCAGACTGTCGACCCCTGGAATGTGTCTGGTGAGGTTGGTGAAGATGGAAAGGTCAAGGCGATCGACTACAAGAAGCTGGTAGAGGAGTTTGGAACGAAATTGATCGACAATGAGATGCTCGAAAGATTTGAGCGTGTCACTGGCTACAAACCACACAGATTCCTTCGGCGCCAGATTGTCTTCAGCGAAAGAGATCTTGGTTTTATACTAGATCGGTATGAAAAGGTATGGCTTGCGGAGACTATCCTCAGTATATAGAGCCTTGTCTAAGTAGGAATTCTCAGGGGGAGCCCTTCTTCTTATACACTGGTCGTGGACCTAGCAGCGACAGCATGCATATCGGCCATACCCAGATCTTTGACTTTTGCAAGTCAGTATATCCGTTCTCCCTACGGCCTACACTTACTTCCCAATTGCCCAACTAATAGCTTCCTAGATGGCTGCAAGATGTCTTCGACGTGCCTCTGGTTATCATGCTCACGGATGGTTCGTGTTTTTAATCTCATCCTATTCGGGGGCATAAAGCTGACACTGGCAATCGGGTAGACGAGAAGTTCCTCTTCTCTGAAAAGAGAACAGTTGAAGAGGTTATTGGCTATGCGCGAACCAATTGCCAAGACATCATTGCCATAGGATTCGACCCTGAGAAGACCTTCATCTTCTCTGACTATGAGTTCATGGGCGGCGCATTCTACAGAAATGTCACACGATTCGCAAAGCTTGTCACTTATAATACAGCTAAGGCTACCTTTGGCTTCGACGAGAGGTATTACCCCCATACGCCTCCCATCGCTAATTCGCATGGCACGGCCAGCCTCTAACTGAAATGTGAAATGTAGCTCCAATATCGGAAAGATCCATTTTACCAGCATTCAAGGCGCTACCGCATTTGCGACGACATTCCCCCATATCTTTGGTGAGGATGAGAAGCAGACGGCGACTATCCCGTGCCTAATACCCTGCGCCATCGACCAAGATCCCTACTTTCGTTTAACTAGAGACTGTGCTACTAGGCTGAAGTATGCCAAGCCCTCCTTAATTCACTCCCGCTTCCTCGATGCTCTACAAGGTCCCGGGTCGAAGATGTCCGCCAGCATCGACTCCTCTGCCATCTTCATGAAAGATACACCTAAACAGATCAAGGATAAGGTCAACAAATACGCCTTTTCCGGTGGTCAACCGAGCGCGGAGGAGCAAAGGAAGAAGGGCGGGAATCCGGACGTAGATGTGTCGTATCAGTATTTGCAATTCTTCATGGAAGACGACGAGGTATGACTTTATCCTCATGCACACGTGCTACGAAATACTGACTCTTAATAGGAATTGCTCAAGATTGGACAGGACTACAGAGAAGGCAAGCTGTTGACTGGAGAAGTAAGTGGCCCGCCCTCAAAGTAAATACCTCCAGACTGACATCAGGTCCAGCTGAAAGCAATATGCATCAAGCATCTCCAGGACTATGTCGCCGCATTCCAGGAGCGGAGAGCGAAGGCAACCGAGGAAACGGTCAAGCTATTCATGACGCCACGGCCGTTGAAGTGGGGGGGAAACCCCAAGGTGCAGAGAACTGTTCCTATTTTCGAGGGGGCACCGGCCAAGACCGAGGGGGAAGGCGGGGAGGCGAAGCTGACGAAGAACCAACTAAAGAAGATAGAAAAGGAGAAGCAGATAGCGGCTAAGAAGGCTGCGAAGGCTGCGAAGGCTGCGGAGAAGGACGCGGCCAAGGCTACGGAGTGACTATCCTTGCAGGGGATTTAGACGCGCGGATTACGCAGGATTCTGCTCATCGCTTCTACCATGAGTAAGAAGGCGGCTACGGCGTAAAATAACGAACAGGTTGCACCAAGATGTTTGGCGGTTCTACTGACCTGAATCCGTGAACCACCCGAAATAACTGGGACTCTAATGGCATGGGAGTCGGGGAGAATATTTCTGGTTTCGAAATTAGGAGGGGCACATAGACGGGAGTAATCTGTCCATCGTCCGAATTATGCATAGAGTCCATGTGTCCGTATCATACTTGAGCGGGGGGATATTCTCGCCAGCGAAACTTTTCTCTAGGCTAGTCACAAACTCGCATCGACCCAAACCCTCTACCGCGTGCCGCTAGCTCCCGAGCTGCTTCACGCGGCGACGCTCAAGAACAGGATGGTGTCCTTACGAGTGCAATCCACGGTGAGTTCGGGAATATTGGTACTCTGGTACGCGCCTGAGTTATCATCGTATTGCCTGGCCTCGACGCAAGCGGCGAAGTCCAAGTCGGCGTAGAGGATCCCCCCCTCGGCCTGCAGCATGTCGCGGCGCTGATGCGCGCCCGTCGCGCCGTCGACCGTGAACCCGGGCACCAGCGCCCCTGTCGGGTCGAGGAACAAGGTTGCGCCGCGCGGCGCCTCTCGCAGCGCGCGGGCTGCGAGCGCCGGCGAGGCCGCGATCGCGTCCTCTCCCAGGTTTCCCGCGCACAGGGCCCCGAAGCGCATCGTCTCGAAGCAGTATACTGCCGCACATGCGCGGGTTACCGCCGCGTCCTCGAACGCGAGGCCGCGCGATGAAGGGGAGGGTGCCGTCTCGCCGCCGGATTCCTCGTTCGGTGCGGGGGTCGGTGGCGGGCGTGTGGGCCAGATGGCAAGCCGGGTCGAGATATGGATCTGCTCGCCCTGGGCGGCGAGGGAGTAGGGGCAGAAGGCGTTGGCGTTATCGCTAGCGACGAGGGCGCCAACGCGGACGCCGCCGCTATCCGCTCGAGCAGCGCTGGGTCATCCTCCGCCCCGCTCCACGCCGGAAACCCCGGCAGGTACGCCGCCGGAAAGACGACGAGCCGCGCCCCGTTGCGCGCGGCCTGCTCGATCGGCGCAACCGCCTTCACTATCTTGGCATCCGCCGACAAGAACACCGGCGTAGCGCGGCACGCGGCTACGTGCCGTCTGCCGTCGGGTCATGGACAGGGACGGTGGCTCGGGTTAGATTTAGGTATTTACTCATAGGTAGGTAGGTATAGTTGGCCAAGCGTCTGTGGGCGTTGGGCTTCGGTCCCTAGTGAGAGCGCAGGTATGGGGTTGCGCTCGTCTCCTGTATGGTATGGGTGAGGAGCCGCGTTCCGATGTAAGGAGACCCCGAGTACGGCAGCCGAGACAGCTTTCGTCCTTAAAATGGATGCTATTTTTATAGAGGCACGAAGATAGGGTCTGCACCCCTTTAAGGGCATGTTCTTTTTGAGCAGGGGTATTAATTCGTGAGGTATCGTGTACGGCGTTACTTCTATGCGCTTAGGTGATAAGTGGAGCCTTTAACCGAATATACTCGGTATAACTCCGCGATTGCGTCATTCACATGCGTATATCCACCGGAAAGGATGAACATATTGGTTTAAACCAGCTTCGTCCACTGACTAGGTAGTAAGCGGAGGGCATAAATGCAGCAAACAGGTAGAGCCGGGTAATGAAGCTAGCGCGACGCGTTCACACGGGCCAGATGGCACCTGTCCTGTCGATCTGGCTTCCAACTGCCGGACTTCATAATCCATTGGCGAAACAGAAAGACTGTCACCTCGCTGGCTTGCCTCATCTCCTCTTGACTTGCGAAGATGTCGCAAGACCTGTTCGACTTGGATCCCGGTGCGTTCTCGAAGTTGGCGTCCCGTTAGAAGCACCCGTCTGACCTTTTCGCAATCCCAGGCCCCCTTAACTATGTAGCTCCGTGGATGACCTTCTCCAGTCCGTTGCTACCATCGATCCTACAGCCAGCGATGGAAACGCCATCGCCCGTTTCGAGTTCCGCTGCGTCGAAGCCGTCTACGAACGACCAAGGGGATACCCCGGCACGAAAACGACAGAGACTAACGCCCAACGACCTGCCCGGTGCCATCGACTTGACTAGCTCGGTTGGTGAACATGACTCGGGCTCGCCTTCAGCAGCGCCACATGCTAGAGCGGATCAAGACCAAACCCGCCTAGGCGGCCTAGTCACGCAGCGGGTGTCTATAAAGGAAGGAATGGCGGCCGCTAAGCATCTCGCATTAGAGGCGATACGACCAACTCCCACCAAGAAAGGATCCAAGTCGCTCCCCTCCCGCGAGACAACCAAGCGGCCCCACGGAATCAAGAGTTTTGATAATGCAAACTCCATTGAGATTACGAATAGAAAACTATTTAACGAAATGGGGGTGGCGAAGCCGAACCCGAAGCGCGGCGGGCTGTCGGATCCGAATCCCCTCGCTGATCTTCTCGATGAGGATGTCTCGGAGTGGTTCATGCCAGCCCCGGACCTGCCGAATGAGTTGGATCCCTTCTTGGCGCCCTTTTCGTCCTTCATGCCCTTTGATCTAGATTAAATAATACCTGTTGCGCGCGCCTGCTAAACCCTGGCCCCTATTTCCAGCACCCCAATCCGGAGAATGCGACGTCATAGCGTGACGGCGAAGCGAGTCCGCAGGTGCTCACCGTAACGGTAGAACAGCCATGGCACGGGCGTGAAGGCTAGACAGATAAACCCTAACAGGCTGTTCCCCCAGCCCAGCCCCAGATTCGAATATAGCGAGGGGGCAGCGAGAGTGAGGAAAGCCCCGAAGGGACTCCTGATGACCACGTTCGCCGCGAGGGCCGAGGCGGCGGCCCGGGGACCGAAGGCATCCACCAGATATGCCTGGGACGGCAGCATGATGAAGAGGCCGCCGAACCCGATGATGAACGTTCCAATCTCGGGGGCGATCCAGTGGACCTTGAAGTACGCGGTCCACCCGTACACGAAGCAGCCTATGGGCGTGATGGGAGCGAACCACTTCATGAGGATGAGCCGCTGCTCGGGTTTGACAGCCGCCCCTCCTTGGCCTAGTAGCTTGTCGCTCAAGGTGGTGAAGCCCAGCAAGCCGCATATAAAGCCGATGCCGAGTCCGAGATACGCCAGACCGGTGGTGCCCGGGCTGAAGCCGTACTGTTCCCCAAACACGCTCGGGAAGGTAGTGAAGAGGAGGAATATCAATCCGAAGAGCATACCACCGTAGAGGGACATGAGCAGGACGATGGGCGAGAACACGATCATCTTTGCCGGGAGTACGATGGCTCGAACGAACAACTCGCGTGGAGGTAGCTTCGTGTCCAGCTTCGAGGTCAACTTCAGATTCCCAGTCTCTTTGCGTAGGCGTTCGGTCTTTCGCTTAAGTATGGCGGCCGCGTTGGTCTCTCGGAGGAAGAAGAGGGATGCGAGAAAGAGGGTGCCAGACTGGGGGGGGGGGGGTGGACAACTTGGTTAGAACGAGGATGCGCGTCGTCGATAGGCTTGGCACTTACAAAGATGAGGATGATCCAAAAGGTCCAACGCCAGCCAATGTCCTGGGCTACGAAACCCCCGACGATGGGGCCGATCACCTATAGCAACCTATTAGCAAAGACCCTCGTCTCTCATGTCTTTTTCTCTCGGGACCGGGGAGGGGGAAGCGTGTGTGTTCATACCGGTCCGATGAGAGGTCCAACTATGAACATAGCCAACGCCTTAGCTCGTTTCTTCGGCACAGTGACATCGGCAATTGTACCGCCTCCTATGGTTAGTGGACCTGCCGATGCGCAGCCACAGATGAAGCGGAAGACGAGAAACGATGCGACGTCGTTGCTAAGGGCGCACCCGAGGGTGAAGGCGAGGTAGACCACGTTGCAGACGTGGTACATGCCAAGGCGGCCGTACAGTTCGGAGAGAGGCGCGAATGCCAGAGGTCCTATCATGAAGCCCAGGACGTAGATGCTCACGGTGAAGGTTCCCACGATGGAGCTGGTGATGCCGAACTCCTTGATTAGATCCTTAGCCCCTGGAGCGAACATCGTCGAGGCTAAGTTTCTGAGAATCGATGAAGTTAGTGAGAACAAGCACCAGTTACACTCAGCCAAGGAATCGGGGAGGCGGTCACTTACGCAAGGAGGACGAAGGTACTAACGTATGCCACATGGAGCCCCTTCATCAAGCCAGACCAGTTCATCGGGTTTTCTGGATCATCGGGGCCATCCCAATCGACGATATTGGGGTCTCGGATTTGCAGGTCCTCCGTCGCCTTCGCAGCCTCTATATCGTCGGGGTCGGGTTCGAATGCCTCCAGTCCAGGGCGTAGCTCCTCCTCGCTAGAAGTCGTCGTAACCGTCGTCGACATCCTGGCAGCGGAGAGGAAGGGGGGTTTTATTGATTACACGCAAGTAAAAAGAGAGTAAGAAGAATGAGATAACGAAGAAAGGTCTGAGTCGAAGCTCAAGAATGGAGCGGGTACGGGATTCTTCGGTAGCCAAGGAAGGAGAATATTTCTCGAAGGGAGGCCAAGCTTCATTGTTAAATATGCGTATACGCCAAAAGAACCGGGCGGATAGAACCACGCGGATTGTGAATGTGCAGGTGATGTTCACACGATTGCGCTGCGCATTCGTCCGTCCGTCCGTCTCACGGCCGCAGGGGCTCGGAGCGGAGGGTCGGGGGACCATCCCGAGTCTGACATCTGGGCTGAGCCGGTTGATGCGCATTCGCGCCAGCCCTGGTAATTTAATTCGATTGATGCAGCGGTTAACAGAGGAGAATAGGCCATGATATTATAGTCGTGAAAAACATCTACGCGGCATGGTTAAACAGCCTTTGGCTCATCGAGGCCGGAGATCTCAGTACGCACCGCGGGCAGCACATCTACGTTGCCGACCCGGCTTCGCGCGAGAGTTCCGCAGCTGATCAAGGCGATAGAAGCAGTCGGTTGATTAGACTGTCCCGCATTCACGTGAGTCTGGGTGCGCCGTGAAACTGAAGGCCTGGAGATATTAGGGTCGCCGCGAGGATACTGGTTGCCCACGTCTGTGCCTGGAGCTCCGCACGCATGAAGACACAGCCCTCATCATATGCCACTATTACGTATATTCCGCGTTGGTTATACTATAGCATAGTGCGTATAGTTGTAAGGTGGCTGTGAGTAGGTGGTTTGCTCAAAAATGCAGCCAGGGAGTCTGGTCTGAATCTGCATAGCGTGAAGAGAAAGAAAATAACACGTGGAAATACGCAGATGAGACGGGAGGGGAGGGCTCGTCTTCGTAGGACGAAGGGGTGGAGAGGCGAAGAGAAGAGTTGAGCCGCTCTCCACCAAGTGTGGTACTTGGTTGCGGTTCCGTCAGGGCGGGATGTTTCTGTCTTGTCCATTCCACCACCCCCTTTTCTGTCTTACAATCGACGAGTCGACGAGCACACACACACACACCATTCCTTCAAGGAGGCGTGTGTACGAACCCCAGCGCGTGTGCGACCCGGAATTCCGGGAGGCTTATCAAGTGCTGACTACGCCTCTAGTTTGCTGTAAGACATCGGAATATATTGTGTCTACGGATCGTAAACTGGGACTGATTTTTTTCTTATTCCTTCCCCATACGAACCTGTGCTCTAAAGAAGACGGTTCGCTTGTACGGCCTTCGTTCTTAATAGTGTGCCATTCGGTCTGATGCGTGGGATACATGCTTTGCTAGATAGTTAGCAGTCCCTAATAGGTAGTAAGTTGCAGTAGATGATCTGTTGGTAGTACAATATTTTTCCGCAATAGGTTACCGAAGGACTACTCGTCAACTTGATAGGAATCTGGATTCGCAATCTTCGTTACGCCAAGATCGTAGGATAATATACCCCGTTTTTCGTGATGTACAATTGTGTCCTCTATTGAATATTGAAGAAACTCCCCTTACGAGTTAAGGGACCCGAGATACCTTCCGTATTCGCCAGCGTGACGCGTACAACCCATAATGCCATTTGCCAGCTTTAGAACGGGACCGACCTTGGGATCCAGGTTCGATTGCGACTGCGCAAGCCGTGTTATTGGTAGAGTTACTAAACGGGCTCGCCAACCCCGTGAACCGAACGGCCCGCAGTGAGACGACGACGTAGCCGTATTTGGTATCTGGGAAAAGGACCGAGAAGATCTGAGACAGAAACGCGATCGACCAGCCACCCGTCGGAAGGATCTGAAGATGGGCCCGGATTCGCAGTCTGGATCCGATTGGGTGCTAAACGCGACACCGAGAGCTCGCAACCAGGCTAGGCGCAAATTATATATGTTGGGTAGCGCAGCAGGTTTCCAGAGCGGCGGCCCCCATGGAGGGGAGCATGGCGGCGGCGCAACGGAGGGCAAGGATGATGTTTGCAAGAACACTCATTCGGTACAGGCCCTTACTTATTCGGCAAAGCGGAGGAGGTGCGGAGTCGCCGTCCTGGTAGAACCAGTCTCTCGCGAAGGGGGTGCAATGAGAACTCGTTATTAGTACTGGTGGAGATACGTTCCCAGAGGGTATATATATATATATACGCACCTATATATATGAGCAGGGACGCGAATCCGGCTTGAGAGGCAAGATGGTCTTCCTCATCCTACCATCAGTTCATTACCGCTTACCTCTACGCATACCATAACCCCTATGATGAGGCTCAACCACGTATTCGTCGCGCTGGCCGCCTGGTCTTTAGGCGCGGGGGCCCTCCCGAACCCATCCCCTGTCTCGGCAAAGAAAGAAGCCCTCGACTCGCGCGACCTGCTGCCCTTCGACACCGCGATCCCGGACGCCCTCCGGCTCAGCGAGCTGTACGGCGCGCCGGACAACGACTTCGGCTGCCGGGGCGAGCGGAACCCGGTCGTGCTGCTGCACGGGCTCAGCGCGAGCCGCGACGTCGACCTCAACATGCTGCAGCGGGAGCTCAGCCGGCGCGGCTACTGCACCTTCTCGCTGACGTACGGCGCCTGGCCCCTGCTGCCGTGGGTCGGGGGCCTGCGGCCTATGGCCGAGTCCGCGCGGGACATCGCCGCCTTCGTCCGCGCCGTCAGCGACCGCACCGGCGCGCCGCGCGTCGACCTCGTCGGCCACTCCGAGGGCGGCGTCCAGGCCCTCTACGTGCCCCTGACCCAGGCCGGCCTCGCCGGCGTCGTCGAGCGCGTCGTCGCGCTCGGCCCCGCCGTCCACGGCGCCCGCTACTTCGGCTTCACCGACCTCCTCTACCTCGGCGGCGAGGTCACGCGGCGCGTCGGCCGCGCCGTGCAGACCCTCCTCGGCTGCCCCGCCTGCGACGACATGATGACTGGCGGCGCCGTCTACCGCAGCTTCCGGGACGCCGCCCGCATCGTGCAGCCCGGGACGAGGGCCACCATCATCATGTCCCGCTCGGACACGCTGGTGTCGCCCGAGGTCAGCCGGGTCGACGAGGAGGGCGTCCGGAACGTCATCGTGCAGGATACCTGCCCGGAAGACCCCGTGGGCCACGCGGGTCTCATGTGGGATAAGAGCGTATGGCGCTTGGTCGTGAACGCCCTCGAGGAGAATGACGACGCAGTGTTCGCATGCGAGAAGGGACTTCCAGTCTGACGCACACTCTCTCCGTATTCATATATATCAGGTATGAATTACGAGGCCTACGGTTACTCTGAGCACCTTGGGGATGGCGTTTCTGGAGAAGAGGTAGAAAAAAAGGCCGGAGTTGAAGCATGGATTAATACTAGTAGAATGGCACATGCTAATTTGGAACACCTCGAGACGGCTCTCACTAAGCTCCCTATTATGGTGGGATACTAGTTTGGCACCGAAGAGAGCGGGACGCTCACCCAGGACGCCGGTCATAAGTTTCACATCATCCACTGTGCATCCCAAAGAGAATCTTACGCGAGTAGCAGGCTTCGAACAGTTTGAGTGAAACCTCAAGACACCTACATTTTCCTCGTTAGGTACGTAGGCGCGTATAGGCAGTATTTCGTAGGTAACCATAATATATTATAACACTGATATAGCCCGCCAAGATGGGTCAGCCGTTAATCTTCCTATCGTCTGCGCTACCAGCCTTCCCAGACATCGAGTTTCCCGGGTGCATTTTCACTTTCGAGGGAACCCCCTCAACGTACCCCCTGAAACTGCCGAGTGCTATCTTAACGAAAGATGTGTGTATGGTGATGCTTACAACTTCGCAGCTAACTTGAAACTTCGTGTAGATTACCCGGCTCACTAAGCTCCCCTCGGGCACATAGGAGTCAGGTTACACACAGGGGAGCTGAGTATAGCAGCCTTGTAAGGCCTAGGAGACAGGTAAGCAGGTGGCAGAGGGTGATGCGCCGTATCCCGCGCCGGAATACCTGGTGCCGCTTCTAGGGTCGCGTGCACGTAGTAGTAGCAGTAGTTAACGCCGAGCCCGAATACTGCTGAAACCGGGGCGGCCGAGAGAATTTCCGTGTAGGAGTGACGAAAACTCGGCGCGGAGCGTAAGCAACAAAGCATCAAGATCTAGGTGGTGGTATTCGGAAAGGATTGGGTAGGCATTTTCGAGGTGACTAACTTAGGGCTACCCTTCTCTCCCCTTCTGACTTTAAGGCGTGGGAGGGAGTATCTCAGGGGCTTGACCACCCGTACGAACGAAATTTATGCCCCGAAACTCTCCGGGTGACGAGTGATTGGCTGGTGTCGACATGGAGAGCATGCAGGGCATGCTTCACATGGTCTGAGAAATATTCGCAATATGCCGTCTATGCAGACCGGTCATGTCGGCTCGAAGTCTATGAACGATCATTGCCTGGCCGCAGAGGGTTAAACTTAGGTTCAGCCCTATCGCTCGGCGCGTATCCGAGGCGAGGATGTGCTATGTTGTAGGTGTAATGCCTTCGGCAAGAACCGATGAATTTCGTGTCTCGTCGTCTAAATTCCGACCCCGGCCCTTTTATAAAATCACTGCCAGTATAATTTAAGAAAGTAAACTTAGGTCCCCGCTGGTTCCACTAGGACACGAAACAGGTCTAATCGTCATCGTCGTCAGGATCTTCCGAGCCTTCCGAGCCTTCAGATCCGTCTTCCGAATCTTCTTCGTCACCATCGCCATCCTCCTCGCCCTCGGGGGCCTGTAGACCGTAATCGTCGTGGAAGTCGGATAGCTGCTTCACCTGGGTTCTGTAGCCCATAGTTTGGAGTCCCTCCTCGAGTTTCTACTCATGTTAATACGATACTGCCGATCCAAAGGGTCAGTGGATGCGGAGCTTACCTCGACCATTGCATGTGAGCAACACACAACTATATTGCTCTTCCCCGGTTCGAATAGGGGCAGCAACCACGTCTTCATGGCCTCTTTGATGTCGTCGACGGTCACCGTCCTGACCTTGGCCAGCATTTTGATATCGTAGTCGGGTTCGAGTCCCCTCACAACACCGACAATGTAGTCTTGCAAGGCTGCTGTGGCCATGGAGGCTTGTTCATCTGCTAGGCCCATCACTAGCTGGCTGATTGCGCCCTCAATCATTGGCTGCTCAAATGCGACAGTCCCATTGACTAGAGCTGCGATGGCGTCGCGCGCAGCAGCTATCGCCTTCGACGCTAGCGGGGATCGGTATACCTTGAAATGTAGGTAGCCCCCGTCTAGCTCTTTGGCGAAATGCACACCGTAAGCCAGGCCGTTGCCACGGACGGCGTTCCATAGCGTTCCTTCGACTGTCTCGAGATATTGCATTGCAACAAGAAGTGCAGGTATTGCTGGGTCCGAATATGAGGTAAGACCCCTCGCTGAGCTGACAGCATAGGAGCTATCGATTGCCCTCATCGGAACAATAGTTGCGCCAATGGAGCCAGGGTTACGACCTTCGTCGTTGAGGAGAGTGCACGGTTTGACGATGGGATTGATGTTCTCGACGCTCGTGTCGAGCGACTTGGAAATGATATCCCAGGTCTTTACGGGATCTAGCAGCTTCGAATTTGAGATATCAGCTGTGACAAGGACGCGCATATTATCGAAGGTAAAGAGGAGCTTCCTAAGTTCCTCGAATTGTGTCAATACTGTATCTGGGTCTGTCTCGAGGAGTTTCTTAAGTCGACGGAGATATACGGCTTTAACGAGAGTGCGTTTTGCAACGAGCAAAGACGACGGCTCGTTGTGGATGGCCATCTCAATTTCGTTGGCCATAACTCTGCCATCACGCTTTGCCTCCGGAACGTCTGCGAGCTGTTTGGCGACGCCAGCTTTCAAACGGGTGACGTCGAAGATGCTGTCGAACATCATCGTGCGAATCCACTCAACCGCGGTAGCATATTTGTCTGGCTCGACTTGCAGACGAATCAGAAAACTCTCCGTGTCGCTGAATCGGCTACCTCCTTCGAGGACATATCTCACGGTATCCCTCTCAAGCTCCATGACCACTTGCTCGAACGGGATCTGTTTACCGTTGCGTTGGATAGGGGTGTTAAAAAAGTTGTCGCTAAATAATGACAACAAGGGCTTGTATGCGGTAGGCACCTTCGAAGTGCCAACGTGAACTGTGATATGCACAAAGTTGGTCTTCACGTCTTCGAATTGCACAAACAGGGGAATCCCAGGCGAGGCCTCGTCAATGACTTTCTGTGCTGGATTCTCCTGGACGCCTAGGCTTCGAGCTTTGCCTGATCGCGCAGTCTGCGCATTTATGAAATGGATCGATTCAACTGGGGGAACCTGCCACTTCTCCAGCAACGAGGCTGGAATCTCGACTTCGTTTTGCCGTTTGGCATCCTCAAGTTCCTGAGCCAACTTATTCAGCCCTTCGGTACCCAGTTCTTGCTTCCTCTTTCTTATCCTCTCCTCTTCGTCTCGTTTTAACTTTTCAGCCAATTGTAGAGATGGGTTGCCGAGGATAGAGACGTGGTGAGCATCTGAAATCCACTTCCTGAGAAAAGCGCGCCACTGTTCATCCGTCCATTTCTCCAACGCGTCGTACTCTCGGAGGTTATCGAGGTCTTTGAGAGTCGATCCATCTCGGTTGCCAAACAGGAAATCCGTGATAATGTTGCTCGAAAAGAATGACCCGGACTCTTCTGCCTCGGCCTTCACCTGCCGCCGCTCCCTCCGGATACACTCATTCATGTAGGTCATATCGAGTGGTTTAGAGGCAACCTCCTTGAGCAAGGAGATTAGGCGTTTTTCGACGAACGCTAACTTTTCGGTAGCGACGCTGGTTGGTTGAAGCCAGATGACACTATTTGGCCTGGCGTCCCACCAGTACGAGATTGAACTAGCAAGCTCCTCCTTTTCTACCATGACGTTCTCCAACACAGCGACTGAGGATCCGCACAGGTACGTCAACAGAACATTCAAGGCTGTTGCTTCGAGGACATCGATGCAGTTGGGCCCGAAAAATCCTATTATCACATCCCCACTGGACTCGTCTTCTTCAGGAAATTCGACGGTACTGATGATCGTCTCCTTGAGTGCGGGCGGTTGTGCGGATTCTACCCACGGCCGCCGGAAAGACGCATTTAAAGGAGGAATATCGTCCTTGACGCTTTCTTCGAACGCGCCCAAGATACTAAGAAGATTCTCGTGGTCGACCTCGCCGACGATAATCACGCACATGTTCCGTGGTTGATACATGGTCCTATGGAAGCTTCGTATCTTCTCCGGAGTTAAGACTCGCAGGGCTTCCATCATACCGCCCGTCTCGTATCGGAAACCGACATTTTCAGGATAGAGAAGGCGTCGTGCTTTGAGGTCCATGAGTTCCGAGCTGGTGTACTGGACCCCTTGCATTTCCGAGTAGACCACACCGGCGTCGTTACCCTCGCCGTTGATGTGATGCACCTCGGTCAGACAAGCCGCGTCCGTCAAAGTGGGAACGACGAGGTGCTCGAGATAGACGGGTAGGATCTGGGCGAATCCCTGCCATCCGGCCGTCTCGAGGATGTAGGCAGTATGGTCGGTGGCCGTCCAGGCATTGGTAGATCCATAGGCCCTAGAAGCGAGCTTGTCTAATAAGCCCTTGTAGTGATAGCTCTTCGAACCCATAAAGACAAGGTGCTCAAGAGTGTGAGGTGCCCCGGAATCGTCGAAAATTTCGGTTGCTAGGGTGAAATAACCGTTCACCTTTGGACCCTCTCGATCGGCGACAACGACCTGCATTCCGCTCCTCTCGGATATATACTGAGTGACGGCTGCGTGGGCGTAATCCGTCTGGAAGGACTGAACCTTACGGAAGCGGGTGCTCGGCCCTTGAGAACCCATCTTGAATTGGAATGGGTTGGATAAGACGGGTTGTAAGTGACTGCTGGATTGGTTGGTTAGTCTGTGTCCAAAGAAAGCTGAGGCACGAGGGAGGAGCTGTGGAGGGTTGATCCAATGATCCTCTCAACAAGACGGTACGGATATGGACACATATTTCAAGGGGCATAGGACCGGCTAGGTGGTTCGATAACTAGCGGGCGTAGGCATATCCATGCCTAGGATAACGACTGAGGTAAGGCTTAAGAACCCAAGCTGCGGTCAGGGCACGTCTAGACTGATATGTGATCCAGTCAGACGCAACTTGAGATCCATGGTCAGACGTCAGAAGCAGGGGAAGGCTCCGCTACTGCCGCGGGCCTGTCCCATTGCATGAGCAAAATCCGACGGCGACGCAGCCTTGACTCGGCGGCGACGTAAGATAGTTTTCCATACCCCGAGTTGTAGTTCCACTGGTAGTAGAAGACGGCGAGCACGGCAACGATGGCGACGAGAGTAGACAGGACTAACGTCCTAGCTGGTGCCCTGGCCTCCATAGCTTGATTCGGGTTTTATACCCCCCTGCCATATCCGGGAGAGGTGGCCCAGTCACGAGACAACGGCAATGGGCCGGCGACGAGTTGGTCGGGGGGATTGGCGAGGGGCTCGGTGTGGGTGAGCATGCAGAGGTTACGTACACTGCTTTGTGCAAGGCTTTGTGCTCTAGACTGGATCCGGGGAATGCAACCACAAAGCTCGTAGGACTAGGTCTGACGTGTAGCGGACGTACCTGTGCTTATGTCGACGGGAGTGGGAGTGTCGTGACACGGTAGAGAGCCAATGGAAGGGAGCTGGGAATCGGAGGGGCTTTGACCTGACCCAGGCCAGGATGAGCGGCGACAGCTTGGCGGAGGGAGGCGTACAGATCGCGACGGGCTCGCCCGTGCCGCGGATGAGAGAGGACGGGCTCGGTTCGGATCTGGGATATGAGGGTTTGCGGCTAGATGTGGGAAGGGGGGCGGGGCGAAAGGCGAGGGGAGAGAGGCGGTAGCGAGAAGATGACGGAGGGAGGTTAGAAAAGAGCTAACGAAGACCGGCGGCGCAGGGAGGCAGAAGAGAGGGGTGTCTTTTTTTTTTCTTTCTTCTTTTTCATTAGGCGTGCTAGGCGGGCGTCCCGCCTTAGGGGCCTGCGTGCTGTAGGACGTACCTAGGACCTACCTACCTCCTAGGGGCAGGTGAGGTAGTTGGCAGGTATTAGGTAGAAGGTATAGAGGTATGTAGGTATGTCGGGTGAGTAGATACCCGCTAGGGATGTAAGTAGGAGGTATGCATGTAGGCACCTATATATGCATGTAAGCGGGAGAGAGCTGGGGCCATTATCGCATAACGGAGGGCCTTGATCGCAAACTGCGTCTCGACGGCGATCGCAGGATGGAAGAATAGGCAAAGCGGTAGGCGGGAGAGGCAGGTCGAGGGCGGGAGCCGGGAGGCGGGTTAGGTAGTTGCCGATATTTCTCCTAATCGAATGGAACGCTCTTTCAAGTCTTACAGCATGCAAATCCCTTGCAGTCGACCCCGCGGTGGGGTCGTGCAGTATGTACAGGTACATTCCTGCCGTAAGCACCACGCACAGGTTTTAGAGGTTGGGTACCTCTTGCAGCCTCCGGCGCGCTTAGGGAGGTGCCGGCGTGCTTACCCTCCCCCGCCACTCGCAAGCTAGGTACAGCGCTAAGGCGGCTAGATCATTTTTATCTTCGCGATTACCGCCGTAAAATGATAGGTAGGCGTCGTGCCGCGTTCTGACCTATCACACCCGGTCGCCTAGCACCCTCAAGCCTATGGAGGTACCTCCCTCCTCGTGTCTGCTAAGTAACAGGCCCCTAGGTACATACCTATCTACGTACTTTAGGTACCTAACTTACCCTACCGGGGAGGGGTTCCATGGTGCCAACTGACAGGAACAACACCTGCAACGGCAACTTGACTAACAACCGACCAGCTGTAGATGGCAGATAATAAGCCCATGATGAAAAAGAGGCGAAAACGACGATCAACTGTATGAAGGGGTGACTGACTACTAGCTGTCCATGTGTGTGTGCCTGCCTATCAATAGGGGCGAAGGGAGAATGTGAAAATATAGATGCGAAACCTATATATAGTGTATATTACATCGTAAACCCTGTAAGGGCTGGTCGTACCGCACAACCACTTAGGTACCTAACTGTGGCCATCTAAGGAACGGGTGAATAGTTGATTGAATTACAGTTATCTACGTAGCCTTTTTAGAGCCGTTTTACGTGCCTTTTATATCCCGATTAGCCCTCGCTAAGGTAGGGCTTACTTTATAGCTATACGTAACCGATTACGTACTTACGCGCCTATACGCCTTCTTAGCCTAGGTAAGGCTATCGTTAGGCTCTTAAATAACGTAAGGCCTTAATTCCGTAGTATTTTCCCTTATCTCTCTATCTATATACTTATTTCGTTTAAGGTTATTACGAGTCCTTTAAATATAGTAACTTAATAAATCTTTAGTATTCCTTCGCCTTTAAAGGCTTCGTAAGCTTATTAGCCGCGTTTTTAATTAATAATACGTATCTTAGCTTAACGTACTTTTCTTTTACCTCTTACCTTACGTAATAATAATCCTTTCGGATATACCGCTTTTACTTATTTATCGCGGTTTCTTTTACTTACGTATTCGCCGTCGTATTATCGCATCACAAGGTAATAAGGCCTACGGATATTACGCCTAATTCCGTAAGGAAATTACGTATTTACGCGGTATTTATTACCGCCGTCGATAAGGCTATATACTTAGCCTTTCCTAAGCTTCGCGCGACTACCGATTAAAGCTTCGATATTTATACGATCGGGGCTCCTACTATAAAGAATACGTAATTATTCGTTAACTTAGCTATGGAGATATTTCCCGCGTAATTCGAGTTTACGTAACCGTAAAAACCTATCTCGTTATACTTTTTATAAGAGTAATTTTCGTTTAGTTACCGATACCGGATCCCTCGGTTTATCGTTCCCTTAAGATATCGTATTACGCGTTTAATTCCCGTTTAATATTCTTATAAGGGGTTATTTATAAAACGCGTCTAGGTCGAGGCTACGTAACTAATATTAGGCCTCGTAATATATACCGGAAAGTTCGCTTTTCTTACTAACGAGGTATATTCTTAAACCTTTCGCGGGTCGGCCTTATCGTTAGCCTCTTTCGGTACGACCGCGTCCCGATTCTTCGGGTTATACGGTAACGGATATAGCTTCGTATCGCCGTAATTAAGCTCTTTTAAAGCCTTTTCCGTATACTATTATTAATCGAGCCGGACGTCCCTCGTAGGAAACGATCGTCTTATCCGAACCCCGAGAAATTAATTAACGTTTCTTAGGTTAATTACCTTAACCTTTTCTTTAATTATATTCGCGAGCTTATAAAGTCGTTCCTCTTTAGATCCGAATAATAGAAAATCGTTTATATACGAAGCGATTACGTTTCCTATTCCGGGTCTTATATAAATAACGTCGTTTAAGGTTAATAAAACGTAGCCGTATTTCTTTAAGATACTTTTTATACGCTATTATTACGCGGCTTTAGCTTATTTTAGGCCATATAACGGGTTAATTAACTCGATAATCTTCGATTTATCGTAACTATAGGTTTATTTCTCTTTCTTATAGGCCTTGAAATACTCCTTTAATATAGGAAATTACTTTATAAAGATCCTTTCGTTTAGCTTTCCGTTAAGGTAAGCGGTAATAAAGTCGATCTAAAGGATATATTATTAATAAATAACGGTTAACGCTATTAGTATTCTTTACGATATTACCTTCGTCGTTATCGCCTTAGTTTCGTTATAATCGATACCTTTTCTCTATATAAATCCTCGGGCGTAGATCCGTACCTTTAGCTTATCGAGATCTTCGTTAAATAGGAACTTCTTCTTTAAGACTTATCTAGCGTCGATAAAATAACCGTTAATTACTTCGCTCGGCTATATAAACTTAAACGTATTACGTTCTAAATTCTTTCGGATCTTCTTAAAAACGGCTTAGGTTTAAAGATTACGCTTTAGTCCTTTTATTACCTCCTTAAAGAGCGGTTCGTTCTCGTTTATCTTAAATAAGCCCGCCGCTACTAATGTTATTTACTTATAGCTTTACTCCTACGGTACGGTAACAAGCGTATTAATATAATATAGCTTCTCTCGGGACGCGATTTTAGGCGTATTTTATTTACCTTTAGATACTCTTTTTAACTCGCCCTTTTACGAGCCGCCTAGCGTTAAAGCGGAACGTACTTTATTTAACTTAGGTAGTACCTTTAGTATATAAATTTAAGGTAGTTTCTTCTTCAGGCGCCCTTTCCGGGGGCGTATCCTATCCTTATCTTCGTTTATAACGTCCTCGTTAACGATATTATTATCCTTATTACGAACGTTAATCGCCGCGATTTTCTTCCGATGCCGTAGCCGTTTCTAAACGTACTTAGGTAGGAACCTAACGACGTTCCTTAGGTTAAGGGCCCCTTCGGAATTTCTTAATTCTTCGTAAAAAATAACGTAAGGCGTTTTTAAGAAACGACCTCCTTCTACGAATTAAACCAAGTAGTTATACTTCCCTTCGTAACCTATAAAAACGGCGCGGGCTTTACGTAGTTTTATTTTTTCGAAAACGACCCGATAACTCTTATCGATATAAGCTACGTAACGGCTACCGACGATACGTAAATACGCGTTATTAGGTTTATAATTCTTTCTTAGCTTTATGCCGTTTATAAATCTCTCGTATGGCGTAAATTCCTTTACAAACGAAACGCTAATCTTATTAATCGTATACGCCGTTACTACGAGGACGTAGTCCTAGAAATAAATAAGGATCTTTATTTAAACGTAAATTACTTTAATATCGTTTTATAAGAAGCGTATACTTCTTTCCGTTACGCTATTTTAATATTAATTATCTAGCGTAAAGGCATCTAACGTAATACCTCTTTCGTTATAGAACTATTCGATAGCGTTTATACCGAACTCTCGGCCGCCGTTAAGGCGTAATATTTTTATCCGTCGCCGGTTCTTATTCGGGGCGTTCGGTAATACCTCGAGTAATTAATAAACTCGGGTAAGGTAAGTTATTAATACTTATTAAGCCTTTCCCTTAAACTTATATTAGATAAATTCTTTATTTCGGTTATCGTCGTTTACGATTAATATAAAATAACGGTAGTTCTCGATCGATAGAGGCTATAACTTTCCGAGGTCGTATTAAATAATCTCCCTAGGAATCTAGGTACGCTCTTAAGGATCCTTCGAGGATATCTTAATAATCTTTACCCGATTATACGCGTAATAAGGTACCGTTTTTATAAGTACTAGGTCTAGGTCGATTTCCGTCGACCTTTTAATAATCTATATAAGTCTCTCCGTACTAGGGTAATAAAGGCGGCGATACTATAATATTAGTTACTTTATAATATTATCGTTTAGCTATGCTAATATTACTTATAATATTTCGCTAAGCTTACCGAATTAATACCCTAACGCGCCTCCTTAATACCGTTTAAAGGGAAGGAGTTTCGGCTCCTCTTTCTTATATTTCTATAATAGGAAACCTCGTTTCTTAAGGTTTAGGGTCGTTAAAACGGTTCCGTTAGGGTTTATAATGTTATTTTTATCTAGTTAACCTCCGCTACGATAAAATAACTCTCCCGAGAAGATCTTAATTAAAAAGGAGCTAATAAATAACGTATAATTTAATTACGCTTAGTTATATTTTCCGTCGTCGCCGGTAAGGTAATAAGTAGCCTTACTTATCTTCGTAACGTTTATAAGGCCTCCTTCCGTATTAATAACGTAACCTAGTAATAACGTTACTACCGTTCTCGGGTCTAAATCTTTTAAATCGTTCGTAACGTAAACGTTAGCTCCTATATCGAAGAATAGGTAATCCTTATAAGCGTTAGCCCCCGCTCCGTAGTTAATTCTTAAAGGCTTTACGGGCCGCTTATCTTTTAGCGGGTTAGTTATAATTAAGTTATTACCGGGGTTAATAAGAATAAGTTTTTATTTAAGGTCCTTTTTACGGCGTAATTCGTTATAAACGCTTATTAACTTAAAAAGCTTTACCGTATTTATCTTCGTTCGATATACCCCGCCTCCGCTATCGTAATAACCGAATTAAGGTAACATATACGGTACGTACGTAATATATTACGTCGACGGTTATTTCGAACCGCTCCTTAATCCGCCGGAAGCGTTATCGCCGTTATTATTACCGCCGCCGTTATCCTTATCCTTTCGTTTCTTTAGCGGTTTCGGATAGTCCTTAGCCTTATACTTATATTCCTTATAATTAAAGTAAAGGAACTTTCCTTATTAATTCTACGAGGGCTTCTTCTTCTTATTCTTTTCCTTACCTTAAGCGTTATTAGCTTAGTTATTATTACCGCTGCTATTCTTATTACCCTTATACTTATTAATCTTATTACGGAACTTTCCGCGGAAGTTATTAAATACGTTTAATAAATCCATAGGTTTCGTTTTAATTATAATATTTACGATTTTAACTTAATTAGCTACCTTATTTTATATATAGCTAAGGAATATCGTAATCTACTATTCTTCGTTAATTACGAGGCCGGTATCTATATATTAACGAACGGTTAATTATTACTTAGACGTAAACTTTACCGGGTCCTTACCGTCGTATTTTATTTTAATAAATTACTCCTATAGCTTCTATTAACGAGCCTTTCCTATAGAAGCATAGGTTTAATCGAATATCTTTAATATCCTCGTACCTAAACGTACGTCCGTTATTAATTATAAGGGTTAACTCCGGTAAATCCCGGCGATTATTTTCGCTAGGGATATCTCGTCTTATTCGTCGAGTTCTATTCCTTTTTTATATCCTACCTCCTTTATAAAGAGTATAAGTATATCCCGATATAAGCTTTAGTTCGAGATTCTCTTAAGATAAGCGTCCTTATCGGGATTAAAAACGAATTTCTTTTAATTAATCCTACCGTCCTTCTTAAACGCGATACCCTTACTTTTATTCCTTATCCTCCGGCTACGTCTTTTACCGTAATCGGAGTTACTATCGGAAGAGCTTCCTAATAAGTTACTTAAGCTACGGCCTTAGTAACGGTAGCTCTTACGCCGGGTTAAACGCGAAATACGATAGTAGCGGCTATCCTCGCGGTTCCTATAGTAATCCTTACCGTAGATTCGTTAAGTCTCCATAGCCGACTTATTTAGTTTTCTCGGAGTCTCTAGGTCTTTAATATAAGGTTTATCCTTACCCTCGTTAGCGTCGGTAAAATCGCCTTCTTTTATTAAGTCGGCGACGTCTTACTAAGGTTAGCGATAGCTTCTTTATCGTTATTCGCTTATTATTTCTAACTTAGCTATTATCTCCCTAAGGAAATACTCTACGGTATTTATACGTTAGTTAATATATTCGGTCGTTTTACGTAAGCCCTCCTATAGCTCCTTACGTATTTCCTTACGGAGGTCCTTTAACGCGATATCCTACGTAATTTCCTATTCGGTTCCCTCCTCGGCCGCCTTATTTTATAATTTCGTAACTATCCTCGTAACTATCCTCGCGATTTAATCGTTTAACTTATTAATAACCTCTCTTTACCGTTAATCGTAGTTATACGGTTACCCCGGGCCGCTCGTTTATCGGAGCTTTCGTTACCTAATTACTTCCGTAACGTAAGTAGTTAGATAATAATAAAATAGCGTAATAATAAGCTTACGAAACGTATAAAGTACTACCATATAGCTATCTAAGGAACGGATAAATAATTAATTAAATTATAGTTATTTACGTAGCCTTTTTAAAGCCGTTTTACGTACCTTTTATATCCCGATTAACCCTCGCTAGGGCAGGGCTTACCCTATAGCTATACGTAACCGATTACGTACTTACGCGCCCATACTAACCTATATAGGTCCCGCATAGGTACATATTCTCACCTTCTTTACTACGTCACACACACATGTCCACATACCTACCTAGCTATATACCTCCTACTCGTTTTATACCTGATTATTAATTTCGCTAAGTGTTTTTTCTTATTTTGCCTACCTGCTATCTACAGTTAGCTAATTGCTAATTATAGTTATTATACTCTCACTATAGCTATGTTTTATAAATTTGCACTTTAGACTAGTTGTTAATAGCTATGAGCGTTAATATATAGCTTTACTAACAGTAAGTCTACATAATGATTTAATTAATTATAATCATTATATTAAAATTATAATAAAATCAATATTAAAAACAATACCTTAGCTTTTACTATAAATTTAACAGTTTTTTTGAACTAAAATTTTAATTATCTTTAACGTAACTATCGTATAAATATTTCGATACTAATGTAGGTACTCTTAACTTCCATCATAGATGCGACGTGGACTAAGCTTTGACTCGCTGTACCTGGGGTAGCTGTCCGTGTCGTTGAATTATCCGTCCTTCTCGAAGCTATCGCGAGCCTATCCTATTCCACCCTTCCCTCGCAAGCTCGCTGCTGTCTTGTATTTCCACCCACATGGCTGCGCTTCCGGGCTGCGAATTTGAGTTAACCTCCGATGGGAGCTAATGCCGTAGGTAATCGCTAATTTCACCTACTTTCTCACGCTCCAACGAAAAAGGCCGTTCCCTGCTTGCGATACGAACAGTCCTACCAGCGGACCACCTTGGTCGTATTCGACTTACTATTACACTATCGACCCCGAAACGTCCCACCTTCGAAGACAGGAAACCCTCAGCCAGGATCGCCGAGCGACCCCGAGAGCACCATGTCCGACGTTGACAGCGGCCAGATTGGCCATGCACTCGTCGAGTTCTCTCTGCACGGATTCTTCCCCGAAGAAGATGTGTCCTCTCGCCGCATTTCCGTGAACGACCTTGCGCCAGCCCTCGAATTGTTAGCCTCGGCAAAATCCAAGCTCGAGGTACTTGATATCCATAGAATGGGTTTCACAGACGCCAGCCGCTAATCGGACCGCGACAGTCAGACATCCACAAGATCAACCAAGAGACCGCTCCGGACGTGAGTCAATGGGTAGCCAATGCGAAATCCCTCGAGGGTGATATTAGCAGGTCGCGCAGTTGGGCGAACGACATCGTGCGGAGATCACAGGCCCCGGATGTATCAGGCCAGGCAATACAGGAAGCAGAAGACAAGGCCGAGTTTCTCCGGCGAGAGGTCGAATACAACCAGCGACTCCGCCATGCATTAAAGGACATCAAACATGTGAACGAGCTTCTGGACCGTGTCGAGCGGTCGCGGGATGAGCGGAGGATATTGGACTCCCTCCGCCTCCTAGAACGTAAGAAATTCGGCTCGCTAGCGCTATCTACCACTAACTTGATGCAGAATCCCAGACTGCTTTGGACGCAATCCCTATCAGCAAGTCCTGTCGTGTGATGAAACTGCTCGACTTGAGGGTTTTTGAGTTGAAGTCCGCCGTACACGACGTCTTCGACCACGTCTGGAATTCCCTTCTCCGTGTCGACACTGCGAATAGCATAGTTACCGTGTTCGAGCGCCACGAAAGTAGGTGTGCACTGTGCTACAGGAAATTTTGAAAACGGCCCTAAAATTTTGCAGACGAGCAGATGAACGTTGGCGATGCCGTGGCAGGCCTGACAGCATACAAGGAAGCCGACCAGAGAATGGGCTTATTCTGGCAGGACCTCGATACTGCTATTCTTGGTCCCCGGACGAATATCGGGGCACATGAACTACCGAGAATACAACGGGAAAATGTAGGGCTCTCGTGTCGCCTCACCCGCAAGTTAACTAACGCGAGACTAGTCCTCTCTCACCCTGGCCGGAGGTGCGGATAAAAGCGTCGCTGCTCTATTTTCCGACCTCGATGTGGTAATGACATACCTGTCAGAACGCTTACCAGAAGAGCTCGTCAATTCACTATCCGCTGCGATGATGCCCGATCTGATGCCACGGATCATAGGCACATGGCTAGACACTACAGTTCCTGCATCCCTCAAAGAAATGGACGGGTTTCAGCAAGTCATAGACACCGTGAAGCATTTCTGCGACCGACTACATGACTTGAAATTTTCCGGGTTCCACGAGTTACAAGAATGGGTCGACGATGTGCCGAAAGTATGGCTAACTAAATGTAGGGAGACAGCGCTGGATTCCATCCGCACAAAACTAGCACTGGGCCTGGGCGAGACGAAGGAGGTAGAACGTGTCGAGACGCAGGCGGTTTCTAAATCCGAGGGCAAGGAACTGGCTACCAACGGTACCGTTTCCGCAGGGAATGGCTTGGACGTGAGCACAGAGGGAAATGATGATGATGATGGAACTGACGCATGGGGTTGGGGGGACGACGAGGCGGCCGACGACCAACCCAAAACTCCTGTCCAGCAGAAGCCGACAGACCTACCAGACGAAGATGACCCTATGGAGGCGTGGGGGTGGGGAGAAGAAGACACGGCGGAGACGACCGCCGAGGAACCAGCAACGAATGCCACCTCTTCGACGGCCCAAACTCGCGAGTTAACTTTGAAGGAGACGTACCACATCTCTTCTCTACCAGATCCTGTTATAGAATTCATATCTGCGGTGCTGGAAGATGCTGCCTCACTTGTAGGGTAAGGCGAAAAAAGACACCACGTGCAAATATCGGTGAACTAACAGATGAGAAAAGAAACGAAGGCCACCCGATGGGGACGGCGGCCGCCGGCCTCTTTTCGCTCCCGACCCTCGCCCTAGCGATGTTCCGCGCCGTGTCGCCTTACTACTATTCTCTAACGCAGGGTGGTAATATGTAAGTGCACCCTCCTCCCGGAGCGTCTACCTTGGGGATGCCAACTAATATTCGTCCAGGTTCCTATACAACGACGCCTCCTACCTGTCGGAGCGGCTCTCTGACCTCGTCCAACGCTGGAAGGCCCGTGAAGACCTGGCGCCGCGGGCGATGGCGATGCTCCGGCTCGACAACGACATCCAGGCGCTGCAATCGTTCGCGGCGCGGGCGTACGGGTCCGAGATGGCGACGCAGCGGACGGTGGTGCGGGACCTGCTCGGCAGCTCACAGAACCTGGTGCAGCGGCCGGAGGGGCTCGGGGCGGCGTCGGACGCGGAGGCGCAGGTCGACGGCGCGACGGCGCACGTGCGCGCGACGGCGGCGACGTGGTCGGGGATCCTGTCGGCGTCGGCGTGGAAGCAGGCGGTGGGGGCGCTCGTCGACGCGATCGCGGGCAAGATAGTGGCCGACGTCATGGACCTGTCGGGTATCGGCCAGGACGAGGCGTACGACATCGCGAGCCTGATCGCGCGCGTGACGGAGCTCGACGACCTATTCCTCCCCGCGGCGGCGGCCGGATCGCCGTCGCAAGGCGTCCCGACCACGGCCGAGTACGCGCCGAGCTGGCTGCGCCTCAAGTATCTCAGCGAGGTGCTGCAGAGTAACCTCCAGGACGTGCGCTACCTGTGGCTGGAGAGCGAGCTCAGCCTCTACTTCGCCGTCGGCGAGGTCGTCGACCTGATCCGCCTCAGCTTCGTCGAGAACGCGCGCACGCGCGAGGTCGTCCGGGAGATCCGGGCGAACCCGCACCCGCTCGGCGATCGACGATGAGAGGGAGAGAGGGATTTGAGGGAAGATGCAAAAGGGAGTGAGGGAGCGGAGAGGATGTGTAGCTTAGATGAGTGGAGTGGTTTGTTTAATGATGAATGGCATGCCATCTCGCGCCAGCTTGGCGGTATATCGACTTGCCCGCCTCGTTACTCGTCATAGTAATCCTCGACATTATCTACGCATCGGCCCGTAGCTATACATTATGAAGGGGCGCACTCGACCCTGTACGTAGACCTCGTGAGTAGCAACGAAGCATCCACTTGTCGGTCGCTGAGAGGTTAGACACATGCATTCAGGTGTGTGTGTGCATATTAAAGAGTAGCGATTTCAGCCCGCCTCCCTACCGTACCCCTCCGTCTCTCCCTCCCTGTCTCCCTCCCAGCCTCTCTCTCTCTCTCTCTCTCTTTCTTTCTATCATACACGTCTCCGCCCCCCCTCCCCTTTCCCCCCAGCCCATCTCCCCATCTACCCCTCCCCACCGCCATCCCCCACACCACGACCACCACTCCCCCCCTCACACGCCGAAGCGGAACTCGCGGACCTTGCGCTGGTAGTAGTAAGTGGCGAGGAGGCCGGCGGCGGCGAGGGCGAGGGGCACGGGGGCGCGGGCGCGGGTGCGCGCGACGCGCGGCGCGGCGGCCGCCGTCAGCGCCACGCTGCTGCCCAGCGCCAGCTCCGCGCCGTAGTCCTTGTTCTCGCGCAGCAGGTAGCCTGGTTTGGCGCCGCGCGTGTGAGCAGGGGGCAGGAGGGAGGAGGGAGGAAGGGGAGGAAGGGGGAGAGAGAGCAGACGAAAAAGAAGAAGAAAAAAAAAAAAAGACCTTACCCGCAAACGCGTACGACAGCCCCAGACCCAGACCCCCCACCAGCGACGGCGTCGACCCCGCCCGCACGTACCCCGCCGTGCCGCCGGCCGCCACTGCGCGCCCCCCCCCGGAGTTAGTTGTGTGTGGTTGTTCGCCCGTTCGTGTGAGGCGCGGTTCCTAGCTCGCCGGGCTTGCCCTCACTCCCCCGCCCCCGAGGTGTGCTGCCTGGTCGGGTCCGTCGGGCAGGGGGGAGATGGGGGGGGAGGGAAAGGACAAAAGGGAAAAAGGAAAGGGGGAAAACTCACGGAGCGCGGCGAGGGTGAAGGAGGGATGGTGCGACATTATAGTTACGGCGTCAACCAAGACCCGACAGTCTTTACTTTTATCTCATAAACAGCGTCTGGGACGAGGGCGCGATGAGAAGGTGCCAGATACCGCTTTCCGGGGACTTGCGAGCTGCGAAGGGTGTTGAGGATGGACAAAGTCTGTCGTCGTCGGCCGGCTCGGCTAGGTGGCCCAGCCAGCTCCGTGATTGGCCGCGGCCGGATGAGGAGCTTGCTTAGAGCTTCTTGGGAGTCCGATCTTGGCCCCCCCTGCCCCCCCCCCCCCCCCCCCGGGCGCATGGCACATCTACACATAGGCAAGTGTCAGGCCCATACTTGATTTGTAACGGCGGCGATGGGGCCTTGTTGTTTACGAGTATTTACGCTGCATCCGTGAACCCGCGACGCTCGAGTGGCTCGAGGATTCTTGCCAACGAATGCGCAAAGCTTGTCTTGCTGATAGACTCTACTTCCTCCCCTGAGGGTCCGAAGCGAGAGCTCCGGCCTATTAGATTCATCCACACACACACACACACACACACCACTTGAGCTCCCGTTGCCTGGCTTTTTCGCCTCTTCCTATTTCCCGCGGATGTGGTGGCATAGCGGTTGGACCCATCTTGAGATGCTAGGCAGAAGTGGTTCTACTTCGTGTTCAAGACATTGGTGGAAGGGCGCTCGTTACACATTGTTACAAACGTGAGAACACACCAAGCACATAGCATAACAGCAGGTTGCCGAAGCCGACCCAGCTGACAACTTGAAAGGATTCCGGTATTGGTTGTCGGGTATCCTCCGCTTATCATGCTTGGCCATCCTCCTTTCTTCGCTTCACTTCGACCACTTCCGCCCTCGTCTCGGTCGTTGCGCGGTGGGCAGGGGTTGACACAACCGTTTTATGACTACGACTACTAAGGCTTCTCTCTTCAACACTGACATTTGTCGTCTCCCCCCCCACCCCCCCTCCCTCCATCGTCCGGGTTACCCACCGTATTATGGCTCTGACTCTCGGAAGCCGCAAAATATTCTGACCGGCTCTGTCATCGATCAGCTTCCCCTTCCGAGATTTTTAGAATCCTGGCCGTCTCGCTCAACGAGGCCTGGCTCTCAATGAAATCAACGCGACGAAGCGGTAGCGAGGGTATTTGCTTCGTTTGCGACACAAGGAGAAGGAGAACGAAGCGCAACTGACACCCGTAAACGACCGCGTGGGGGACTGGTCCTTGCCCCTGTTTTATTTTGTTTTCAATAGGCCCCTAGAATGGCCTGTCCTATTCCGAACCACTTGACACACCAAACGCCATTGCAATGCAGAGGACACCCTCGAAGAGTGGCCATGGGCCTCGTAATATCACCCCGTGACGCCGAAAATAGAATGGAGAAATTCCAGGGCCGCACACGCACACACAAGCATACAAAACATATTTGTGATTCTCAGAATGGATCACCCCGTTAGTCGGGGTTCGCGATGAACAACCGGCCAGATGTCAGAGTCATAGTCCGTTCATCCACACTGCCGCGTCGCCGGAGGTCTTCGGGGTTCTTGACGCTCTTCTCCCTCGTCAGCGCGGCGTTCAGCTTGCTGTTACTAGCCAGTCGCGCGGCGCCGCCGGAACCGAGCTCGTGCAGGGCGTCAGCCTTCTCCGCGCTGCTGCCGCTGTGAGTGCTAGACGCACGGCCCAACTTGTCGTCTCCGGGGGCGTATTCGCGGTCCTCGAGGACCATGCTGCCCGCTCGCTCTGGCGTATCACCCGGGCTCCACTTGCGGCTCCCTTGGGAAGCACCCGACGTGCGATAGGCGAGACCGCGTCGGCTACTAGCTGTGCTGCTCCGCCCGCTACTGCCCGTCCTACGGTGGTTCGCACGGCGGACCGACGTGTCGTCCTCGTCGCCGTCTTCGCCCTCGACCTCGGTAGCGCTGAGGCGCATCGGCACGCCGCTGACACCGATGTAGTTGGTGTCGGAAATGTATCCCACAGCGCCGGACTTCCCGTGATGGCGAATCTTGGCAGCTACTTTTCCCCCTGTGCTGCTCAACACCATCGACGTGCGGCCTTGCAGGGAGCCACCGATCACTTCCTGGTTGGCTCTCTGCTTAGCAGCGCGTTGCTGGGCAGCGAGTCGCGGGTCTTCGGTCTGCGCACGATCGCACCAGACGGTAGCCTTCTGCTTCCGCAGCAGGGCGACGTAGCTAGTCGAGGGCCCGTTCGCGGACCTCGAGGAAGTGCTGCGTCGAATGTCGGCGGTAGGGGACGTTCGGTAAGCGGCCGGGGGTGGCATGCTGGATGTAGTACTGAAGGTGTTGACGGAAGGCGATCGTCGCGTGTGGCCCATGGGGAACTGAGGTTGTTGGAGGTGGTGCATTGGGGGCGGTGCCTGCGGGAATACGCCTGAAGATGAGGTTCGCGATCGTGAGTGAGTGTAGAGTTGGGGAGACGGATCCAGGGATCTCATTCTCATATGATGGTCCTGACCTAGCATGGCCGATGCGCGGTCCTTGCCTCTTCTCGCCCTTCTCCCCTCACCCCGTTTGGGCGGCGGGAAATAAGCAGATAGGTTGTACTGATTGCTGGCTATGCGTTGGTGCCTTTCGTCAGGCCAGATTGGCGTTGGGTTGGTTGGTCGCGGGAGAGACAGGATGGGGGGAACCTGAATGGGAAACGATGCGCAGGTGTTGGCACTCGGGGGCCCAGATGCCGACTACAAGAAGAACTAGCCTTCAACAAGACAGATAACGTCTTATGGTGTGTGATGATCGGGCGTTCCGGATTGTGGGTTTCGAGACGTCTCCTCCCTCGGAAGAAAAGAAAATCGTGAGAAGATGAGGGAGGGTAGGTATGTATGTGTACGTGTGTGTGTCCGAGTCGAGTCGAGGTAGGGAATCAGCTCGAGTAGGAGCACGAGATAGGTACTCGGTTTTGTTAGTTTTTTAGCCAGGTACCTGGGCGAGTCAACGTTGCATAGGCCTGCGCCTTTTGCTGATGTGGATGAAGGCCAGTCGCCGAGAGCCGCGTTCGTCTGGTTGGGTAACGAGAGGGGGAGGGGACCAAGAGGTGGTGCTGCCGCCGCTTACTGGCTGACACACCGCGTGCGGAATGTGGGATATTTCCTCGCACAACTCCGGTGGCTGCTGTCTCGCTGGACCGCCGGCTCTAGCGTTTTCCAACCGGGCTGGGCTTGTTATTTTTTTTTTCCTGGTGGGGGGAATGGGGGAAAGTGGCTGAGAAGTCGGACCTATATCTCGTACTACATACGGTCATAGCCGCGAGGGCTGGATCGGAGCAGACGAGAAAATGATCGACGGCAAGCAGGAGACCTAGGTTTTGTTTTTGGTTTTGTTTCTGGTGGCTCCAACGCAATGATCAGCACAGGGCAGGGTCCGCCGGGGTACGGCTGTAGGCATAAGTTGCACAGATACGTAGTAGACTGACGGCGCCTCCGTTATATTGTTTTCCACACTCCTTTGCTGTGGACGCGCAACAGCGTTGAGCATCAAAACAAAGCGGGAAGACAATTTAGCAAATAAAAAAGAAACTAGAAAGGGAGAGGGGGGAAAGACAGCTTTGTATCCCGCCAGTTTCTTGTCCTAGGGCCGACCAATCTAGAGACGAGGTGGTGTCTCCCAAACACCTGATACGGACTGGTACGTCACTCCGTGGATTGCGGCTTTCTCTCTCTCTTTTTCTCTCTCGCTCTCCCCTCGCGATGGCGAGGCTTGCGAGCGGATCTGCTTAGTGCTGCTACGTGGGAAGGTTGTCGCAGCGGTAGCGCCAGCGAACCAAGCCGGGCTAGGTGGCGTAAGTCTTGGCTGCTCGCGCCAAAGGAGAGAGGCAGGGAAGCAAAAGACTGGATAGAGAGGTAGGGTAGATCCCAGCTGAGCGCGCTCGGTTCGGTGTAGCGCCGAGGAGCCTGTCCGTCGGGTCGGCCAATCACGACGAGATGCGACCGCAGGCGGCCTCGCTAGTTGCTCATCGCTCCGCAGCCGTTGACGTGATCTCGATATCTCGTTGACGTTGGGGAGAGGGATTGTCCAATGATCGCGTTCGCTACGGCTGGCGATGACGGTTGACTATCAGCCTCTCCTACCGCGACGTCTCTAGAACCGACAGGAAAGCTGCCGGCGAGTCAGGAAGAAAGGAAAAAAAATAGACGCAGCAGCGACGGACGCGCGAGCTAAGGGTAGTCCCGTCTCGGCCAAGGTGAGAGGGGCGGGAGGGAATCGATCGCTGTGCCTTACTCTACAGAGAAGGAGGCTGCGGTTGTTAATATCAATGAATCAAGGGGTCGTGTTTGCGCCGCCGGCCGGAGTGGGTTTCGTGGATGGATTCATGGGTTGAATACAGTAATGGACCAAACGGGAGTGGCAGCGGGAATGGGGACGGGGAACAATGGGATCGTCGTCGACGTGCAGCGAGTCCTTCCTCCTTGTCTCTCTGGTTGGCAACGGAGTGCTTGATTCGTGCGCGCGAGCTCTCGGAGCAGGGAGGAAGGCTCTGAGTAGTTATACCTAGGTCAATGCTCCATCTCAGAAGGGGAGAGGGCAGCACGGGATCGCGCTGCGCTGGATGGTTCTATGTTTCTGCTTGTTTGGGCAGCGATGGGAACCCGTCGTTCGTCTCCGCGCTCTGGTGCGCATGCATTCACTAAGATTACGGTCCATCGACCCATCGCACCACTGGCCATTCCCGTTACATGCCTAGGAGAGGCCGCGAGGCCGGAAGGGTAAGGGGGGAAGAGAAGGGGGAGGGAGAGAGGGGGGTTGCACATGGATGGGGGATGGGATGGAACGGAGGGAGCGGATGGCCGGATGGATGGACTTGAATGGGATTGTGGGCGGTCGTGGGAGATGGAAGATGGGATTCCCCGAAGTTGCAGGGCGTGCGTTCCATTCTAGCATCTGTCAGATAAACTCACTCTAGACGACCCCCCAAGGAGGGAGGTAGGGAGGTAGGTAGGTAGGTACCTACCTCCACAAGGCCATGCGCATATACACACTATCAATGTAGTGTTACCTTGCCAGTATAGCAGGAGTATACCTGTTGGTTAGGTACGCGCCTACCTATAGGCGGGTACCCGATACCTGAGGTACTAAGGTCGGCTACATCGCTGCGCGAGGTCCTCTGCGAACTGCAACTGGTGATTTGCTTTTAAGATTGATATCAGGTGGGATGAATTTCCCATCAGTCAGTTCCGTCGAGACCCTATCTCTAATGTCTCCTCCTGCTGTGCCGCCGCCGTGGCACCACAGCACAGACCCTCCTGTCGTAGATAGGTACCTATGTATACCGGATGTACCTACGTGCTGTGGGTCGTAAGGAATGCTCTGTCCCGCCCTGACTCTCCCCTCCAGCCTGTACCTGGCATTTACCTACGCGAGGTACCGAGGTTAGGCCTGACTTGTAGTATGGCGGGGTTTGTCCAGGCACATACCTAACTCTACCTACTACCTAATAGAGGAGGTACCTAAGGCATCATTAAGAGGTACCCTAGGCATGTATAACAGGCGTATAAGAGGCGTATAATAGGTCCCCACGGGCCCATGCACCACGGCATCTGGCCTGCTGGAGCGCCCTAGCGCTCCCTACCGCCGCTATTACCTCCACCCTATAGAGTCGGCAACGAGAGACGACGGCGCCGAATACAATCTACACGACGCTGGACCGTAACTCATCAGTGTAGCGACGCAAGGCGGTGGGTGGGAGTCGGACATGTCTATATGTAGGTAGGCTACCGTGTATAGCGCTACGCGAGGTATCATACGCGCATGAGAGCGGCGTAGGGATGTGCATATAGACGGACGCACTGCGATAGCCTAGATGATACCTCATATAAAGCCGAGACCTACATACGTCTCGGGTGTGACATGGCTTTCTATCCCTCTATCGCCACGTCCAGATGCTGCCGCCGCTGCTGCTGCTGCTGCTGCTCGCAGTCGTGCGACGACGCTCTCTTATTATTCCCTCGACCTATAGCGCCTGTCTTGCGCAGGTACAGGTACATAGCTCCGACAATAATACCCGAGGGGAGTGGGCGCCTACGCAATAACGTCCGGCGTACAAGTACCCGGTTAACAACAGTATTAAGATCACTGTCTTAAGTGCTATCGAACCCCGCAGCCCATTCTATTGCTGATGGCAGGCTCTGATTTGTCTGGTCTGGTCTTGTCTCGTCTTATCATGCCCTTGCGAAACCTGCGAAACCTACGAAACCGACAGAGAACCTGCAATTCCCACCGATCCAGCTCGCCAACCCTTCCACTACCTATCACCGCCTCCACAATGCACGTACGCGCTAGGTAGGTAGGTAGAGGCATGCAGCATGCGTGCGCATACATATCGATGTCAGTCGCAGCCCTTGTCTTCACCGTCATCATCTTCTCAGTCTTCTCCTTAGATCGGGCCCCTGCAAATCGGAGCAAACAGGGCGGCACCCGAGACGCCTGCCTGCCTCCCCCCGTCTCTGTCAAAATCGCGACCTCCAAGGCCTTCGGACCTGTCGTCCACCCACCTCGACGGTTCGGCGGGTTACGCCGACGTACGTATGCCTGTCGTGACCATCAAACCGACGAACCGCGAGACGAGCGAACAAACAACAACCATTCGTGACCTGAGGCACCCCGGATATGCGTAGATGCCTGCCTGCCTGCCTAGAGGCATCTTTATCTGCAATGCAGTAGGCACACGTAGCGTAGCACGTACACATCGCCATTGCGCAGCGGTAGGCGAGGCCTCGTCTTGCCTTGCTGCAGCAGAGGCGTGCCGGCATCAGCATCAGGCCAGACTCGCTTGCCACGACTCGGCCAAACCTCGCGAGCGGCCGGCTGGCCTCTCCAGGGCTACTTCTACTAGCGTATACCTATACCTACGTTGTAGGGTACATACCTGCCTAGGCAATGTGGTAGCACCAGTACGTCGGCCTGGTGGCGAGTTAAGTCGTGGGCCACGATGGGCAAGTCTAGCTCTCTCCGGCAACCATCGCCGGCGCGGTAAGCTGGAGGGGCATCGCCAGTGGAACGTTATGACGAAATAACGATGTGTATGAGTGTATGTTTGTGTGTGTTTTTTTTGGGCGCTGTCGCATTACAGCCTTGGGAGAGAAGGGAGAGGAGAGGGGAAGCGAGAGGCAGACGCAGAGGCCAATCTCGGAGATTGTATGATCTGATGTGATGCGATCTTCTACGTCGAAAGGCTTTGCCCATGCTTACCCTGTCCTGTCTGTTCGCGCATAAACCTGGGGTATCGTGACATGGATATCCCCTCTACACACGTAGCTATACCGCGCCATAACCACACAGATATTGATACCTATGATATAATAGATCTACCCGTCTCGGACTAGCGAAGGACGCGCAGCTAGTCAGCTGGGTTTAGTGTGTATACTAGAGGCCATTAATTACGCAGCTAGTTTAGCCCAGGCAGATTCGCGTGGCCCGCAGCTATTCAGCCCACGGCAGACGCTAAGAAAGCGAGCGGCGGCGGAGGCTGAGAGACAGAAGAAACGAAGAAGAAAAAAAAAAGGGTTTTACAACCCGGACAAAATGCGAGACGTGCTTTCGCTCTTCCTCCCTCGCGGACAATCGCTAGCTACCTAGGTGGCAAGAAGGCAAAGGAGGCCGAGTCATTTCGCTTGCGGGTTCGGTAGGCGGCGATCAAATCCGGCCGGCGACACGCAGAGGAGACGAGACGAGACGAGACGACCACAGATAGATGGGCAGTTTGTGTTTGCTCTATATTCATAGATGCCTGTGTGTCTAACTTGGCGAGACCTGCATCGATAGACAGGGTTGTGTCGGACGGAACCGACATATACTAGGTTGCTCACATGCCGTGTGTCGGTCAGAAGAAACCCAACCAAGATAACGTTCGTCTCTCACTTAGGTACATCGTCGTCAGAGGCGGCGACATTCACAGCACCAGGTACCTCTCCATAGTAAACATGCACCGTAGGTACGTAGTGCGCGGGCGGGCGGCCCCCACCCACAGGTGGCTTCCCGAGGCCGCCGGGAGAACCCCGTTAGCCTCGTGCCTTTTGCTTGTCTTGCCCGCCCTCGGCGAGTCATGGCCGACGAGGGGGCGTCGGCGATGCGCCCCAGATTAGCGTCCGGCTGGCGACTCTGCTCGCGCCGAGGCGGCCTCGCGCCAATCAGCCGAGCACGAGTCCGTCGGGGGGGGCGCTTCCCGACTGATCAGCTTCTGCGTCTCCGGTTGCTCCCCGCTCTACCTCCCCTAGCTGTCTGGTGTGCCTGGCCCCGAGGAGACCGCAAGCCATGACTTGCGAGAAATGCCAGGTACCTACTAAGAAAAAAGAGAGCGAGGAAGGAAAACAGAAGGAGAGGGTCGAGCGATGCTCAAACCACCTCGGCCGGACGTCACGACAACTCCTCTGGATATTCGGCTACTACTGGCGCGAGCGCGAGCGCGAGCCTATGGCATCCCGCTCCGAGCGTTCCGGCCTGGCGGGATGGTGATGGCGATGGACCATATAGGCGTAGGTAGGACGCACGTGGTGGTGACAGCACAGCAGCGTCCTAGTTTCCCGTGCATGTCCGACGGTTCCGCGATAGTCCCCCGACCGGACCATTGCCGCCGTCTCGTTCGATGAAGGTAGGGCCTTTTCTCTTTGCTCACGAATAGGTGGGGAATCGAAATCACCCACCGTCCCCACTCCCGCCGTCGTTGCCATCGCCACAGCGTCGTTCGATCCTCCGCCGCCAGCGGTCGACGTTGTATCCGGCGGAGCATTTGCTACGGCCGCTGCTGTTAGCTGCCCGTGGCATGGATGCGTGCATTAGACGGATCGGGCGAGAGGGGGATAGTAGCATCAGATAGAATAAGGTGAGCGAAGGCCGAGGCTGCCCAGATCCCCATCGTCATTGTCTAGCCGTCTGGCCATCCCTCTTATCTCTTCATTCCTCCTCCACCGATTTGATCCCTCCGTATTATGCATCTCGTTGTCCCAACCTGGCTCCGTCCTGCCCCCGTCCTACCCCATCCCGGCCTAGCAACCGCACGAGGGCTTTCCCAGCCAGCCAGTATTCGGCCCAGGCGAGCTGCAATGCAACGGTGAGAACCAAAGGCGGTCAGCTCTTCTTCGACATATTAAGCTCGCATGTCCATAATTCCTGTGTGCTATTGTCTGCAATGCGCCCTGTATGTGCATGCACACTATATCGTGCACTACGCGCCACGCACTGCGACGACGTACTCATGTGTAGGGAAAATCCCACAAGCGTCATCATCATGATGCTGCTATCATCGCTTTGCTGTGGATGCGATGGAGACGGCAGCGCAACCGGCGGAGCCTATCCTCCTGTTCTAGCCCTAGGCAATCGACTCACCACGCCATAACCCATCCTATCGCTCCCAGCCTTCCCCCTCTTCTTTTACCTATTCCTTAATGTGCCACAATTTATGCCGTTCCACCCCCGAGGGCACCCCTCTTCGCCTTCGTTTCCTTTCGTCGCGCGACGCCTCTTGGGCCCAGCGCCCGCAAGCGCAGGCAGCGAGAGCAACGACGACGGCGAGAATCTCGTCGCCATCTAAGAAATTGCCCCTCGCTTGTCGAAGGAATAGGATGGCCTCGGCGTAATCAGCAGCTTCTGGCCTGGGTTAGACCATGCCCTCTCCGCGGCTGTCTGGCGCCTATGTGTTGGGGCTGCTGCTCCCACTACTACTATACTACTTACTACCTACTACCGTATATATCTACTCGGATGGCGCCACGGCGTCACGCTCACAAGCTTGGTAGCAGGGTAGCGGGTAAGCATAAAACACAGCACTCGGCCGCCGTGGGGTGCAAAGGTACCAAGTGCACCACTATCGGAGCTGGGGCACGCTCCATACCAGCAGCGCTGGGGTTGCTGGGTGCGGCCTCCCTGCCCCTCCTCGCTGCCAACCTGGTCGATCGTCGAACCTCGTGGAAGAGAAATGCCTCACGGGCCTGCGTGGCTCTGTGTGACGAGGGCCGGCCGGGAGGGATCGTCGTGGTATCATCGCGATATTGGCGTCGCGGTTCTTGAGAAGTCCCATCCCCCCATTCCCGACTAGACACGAAAGAGGGCAGATGCGTAGAGAGAGGGGGGGGGGAGCGAAAGAACACGTTAGGACGAAAGAAACGAGGTCAACTATCGTCGGTAAGTAAAGGGAGGGTATAGGAAAGATACGGCAAATTACTCTACTATAGTTTAACCTATTACGTATCTCGGTAAAACGAAGAAAGAAATAAAGCGACGTCGCAAAGAAAAAATAAATCGCATCGTTTTCGGTATATTTATTATAGTAGTGCGGTGGGACTATGCCACGTACCTAGCCTTTCCGATGAGTATTTATATGGGTCTCGCACTTCGTTCAATCTTAATCCTGTAGACCTCCTGTAGATATCACAGTTTACAGTAATTCACTCCTTTCAACAAGCCTTCCATTGCCTTCTAGTTCTTTTCTTTTCCCAGCTGTCTTCTCAGCTGGCCGATCAACCGATTACAGCTGTTTGCAGCTGTGATATCTAGCTTGATCGGCACTGGACCAGTTGTTAGCAGTTGGGTAGCCATTGCCTATCCTCCTTCACAGCGTGCCCACGCTGCCCCTCTTCACCAAGGGGGATTCATCTCCAGCGATAAAATCGCTAACAAATGGTGCCAGCTTAATAAGTTGATCGTCGGTAAATGCGTTTCGTTCAAACCCTATGGAGTAGTCGGGTTGAGGACGATTACCGGCGAAGGGCATGGAGTTATTCCATTCTTCGTTGACGCTCTCGATCAGGATGTCAAGGTGTGTAGCACCGTGCGTGCAAAGGTTTCAGCGCTCGGGACGATTAAGAGCGTGATATCGCGAATAATTCGAGCTTCGTTCCTGTTTTCTACCGTTCGGCATATCGACTCGAAAATATCGTCGCGAAATAACGAATCTGTCGCGAAAAACGTAGACGCCTACTTTTACGCTGTGCGGTATATAGGTATATAAGGGCTGGTCCAATTGTTACGTGACAGAATCTTTAGGAACCGTCTGCTCCGACTCGAGTAAGGTACGGCAAATGATTTTGCTCGCATCCGAGATACCTAAGTCGGACTTGCCCATAAAACTACCCTCGGTCTCAAGCAAGATCTTATACCGCGGGTCTCGATATGGAGCGCTCTTCTCTTCCCTCGGCTTCTGGTCGCTAGGGGTCCTGGACGTAGCAGAGTTCGATGGGCTTGCGTGAAAAAGAGGACAAGGACCTCTTTCGTGCAAGTAACAGCTCTCCATGTCGGGCTCGAAGTATTGCCGCGGTCACTGCCCTTCTGTTGCCCAGAAACCAATTGGGTCGATTCGATTGTTATGGACGCCAGTTGCGCACCAACCAAAAGTGTTCTCAACAACCCGTCCAAGAGAGAATCGAGGCCGCTTCCGGCCGGGTTCTGGGTCGTCGTCGTCGAGGGCGTCGGATGGCCTCATCGTGCCGCCGCGCTCGTCAGGTGTTGCGGATCCCTTAAGGCGGCTTAGCATAAGCGCCTGCGTGATGATAAGAAGAGACGTGCAGTACCTGTCGAGATAAAGTCTTAGTTAGAGATAGATGCGGTCGATCTCATCCAGTAAGTTCGGAAGCTTGTCGCTGAAGGCGTGTCGTCGGACGAGCACCTCTGCGCGTCCGCTCTCCTGTTTATATTAGTGAGGACGTCGTTTCGGCGTCTTGTGGGATAAATACCTAGATTTTTTGACGCTGATAAGATAGTATCTTGTCAGCCAGCTGGCCACGCGCCACAGCCACTAGAGGTGGGGGGTTCTGCGTACCCCGCGATCCAGCTGTTTCTCGTCCCGGCCATCCCACACCGCACCTAATCTCGCCCTCCCTTCTCGAATCTTGTCGCGCCGATCCCACCCCCATCGCTGCCGTCCCAACCTGGTTCCCGGACGCCTTCGCCTAGGTCGACTTGGCGAGCTCTGTGCGACTCGCTCCTGGGGTTACGGGGGACGGGGGGCGGGGGAGGAGGGCGCCCTGCCAAACCCAAGCCCCTCTCTTCGATTATCGCACGTACCAAGTGTCCGGTTGACGATCCCCTCGCTGCCCGGCCTCCTGCGCTAGGTGCGAATGGTAGCCGTCGTGATGCAAGATGATACTATCATATCGGCGCCTCATTCTAGGCAACCTAGCCCCTCCAAGTCTCCCCGGTTTCCCTAGAGGGGTGAAAGCTGGAAAGCCGCCCACGGCCCTTTACCCCGATCCGGCCTCGAGAATCGAGACCTCTCTTCTCTCTCGTTCCGCGCCAGCTTCATTTCCGCCATTTGCTTTTCCTCTCTTGCATCTGCCTCTCTTTTTCCTTTTTCCGTTGCCAGGTCTCTCACGTCCAACCCCCCTCCCGCCTCTACACGTCGTCGGACTATGCGAGCCCGTTTGGCTTGGCTTCGCCCGAGCCCGCGTCGACCTGTGGACGTCGCGGGGTCTAACTTGGCACGTACACACACCGCATCCTACGCAAGCCTCTTCTCCCACATGCAGGCCGATCAATAGAAAAGCCAAGGCAGGTTTGCCACCATGCCACTTTCAAATGAGCCGATGCATGCTGCCGGTATGACGACATCACCTGTATATTGTTTACATACACGCAAACCTGGTGTACTGTCACGTCTGGCGAAGCCCGCCTCGAAGCCCGCCTCGAAGCCCGCATCGACGCCTGGTTTTCTTCCCCTCCCTCGCCGCGTTTCTCGTAACCGCGGGTAGACCTCTAGCATATTATTAGCAGCAAAGTAAGCACATGTGACGGCCTGCACGCGCCACGGCCGTCTCGTAAACAAGACGTATCAGAAAGCGTTTCCTAGTCCCTATCCACAGACCGCCAGATAAAGGCGCAAATCTATGCTCATCCAACCTCCAATGATATCTTACGCGTTTCCTGCCCCTCTTTCTTAGACGTCCGTAGCTACCCCCCTGGCCCTATATGCCGCGGCATGTTGGCCCTGAGCCACTCTCCAGTATAGCCTCATTATCTAGTTTAGGTAGAATGCGTGACGTTAAATATACTTCTTCTTCTTCTCCAGTAGAGCGAGAGCTAGAGCGAAAGCCGGAAATTGGGAGCGTATACGTTACATCTCCATCTCGCCGTCCTCGATGAGCCTGCCCGAGATGAGGCTCTGGATCACTAGCTCGTCATTGAGAGTCCTAATCTTCTTTGGCGGCGGGTGGGGCGGTCCTCCCGTAGCCCGTCTCTTCCGCTTCCTGGAGATGGCAGGATCCGGCGTGCCCGGGCCGAAAAGCGCCTTCTCAGCGTCGCGCAACAAGTCATCGACGTATACCCAGTCGAATGGTTGGTCTTGCGACTCCGTCTCCCGGAGCTTGGCTCTAGCCTCCTCGAGAGTGCGGACGCGCTCCAGCGAGCCGCCGAGGATCTGGGCCAGAAACACGTAGGGTAGCCTCTTCTCCGCGTTCTTGGAGTTCCCCATCACCAGGAGGATCCGGGCCTCGTGCAGCAGCCTCGGTCTAGCATCAATAGCATCTGCCAGCCTAGCCGTCGAAGCGTCGTAGGCTTGTAGGCTCCGGGAGCGGATGGCGTCTCCTAGGAGCGCGCTCGCCCCGGCGCACAGGAGATACGATGTCCAATCTACTATTTCCTGCTTCGCGATGCAAGTCGTGATCCACCTCGGCGCTAAGCACGGGATGCCGAGGGCGAGAGCCTGCATGTATTTCACTTTTCGAGAGTGGCCGTCCGCTATCAGCGCCGTGAAGCCGGTGTCCCGGTTGAGCAGCTCCAGCGAGCTGGATAGACTATGCGCCGCCGAAGTGCTTCCTGTCGCCTGGAACGAGTCGAATTTGAACAGTTCATCGAAACCACCGGACAGAACCCTGCCGCCTTCCCGGCGGATCATGCGTTCGAGGGCACTTCTATCTACATGCTTCCCCTGACCCTTTCGAGGTTGCTCGTTCTGAAACGACAGAGCAAATACCATCCCTTCAAATATGCCAGCTTTTATAGCCGATTCGCGGAGCCGATGCTGGTTGGCGAAAGATCTTCTCACTGGTTTCGAGGTGGTCGGGTTCCGCACCTCGTTCTCGTTCCCGGACGTAGATAGTGGCGAATTGGCTAGCTCGTCGGTTGACATTGAGCTTTGTCGCGTTATTCTCCTCAAGCTTCCTCGAGAACGCGAATGCGTCCTGTCTTTAGGCAGCGAGATGGATCTAGAGACAGATGATAAAGGTCGCCCTCGACGCCGCACCCCTGCCTCAATTGGGGACGAGCTCGGTTGCTCGTCTTTATCTGGTATGTGATCGACATCCGTGCGCGACGTTGTGCTCGAGGGCATATTAGGGGTTCTAGAGAGAACAGATAATGTCGATAGTGTGGTGTCCGGATCCGATGGTAGGGGTAACTCGGGTAAAGTAGACGGTGTGGCCACAGCATCAAGCTTTGCCGATTGCGGCGTCCTCTGCGGCGTAGACGTTAGGACGATCGTGGACGGAGAGTTCACAACGTATCGACTCCGACCAGACCGGCGTGGGCGACTTCTAGAAAGTGGCAAACTCGAAGACCTAGGTTCCCCAGCCGCTGTTGGCTCCTGCTCAACCCCTACACCACTGGACAGGGTTGGGAAGGATACAGTTTCCATCCCCGCTGGATCGCTAGACTCTTGTCCCAGGATATCCCCGATGAGTCGAGGTAGACCTAAGGAGGTACCGGGCGGGCTGGTTTCGGGGATCGTCTCTTGACACTCGACATTAGCCATAGGTGCCTGAGGCGCTGGGGGATTGACGTCCTCAGGGTCTTGGGTATCGGGAAGGCTAATTTCGTCGCTTCCGTTTGACACCTTTGGTCCGACTTCAGCAAAGGGAGGTGGCTCTGGCGCTTCTTGAGAGTCGGCAACAGTTTCTTGTGATTCGACGTAACTAGCCTCATATTTGCTGTAGTACCGCGGTCGCTGTTCGGATGCCGACTTTCTCGGTCCTTGGCTAGACCTCGTGCGATGAGTCGATGGCACTTCCACGCCGTCGCTCTTCTTCGAATCCGGCCGTGGGAGGCTGATAGAGGGAAAGGTCCTACTAGCCTTCTCCCGCTTCAGCCTAGCGAGCTGTCGACGATAAGCAGCCGCGTCGGCTTCCGACTCTGAGTCCTGGTCATCGCCACTCTGACTCGGAGACTTAGAGGCAGCGACTTCTAGGCTTCGCTTCCTAAAGGATTCGTACTCGCTGATGGGCTCTAGAACAGTCTTAGGCCTGAGGGCATCAAAACGCAGAGGTGGGGTTTCAGCAACGTCGCTCCCTTGTTTGTTCCCATTCTCGTAATCGTCGTCAGGGCCGGGTGATGTTTTCTCGTCCGGCGGCTTAGACAGGATGCGAGGAAATGCCGGGCTAGAGGTCAAGGGTCGAGTTGGGGACGTCCTGAGACCCCTATTTTTCAGAGGAGATGACACGATAGGATTTGACGAAAGCGAATTGGGATTAAAAACGTTGGGTGACGGACGAGACGACGTAGGGCTGACTGCCTTGACTGCCGAAGTCCACTGCGTCTGTCCGAAAAGCTGCGATGGGGGAATCAAGTTCTCCTCGCGGGTGCCTTGTGGCAAAAACTCGCGGGATATCGCGGGGGTTTCGGGAACGCTGATTTCGCGGGTGGCGGTCCAGTGTGACTGCGACGCAGGCTGCGACGTCGTCGCGCCTGAATCGTCCGCGGCATTGTCATCGCCCTCTTCTAGAGCCGACTCGAGCGCATCCTGCTGGATATGGTTGAAATTTAAGAATCCAGTATCATTTTCGTGAAGCGTACGATGATCATGGGCACTGCTTGCCTGCGAGGAGTAAGACTGCGAATTGGCATCAGTGTATTGCTCATAGCTACGGCCGTCGTTCGATTGGGTTGGGGAGTCCTCCGACGACATGTCTCCCATTCTCTTCTTCAGTGGTGGGCCTGAGGGTGGAACTCGGGATACAGCATCACCGCCCATGCGAATCGCATCGCGGGAACGGGACTGAACATGGCCTCGGGGATGCCCCTCAGGTTCGGCGACCAAGGAGGAGCGCAACGGACGTGGTATCCGCTGACTCGAAGGCTTTGGAAAATCGTTTGGCGCAGAGGGCTTAACGCACGCGTTCGACGCGTTCTGTGGTTGCTTGCAGGACGCATTTGGATCAGTGCCATCCCTGTAGATCCATATACCTACACAGTATAATCCAACACGCACGGAGCTCTTGTGACGCCATCAAAGGTGCTCTACCTGCACGCCCGTCACAGCGACTTACTTACCCGTGTCAAAATATGTGCATCCTCGGGCTCCTCTATCGGAGATAAGTCCATGGCCTTTCGTTGCGCGCTCGCCGGGAACGAGGCGCGGTTTTGCGATAGATGGGTAGATTTAGGAGGGACGGGCGGACTGCTACTGTGCTGTTTTGGTCGTGGTCAGCGAGGGACCAATAGTAGACGAGATAATCCACGACAGCAAGGTCCAAAAACCGGGTGTAGTGTTGGTCAATTCGCCCCTGGCCATGAGAAGGTAGAGAATACGGACGCCACTCACCACGCCCAGGCCGTGCTCCAACATGAACTTCCCCAATAAGGCCTGGCTATCCTGGCTGTCCTTCTGGCTAGCCATGGCTTGCTGCTCGGCAAGAATCAACACCTCAACCGCGGGGGCCATAGCAGAGGCGCATGAGGCGACATGCCCGTCCCAGCAATGAGATAAAAAAGATGATGAACGCGTCGTCGACGTGGCGGACACGACCTCGAAGGACAGAATCAATTAAATTGAATACTAGAGGCTACCTAACCTAACCGTGTCACTTAGGGCGACGCTGCCTAAGCTGTAGGTACCTAAGGTACCTACAAAGAAAGCCCTAAAACGCGCTGTACCTCTACGGCAGAACCTTAGGTACCCGTAGCTTGTCGGTACCTCAGTAGGGAGGTAGGTACCTTAGGTGCCTTGGGTACTTACCTGAGATCATCCATCAGAGAGAACAAGTACGACGGTACATGGTCCACCCCACAATGCACGCGAGATGGACGCGGCGTCAGATGACGCGATTACGATTTCCGCCGCGATTTAGGCTCTACCCTAGGCTAGTAGCGGCATAGCGTGCCAAGGTGAATTCAAAACTACTCTAAATTGCATAAGGTCAGTTTAGCCAACCCGAAAACCTCGACAAGTGCATATCTAGCTGGGGTCATCAGACGTGACGTCAAAAAGTTCAACCACACTCCAAAGCGCATATTAGTACTTGGGTATCATTATTACACTGAAGGCAGATATCTGTCTCCAACCATGAAATAACTGGAGCCTACGACCTTTAGTGTGATAAAGGTCCAGAATGGTTGCTATCTGAAGTTCTCGACATCCCCGTAACCTCTCGTCGCCACAATCCAGTATCCGATTTAGACTCGCGGTTTATTGTCTGGGTGTGCTGAACGTTGCCGCCCTCGGCCAAGCCGAAGGCTGATGTTACGTATGATTCGGCGTTGACTCCCGCCACGTTGGCTGTCACAGGAGAACATATATGGCTTCCAACGGGACACAAACACTTAGAGGTATATTGGGCGAGGAAATCCCTTTCCGCGGATGGGTCAGTTGGCTGAGCGAATCGTCGGTGGGGTTCATCTCCACCAGATGAACCACGATGTCGTTGGTAGGAATTATCGACAGGCTCCCAGGCCTCTCTCAAACCAACCTACCGCCACAGACGAATGCAGACAGCTCCCCTTTCCATTCTACTAGGTACCTAACATACCCAACACCTACACCGTCCGGGTCCGCCTCCATGCCTCCCATCTACCTCTCTCGACCCGGGGAACGGCGCCTGGATTCCGTTACTTCTGATCGGGGAGAGACGAAGCCGTGCAATCCGGGCCCACGTCGTTAAGGATCACGTTCCACTTATCGTCGGGATTGAAAGCCTGGCCCTTGTGGACGAAGTCCTGGTCGCCGCGGCGGTCTCGGCACTTGAAGTACACCTGCTGCGCGAACCACCCCTGCCATTCGTTAGCGGCCTCCCCGAGAGCTACCGCTGACCTCGTTCGGGAGAGGGTGGCCAGAGAGAGAATGAGGTCAAAGGCGGCGACCCGTAATCGACCTGGAAAGTAGTGCTCGGGGGCGGAGGGGAGGGGTGGAGGGGAGGGACGGTTGCTTACGATGTCAGCGTACAGGGGGTCAATCGGGTGCGTCTCATCGTTGCAGATGAAGACGCCCGCCCCGCCACCCGTGTCACACGCCGCCTGGATGCACTTGGAGGGGCCCGCCTCGACGTGAAGACGCTTGTCCCCACCGCTCAGCAGTATACCGACGGGATGATCGTAGTCGGTCGCGGGGAAGACGCTGTCGGGGACATTCGGTGGAGCGCCGCAGAGAATCTGGACATCTTCGAGACGATGCTATGGATAGTATGTTGAGTTGGCGATGGCCCATACCGCCCCTGCTCAAGACAGGGGCAAAGGTGTCTTGGCTTGGGTAGGTACTCACCTTGTCATATATCCCGCCCAGATACTTGGCACCAGAGCTCGCCTGAGCCTCCAGGACAGAAGCCGGGTCCTATTTTCAAGGGCGATGGTGCCCTTGTATCAGCAAGAAGCTACTAGCTTGCCGGAAATTCTTGCAGCATACCTTGACGACCGCAGCTAGGATGGGGGAAGCGAACGTGATCAGAGTGTAGGTCTTCATCTTGATTGTTTTCTGAGGCGTCAGTATGTTTAGGACGCAGATATATGATGAAGACATGCATGGTAGGAGGAAAGGCAGCGGTGCTGAGGGAAGCGAGGCAACTTATATGGGCTTGGCAGCCTCCCTCGCGGGCAGTGGATAGAGAGCATTGCGTCATGTAAAACTAACGATAAGGGGTGATTGTATACGCGTTAATAGAACCTCCGTTTCCTTGCGAATACGTACATCTTAGCGGTGGAAGTGACCGGATACGATGGGATATAGCCGCTATGTCATTGTATTCATTGAGCCATGGTTATTGTTAGATATTAGAATAGATCGTGTTTCCGATATATAAGGCACCCGTAGATATAATTCCCTCGGGGGCAAATAGGAGTAGCTCTCGCCTGTTGCAAACTGCCTGGACGATGACAACAACCGTGGTATGTTTGCAACCCGCAAACAGTAGAAGCTGCTCAGCAAGAGATAGTAGATGCTAGCCTGGCTACCTAAGTAATACTATAGGTCCTTGCTTTGACTGCGCGCCTTATCGCTAGTTAAGCGCAAAAGCATGATTTGAAAACTAGCAGTACTGTTTTATTAAACCAGGCCTTCTCATCCGCTATAGACAACTGCGTATTAATTGCACTTGACGGCTTTTCCTAAGGTTTCTTAGGGACCCAGTTTGTAGGATACTGCATGCAAGTCTAGGATTCTGTCTATTTTCTCCTATGCTGTCTTGGCAGGGGACACGGCGCCAGGGCTATGAGATAATTGAAGGTGGAAACTAGCTTAGCACAATCTTACTTCCACCATAGTAGCACCATATAGAGACCGTTTAAAACAGGATCCGGGTTTCCCAGCGGATTGAATCTAAGCGCATATTTTAATAAGGTCCGGCAGCAGAGACCCTTCGATTGAAACATGCCTAGGCACTAATTGTTGTATGGGCAAGGGGCCGCTGTTGCTAGGCAATGACAAGAGTAAGTCTCTAACTTCCCACATGCGTCAAACTAATGGCTATAAAGAGTAAGGATAAGAGGGCTACAACGATGTTAATGTGAGGTAGAGGTCGTCTGGCGTACTCTTCACTATATATATTCCTATATTGAGTCGGTATACACCAAATCAAATTAGATATACCAACTATATAACGCTACGCAAACGAGTAGTTAAAAGTATCGGCATCTACAACTCCCCCGTGGCGACGTGTGTAGTTGACTCGAAAGTGCGAGGTAATATTATGCGGACCGTTAATACCTGCAATCCTGTCGCCGCTCTTTTCAAATCGTCTCACTCCGCAACTTATTGGGCAGCACCTCTCCTGCTCCCACCCCGTCATCTAGGACAGCTAACAACGGTGATGGGATATCCAACCTAATAAAGTTCTTTCTTGCGATATCTTCATATGGGGTCATCTCACGAACCTCTGCATCGAACAAGGAGCTGCGGATCCTGCGCCGCATACCTAGCTAGAATCCCACACGCGGAAAGGGTCTGGCATAGGTGGACGAGTTCGAACACAGCGGCCCGACGGCGCTTACGCATGCTTCGTATTCAAGCTCATGGGCCCCGGTGTAGAAGTAGAGGTGCGGGATGGTAGGCAAGATAAACGCGCTCCTTGACGCCTCTGCGACGCGCAGCCGCTAGCCCCTTTTCACCTTGGGGTAGACGCGCTTGAGCTCAATGTACCCGTAATGTCTGGGCGGCGGACAGTCCCAGATACAAGGTGGACTTCTCTATGCAGCTTTGGGTGCCTCTTCGTCGAACTGGCCCCGCGAAGCGCGTCAAGGTGAGGGCACTCGCTGGAATTTCCAGTGCAATCCGGCGAGCTGGCCCTCGCCCACGGAAATGCTGGCGGGTTCGTGGTCTGACGGGATGGAAGCTCTCGTTCAAGTAAAGGCAACGCGTAGTCTATCTAGCTACATACCTGGTGGCGCTGCTATTATCACACCGGATACCGATTTTCGGCTCGTGGTCTGCATAACTTCCGCCCATCCCCTCTATAACCGCTTGGCTCTCTTTCCGCGGTTCCTCCATCGCACCAGACGCGATCCACTACCCTCGCGTTCTAGAGCCAGTCCATCCCACCTCATCGAGCCATCGCGACGGTGGGACCTGCCATTGGCGATTGGCGATACCGGGGTTCCAGGTGCTCTCAAGGTAGTCGCCGATGACAGGATCGGGGATGGATGGGGCTCAGGGGATGTCACAGCCTCGGTCTTTTCGACTCGCTGGAGACGATCCACCGAACCGCGCGACGGCGACTCCTCCGCAATCGGAAGGGAGCATGGTGGGAGGAAGAGCCACGGTAGCGAATGATGGGGATAATGCCAATAGCGAGGTGGACCTACAGAGTCACGGTGAAATGGAGGACGGTTGACTGACAGGAAGACGAGGGGGATGGAAAGTCGTCGCAGCAGACATGGAACTAAAAAAAAGGAGTGTATTTATCTTTTGATCTATACGAGGCAACGGTCTAGACTGAGTCTATAAACAAACAGTTTGAAGAAGAGAAATGATGGCTTTGATAATTACGGTTTCTCTATCGCGACTTATTCTGATATGTCCTCACAAGAAACGAAAACTAGACTGCCCGCCGCTCGGAGTCTGCTGTGATTACGAGCACGAGTCGTCGGCCTCCAAAATAGCAAACGCCTAAAAACCCATGATGGCCCGTGCGCCTTGTTCGCTACAAACGTAGATGACATCGTGGCTATCGCTGAAGCCGTTGAACCGGGTGGCCGAGCACTTGGTGTAGGCGCCCATGTTCTCAAAATAGAGCCAGTCACCCACGTCGAGCTCGTGGGGAAAGCGAATGCTTTCGGTGATACGATCGATACCATCACAGGTCGGGCCCCAGATAGAGTACTCGATGCCGACGCTCGAACCGTCGGGAAAACTCTCGGCGAGGGCGGTGTCGTACAAGGTTTGCGCGCCCGTTCGCAGAACTTTGGCGACGGGATGCTGGTGATCGAACATGATGCTGCTAAAGTTTCCGTAGAGTCCATCGTTGACGTAGGCCATGTAGCTGGTCTCGCCCGTGGCCGGGTTTTCGATAGTGCGTCGGGCAATGATGTTGCAGGCAATGGTGAACGCCGTAGAGACGTAGTAGCGGCCGGGCTCGGCAATGATGTTGATATGGGGCGGGAAGTACTCGTCTAGCGCTTCGCGAAGGACGTGAGCCATTTCCTCGAACGAGTTGCCGCTGAATCCGCCGCCAACGTCGAGCGTCTTCAACTTGAAACCGTGAGCGCCAGCCTGTTTGAATACCGTGTCCGCATCGCGAACGGCTTTCAGAAAGACAAGCGGGTCCGAGGCACCCGAGCCAACGTGAAAGCTCACGCCGACGACATTCAGACCGAGTTCCTTGGCGAGGGCCAGGAGATCGTCGGTGGCGTCGAGGGATGCTCCGAACTTCAGGCTGAGGCGGCACATGCTCGACGAGTCATCCGTCAGAATGCGCAAGAAGAGTTCGGCAGCGGGATACAACTTGGCAATCTTGCGCAGCTCGTCGGCGTTGTCGAAGGTCATCTGCTTGACGCCTTGGCTGGCGACGTATCGCACGTACGAGTTGGTCTTGCACGGCTGAGCATAGATGATCCGAGCCGGATCCACGCCCATGCTCAGGACCTGCTCGATCTCGGACTTGGAGGCACAGTCGAAACCGGTGCCGAGTCCGGCCAGAAGCTGGAGGACCTTGGGGTCAGGGTTGCACTTGACCGCTGCGACGTCTGTTAGCCCCCGAAAGCCAACCGAGGGTTGATGAGCGGATCATACCGTAGAAGGGCTTCACGCGAGGAAGATTTTTCTTCCATCTCAGGTGCTGGCGATAGACCTCGCCGAGATCGCTGACGAAAAAGGTGTCCTCATCTCCAGGGTCACAAGCTTCATGGTCAATACCCTCCACACGCTGGCGGAGAGCATCGCCAATCAACTGTTTAGCTACCACGGGGCCATTATGCGGCTGTTGCTGGTCGAATAGGCGACGCTTCCAAGTAACAATGTGATTGTCAAAGAAGGTCGGCGTAAAGGAATCGACGATAGCTGTTGCCATAACCATATCCCTAAGGCTGGGCGGTGAGGGATATCGAGGGTGGACGAGGAGTGGTATCGGGTCTGGACGGGTTTCGGTGGGTGGGTGCGGCTTCGCGGGAAGCTCCAGCAACGGTCCCTACACGCTGTCCAGGCCAGATGGCTAGCAGAAAGATAGCAGTAGGTATAGGTTGATAATCGAGGTGCCGGGGAGCGTGTCCCTCCGAGTGGGTGTTAGGGGGGTCGAAAACGGTAACGTCCTGATCCCGAAGCGATCTGACGAGGTCTTCTCGACTCTCCCTCGATTAGAGGAAGAACCTCAGAACTCGTCCTATGCGGCGGTGGGCGGGTTGGGGTGAAGATTGGAATGGCTTGGGGAATCGTATAGGGCAAGGCGGGCGACCGGGTCTCTTTAAAAGACTTCAGCAGAGCGGGCAGGAGGCGGTCTCGAGTTGATAATGTGGAAAGTCTTGCGCAGACTGAAATCTTGGTCCGACACGAGATTCACGGCTGCGGGAGCCGTAGTAGCCGGGTTGCCTTTGAGAAGACCAAAGGCGAGTCGAGACGGGTAAGGGAGGGTCGAGCAGTAGGAGCCTATGCGACGGGTACGAGTGCTAGGTCGGCAGAGCTTGGTCGAGGCGAGGGGTCAGGTGAGTCGTTTGCGACAGTTTTGGCGACACTATAAATAGACTTGGCTAGACGTCGGAGACGACGGCGACTGCGATTGTGTTTGAAGGAGACGCTGGGGCTACGAGGTGACGTGCGCACGTATATAGGCGGAGTGTACTGTCGGGAAGAGCAAGATGTTAGGGGGCAAGAGGAGAAAAAAGTAAGGTGAGGGATGGGGAGATCTGGAGAGGTGGTGGTGTATCGCCAAATAATTTCCTTCCGCCTTCTGGGTTTGCGCCAAACCAAGCCAAAACCCTAGAGCAAGGGCTTCGTGCCGGAGTCGCGCAGGTACTGAGGTATCGATAGGTACCTTTCCCACAGCCCAATCGGCGGGGCACGGATTGGGGAATTGTGGCGACATGTGATGGTAGTCACTCGCCGGGCGGCCGCAGTGGCATGGGACCTGCTTAATTGCAATGTCCCAGGGGCCTGCATGTCACGTACTAACGAACTACCTAACTACCTACCTAACAGGTATATAAGTATGTATGTATGCATATAGATACTCGATGAAGTACCTAGGTACGTAGTATCTACGTGTACTCATATGCCGGCTAGGTTAATATCACCGAGGAGAGGCGGAGCCTTTAGGCACCTACCTCTGTACATATAGAGACCTGGTCCGGGAGCTGGGAACGAGCCGCCGGTGGGAGGGGGAAGCCTACTCGCATCTCTCTCATCTTGTCGATATGGAGATAGAATTCTGACCCCGGGCGCAGGTCCCTTCACCCATTGTGTAGGCAGGATTTGGTACCTCCTACCTATCTGTAGGAGCTCTGTATTGCCTCATAAGCTTAGGTAGCTGGCCTCAACGGATCATAACCTGCGTGCACACCCCCTTACGTACGGCCTTGCCTGTCGGTGAATGGCGCCCGTGCCGGGAAAGGCGCCGACGCAGCCGTCGACGGTCTATTTCTCGATAGACACAAAATACGTAGACGGGTTGCCTCAGCAGGGTCCATAGCGCGTGTCCTCGATTTTCAGAAGGGAGAGGCAAGAATTGTTGGCCGGCACGAGGAGGGTGTGTGCACAGAGTCCCAGGCCAGGAAATGTGAAAAGGGGGGCTACAAGGTCCTCCGTCGACGATAGACGACAGAATAGGCATCAATCCAAGTTGTGAAAATATCGAAATTGCAATTCGCTCGGCAAGCTGCCTGTGCCTGGGCCGGTCGACCAACAAGACGCAGCCTCTCCTATCCTTTCCGAAGGCCTCCACATACATAGACACCCTCGACGCATGCGAGCGGCATCACTACCGAGCCTTACCCAGGGGAAGAGAGATGGATGGGCAGCAACTTGTTTTTTTTTTCGTGTTGCGTTTTTCACCGACCCCATTCCTTAGGTTTCCTTTTCAGATGCCGAGACTCGACCCTCCTCCCCAGCTTCTGCTAAAGCGACTTCGCTGTTAGGATCACGAGAAAAAAAAAAGTACCGGTCAGGACGGCGTAAAGGGGCCTCTGACCGCAACTTGGTATTTCCCGCCCTAGCAAAAATTGGCTCATGCCCGACGAGAAGGAGGTCTCATTTGGCCGATCCAATGATGGGCATGTCTAGCATGCTTTGGCCTTCCTGGACAATCCGGTCAGCTTGAGTTATCCGTAGAATGGGTCACTAGCTGGATATCGTCGGCAGGCAATACATTTACTCATAGGACTCAAGTCGGGACTAGACACATGGCGTGCTCTCCACCGCCCAGCGTGACGGTAGAGACGGCCGGCTAGCTTAGCCCCCTCTCCCCCTTCGTCCTCAGCGTAGATCGAGATTAGCCTGTTTATCACGCTGCGACTGAGAACATTCTTGTCCGTATGCCAACACCACATCTATCCTCGACTGCGCCCCCCCTCGCTGCTGTATCTCCGTTCAAGTGCTGGTTTTCATGCTCGTGGCCACACACCTTCGAGATGTAGCACCTCGGGCGTGGTGAAGATCTGCAGCCGCAAAACTGCATATTGGCCCTGGCTAGATTGGCCAACAGCTTATCCTGCCGCTATGGCGGCCCAACCAGCGTGCTTGGTCGCGCAGGGCAGGACTTCTAGAAGACGACGCGAACGGGGTTTGTAGCCGCACTCGCGCTTGTCGCTATCACGCGCTCCCTTGCATCGCCTTGGTTAGAACCGTGCCGACCAGCGCCATGCCACTCAGGGCGGCCGGTAGCAAAACTGGGTTGCGTTTACTCCTCGTCAGAAAAGGCGGCGCCCATCCTGCATGCAACGCGACTACGCGGTGACGGTGTGGTTGGCAGCATGGTAGGATATTGGGTTGGAGACGGAGAGGGAGGACGGGGACGAGATAGGTATTACCTACCAGATTCCAGATTCAGGTAGCTATTGAAGATGTACACTATAAATGCATAGAGAGTATACCTACGTCTTTTGGAGGCATATGCTATTAGGTGCCTCTAGGTACCTAAACCTACCTATATGTTGATACATTAGTATAAGCATACCGTACTGCAGTTTGGAGGCAAGATATGATGAATCATTCTGTAAGCACCCGGGCCGTCCAGATCTGAGGCGATTGAGCCCAGGATATTCACTCCCTCCTCCCTGGACAGGCGCTGGTCCACCCGAGCTGTGCCTCCTAGTTGGCATCTTCGTTATGTAAGCTAGTGTAGCGTACTGTATCTAGCCAGCGAACGCCTCCCCACGTGTTTCCACCACACTCTCATCCCCCTCCCTCCTCATCGTCCGCCAGCTTCTCCATCTACCAACCTCGAATGTCTACGCCGGAGAGTGGAATGGTTGCCGCCATAAGGGCAAGACGGCCCCGGCTGTCCCAAGTCCGTGCAATATTGGGAATAAGCGATAGTAGCACCTTTGCAACATCCACAGTAAAGACCGGAGATAGAGGGTCGAGACCTCGCCTTTGAATACGACGAACGGGATTTGCCTGAGCCTCATGCTCCCTCCAGCGGAACCCGTCATACGAAGCAGTCCCACGTATCCCAGCATTCGCGGCTCAAGATACCGGAGGTATCACGATTGACACACCTCTGCGTCGTACCTGTAGTAGATGCTCGTGAAATTGGGGTTGGGGAGCCCTCTCCGCCCTGCCGGAAGGAGATCAGGATCGTCACTTCTCTGAGGGGTCGCTTAGGACGAGGCCCTGCTGTTTGTCCAACGAAGAAGTGTGTAGAGTCGCACCCGACCGTTTACGCCGACGTCTATCACCCGACTTCACCAAGTCGATGTCAGGTAAGTAGTCACTCGACCGCAGCCCTTGTGGCGAGGATAAGCGTCAGTTTAGGGTTGGAGTCTGACAGCCTTGACGGGGGCAGCAAGATTCTGTCGAATGGTGCATCTACCGGAGCGCGTGCGACAGGCATAGAGTAGTGCCAGCGACGGGAAGGCCACCGCCATTTCCAACACAGAGGGTTTGTAAGACGAGCACTAGAGCCTCTGCAAGGTGACGAAACCAAGGAGGATGCCGAATGCTACGATAGCTCCGAGTTGTCCAGCTCAGTATCATCAACACGACGAAGTCGACTCCCTCCCCTCGCGCTACTGTATCAATGCGCATGCGGGTCCATGAGACATTGCAAAATGCGAGCTTCCTAATTTAACAGTACTTACCGCCGGTCCTAAACGAAGACTAGTCTCTGCAGATGTCTCGTTGGGTGCTATAAAACCAGGTCGAATCACTCAACTCGCGGGAGAGAAGCCAATAATATAGAACCCGCACCAGGCCTAGAACCGACCATCCCGTCTCGCCCCATATTGCTTTTGTCAGAATAACAGCACCTATTTTTATTAGCTGTGGACGACGTGCTTTTATGGCCTTTGACAACCCGACAGGAATACTGTCGGCTATCGAGAAATCGCTACGCCATCTTCGGCGGACAACGCACCATTGCTTCCCTGCCGTGTGGAAAATGTGAACGCCTACACTCCCTAGCTGGTGACGTAGGCTTATGTCCTTCTCATGCGACGTTTTCCGTGTAGCAATGCGTGCATTTCGTTCACATCGTATCCGGACTGGTAGGTAGCTCGCAGGTTTTCCCAGTCTTGTGGTCCGCGGTCTCGAGCACTGCCGCACGCGGGAAATGGGCGCAGGCGCTTGTCGACCTTTCGCCAGCTACCCTAATTGGCCTGCATGGCGTTGTCACCCACCACAATCGGTGAGTTGCTAATATTGAGTTTCGGGGCCGGTAGGGGACAGAATTCCCTCACCCATCTCGATCCTGGCAGAGGGAAAGCTTCTTTGAGAAGTCCCCCCTTTAACAGAATACTCTATGTATTGAACGGCCTTTCTATTCTGGCCTGGCCTGTTCAATGCGGAAGCTATTGACGGCTTCGAGCCCAGTCTCAGGGGTGCATCCGGGTTCGACTCGGGATGGGGGCTCGGACATTCGACGCCGCTAGTACGCCGGATTTCCTCAACGGGAAATACGAAGTTGGCATGGACTGAGGATGTAAGGGCGACGGTATATCACACCGAATACGTCTATTTAGTCAAGAGCCCCAGAACAGGATTCGGCGGTCTGCGGGTCGATTCACAGCGGCTAGTAGGCTAGACCGGCAAGCTCCTGGGACCAAGGGGGGAGGGGGCTGGCCGGAAGGAGGCCCCCCCAAGCGGCTAAAGGAGAGCGGAAGTGCGCAAAGTATGAAATGCACTGCGTCGCTTGAGAGTCGAAGACTTCGAGTGCGTATCTAACGGTGAGAGAGCCTCGGTCCATCCAAGCGTTGCCATCAACGTGCAACTATATACTATCACAAGGTCGCTTCGGTAGGACCCCAGGACTCCCAACTTTCCACCCTCCAAGGTTTCAAACGAATATCGACCTTGTAAACAGGCCCAGGTAGTTCTAAACCGGCTGCTCGCCGCCGCGAACATATGAAAGTGTATCTTACAAACAACCCATCATCACCCACCCCTAAAACATCTGGGGTAGTGCCGAGTTCATCCACCACAAGCCTCTTGTCACAGATCCGAAGCCTCATTACGCATATGCGTGTGCTTCGGGGGTGAAGGGACCGAGAATCCGTTGCTGAAACGCGGGAGGCCATCCGTACACTCTGCCCCGAGGGCGGGTAGACGCGACCGAATCGTCGCAGCACTATCGTAATCTCGCTGTGCCACACGGTCTGAAGAGAAACTTGTGCTTGAAATGTGCACACCAATGAAGTGACTCGAATTGGCACTGGTGATGAGCTGATACGCCAAGTAACCACACCAAAGGGGTGTGACCAGAAATCACTTGGTTGACCTTCGGTCACTCCTCATGATACCACTCGTCTAAGCCATAAACAATACTGCGGTCCGTTGAAGTACCTACCGACTGAATGTCGCCGGGAACACGCCGTCTCGTTGCAACCACGTAATCACTTAGGCGCCGGGGCTTATGTATGGGGAAATGGGTCCGGTCACAAGTTTTCTAGGTCCTACGGCGGCACCCACGTAAGAGCCACGCCTGCTTCTGATACGTGAACAAGAGGACAAGTTTGCCCCGAGAGGCTGTCTTCCACCGCTCTTGCATTATACCTCTGTAGTGAGGAATCTTGCCGGTCGCGTTCCCAGCCGACCTCCGTAGCCGGCTAGGCTTCCCACAATCCCCGGTCATACTGCGTTGTTGGCATGAGGACGGGGTCTGAGCGGACTATGAGCGGTTCAGAGATCCGAGTAGCGTATATACAATCACCTATTGCGAGAGATAGTCCTCGCCGTATTCGAGTCGCCGGGGACTCACCTGGCTGGTGAATAGGTGGTGAGAGCCATATATATACACACGTTGTACTTACTGACCACACATACCCAAACGGAGGATGGGGGAGAGGGGAGGGGGGGGAGATAATAATAATGGCGACGAGCTAGAAAAAAAGAGCATGTACTCTGTTCTATAGTCCGAAGTTCCAAAGCTGAGGAATCCGGTTCTGAAAGAACGAGCTGGGTGAGGACCGGGCACGTACCCGACCGCGCCCCTTTTCGGTGGCGGCGGCCGTCCACTAACCCTGTCCTCGAGGAGATTTTGCTCTCGCGTCTTGCAGTGGTCTTGATGCTATGCGAGAGGAGTCTGCCTTCCCGCCGGTTACGGGAGAAGGACATCCAGCAAGAAGACGTATCGTATCTGAACGCTGTGGGTAAGGGGACGGGGGACGGGAGGATAGGGGTGGAGGCGAGTGTGTAAGAGCGGAAAATGGCATCTTAACCATGTATGTGTAGTATCATCGTTGTTATCATTATATCTGGGAGGTGGGTATATGTGTGTTATCGTTACAATCCGGTCAGTTACTAGTTAGTACACCGAGGACACCGTTGCTCTCACAGTCATCGTGAGAGCATCCGAGGTTCCCCGGAGGCGAGATCATCACTCAGCGGTGCCTGCCACATCCATCTCGTTCACGGCCCAGGTGCTGTCGACCCAGTCCTGCTTCTTCCCGAGGAACGCGATCCGCTCCTCACCTTTGGCGAGTGCGTCGACGATGTACGTCTGCGCAGCTTCGCGGACCTGGTCCTTTGACACGTCGAGAAGCTGCTCGCGTCGCCTCTGCTGCATCTCGGCCGTGACGCCGGACACGAACCGCAGCATGCCCTCCGTGTTCACCGACTTCGGCGCGTCGACGCTCTGGAACACCGAGATCTTCGCCTCCTCCAGGTCCCGGTCCGACCATTGCTTGTCGACCGCCCACCGCCCCGCATTCCGCATGATCGAGAGCGAGTTCTGCGGGTTTGGATCGCGATATGAGTAGAAGCCGAACAAGCCCTCGAGGCCCTTCATATAGGCGCCACCGCCGTAAGCGCCACCCTTCTCGCGGATCTCGTGGTGGAGGTGCTTGTGAGTGAGCATTTGGGCGAGAATCTGGAGGGGCGCGCCCTGTGGAGAGGTGTACGAGGTGGTCGGAAGCGCGAGGCCGCCGTAGTAGACTTGGTAAGGGAGCGGGAAGAAGGCCTTGATATCTTTGGCAAATGTCTGCTTACCTGCCGGAGGAAAAGCGACCGGCTCGGTTGGTCGAGACGCCATGAATCGAGATAACGCAAGTGAATTAGCTTGGGAACTATCAGCACCGCAGGTCAGTGCTGTACGAATACCGCCACCTGCCAAGGCGAAACTTTGAATCTTCTTCAACTTTTCAATTATATCTTCAAGCTTGTCCGACTCAGGTCGCCCGGCTAGCGAAGTAATGAGTTTAACCTGCGACAACCCACTGACTTGCTCTGTGAGGTACGCTTCGAGGGAAAGACCGGACTCGGCGTAACGTCGAGCGTATGCGTGACCCGAGGAGGCGATATCATTAACGACGCCATCAGCTGAAGCCTGTAGGAGTTGCCTGATTCGGAGGGCCGCCTCCGGGCTGTCAAAGTTGGTTTCTAGAATGAGTTTGCGCAGTAGCTCGAACATATCTGGTACGTTGCGGTCGAGAGCCATACCCCTCAGAACAATCCCTTCGGAAGCTTTTCGGAAGTCGGTGGGCGAGGCAGTCGACATATAACCGACAGAAATACCCCCCGTTTTGAGCTTGATGAGATCCTCGAGTTGCTCCATCGTCATATCCTTCGTTCCTAACCGCATGATAGAATCGGTGAACAGTGGGATCAGAGAGCGAAGCTCGTCTGGCAAGTTTTCGAAGGTGTTGATCGCTCGGAAGTAAGTGAGGCCATTAGTCGGAGCTTCGTGCCACTGGATGGTAGTTCCGTGGGCGACTTCGTCTCTCAGTTTAGCGGGCTCCTTCTGTCTCGGAATATCCTTCACGTAGACTGTTGGCAGACAACTAAGGTCTTCCGTGCTAGACTTGCCTTGCTCGGCAAGAAGGTCAAGTTCTCTTCTCTCGAAGAATTTCTTGGCTTCCTCTTCGCCTCCGGCTGCTTGGGCGACCTGTAGGATCTTGGCTGCCAGCCTCTCATTCTCTTCTTTCGAAACTTCCGCGACGTAAGTGTCTGAAGGAGCCATGGTAAAAGTAAGAGTATTATCATTCAGGAGATATTTGTCCATCAACCCCTCAAGATAGCCCCCCTGGGCAAGCTTGGCTTCGAATGCGGCGACAGTATCGTTCCACGCCAAGGAATCAAAAGGGTCCGTACCAGAGAACCATTTTCCTTTGAGACGGTGTAATACAGAGAGTCCAAAGTTGGCTGTCTTATGCTTGAGGCTTAATTCGAGCTGGTGAAGGTACCCGTCGATCTTGTCTTTCTCAAATCCTTTCTGGCGTACGTCGCGGAGGACTTTTTGCACCTCGTCCTTGACCTTCTCGACGCTGCCTTGTGCGACTCCGGACAACCCTATAGAGAATATCCCCGTGGTTGCCGACCCATCATATCCAGCGTTCGGGCTCCAATCTGTGCCCAACCCACTCTCGACGAGGCCCCTGTAGAGCGGAGAGCCATACCCATCCATTAATAGCGACGAGAGGAGGGCGATTGAAAATGACTGCAATACGTCGTTTGTATCTCCCATGATCCACGAAATGGAAGTTTTATATTGTTTGTCTGGGTCTGCGAGGGGATCTACCGGCCCGAAGACAGTCACGGTACGTGGTCCATCGCTGAGATCGATCGGTTTCTTGTGGTCGATGTCTGCTTGGATCTTCTCAAACGCGCTCATCTGTGCGTCGACCTCCTTGAGGTGATCAGCTAGCGGCATATCTCCGTAAGTAATCAGCTTCGCATTACTTGGATGGTAATGCTCCGCGTGGAATTTACGAAGTTGCTCGTATGTTAAGTCGGTTATCTTTTGCGGATCGCCTCCTGAGTTATTGATCGCCGGGAAGATGTGGTCTTGGAAGCGAATATAAAACAAATAGTCCGCATCTGACATTTGGCCTTTCATCTCGTTGTAGACAACGCCTTTGAAGACAAGTTTGCTATCCTCGGCCCCAGCCTCGCCATCCTTACCCGCGACTTTGGGATTCTCTGGACCAACTCTCCAACCCTCTTGGGTGAAATCCGTCTCCTTTAGTAAGGGGTGTAGAGTCGCATCGAGGTAGACAGACATGAGATTCCGGAAGTCTTGAGCGTTCGTTGTCGCAAATGGGTAGTAGGTATGGTCGGAGGCAGTGAAAGCGTTCATGAAGTTGGACAGTGTTCGCGGCAACATCTTGAAGAATGGATCGCGGATGGGATACTTCTGGCTGCCACATAACGTCGTATGCTCGAGTATATGGGGGACGCCCGTGTCGTCGGGCGGGTTTGTCTTGAAGCCGATAGAGAAGACATTGTTGCTATCTTCCCGAGCGATGTGGAGGTAGTCGGCGCCGGTCTTATCGTGTCGTAGATGCAGCGCAGTTAGTTCTAACTCTGGCACATGCTTGGTCCTCAAGAGAGTGAAGCCGTGTAGCGTCTCGCCGGGCTTCGGGTACTGGGTCAATTCTGTGACGGCTTTCCTAACTGTGCTGTTTACCGCGCTGCGCAACATGCCTTCGAGTTCAAAGATGGCCCCCGGGGGACTACGGGCGGGGGGGGGGGGGGGGGGAGAGAGTACGAGGTCAGAGAACTAGGCTTGGGGCTCAATAAACCGAATAGGCTGGCCTAATTGGATACGATGGAGGGATAGGCGGCAAGACACGATGGTAGACTAGGGTGTCTGCGGATAGTAGGTATTGCCTAATATTTGACGACCTTGATGAGAGCATAGATATAGACGAGTGATATGGGATGATGTGGTGAAGGGACAGGAGAATGTGTATGTATGCTGGTATGGACGTGGCTATGAAAATTTCCCATGACGGTCAAAAGCTACCAATAGTAAAAGAAATGATTATGCTGAATGACGCAAATCCGTCGACGGACCCTGTTGGGACGGTTAACATGATAAGCCCGGTTAGATGATTGGTATGCGGACGTCTTTTGTGGTTTCACCGTATTATGTACATACCCCCAAGGGATTTTGCGCGGACAAGACACCCCTCCAAGACACCGACGGGGAAGATGCAATTAAGCAGGGCTACATCCCCAATCACCCAGCCCTCCGGAATCGCTAGTGTCAAGTTCAAATTTTCTAGGGCGTTTCATTGTGGTGATTCTCACGATATGGCCGGCGGCACGTGTCGTGCTAGAGCTAGAGCTGGTGCCTCGTGGCCGGCGGAGGTTTATATGCCTGCCTGCAGAGGTACCTAGGTGTACGTAAGGTGCCTACAGAGATGGCCGAGATGTGTTTATTTGTCCATGAATCTTCTGGTGGGATTACTTGCCCGGGTTACCAGTAGTGTTTATATTTATATTGCATATTGTATCTAGTTACTTTTGGAGTACGCGGCATTCGACGCATTGAATGCGGAGCGTTAGATTATGAATTGAATGCCGACCGCTCAGGAGGTAGGTACCCTGGTACCTCTTAGGTGGTCGCATGCGCACCTCCCGTCTGGCCTTGCCTGTGTGATTAAGTAACCAACACTAAAACGCCGCGCTTCAATCTCAACCCTCGCAAAAGTCTTTATTGATCTTCCACTCCAAACATCCCCATAACTTGACTATCTACGAGAAGAACCCAGGCCGGAAAAAAGAGGGCTCACTCCAGAATTTCTTCCCCGCCAACCATCCCGTGTAGCATCCAGCGTCTTATTGCAGAAACCACGCCAATGCCCGACAATCTTAATCGGTAAGTCGGCACCACCATCGACACCCCTCGATCTTTGACCGTCCCGCGTCCACTCCCCTCTCACGGGTCGCTCGGGTTCCTAACACGCACCGTTGCCCGTAGCGTAGCTGTATATGTATAGACGATAGACAATGGCGACTACGAACCATCGTGCACCACCGGCTGCCCCCGCTCCTCTCGGCTCCGCTTCGACCGCTAACGGAGCCTCGGTTCATCACGCCCAAGATGACTCCCTCCCGAACGGTCACCACACTCCCGCGCAAGAACCCAGACCGGCCCCGACCCCGACGCTTGTCGCGGCCCCCTATGCGGCCTCTAAGAAGGGAAAGGGCAAGAAGGCCCTCGACTCGAACGAAGCGTCGAAACTCGTCGCCGCCAGGATCTCCCAGCTGGAGGTTGATACAGCTGCCGAGAAGGAGCAGGAAGCGGAAATTGGTAGGTCTATTTTCGTTCAAGCTGTTTTGGATATGGGAGCATAAGTGTGGATCGGGTCATGGCTCGGAGCGCAGATTTCTCCTGAGGCGCGACGGCTACCCATGGAGCCATTCCCCAGGTCAAGATAACGCGACCAGCAATAACGAGAGAGAATCACGGCACTACATACGCTGGGCAGCGCGACTGGAGAAGGTAGTTTTGTCGGAACTAGTATAGCACGGAGTCGCGACGAGATACCCTCTCCAAGGAACCGGTGGCTCATATCAGGTCTAGGGCCTTAGGATCAGGGACCAGACCGCTGTATGTTCCGGGGCGAGGTCTGCAGGGTCAGATGGATTGTCCCTTGGTCGTCCCGCGACGTTGCCTCATGTCACAAGCACGATATGCACTGGTCCATCGCCTCCGTTGCCGAGTCTGTTGATTCATCCAGGTCCGGTCGCGACAGCTGTGTCTTGCTAATATACCGTCTGCGCCAGATCGAGAAGTACGCAAGGCGAATCGCGAGCTCAACCATCAAATGAACAAGATGAACGACCTGGAGAAAATAGACCTTTTGACTAAGAGGTCATCGGAGCTGTTCGCCAGCATGAAGCGCCTGGAGCGCGAAAACATTAAGAACAAGAAACGCGCAGACCAGTTGCAGAAGGAGAAGGATTCTAGTCGTACCGACCTGAGTAAGCAGATAAGCCTCAAGGAAAAGCTGGAAAAGCTCTGCCGCGAGCTGCAAAAAGAGAATAACAAGCTGAAGGTAGTATCTATGTTCAATTATCGAAGGCGGGGGACCTAAGCTGACGAGATGTCCCGTAGAACGAGCACCGCGCCTTGAACGACACTCACGATCGACTTAAGGTTTCGTCTGACGAACGTTTTAAGAAGGTTCTCGAAACCTTAGAGGGTTACCAAGAGGAGAAGGACAATCCGCGAAAGCAGGTGGTGTATATGAAGGTTGAGGAATTGTGCGCCACCTCCCCAACTAGAGTCAACGCGGCATTTGGAATTTGTCTGTTGACACGAAACCGCAGGTTCAAGGCCCGCTTCAAATCCCTTATCGATCAATACGAACTCCGGGAGCTTCATTTTCATTCTGCTATGCGAACCAAAGAGATCGAGGTGCAGTGGAATATGGCCCGTTACGAGCAGCAGAAGAAGACTGCGGAGGCAGAGGCTAGCCGTGCGCGCCAGCTCAATAGCCAAGTCTTAACGTTCTCCAAGACAGAGACCGAGCTACGAAACCAGCTCAATGTTTACGTGGAAAAATTCAAGCAGGTAGGTGCCCTATATCCCTCGTGTCGCCGCACGAGACCATTGACAAATGAGGAGGTCGAGGATACCCTGAACAATAGCAACGACCTGTTCCTAACCTTTCGTAAGGAGATGGAGGACATGTCTAAGAAGACTAAGAAGCTCGAGAAAGAGAACGATGCTTACAAGCGCAAAGAAGGTGCCCTCAACCAGAACATCCTGAAGATGGCCGAGGAACGGAACAGACACCTTAAAGATCTCGAGGATATCAAGAAGAAAAACGACAAACTCACGAGTATCATCAACCAGATGCAGCAGCAGGGCCGTGGCATACCCCATGGCATGCAGGGCACGGTGGAGAGTTGCTACGCCGAGGGAGGAGAGGGTGAGGAGGATGGTGAGCTGGAGGACGGCGATGAGGAGAGCGAATACGAATACGACGACGAAGGAGACGAAGAGGTCAGTGAGGAAGGCGAATTCGATGACGACACGGAAGAGGAACTCATGCCGCAAGTGCCTGGCGCTTACGGCCCGGAACGCCCGCCTGCTATGAACGGACATCGCTAGGAAGACGATAAAACGCCACAGCAGGCCGAGGACAGAGGCGAGGATGCGCACGAGGGCAGATCCGAACCTCCGTCGACAGTCCAAACTCTGCTGCAGTGCTTGGCCATCGTACAACGCTTCGTGCAACGTCGCCCTCCCATGCAACGTGTTCTTGACCTGGAAGAATCTCCTATTGTCGAGCGGGCAGCCTCCCGTATCGAAGACGGCCTTCCCACCAGTGTCGGGGCAGAACAACTACTGCAGATGGAGAAACCAGACGAAGGCGCAGAAGCTTTGCCATAGACCAGGTCTCTCCCCCTCTCTCCTGAGGTGGACTATGTATACGAAATGAGCCACTATTTTTTTACGTCTACCGCGGGCTTGCTACTGCCACTCTTGTCCATTTTGTAATAAGGGGCGGCGGCTACTGTATGAGTTTCGTGCTCGTGTTCTATAACCCATAAATCTCCGACAGCGGAGAGGAAGAAAGCAAGAGAAGAAAAGGATAAGCATCCATTTCAGCGTTGGTTTAGTAGCCCTTGTTGGATGAGGGGAACGTAAAGATTTCCCGGCCGTCAGTGCATATACATTTGACAGAACGGGCCCCGGGGACTTGGGGAGCGAGGGATCGGCAACGTGGTTGTCCTCACTGCTACCCAAGCAAGAGCGCGTGCATCTGTAGCACATGTATCATACAAACATCCTTAGCTAGTGATAGGGGGCATTTCGTTGTAGCCATAGTACGAATTGAGACCTTCTCAATAATACTATAGGGCATATGCCCGCCGTGATGGATTTTTATCTTACCCCCAAGTCCCTCTGACAAGCCAAAGCCAAACAAACGGTTTCCTCGCTATATCCGTATACTACCTCAGGTGGGTATCCTTATCCAGCCTTCTGCCCATTGTCTTATTTCCCTTTCTGGAATTATTTCCTATTTTACTCCCCTTTCTTCCCCTTTATCCCGTCTGTCTATCTGGTGGAGGCAGACGCCGCAGCCGAGGCGTAGAGTTTGCCGCGGATGCGAGCGGGGCCGAGCTCGCGCCTGATTTCGTCGAGTTGGGCGGTGCCACTGGCCCAGCGGCCGTCCTTGCCCGCCCGCTGCTTCTTGCCGCGGCCGGCGGCCGGGGGGGCGCCGGCGCCGAGGAAGTCGTCGAGGATGTTGTCGAAGTCGTGGCGCACGGAGCCCGTCACGCTGGACGCCGTCGACACCTGGGACACGGAGGCGGCGCCGTCGCCGTCGTCCCACCCCAGCCCCTCGTCGTCCTCGCCGTACTGCTCCTGGATCTTGTCGAAGCGCGCGTCCAGCAGGCCGAGCTGCTCCGTGCGCACGAGCGACGACGACGTCATCGAGTACCCCGACTGGCTCGTCAGCGCGCCCTTGCGCTTCTTCCGCCGGCCGCCGTTGGTAGTCGTCGTCATGAGAGAGGATTGCAGGTCCGATTGCGACGGCGCGACTAATTTCCTTAGCCCCGTCTTCTGGTCCTTCTTGAATTTCTTGAAGTCCTCCATCCAATCCCTGTTCCCCGCTACGTCGTCACCGCTCGGATTCTCCCCTGCTATGGCAGGGACTAGCGTCGGCACCTCTTCAGCGGAGCCTTTGTACTCCTTGGCCGGCTTCGCAGTGTCATCCGACTCCCAGCCGTCGTCCTCGTCAAACTCGATTTCGTCTAGCTCCTGGCCGTCCTTCGCGAGCTCGACGAATATTTCGTCGTCGTCGTCGACATAAGCCTCGTCCTCGAGCGCCTCTAGCACCTCCCGCAGCCGCGGGTCCATATCCGGCTGGAATCCGCTAATGGCATCCGGGATGTCCTGCTGCGCTTGGTAGGTCAGATGTTGCAGGTTCTTAGACGGTAAGAAATCGGCGTCGAAGAGCTCGTTGCGCTTGCGTTCTTCGTCTTCGATATCCAGCTGGCGCAGCGCTTCGTCGAGGCTCTGCTTGTGCTTATTCTTGCCCTTATTCTTCGTGCCGCTCTCGGCCTCGACGAAGACGACTTGGCCGCTAGCATTGCCGCCGTTCAGGTCGCGCAAGTGCTGCATGTAGTCGTACTCGGTATCGTCGAAGAAGACGCCGTGGTTGGCGGCCTCGCCCTCGTTCGCACGGATGCGGGAGGCATCATCGCCGAGCTCGGAAGCGAGGTCGTCGAGCTTCTTCACCTTGGAGCCGCTGTTCGGGCGCAGGGTGGGGTTCAAGACCATGGACGGCGCATCGGCATCGTGGATGAGGGGGTCATTTTGCGGACGGTATACCAGCGTAAAGTGCTGGGCCGTCTTCTTGTCGCTGGCGAGTTCGTCAGCGATCGGGAGGCAGTCCCAGTCGAGGTAAGCAGCCTACGTACATCCACTTGCCCTTAGGCATGTTGTAGGCGTACGGCGTACTCCTTCGATCGCGGGGCTAAGGAGCAGAGGAAGTATTCAATAGGTGTAGGTGTGTATCACAGTCGCGTTGGTGTAGTCGCGTAGATGGCCTCTGCGGTCCAAGTGGGTGACTTCTGGGCGCATACGAGGGAAATGGACGCCGTAATGAATGACGACGTGGATAAACGACGATGGAGGGAGAGCCGATAATTATCTGATACTTCGGTAGTCTGGAATTTTCGCCGTTAGGGGTGGGGTGGGGTTGGCGGGGGTTGTCTTATCGGCTTATCGCACACCTCTGGTTATGCAATTGGAGGAATAATTAACTAGGTGAGTGACGCAATGAATAAAAGAGGGGGAAAAGGGGAGAGGAGAGCCCCTCCATTTAGTACCTAATCAGAGGACTCGATAAGTCCAGTACGTAATCAGCCTGGAAACTCCGGAAGGCAATTCCATCCTGCACTCTTCTTCCTGGCATCTTCAACCTACTACGACTCATCGCACATTGGACACCGGAATCACTGCCCAATATGCCGCAGCCAAAGTCCAAAAATTCTGTTGGGCTCGGCAACACCCTTATGAATGACCGCTTCGGGAGGGGCAAAGGTGCCGACCGCAAGAGGGCCTCGGCCGTCACGAGAGTTAACCACACAACCGGCGAAGAGGTTTGCATCCTCCTATCCTGAGAGTCTACTACGCAACTACTCACCCATATACGTCGCAGTATATCACAAACGATAGAAAGGAGGCAGCATGGGTCAAGATGCGCTCCGTCACCGAGCAAGGTGCTCTGGACGAGTTCCTTGCCACCGCCGAGCTCGCTGGAACCGACTTCACAGCGGAGAAGCTGAACAACGTCAAGATCATCCACACTGACCAGAGGAACCCATATCTCCTGACAGCCACCGAGGAGCGCAACATCCTGGGCAAACACAACCGGCATAGAGCTAGACTCACCGTGCCGAGGCGGCCGAGGTGGAATGCCTCCACTACTGCCGACGAGCTAGACCAACTCGAAAGGGAAAGTTTCCTCAACTGGCGAAGGGGCCTGGCAGAGTTGCAAGAGAATAACGACCTGCTCATGACCCCCTTCGAGCGCAATTTGGAGGTGTGGAGGCAACTCTGGCGGGTCCTCGAAAGATCCGACCTCGTCGTCCAGATAGTCGACGCGCGCAACCCCCTAATGTTCCGGTCCGAGGATCTCGAAGCCTATGTCAAGGATGTGGACCCCGGGAAGAAAAATCTGTTACTGGTCAACAAGGCAGATATGATGACGGCGAAGCAAAGGGCAGTTTGGGCAAAATACTTTAAGGAGAACCGGATAGCCTTCCGCTTTTTCTCGGCCAGCCTGGCGAAGCAGATGAACGAGGAACGCCTCGATCGAAGCGAGCCAGAAGAAACCCCGAACGGCGGGAGTGCGAATTCGAAGACACAAGCCTCAGGCGCAGAGAGCGCTTCAGAGGACGATAGCGACGAAGATGCGGAAGACTCGGGCGTTTCGTTAAGCCAGGAAAACGATGACGAGACGAGAATACTGACAGTTGATGAACTGGAGCAAATATTCCTTAAACACGCTTACGACCCTGATGGTACGCCCGCATTGAAATTTGGGGTGCAAACTGCGATAGCTAACGATCAGTAGATCCAGATAAGAAGCTCCAGATAGGCCTGGTCGGGTATCCCAATGTCGGGAAATCATCGACTATCAACGCCCTCATCGGCGCTAAGAAAGTGTCCGTCTCCGCAACGCCCGGCAAGACGAAACATTTCCAGACCATCCGTCTCAGTGACAGGGTCATCCTATGCGACTGTCCTGGCCTCGTTTTTCCAAACTTCGCTACAACCAAGGCCGACCTCGTCTGCAATGGTGTCTTGCCCATTGATCAGCTCCGGGAATACACTGGGCCCGCCGCCCTCGTCGCACACAGGATTCCCCAACCTTTTTTGGAGGCCATCTACGGAATCCACATCAAGACCCGGCCGCTCGAGGAAGGGGGGACAGGTGTTCCGACCGCGAGCGAGCTCCTGTCGGCGTATGCCAAAGCGCGGGGCTTCACTACCCAGGGTGTCGGGCAGCCTGACGAATCGAGAGCTGCAAGAGTCATCCTCAAGGATTACGTGAGCGGTAAGCTCTTATACGTCGAACCGCCTCCGGACTGGCCAACTGATGGCTCGGATTTCAACCGAGAACTCTACGATTCAGCACATCTCCCCGAGAAGCGCAAAGCAGCCTTGCTCGCGGCCATGGATACTCTAGATATTTCCGCTGATGGCGAGTCGACGGCTGATACGGAAATTCTCGCCCTACCAACTGGTGCTAAGTCGGAAACGCTCGACAAAGCATTCTTTAAGCGAGGCCCTGGAAACGCGGGGCATCTGAAGATGCCTTTCAGCCATAAATACACAGAGCAGGGAAAAGAGCAGGCCCACGCTAAGCACCTTAGCGGTCGAAAAGCTAGGGCAATGATCGCGCTCGAGACGGGCTTGGATCCCAGTGACATACAGATTGGGTCGAGCAAGAAACATTTCAAGGGCGGCGCAAAGGGAAAGGGTAAGAGGGTAGATAACAAAATGTTGGATTGAGCGCGTTCGGGGTATCACTGCTACTCGGTTTGTTCAAAAGCATATGGGTAGGGGCAGACAGGTTCATACATAGTTATTGGGCGAGTGAAATTCGGCGGCGACTCAATATCCCTCTCATCAAACCCTTCTATATATTCCCGAAAGTGCGTGAGGTGAGACTCTTAAGCGTGCCGGGGTTAGTGATATTATTGATTTGGAAGTCCGTTGTCTTGTCCTCAGGGGGTTTCTACTTGCACGTATTTCGGAGTCGGTTACTATCCCTGTTAACGACGGTGGTCACTACGCCTAGCCTTAACGGTGTAACCGATAAAGACGTCTATTTGCGCTCTACTCGGTGAGTTACGATTAGCCAGAGGCTAGGTATGGATGTTATTATATTGCCTGCTCCTATCTAATATTACGCGATTCTCGATTATTGTAAAGGTATAGAGGGATCTTAATTTGGGACATAGAAGAGAGGATTTCGAAAGAACTGGGACTTCATCCAGAGGCGAATATTTAAAGGTATGTTAACAGTAGGGAACTGCAATACCGATTCTTGGAACTAGTTTCTATAGAAAATTCGTGAAGGTTACAAGAACTGAACCCGTGCCGGGACCGTGTTTTACATCCATGTAGTATTGTTATATTAACTCATATAGATTTAAGTCTGTTTATCTTCATGGAATTTACTCTGAATTGCCCACCAATAGTACGAGATCTATCGCCGAAACAGTAAGAACTTAAATTGGTATGTTGTAACGTTCCTTTAGCTTATTACTCTGAACTCACGTCTCGTAACTGGACATCTGTCTCCTAGCCGCCTGGAATCGACCAGCAGAACTTCTTTCGAACATACCTCACAATTCATTTTCTTCCTTCCGTTCTCTGTCCTCGCCTGTGTCCTAGCAGCATTAGCACGGCAATCATGAGCTTGTATCTTCGTCATCATATCCGTGAATCGTCTCCGGAAGCATATCGAACTACGCCTGGCTCGTTGCCCCGGGCTAGGCAGGGGGCTAGCAAGAAGCCTCTCGCCCCTATCAGATGCAACGCTGTTGTAACTCAAAATGTGTAGAAGTATATATGACTGAGAAGAGATGCCTCCCGCCGTGTCTAGCCGCACCAGACGGCTTGGGCGCCACGGTGTGAAGCATGTTTCGGCCGTGGCTCGGAGCGAAGCAGGTGGCACATGCGGGGTGCACTTGGGGGCCCTCCCCCGTTACGCAACGGCGACGGCGGAGGAGTTCCCATCCTGCGCGTCGCGGGGGGCCTCGGCGGCGGCCTCCTCGGGCCAGACGTCGTAGCCGAAGGTGTCCTTCATGTTGACGAAGCGGACGTGGCGGCCGCGGGCGACGGCCTCGACGGCGTCGAAGTCGGCGTCGGACAGCGCGGGCACGTCGAAGTTGCTCGCGATGCGGGCGGGGGTGGCGCTCTTGGGGAGGACGGCGTAGCCGCGGCGCACGCCCCAGGCGAGCAGGACCTGGGCGAGGTCGCGGCCGGCGCGGCGGGCGACCGCGTTGAGCGCCGGGTCCGTGCGCACCTTCTCGCCCGTCCGCGGCACCTAGTCCTGCGACCCGAGCGGCGAGTAGGCCTGCGGCACGACGCCGCGCGCGCGGCAGAAGGCGACGAGCTCGCCGTTGGGCAGGAACGGGTGGATCTCGACCTGATTGACGGCGGGGGGCACGCGGGCGCGCGCGAGGAGCGCGGCGAGCCCGCCGACCGTCCAGTTCGAGACGCCGATGGCGCGGGCCCGGCCCTCGGCGTAGAGCGCCTCCATCGCCCGCCACGTGGGCTCCGGGTCGGCCGTGAGGCCCGGCTTGAGGACGTAGCGGCCGTCGGGGCCGCGGCGCGGCTGGCGGCGGGCGTCAGACTCGACGGCGACGGGCCAGTGGACGAGGAACAGGTCGACGTAGGCGAGCCCGAGGTGCCGCAGCGAGCACTCGAGCGACCAGCGCACCTCGTCCGGCTCGTGCAGGTGGTTCCACACCTTGGTGCAGATGAAAAGGTCCTCGCGCCGCACTGCGCCCCCCGCCCGCGCCAGGAAGTCCCGCACCGCCGCGCCCACCTCCTCCTCGTTCTCGTAGAACCACGCGCAGTCCAGGTGCCGGTACCCGACCTCGAGCGCGCACGTCACCGCCCGGTACGTCTCGCCCTCTACGCCCCCGTTGGAAAAGGTGCCGAAGCCCACGGCTGGCATCTTGACCCCGTTGTTCAGCGTGAACGTCCGTTGATTGATGGGAAGAGCTGTGGGAGTAGGTTCAGAGGCGGTGGTGGACGACATCTTTGTTGGATAAAGTACCTGCTTCTTCCTGTTGGTTGGAGCTCGGAGTAGGGGGTCTGCGTCTATGCCTTTCGTGGTACTGTGAACGTACAGGCTTGTTTACAGGCCGTTCTGTTCTCTGTATGTCTGGAACGAGCTGGTAAGGGGCTGGCGCGCTGATGGAAAAGTCTTGGCTGGATGTACGTAAGACGGTAGATATTAGTCGAGCTGAGCTTGTTAGCGAAGATTGAAGCCTGTTAGTCGCGAGCCCCTTTAAATGACGTGACACCGCGATATTGCGCCATGCTGAACGGCTCCCGTATCACATGAAATGGTAAGGAGGACAAAAAGAAGCTAGGAGTTCTCCGTCTCAAGACGGTCCGTCCCATCCCTCGACTTGATCGGCTCTATAGCCCCAGTTGTTTGCAGCGACAACTGTCACAGCCCGCCTTCTTCAACTGTGATGTCCCATCATGGCTCGTGAAGTGGATATGCTGCTTGATTAGAAGGCTGGGTAGCGGCATACTTGCCGCGACACACTCTGCCTATCTGTTCTTGCTGATACCTATCTGTGAGTTGTTCGGAGGGCCATACCACCGAGACCTGCACGATCCCAGCTGCGAGACCCGAGCGGTCAGTCCGCAACCCGGGTGAGATATCGTCTGGCATCGGCGGCGTCACCTATCAAAACGTCTAGGCGCGGATGTGCGTAGGATAGGCAGCTGGGATCTGAGTGTGCTAGTTCCAAGAAGGGCAACGATGAGGCAGGGGCACGAAGATCCCTTTAACGGATCGCCTCCACATTGCAAGTCAAGGAAAAGATCCCCGGCGGAGCCTCAGACCCGGAGTGATGTCAGGTCCCAGAGGTGATAGCAGGTACGGGATGAGGATCCGTGGACCCCGGCTCCAGTTCCTGCGGCTTTGCGGCTCCTTTTTCGAGTTAACGAGTAGACCTGATCGCCCAGTCGTCAACGTGTTGGCCTGCCACGAGAAATAGCTGAGCGAATCGACAAGGACCAAATCTCCAGCAGTCATTCACGTACCTACCTACCATGGGATGAGATACACTGTTTAGCCTAGCAAGATGGTTTCGTTGAGATGTAACCCATGCAAGGGACCGACGGGAACCAGGCTCGATGACGACGATGGGTATAGTGGATGTTGAGCTGTCGTCATCGTGCTCCCCGTCGGTCATCTCGACGCTCCTGAAAAAGGGGCGCGATGACAACACGATGGGCGGTGGGCGGTGGGCGGTGGACGGTGAACGCCGAGTAGATCGCGAACACATATAAGATCGTCGTCCAATCGTCGATATTGAACTCCTTGACTGTTTCCTATCACACTTCTCTCCATTGCCCTCTTCCCCATCATCTGATCGTTGTCGATAGTTCGGGAACTTTCACGTTTGAATATTCTTTCGAACCGCCGAAAACACCTGCGAGACATTCAAGATGCCTATCTTTGAGGACTACGAAGCTGGCAAAACCACCGACAAGACTCACCAAGTGCGCAAGGTCGCCTCCATGACTCTCATAGACGGGATCGACGAGCCCTTGCTGGTTCCCGGAGACGATGGCGACGGGCCGATTGAAGTCCCTGCTTCGAGATCACCGATCTCCAAGGTAGCCAAATACATGCATACCTTGAGCGCCACCCTTTCGATGAAAGAACGGAGGCGGTCTCGCAACTCTTTTGGCGCTGCACTACCGATTCCCAGGTCTAAGAGAAATTCGCGACTATCATCGGTCCGTTACCCCGATGAGCTGCTCGCTCGTCCTACTCCCCCGGGGATGCCGGCCGCCCAGACTTCCCGCGCGATCCTGGCAGCCCAGGTGCAGAGCGTCGAGGTTGAGAAGGTGATGAAGGCCAAGAATATGGCGTTCGCGTTCGACATCGACGGCGTCCTCGTTCACGGCGACCGGCTGATCCCCGAGGGGCGGCGGGCACTCGAGATCCTCAACGGCGACAACGAGCTCGGCATCCAGATCCCGCACATCTTCCTGACCAACGGGTCCGGGAAGCCGGAGAAGGCGCGGTGCGAGCAGCTGTCCAAGATCCTGCAGAACCCGGTGGACACGGAGCAGTTCATCCAGTCGCACACGCCGATGAGCGCGCTCGCCGAGTACTACAACACGGTGCTCGTCGTCGGCGGCGAGGGTTACAAGTGCCGCGAGGTGGCGGAGGCGTACGGGTTCAAGGACGTCGTGGTGCCCAACGACATCGTCGCGTGGGACCCGACGATCGCGCCGTACCGGGTGTTCACGGACGCGGAGCGAGCGTCGTCGCGGCCGCGCGACTTCAGCCAGACGCGAATCGAGGCGATCATGGTGTTCTCGGACTCGCGGGACTACGCGACGGACATGCAGATCATCGTGGACGTGCTGCGGTCGGAGGACGGGCGGCTGGGGACGCTGGCGCGGGGCACGGCGGCGGCGGCCGCGGTGCAGCGGATCCCGATCTACTTCTCGCAGGGGGACCTGCTGTGCCCGACGGAGCACTGGACGCCGCGCATGTCGCAGGGCGCGTTCCGCATCGGGCTGGAGGCGATGTACCGGGCGCTGACGGGGGCGGACCTGGAGCGGGTGGTGTACGGCAAGCCGGAGGCGGCGACGTACCGGTACGCGGACGGGGTGCTGGCGGCGTGGATGGGGCGGCTGCACGGCGAGGAGCGGCTGCCGGCGCACGTGTACATGGTGGGCGACAACCCGGCGTCGGACATCATCGGCGGCAACATGTACGGGTGGCACACGTGCCTGGTGCGCACGGGGGTGTTCCAGGGCGGCGCCAACGACGACAGCAACCCGGCGAACTTCGGCGTCTTCTCGAACGTGCTCGCGGCCGTCGAGGCAGCGCTGCGCGAGCAGCTCGGCGAGGACTTCAAGATGCGCTTCGACGACCGCATCAACCTCGTCCTGCACGGCGACGAGGCGGACGCCGCGGCCATCATGTGAGCCGGGCGGTCCGGTTCCTCGACGACCCGCTTTGGCGACGATTACCTAGCTGACTGATCGATTGGCTGGATGGTTGGTTTTCTACGTGTAGGTGTGAGGGAGATGGAAAGGGAGTTTCTCGGCATATGTTTGATCTCTTATTCCGCTTCCATGCGACGCCTGTGTCAAGAGGTCATGGTAGCAGCACTCCCGCCTACTATACACAGCGATAACCTATTGCTTGCCTCGTGTTTCTTCCTATTTGTGCCGCGTTGCTGGTGTTGCTGGCAGCGCCCAGGCCAGTCGCCCAACGGATTTGTTTTTGTGCCTTGCAGCGGTTGACGCCATATAAGCGATCGACCAGGGGTACCTACATCGTGCAATGCTCCGCCAAGATGGGTTGGCTGGCCCCAACCGGCTAATCGACCGGGGTCTGTAGGACTGGGTATGATTTGCGCACGGAGAGACGACAGCGAAGACAGACCAGCCGGGGGCGTCTGGAGCAAAGCGATCAATATATGCCGCCTGCGTTGGCTTGCAGCGCGATTGTGCGCCTTAATCAGCACACGTACGCATGTGTGTGGTATTCGTTGAGTGATGGAGAGTGGTAAAAATACTGTGCGTAGGTGGCTAGCCGGGCCAGGATGTCAAGAATGACTTGAGGAGGTCAGGCTATCGATGAGTAATTTCCCATCGCGCGGCATTGCGACGTCGCAATAATATAGAGGTGTGTAGGCTTGGCCAGCCTGGTAATACGTGCTCATATAGAAGGGCCTTGATACCGCTGGATGGGTGATGATTCTCGTTATTACAATACCGAGGTATATGCATCTAGATGCATGTACGCCGCATGAAAACAGGTACCAGTATATACCTATGCGTCGAGTTGTATGGAAGGCTACGCTGCTTAGAAATGTGATTGGCAGCAGTACTTACCTAGAGGCACCTAAGTCAGCAGCGGGTACCTGTTTTGACACGGCGACATCGACGTCTCTTTACGATCGAATAGCCATACTCTGACCGAGGACCTGACGTAGATGCTGAGTGGGATATACCTCACCAAGTGATGGATGTGTGTATGCAATCCAGCCCTGTGGATCCTCAGGCATCCAGAATAGAGGCCTATGATTAGTAGAATTAAAGAAAAACACGTAACAGCTAACTATTCGTAAAACGCTATATTTAAGCCCTTTTAGCAGTTTAGTTTTTACACCTTTAATTAATCAACGAGGTTTACCTTTCAACTCGTCTTACGTGCCTTACGATTAAGGCAGCGAGGCCACGAAAGGAACCGCCAAAACGCACAGCCCTGGCTGTTTTACCGATATGCCTATACTAGGGATGGGCCTAGGTAGGTACCTACCTTAGGTAGCCGTCGGCCATTTAGGTACCTAAATCTATGCATGTATGGGGAGGAGGGAATTAAAAGGGGGGCCCGGTCCCACCCCCACAGAATCGCCGGGCGACTCCGCGGTAGGATAAGTCGTCGGATATTAACCGGATCGGGCAACTCATTTCGAGAGAAGAAGAGGCAGAGAATTGACAACTCGCCATCCCTGCCCCCCGGTCGTCGTGTGGTGACCGGCTCGTCTTTTCCGCTCTTCTTGTCTCGCATCTCTGCCGTCCTGTCTCTCCCTCTCTTCCTCCCACTGCTCCGTTCCTTCGGCCACCGCTCTCTTCACACCCGATACCCTCTACTTAATGTCGACTTCCGAGCAGTAGCAGTCAGCTACCGCCTCAGAGGCGCGGCAGTAGTTGGCATTCATTCCTTCATTCCTCCATTCATTCATTCATTCACTCCCCCATTGATGCACTCGTCGCATTGCTGCGCCTGCGGTGTCACTCCTTATGAGCACCTCTGTCTGTATATACCTCCTACATAGCTTATACACACGTTCAGAGCCTGCGCTTCGGTCGCTCATTACTGGGCCGCATAGTACCCCCATCCACTACCCGCCACCTACCTCCTGCAGGTAGTGGTGCCTCGGGTATTCATGACCTTCGTTTCTGCACTTTTGCTGTCGCTCTGCGCAGTGTCGCACGTCGTTGCTCAGGATGGCGACAGCGGCGCCGTCTGGGCGACGCCCCACGACAGTTACTCTTCGTCGGTCGGTGTGCTTGGGTGCAAGGTCGACACCAATCGCGTCGCCTACTGGCCCGGCTCCGTCGACTGCAACAACATCTGCGTGTCTCTGAGCTACGAGGGCCGGTCCGTCAACCTGCTGCGCGTCGACCAGTCCCAGGGCGCCTTCGACGTCAGCTACGATGCCTGGAACTACCTATACACCGGCTACTCCGCCACCGAGCGCCCCGCTGCCGGCGGCGCCGTCCCCATGGAATTCGCGAACGTGGACGCCTCCCTCTGCGCCGACTTGATCCACACCGACGGAGGCAAGCTCCCCCTCAGCGCGGCGAACAGCATGAATTTCTTGGCCAGCTGTCTCGGGCAACCCGATAGTTGGGTGGCTAAAAACTACGTTCTCTACAACATCCTCGACTCCACGTGCTCCTGGGGCCACGACGACGAGTGCGCCTTGGACTGGCCGAATGCGAACCAAGCCAGCTGCGCGAGTTCGCTGGGCGACCCCGTGACGTTGACGTCCGCCCCGGTCTACAACATCAGATACCCCTCTGGCGAGACGGTCTTGGCCTCTTCCGGACAGATTGTCGAGCCTCAGAATGGCAATCAGAACGTCAACAGCGCTGCTACTATCGGCCAGGCTGGGAAGCCGCTTCGTTTAACCGGGTTGGGTTTGGTGGCGGCGGTAGTTTCAATCTTCGTGGTCGGCACCAATGCCTATTCCTAATAATCTCTTTCTAAGTCACCCATGTGCCTACCTCAACAGGAGGCTGTCGGGCCGCTATTGTCGCCATGAGGAATGATCCGGGATCCTTTAGTAACTTCTGGATTGCGCCCAAGTGGTCGCGCGGTTCGACGGCTTCTATGTGTATCTAAGTAGCATTCCCGCACACATGTTTAGGCAACAAGCTGCTCCCCGCCCTGTATTATCGTGGACGGAAGCAACCACCTCTATTTAGGGATTTTGATGGTTGGCGGTGTGGTGGGAGGATTAAGCTGACCCATATTCTGGTTTGGACTCGGCACGGTTATGAGGAGATACCCAGTTGGTTCATGAATACACATGATGTATGACAGTATTATCCGCGACATTGATGCCACCCGGCCTTCACATGACTGTCATGTTGGAGCAATACCGACTATGGTAACCCTGCTCCGACTAGCAGCAAATCGGACTCACCAGTGTGGAAGAAATTGCTCTGGCTGCTTGCCGTAGTGGTCGAAGCCTGCTTAGCATCCCACAGCCTGCTTGAAGATCGGCGGATGCTATTGACGATTGGCCGGGATAGACGCCCCATCTCAGCCTACACGAGAAGGGATTTGAAGCAGCGCCTTTTTTGATTTGTCGCCTTGACTTCGGCGACAAAACCTGAGGATATGACAGCCTGACAAAACCGTGAGAACCTGACGAACCCGCAGGGAGGCACATGCATGGCCTAGTCACGCGAAATCCCAGTTGTATCGCCCCTACGCCTTTCTCTCCTCATGAGTGTTCTGGCAGAAGGAATAATCCCCAGGTTTTGGCGTCACCACGTATCAGCCGGTGACAGATATTTAATAACACCCACGCCTACTCGTCCGTCTGTCTTGAGGCGGTCCTCCATCGTGAAAACAGACTCTTCTCTTCCCTGTACATACCCGAGCCAACATATCCTCGTATTAAAAGCGATGGCCACCAAGAAGCAGAAGATCCCTAAAAGCAGTTGGGACTGTCACAAAAACACTATACTCAGTCTTTATCTTACATCGGACCTAACTGTGGGTAAATTGATGCGTACTATGCACGAAGAACACGCGTTCTCTGCTAGGTGAGATACGATATTATATGTACCCTCTAAGCTTCGCTCTGGCTAACCGTCTACCTTTATCAGTGTCTCCCAGTTCGAGGCTCAGCTTAGGATATGGAATGCCCGTAAGAATCTGACAAGGGAGGAGTGGACAGTAGTCCTTGACCAAATCGACAATCTGGCATCCCAAGGATTACAATCTCGCGTGGTCATCTCTGGCCATGCTGTACCGGCCACAAGAGTCGATAGGGCAAGGCGTCACTGCAGAGCCAAGCCTCCAGGACCGCGGAAGCGCCGCCGAGATGAGCCCGCTTCCGTTGGATGCGCTACAGTGAGCCACGATGTCAGCAATGTCGTAATTGAGACTCAGGACAGAGATGGTCGATGGTCTCCTTACGACGCTTCGGCTCGCGAACCCTCTATCAGACAGCAGATGGTGCCCGACCCAATTGCCGAGCCCATTATACGAGAGCGGGACGGACAGAATGATCAAGACGGTAATACTATGCGGATTTCTGAAGACGGTGTGCCCCATCCGTTCCAGGATACGATTGCCGCGTTACCAATTTCCCTTCCATCCTGGACCCCCGACTTCACAGCCGAGACTTCGCTCTGGGTTGTCGAAGATGACATTCAGGCGGACTTTCCGATAATAAACTCCGGGGCTCCAAATACAAGCCTTCTAACACAACATGAACATAATTTAGAGATCGCCTTTCCAGCATATGAATTGGCGAGTCCGTCACAGTATAGGAGTCTATGCCTAAACCATTTGCCATTCGAGCAATTTGAACGCGAAATCGGACCGGGATGTCTCGTACGAGCCATTCAAACTTTCCCGACGCACAGCTACCGATCCTTGTTTAAAGATCAGTGGCTAACTACGCTATTCCCGGTCGAAGCGACAGCAGCTCTGGCAGAGGTGGATGGAATCTCCGGCCGCCAACCTATCTACCACGCGAGACTTACGCTCGATATGTTGAATACAATTCTCCCCAAACACCAGGACAACTACGAGGGCGGCGCAATAACCCACACTTCCAGGGAATTAGAGCTGCTCCGAGTGCTCCTGTTCTCGACAGCGAACGGATTCGTGGGCATGGGTGGTGTACCTATCGGGATCATCAGCCGCATTTTCAAGCAGAACACCAATATCATGTCGCTGTTGGCACAGGTTTTCAAAGAAAATCGAGGCCACGTCACGAAAAGCCTGGCGGAAAACTTGTTTCGGTCGGCAATAGAGTCGGGCGACCATGAAGTTGCCAGGTTCCTCCTCCAAACCGACCTGGTAGATGTGAATAAGACGGCTTGCTTTGGCGCGACTGGAGAGACGTGCACTCCCCTAGAACGGGCCGCCATGCTTCGAAACCTCGGACTCATGTCTGAGCTGTTAGGATTCGATCCAGACGCGAATCTGTCGTCTCCCTCGAGAGGCCAATACGACCGTGCGTTGAGAGAGCTAGTATATGGAATATGCCCCAACAAGGGAGGTGAACGCAATCACAACATGTTCACTCCCGAATATCTCGGCTTGGTGGACGCTCTACTCCAGGCAGGTGCCAGACCACGCCCAGAAATAATCATCACAGCGCTTAAAAGGTTTGCCCGAATGGACCTAGCTAAGAGGCTCATATTGCCGTATCTGACCGGGGTTCACTTCTCGGAGACTCTAGCAGAACAAGGGTATTATGACCATGAGACGGTCCTCGATGCGATCGTAAAAGAGTTTGGGGACGAGGAGGCAACAGAAATCACAACTAAGATCCTATCCGGCTGCGAGCCGAGCACATGTGAGAGATGCGTGGGAAGCTTCATGAAAACGATAGGTGAGGCAGTAATCTTGGCCGCTAGAAAAGGCCTTGTACGTTTCGTGCAGGCTTTCTTTCGATATGCGACGAACCCAACCTCAGTCTTGAGCGCGGCTATTCAGAGTAGCAACGACGAGCTGATCGAATTTGTACTTTCCAAAAAGCCCGATCTTGTCGCCGATCCTGAGTACGTTAGTGGAATGTCATTCGGGTCGACACCATTATCCTCGGCCATTCTCGCAAAGGACCCAGTGCTGATCGCCAGGCTTGAGAGAGAGGGCGCGCTGAAATGTATTACAAGAGATGACCAATTCAAATCAGCAATTTGCGCCGCGTCTGAAGCAGGCAATATCGCATACCTCCGGAAGCTGTGTTCTCTGGGCGGAAATTCCAAACTAAAATATTTTATCCCAGCGTTACACGTTGCTTTCAAGCACCAGCAAGAAGACGCCGTGCACCTGTTGGTTTCGACTGGGGCGGTGGGCGAGCCCACGTGGCTGTGGGTGGAAAGGTCTGTGTTGACCGACGTTTACAGGTGGCGCAACCCTCGAATTCTGGCTTGCTTGCTGTCTGCTTTTCCCAGGCTAGCCTTTAATAGCATATTAGACCCGATGGAATTGTCGCGACTCGAAATTCTTTCTATCAACACAGAAGGCCATGACCGGGAAATATGTGACAGGCGCGATCTGGCCACGTCTAGGGCACATCTGACGAGGTATCTCATACTAGCAATCCTAGAAGGCGACGACGAGATAGCCCATCGCCTTATTGCATCGGGCGCAGATGTACTAGACGAGGGAGTACTCGTAATGGCGGTGCGACACCCGAACATACTACGAATGCTCCTAGAGCACATTCCACCATTTATCACCTGCATGCCGCAATTTGGAATACTAGCGATCATGCAATCGATCGGCGGACCTGCCCGAGTCGCCAACATCGAAGCCCTAGACATCCTCCTTGCCTGCAGGCTAGTCGACCTCAAGTCTGCAATCCCGTGGGCAACCCCACACTACCTCTCAGGCGATTTCTCTGGAAAGACGCCGCTCTGGTGGGCAATGGAAAAGGACATATTGGACTATCCCCTCGAGTACCTTTTGACCAAGAAGCTCCTCGAAGCTGGTTGTGATATAAATGCGATCGCGAAGTCCGGTAGCGGAGAGAAGACCAGCGAGACACCGCTATTAGCCGCCATCGGGGCTAGAAAGCTCGACCTGGTCCAGCTTCTCATCGAGCACGGCGCGGACGTGAACCGTGAACTTAGATACACTGTAAGAAAAACTCCACTGCAGGCTGCTGCGGAACTAGGTTGCCTCAATATCGTCGAGCTGCTGCTTCAATGCGGAGCAAAAGCCGACGCCGAGCCAGCTGAGTTCCACGGCGGCACGGCCTTGCAGTTCGCGGCTAAGGGTGGCAATTGCAACATCGCCATGCTTCTGCTGGAAAACGGTGCGTCACTGTGCACGCCTCCCTCCACTTTTGGTGGAAGATGGCCCCTCGAATACGCCGCCGAGTTCGGCCGGCTGGATATGATCCAGCTCCTCTGGAACGCGAGCGTCGTGGGCTTCCCAGCCGAGCAATGTCGCAAAGCAATGGATCTTGCTGAAGAAAACGGTCATGGGGCGTGTCGAGATCTAGTCCGGGAGCTGGCTGTATCGAGCGGGATCATGCCCGTGCTGGAAGACTCGACGACCCCAAATTGGGGTCAACTTGATATCACGAATATGGCCTGCTGATGGTCGTTTCATTCAAACCGTCGAACGGAATTGGACAATAGTTTCACTGTGGTTTTTTCTCTTGTTGGGATCATCGACGACTTAAGGGATGGAATGACTTTCGTGTGGAGAAAGATGGTCATTAGAGTTGCCGGGGTTGCCAACCTGCAGCCTATAACTACATGTTAACTCGAATATGACCCGAGGGATTCCTATCACTTGCTCTGCCGTAACCTGGGCTCTGTCTTTTCCACCGCTAGATAAACTAAGAGACGGGCCTTCGTTTTAGACTCTCCGATTACAGTTACCGTGGTGGAGGATTAGAAGCGAGGTTTGGGGGGATCTTTTCTATATCCGGGTTTGGGGCCTCTCTTTACGCAGTGATGCATAACCTAACCACTTTAACTTGCTAGTTAGATTCTTCAGTTCTAAATGTGTAGTATCGGATGAATCCTTTGAGTTATCCCACCTACCATAGAAACTCATGACCCGGTATCTTTCCTCTGACAGTAACTGTCGTTACCTACCTCCAATCCCTAGATATGTTGACAATAACAACGCTGGGAGACTGCACAATCTAGGGCGGACGTCTGCAGTCAAAAACGGCTTGAATGAATAAAGAGTCGCTGCATTTCTCTCTGGGCCAATATATGTTGCAATCCTCGAGAGTTTAAGATAACGGCGCTATGCGATTGGGGCGAGTCACGAGCACGTCTAGATGCGGGTACCCTGGGCAAAGTGCACTCGAGAAAGCCACGACCAACGATTTGCTCCTCGGGGACTGTCGCCGATATCTCGAGCCCAGGCCCTCGATAACGGGTAGGGTGGCACCAGTTGCACATTTTCCCTTTGGTTTAGGGGAACCGATTGGTATTATTGGGTTACACGATTGACTCGGCATCCCGGTTCATGGGCTGAGCTGTGCGGAAGCTCGCCGAAACTGAGCCGGCCTACGGAGTCTCTGGAGAGGCATATTATATATATGTCGAAACTTCTCTATGTAGGCACAAAATCGAGCGGATCGGCTGATGGAAGTTGGATTAAGCTCAACCCCCCCCCCCCCCCCAGCCATCTACCATCGAATCGGCCTTTGAAGATTTCCCCACTGCATGAAGCGGCACAGCTTTTCCAACCCGACTTTTAACTGGGCCGCGATCACCGATTACGGCGAGATATTAGCCCACTTTGGGATCCAGGTTAACACCTGGTTGCTTGGGGGAAGAAAAGGGAAAATTAACCGTTTCCATGCTTCCCAGGTGGCATTCCGGGGTGCAGGCTCCCCATCAAATATGCAGCCCCAGCGAGAACCCGTTTGTCCCCTCATGCTGATATCCGTATCCTTGTCTTGTGCCTCGAGTCCCACTTAATACAATCAATGCTAGGGCTGATTCTCCCGGTTGTACGGCTTCCTTTAGATCGAATCTTCAACGCTGGTATGGAAATGCACACCCCAAGCTTGTTGTTTAGCGGGGAGGGAATCTTTTTCCTTCTTAGTCGTGTCGACATACCCCGGTCTCTTCGTTGGCGCTGGAGGAAGAGCAAACTGGCAAAGCCTCCACGGTTATCCACTTGCGGTGAGTGGCGCTACTGTACATAACATAGCCAACAACCAGTTAATACCTCGCGTATTCATGTACGTGGGTGCAAGTATGTCTTGCACATAAGGATATGTCACATGACATGAAGGCTGTTGGCGATGGAGTCGGTGGAGGTTTGGGTGGCTGAGACTGTTATCGGGCTACGTAACTAATATTCCCGTGCCATACATGGGTTGCTATTGATATGGTACACGTCATCCGATACCAGTGAGTTGGGTTTTGTCTTCCTAGCGTTGGTTGGTGGCATGGAAGTACCTCATAGCACCCCTTTCGCACCGGATGGCTTGAGGGGGCTGAACTATCTACGCTCCAGCCGGAGCCAGCATCTTATTATCTGACAACAGTTCCCTGGCATGACATGCCTACATAAGGCCTAGAACAGACTTGCCCCGTCTACCGGGCTACTCCGATGAGGCGTGCTCATCCATTAACTATACACTTAAAAAAGAACAGTGTTAATTAGAGAAGAAACTAATTAGCTAGTTACTTAAGTAAAAATAATTAATTACCCGAAAACTTATCAAATCACTTTAATAAACGTAAGGAAAAAACTTACGTAAAAAGCCATATAGTATGTAAGAATTTATCCTTATAAGTTTATGTTTTTAAGTTATAAAATATAAACGTTGACGTTTTAATATGTAGCACCATGCTTAAGAGAAAAACCAACACATTAAGGTATGTGCATGCTATAACCTGCACCTTCCTTACATTGTATGGTATTGGTGTCCTTGTAGGGTTTGGATGTGTATTTATATCGGTCTCGCACACACATATTTTCGTATTCCATCCATCATCTATATCACACAACCAAATAGCAATATGCTCTTTTTATCGCCATGCCGTCGCCATCTGAGTTCTTGTTTCAATTGTTTCTCCCAGCTGCTACACACAACTAGCCGACCACCAGATTCAGCCGTCACCTGCCGTTACAGCTGTTTTTCCCGTTGATCGGCACCTGGGCTAGCTGTTGGTAGCTGTGGCATCGTTCCGAATACGCTATCCAAGAGCGTGCCCACGCTGCTCCTCTTCAATAGGCAGACCTCATTACGTGCGGCTTACCGAGGTGCACATTTTCCCTCTGTCACATATCAATTGAACCAGCCCTTGTATGCCTACATACCGCAAAGCGTATCGTAGGCGTCTACGTTTTACGTGACACCCTCTTATTCCTCGTATAAGGTTACCTTTAACATATAATACGCTTTTTCACTCGGCGAACGGCTCCTGAAACCGTAATAAGGTTCGCTTATCCTCGGCTGCCTCAAGCCCTCGCCGTAAGTATGAGTTAAGCAGAGGCCAATGCTTAAGGCCAAATTCACCACTCCCCTCTTCGGGCCTCTCTCTCTCTCTCTCTCTCGCGTACACGCGCGCACATACTGTGGCTGTGGCGGCAGACTCTCGGAGCATTTCGCTTACCTCGATGGCGACACCGCACACAATCTTGTCTGACGAAGCCGAACCTAGGATCCAATTCGCGACCCTGCAGCAGCTCTTTAAGGAGATCGAAACAACTACCTCGGACGAACTCGTTGTACAGAGTACGAATACCCTTTGCGTGTCTTTTCTAGATATCTAACTCGCGCTATAGATGTGTCTCGACAAGATTATGATAGCATCTCTCGGGAGCGCGAGGCCCGAACCCGCAAGTTTGGCCTTCGATGCTACTACGCAGATCTGCACCTCATGATTGTTACCATCCCGAGGTGGGCCCACGAGCACAGCCATACCTCCCTATATGGAGAGATTTTTATTTTGCTTCATTTGATGGGGATAACTTCGGTAGAGTGGGGTGCTGGAGGTCATACGACGTACGAACGACCTAATGGGGACGCAGGCGAGGGGGACTCGACTGGCGTGCCGATAATACGTGCACGCGCTGGATCTCAACCTTGGCCTACGTTGGTCATCGAATCTGGATTTTCCCAAAGTTTGGCATCTTTACGGACGAAAATGCGGTGGTGGTTTTCTGCCTCGGGTCACGAGGTAAAAATTGTCGTCCTGATCAACTTATGCCGCGCTCAGCGTAAGATGGTCGTCGAGAAATGGGTCGAAAGGCCAGTACCACTCCGTCCAGAACCAGCAACAACGCTCGACACCTCAGCCGCTCTAGAGCCTACTGTTCTTTGCGACCAGATAGTTACCGTCGAGCCACGTCCCGCCAATACTACCCACCAAGCCCCGGCGTCCTATGTGGTGACTAGAGGCCCACTGCGACTGGAATTTCACTTACTTCTGCTCAGGGCGCCATCAGAGCCGGGCGAGGGCGATGTGGTCGTGCCTGTCAGGTTCTTTGAGGGCCTAGCAGAGAGAGTGTGGCTACGGTAGCTGTCACGTAGCAATTGAGTCAGCCCTTATAAACCTACATACCGCAAAGCGTAAGTGTAGGCGTCTACGTTTTACGCGACAATACCACTGGGTGGAACTGGCGAAGTTGTTTTCTTGGTGGATTGGAAGGAGGAGATCTGATCCAAGCGGCATTGTCTTATAAGTAAGACGGCTTGTGGGTGTCCATATCGGTGTCATATTACATCTAGACATCTATCATCTCGATAAAGTCAAGTCTCGCTTCGGCGGTCGCTAGATTGCATAAGTGATTAACATGTCCTGGACGTTGGTGGTAGAAGCACCCGGGGGCAGCGGCGGTTCTGTGTTGTGGAGAAACCGCGACTGTGTTTCCGCCCTCATCTCATCCCCAGTGGATTTTCTCGTCATCTCTCGCCTTCTTTTTCATCTCCGCCTTTTCTTCGAACCCAGGGTTCTTGGGCCGCCTGACCTTATCTCCCCAAGCAAGATCGAGCTCGCTCCCCCAGCTGAACATCGAAGTGACCATTTCGATCCCGCCAACACGGACTCACTTGCCATATTACATCCCTTTCCAACCCATACCTGCCAAATATGTACGTGTGCTTCGCGTATGTGCTTTGTGTGTGTGTGTATGTGTGTGTGTGGACACTCTCTCGCTACCCGAGGTAGTTCCGCTTCAGGAACAGTGCCGTGTCGACGATGCTCGTCTCGTACGGTATCCAGGGCTGGCCGGTGGCCGCGACAGCCTTGCTCCCGTCGAAAGCAACGATATCGCCGCCGGTGGGCGCCGAGTAGTCTGGCTCGTAACCGTGGCCGGGTGTGCCACGCGCGACTTGGAGTGCGGGTAGCCGCTCGTTGAGGATGTCGGCGATGGCCTGAGCGTTGCCCACCGCCGACGAGCAGAGGAAGCGCTCGCCGTCGGCCGCACCCGCGTGCTGCTCCGGCAGCGCCGCCCACACGATTACGCGCGCCACGTCCCGCACGTCGATCGTCGCCTCGTACAGCAGCATCGGCCCCGGCACCTCCTCGCCCTGCAGCAGCTTCCAGGTGGGGCTGAGCGAGTACGGGATCCGTTCCTTCTTCCACGGCACTAGGGGCGGCCCGATGAAGTAGCTATCATCGCAGATTCCGGCGTGTTAGTTAGATCGAACGAAGTGGGGAGTGGGGAGGAGGAGGGGGGGGAGCGAGCTCACGTAGCTTGGATGGTAGTCATGCTGAAGGCTGGCTTGTTCTCGTCGTGAAACCGCCAGAATAACCTCTCGGCCGCGGTCTTGCTCCCACAGTAGGCGTGCAGGCCACCAGCATCCCGGCCGAGCTTTTCTATGGCAGCTTCTGACGTTTTATTCCAGTCCTTCTCCGAGTAGACACCGGGCTCAGGGGGTACGTCGAAGTTCGCGGCAGATGATGACATCAACACTACGCTCTGTAGTGCCGCACCGGCTTTTAGTGCCGAGTTGAGTATCCCCGTCGTACTATTTACGACCATCCGCAGCAAAGCAGGCGGTTCCAGGGTCCACGTCTCGTCGACTGGAGCGGCGAGATGAAGAATCGAGGAACACCCTGGACCGAAGACTCTAGTTAGCATCTTATTATCTTCCCCACGACCGCGGGTGGTGACGGTGCCACTGCTTTCCCCGCTCGGGGTCCTTACCAATCACGGCCTCATCGAAGGCGCCGGCCTCGGCCATGTCCCGAACGTATACAACTTCCACCGCGTCTCCGTAACCCATATCCCGTAGCACTTTTTTAACTTCGTTACCGGCTGCCATGTTACGCACGGTGCCGCGCACGCTGTACCCGGCCTTCAACACCGACTCGGCGACTCGGCCGGCGAGGTAGCCGTTAAGGCCGGTGATGAGGACCGTTCCTCTCGAAGAGATTTCTTCTCCCATTTTGCCGGCTCGTAAGGTCGAGATGAAAAGATAACCTATGATCGTTTACACCAGATTGCTATTGAAATCGCATCTTCGTCAACCATGTTAGCAAAAACTAGAGCGAAGCGATATACTTTTCCTATCTTTTTAAATCATCTTTCAGCTCGAGAGCCTGTCAGTTCTTTTACGTACTAAGGGTATAGCATCTCATTAGAGCTCCGTTTATCCCGTCCGGGTTTGATTATGCATCCTCGTCTCCCTCCCCATTTTCTCCATGGCCTGCCGTTGAACAAAAGGACATTGCATCAGGCCAGCAAATGGAAAAGGGGATATAATACAGGCTCCCGACTAGGGCGCCAGCTACGAGCTCCCCCTCCCCCCTGTTACCTTTTTGGGAAGGGAACATTGCATTTGACTGGAGGCGAAGAACATGGGTGAAATGCCCGCATGGTATATCCCGGCCTACCGCTAGCTCGAGTCGGGCTTCGGTCGATGGTCCCCCTCGGCGGGAGCCGGTAATATAAGACAGCGAGGTACGGTCCTTTTGCCAGTTACATATCCAGGCGAGTTCTGTGACAATAGTCTCAACGACGCGCGACAACCCGCTTTACTCTGGGCCGGCGATTCGCAGCGTGCTTGAGGCTTGACCCCTTTTAGGGCTGGGCGCCCCCGCGCTCCCTGGGCAGGCCAGCCGTCACCGATACTGCGAAGCGTTCTCTCAGAGATTGCGCGCGCATCAACAGTCTCTTCCTCGCTTCTTCACGTTGATAAAGGGGGTCGGCATATAGATCGCATCAGGTCATGTCACCCTCGGATTCTGATCTTACGAGGCTAGTACGGCGAGAGGACCTGACGAATAGGGTTAGGTGTAGTCGAATTCCCCATCGAGCAGAGCACCACTCGGGAATCCTAAAGCGACTTGGGACGATCCAGCGGGGGAAAACCCTCACCATCCGAATCTAGAGGATTAGGTCATCCCATCGACGCATGCCCGCTTCCTCCGGCAGCAGATGCCTACATCAGACACGCGTTCGGATTCGTGCACGGAGATCAGAACTACCATGCACGCACGTGCGCGTGGAGACGCCGACTGGTTTCGGAAGTCCCTTGCATCCCATCACCGTACCGAGGTTCCATCCGGCTGGTCGCGAGAGAGGCCCAGGTGGTTGTATAATTACCTTGTCGTGCAGCCGGGGAGCTCGACGGGACCTTCATTGACCAGTTCTTTCGAAGAGATCGGCCTCCGATGCGAGTGGGAAAAGCGGTGTCCTTTTGCACCCGGGGGACGAGGACGAGTTGGCCTCTCTTACTGGTCCTGTCCGCTTCGTGCTGCGCCGACGACCCTCCTCTCCAGCGACAAGTTTTGCACGATGATATCCGACAGCTCGTTAATATCCGTCCGTAGACGGGATAAATGTCCGAAAAAGAAAAATCGACAGCGAGCCATCTCCATGCAATGCTGCTTGACCGTCTGCACGTTACTGGAGCTCGCTTCTCTTACCCCTCCTTCATATCTGGAATCCGTCTCCGTCCTCCAATGGTCTTCCTCATGGAGCATTCTCAAGCATTCATACCTGCAGAGGACTTTCAGAATGCGAGCCGACGCGGAATTTGTGTGACAAGGCTGCTTCTCACTACCGTCCGTTTTGTCCAGGCATAGGTATGAGCGAAATTGGACTTGCGCGTGTGCCGGTTAGTGGTAATACGGGCGAAGATTGGGTGCACATTAACGGGTTTGGGACTATTATTGCCGGTTAATGCCTCCTCCTCGGCCTGCCTTTGCGATAATTCTCACCATATTTGTCGACGTGCGCTGAGCTTCCCGAGCCTGCTGCCCCACGAGGTCGGGTTGTTCCCAACTCGAAAGACCCTATGATTCATCATTTCTCCTCTAAGGGCGGGGATCGGATGGGATTCCGTCTATCGGCTCGGGCCTGCCGGTGATGGGCTGCGAGGGAGGTTAAGGGGCCGCACAGGCAGTTGCAGACTAATATGGCCTAAGCCTTGCTCCAGCTCCAGGGCGTAAAAGAATCGCCTATCTCTGCGGCTCTCTAAACTCATAACAGTCATCGGACACCATTGCCAATAAGCGGCTTAATGCTGCTTGGGTAGGTAGCTTAGATGCAGGAGATAGGACGACTTTCATTTGCTGGGCGAGGTTGGGGTAAGTAGGACGTCCATCTTGCTTGACCTGTGGTCAAGACCCGTTGTCCGTCGCGCAAAACTCTCGACAATGTCCAACAAAAGTGCTCGGCCATATTAAACGCTGTATTTGTTGATAGCGTACATGAAGATGTCGTACATTCGCTACCTTCTCAATACTCTTCAGTCGACCTTTCACCCATACTCTTGACCGCCTCTTCGAACTTTCCGAGGATGTCAGTAGAAAATGATACGATAGGGAGCCTAGCGAGCGATATTACAGCTTCCGTGACGACCCCCAGTCTGTTCTTGGCGAGACGAAGTCCCCTAAAGGTAGCAAGTTCCCAAACAATATTGCTTGATCGGGTGTGAGATAACATGCTCCAAACTGTCCCATACTCGAGCATTGTCTCCAACCCAGGCGATCCCAGGATTATCCAGTAGCATACCCTAGAGTCTGGCATACGGTAAGCTCACCGAGACCTGCCGACCCTCCCCGCGGGCCGATCGGCTGTATTATTCATCTTTAAAATCCGCCACCATACGGTGAGTGTCCCAAGCAGGGAACGATGGGAGAATGCCACTAGCACAAGCACATGTTGTAATATCCTAGCTCCAGACACGTGTCGAGGCTGAGAATGCTAGTCCCATCTTGAGGTTACTAGCCGGTCCCTAGCAAATTGCTAAGATTGCCCAGCAGGCTGGTTCGCCTGCGCACCTCGTCATCGCTCCGGAGGTTATCTCGCCCTCGGTAAACCCAATCTGGGAAATCCCACGGGGGTATGCTTGTAGCGCCAGAGGCTAAGGCGGGAGAAAACTTCAGGCGCGGAAGGTCGGTATTATTAGGTTCAGCCACGGCAAGGGGCCGTCCCAATGGGTCATGAGTAATGTGCCGAGATCCAAATCCTGTTTCTGGGAGAAAAGGAGGTGATAGGGTAGGCGGCCGTGGCCAGCGGTAACCGGTGCCACCGCACCCCCTTCCCTAGCACCAAAGAACCCCGGTGATAGGAGCGCCCCTACATACAGCAAATTGGCGCCTGTACAGCTGCAGTGAGATGCAGAACGGCTCGTGATTTGCGTAGCTGGCGGTGGGTATCTGCCATCCTGGGGTGGTCCGGCTGACCACAATCTGGCGTTCACCCAGCGCAAGCCTCTTAATGGCGCGTCGGATCTCGGACGGCAGTTGGCTAAGCTGGGGAGATGCTCGTGGCGGGCGCAGGAGGGCCGGAATGGTGTCGGGGTTAGCTGGACCGCGAGGCCAGGTTGCTAGGGCCGGGATGGCGGCGGCGAATAGGAGGAGCGAGAGCCACGATGCCGATCCAGAGGAAGGGGTTAGCGAAATTGTTGCTTATGGTAACCGGCCAAGATGGGAGGGGAGGGAGGGTATAAGGCGTTATACTAGGGTGAGAGGGCGGATATCAAGGGTCGCGATGTTGGGACGCCCGGGCAATGGCGAGGGCAACAAGTTTTTAGACGAAGCCGGAAAGGTCCAAAGGGTTAACCATGAATGGAAAGAAATCGTATCAGGGTCTATCTCCGAGGACAGAGCCTCAACTTGTCAGCGAATTGAAGGGGTTAATTAGGGGTTGTGACCTTGTCCCTAAAAGATATTGTTAGGATTGCCGCACAATAGGAGTTTTTATGCGTATTAAATTCCTCAGATGATGCCCTGTCCAAGTTGAGAAGCATCGTCTCACCTAACTAGATTAGAGGAGATAATATAGAAGATATCACGTAGCTGGGAAGCTACGTGTGCGAGAGCACGCGCGAGGAGCTATTATCTCACGAGCAACGGGAGGAGGAGCAAAAAGTGAAAAGGTCTTAGATCTATCTAAGAACGAGCCAAAGGAGTGGAAGCAACGGGAGCGTATATATAGGAGCTCCTGTTGCTGAAGTAATCAACGAAGAGGAGCAACCTAAGGAGCCACCTCTACGTGACAGAAGATAATATAACTAGGTATGTAATCCAATTCTCGGGACGTGCCAAAGGGTGTGTGCACTTTTGGGGTGTCGCACCTGAACATCCCCTTTTTACCTCAGTCAACATGACAACATACGCTGGACTAGGCAAGACGCGAATAGTAGCAACGAGGCGCCAAGTCCAACCCGCCGGGTAGAATTTTACCGGATGAAACCGTTCTTAGACGCGCCCATTCACGGCAACCAGCCCCACGTCGTCGTTAGAGCGATGGCCCCACGACGGCTCGGGCTGAAGCGTTGTCGCCCAGGAACCTTGAGTTTGTCCCATATCATCCTTCCCCCCACGGGGCGAGCGGCGGTACTTCTTCGTCAGTAAGGAGACACTGGACGGGAGCAGGCGGAGTTTGGACAGGACCGGGCCGAGGGACACCTTGTCCAAAACCCACGCGCTCCGAGGAACACACGCGACAAGAAAGCCTATCCCGATCTCGATGTAGGTCCAGAAGAGTACAACGGAGATGATACCTGGCCGGCACGAATTAGCACGAGAGCATTAATGCAATCGGCTGCCCACGGCGTCTTCCTACCTTGTTGGTCGGATATTGGGAACGTCGTGCCGAGGACTGTGATGATCGAACGCGTAATGTCCTGGATAGTTGCTTGGATCCAGAGAATCATTCTCAAGAGTCCCGCAACGACGGCGCTGTGAGCGGGTCAGTGAGGGTTTGGACGGCCGCGAATGCGCAGCTATGCACGTACAAGCCACTGCACAGGAAGACGAGAGATGTTTGGATCTTCCGCTTCTTATTCATATTGAGCGTCCGGATCTGGGTTGTGTTAGAGATGGGGTGTTAGAGATAGAGTGTTCTCGTCCCCACAGCCCTCCCACGGGTGCCGCAGAGATCTTGCTGTCTCTTACCATGACGAGCGGCTCGACGAAGATGGCAAGGTCGAGGACCCAGCTGAAGACGGCGCACCCAGTCTGCATCCCAAAGGTGTCGATGCAGGCGTTCCTGAGCGAGTTCCAGCTTTCCCAGCTCGCGGACGGGGTGGCGCCGCACGCGAATATGTCTAAGAAGAGGAATGCCACGGTCCAGAGCGCGACAAGGGTTACGAGGATCCAGTTTGCATAGTCGAAGGCTGTCCTGTACGCGCGACCTGCCCGGCGCAAAACAGTCAGATGAGAAGATCTTGGCGGGAGGGCATCCAGCCGCGACGAACCTTTGAAAAGCCGGCGGAACATGAACAGGATGGTCAACTTGATAAGCCCGATGGCTAGGACGTGGCCTATCCAGAGGGCGTACTCGAACTGCCGGCTCAACCTCAGAAAACGTTGCCCGGCTGGGAAAGCCTATGGGGACGGACCTTTCCGAGCTTCAGGGACTCTGCTGCCGTACTCTCTGCTTGGGAGTTCGCGCCGATGAGGTGCGTTTGTGTTCCTACCAGACGCGTTCACGGGGGTGGTCTTCGCGGTTGAGCTGGGAGACCAAGTAGGTACTTACTTATGACCAAAGCCACGCCGGCGGCCACGGTCAGAGCCTGGCGTGCAAAGTAAGCAGGCAGGCAGGCGGCCGGACGTAGCGACTCGCGCGGGGAGGGCCGCAAGTCAAGACTTACACATGCCGGGATAACCAGGACGTCGTCGACCTCGAAGATCGGGCTGTGGTACCGCCACCCGTAGACTCGCACCGCGAGCGCGAGGACGGCGAGGACGGGGAATAGCACCCCTACGGCGGACATGCTTGCGGCGTTGACGTAAGTCATCTTGCAGCTGGCGGCGGCGGCGGCGGCGGCGCGCGGGCGTGGAACGACGCGGGGCTAGTAGTCCTCGGCAGAGAGTGGGAGATTGTCGTTGTCTAATAGCGCTCGGACGTTGTCGAGCCCCGGGCGTCGTGATCGTGCGAGAGGACCCCGAGAGAACTGGTAGGAGGGAAGATACCTAAGATGCGCGCGCGGATCAGCCTGCAGCGCCGGTGGGAGGTCCCGCTTGATGTCGAAAAGGGGCCCCCGGAGCGCTGGAGGTAGGTAGTAGGTAGCATCGCACCGCCGCCTGGCTACCGTGCCACAGCCATGCGCACGCTGGAACGAAACGAGGACGTAGGACCGTAGAAATAATCGGTCCTATACTGCGACTCTCCCACCCTCGTTACCTTGGGTATGATTGACGGAGTCTGCAGTAATAGGTATAGGAGAATTCAATGGTTTATACGTCTATCCCCCTATACCTACGTTTCAACTCCCTCTTCTCCCTCTCGTACGTTTTTTCCCTCACTCCCCCTTTCTATGTGTTAATTTAGGGTTAATCATACTACTTATTCGTGCGTAGGTAGTTCAATCCAAGGTAGGTTTTTCGCAGTTCAATTCAACGTCAATTTCTACTCACCCCGTTTTCTTTAGCCTTCGGAAAGGTCCTAGGTTTTTAGCACGAAAAACGTGGAGAAGCGCAGAGCGCTTCGACGTAGGTATATCAATCAGTAAAGCCTCCTGCTTTACTTCAAATAGGATCTATTTTTTATAGGTTGATCAATAATACCCAAAACACAACCAGTAGGCATCGAAGGTAAACGCAGCCCCCCGAAAGTGTGTGCCAACGATGACCGCGTCCTACGCCCGACGGCATTGGCACTGAAGGAGAAGATCAGGATGATGATCGCAGGACGAGGCTGAGCTGGCCGTATGTCCACTAGGGTGGTTGGGGTAGGTATGCGGCGACAACTATCCGCCAGGCGCCCGTCGTTGGCCGCGGAGTGTTTCTGTGCTGCTAGCGGTGACAGAGATCTTCGCAGCCTTTGCCCTTTCTTTCCGCGAAAGAGGATATGAGCGCGATTCTGTCTGTCAGCTTACGCTTCTCTTGCTTAACTGCCCCATACGAACAGTCTTATTGCGCGGCCCCATCCTACGCACAGCGGGTGGGAGTTGGGGGCTAGGACATGCCGTCCGGCAGAGGCAGGATTGCGTCGTCAAGGAGATGCTTCAAGCGGAATGGAAAGTAGTTTGAAAGCAGTCGGTCGAATAGGTGCAAGGAGGATATCGGATTGATTGGACCGTGCTAATAGTTACCATCAACAACGATGAAAAGAAAGAGAGGTGAAGGCCGGCTTTGGTGGCTTCATTATTGTGAACTCCTGGAAGGTATTATGAAGTAAAAAAGTCAGGTATGTCTTCACTTCGAGAACAAGAAGGATAGAAGTTAGATATGTAGGGGAGCTGCTCTTCTCTAGGAGTAGTGTTAGGTTAGTGTAGCCAGCTTCCCAAACAATTTCGAGTATCAGTACGATACGGTTTACTCCCAAAAAGAATTACTTGATGCCCCCCCCCCCCAGCGCGAGGTATGTCGGCAGGATGAACTGGAGTGCACAGGAGCATCATCATCACGCGCTCCCTTCTCCCTTCAATTCGGCCTCTAGCGTCTGTAGGGCCTCATCGCGATGCTTCTCTACGTCGAAATCGACGATAAAGTCCCACCTCGACATAAACGACTTGAATTTCTTCGGGTCCAGTCCCATCTCCGGGTTGCTCCCCGTCAGGATGGCACCGGTGATCCGACTCGACTCGACGATGCGTTGTGTGCGAGGGCGGCGAACTTGGTCATACACCTTCAAGGCCGCGAGCGCCTCGACAGGCGTCTTGGCGCGTCCGAGCAAGGTAGAGAGGATGAGGCTGTCTTCGATAGACATGCCGCCGCCAGAGCCCTGCCAGGGCGTCGTCGAGTGGGCGGCATCGCCAGCGATACAGATAGGACCGGAAACATAACTGCGCGCGTTTGCGTGATCCCACAGATATAAGGCTTTGTGCTCAGGTTGGTTGCAAAGCAGCTGGTTGCCGTTGTTATTGCCATATCCATAATGCCCCCGAATAAAACGTCCGGGAGGAGAGAGGTCTTACCTCGTTCACGGCCTTACTGAGATTGGGCGGCCAATCTTCGTACAGCTTTTTGATCTCGTCGGCACTCACGATGCGCTGCCAGCGGTCTGACGACTCTGACTCGGCTTCTTTGTCAGTGGAGGCGACGGCAAATTGCACCATCTGGCCGCCGCTCAGAATGTTGTGCATTAAGAAAGCGTCTCGGCCCGCCCACCCGTATTCGCGAGCGTCCTCGACGTCTACGAGCTCCGTGCCCATGCTGGCCTGGGCTTTTTCGAGCGGCTGGAGGGTCATGAGAATCCAAGCACCGCTGTTGCGGGGAGCGGCGGCGGGATCATCCTCGCCCAGGACGAGTTTGCGAACGGTGCTGTGGATGCCATCGGCACCGATGAGAATGTCGCATTCGTGGGTGGTCCCGTCGGCGAAGTAGAGCGTGACAGGACCGTCGCCGTCGATCTTCTGGAGCTTCTTACCGGCGTGCATTCGGTCTCGGGGAACGTTGGTGAGCAGTTCTTGCAGTAAGGCGGCGCGATGCACGATGCTCGTAAGGCGCTTTCCTTGCGCCACCTCGTCCACTTCGTCGGCCATGGTTCCGGCCCCGTCGCCTTGGGCTAACATGAACCGAACGCCCTTCATGGGTACGGCGCCGGCTCGGGCGAGGCACTGGGTGGCCTCGGCTCCGATAAGCGCGAGCGCAGCCTGGGCGTTTCGGGCGATCCCGATAGCCATGCCGGCTTCTTTGAAGGTGGCGGCCGACTCGAAGATGTGGACATCAAGGTGGGAGAACTTGACGAGGGCATGAATGAGGGAGGCGCCGGCGAGGCCGCCGCCGATGATGGCGATTCTCAGGGGGGAATCCATGGCGCTGAACTTGGGCTAACACTCTCCCTCGGGTTAACGTACTGGCTCTCACGCCGACAATCATATAGGCTGAAACCGTCCACGACTGTAGGATATCAATCGAGGAACCCGCGGTAGGACTTGTCGGGGGGGTGGCGGAGGAGAGAAAAGTTCCATGGCATCCGGACGACAAGTCGTTGGTGTAACTATGTCGCTCACCGAAGGGAGAGATCACCCCCTTGCCTCCCATCGCATCAGCAGATGTTTTGCCCCGCCCGAGGTAAAGATGTACCGGTGGTGAATCGGGGCGGAAAGCCGCCAACAGGTTCGAGACGCGTGCGTGGAGATCGTGGGTGGCACATACTAGATACAGATACGTTTGGCAAGCTGTACGGCACCTCCCTGGAGGTTAAGGTGGATAAAGGTAGTCGGGCTTACGTTAGGCAGTGGGCATGTGCTCCCGGCAGCAGGGCCGACCATGTCTCGGAGAGGTTGCGGGCTCGCGGGTTACAGCGCACGAACCGGCCGTCGACGTCGACGGGCGGTTACGCGTAAGCGAGGAGGAGGCGTAGAGTTGGGCGGATTCGCAGACGGCGGCGGGCAACACGTTGGAGTTGTCAACGGGCACACATTCCGGCCTCTTCCTTTCACCCAGTGGGCCTAGCTTGGGTGCCTTTGGGGTGCCTCGCCCACCTAGTTACCTATCTGCCGGGGGTCTATCGGCAGTATCCATAGGCCTGTCAGCAATAGCGTTGGGGGTTTTGATACAGGAACTGACTCATAGGTAAGCAAGGCAAGGATAACCAAACAAAGCAAAGACTGCAAGGGGCCGATAGAGCGACAACAAGGGTCGCCGTATTGATTGAATCATTTTATGAGCATTACAATCCGACACTACGTTGGCTTGGACACGACGTCCGTTCCGATGTTGGCATCACTCTTGATAAGAAACGACCTTGCTTATTAATGTAACATGACGTACCTAGTGGTGATGTTGGCCACAATATGCCTACGTATACCCGTAGACCAGCAGTCGAATTGCCGCGATACGTGATGAAATAGAGGGAGGGAAAAAAAAGAAATAGCTTTCATTCCTTACACTAATACCGCGACCGACATCGTTTCAGGGTATGAAATCGCTTTCAGGCATAGTGTCCACGAACCCCCTCCCCTGTACGGTACGAATGTAGGCATGGTAGGGGAAGTGCCCCTCATTAATATTGTCACCAACATCACCCTGCTTTGGCATCTCCGACCTATTGCAATCGACCCCTTAAGGCCTCACTTGTTGCAGATGCTCTTTTTCTAGTCATTTGCTTGCTTCTGAGCGGGACCGCGCTGCTTCTCTCAGGTTCAGGAGGCAGCCGGCGAACCGTAGAGAATAACGACGCCGCGGAGCCTTATTATCGGTTAGTCCACTTGGTATTAGTGGTTGATACGGTGCTGCTAATATTAGGTACTTTGCAGCTCCCGCCAACGACGCTATAAAATACGAGTATCGTCGGATGGTAGGCAGCGACAGTCGATTTACCGGTCATCCTGGACCCCCGTGGGAGCGCTCTATGCATGGATCGATGGCAGGTAAGCCCGTCCCAGAGGCTGGCCTTCTTGAACGACTTCTAAGGTCCTACCTATTAGGGACCCTCATACAAATATCCACCCACGAGCTGAGGCTACTCGATTCCGACGCGATGTCATTGAAAGATGGCGGTTATGCAGCAGTGCTTGGGGTTGCCCATAATCTTCATTGCGTGGTAAGTTGAGTACCATGCCCGTTCTTGCTGAAGCACCGGTATTAGCTGGTTCATGGGCCAAAAAAAAAAAAACCAGAAACAAGTCGGGTAGGTAGTTCTTGTATCGCGAGCACTTCTACGCCGGGTTAGATCCCAATGTGGAAGAATTTGACTTATCTTCAATCTCACGCCGGTCAGTATTATTATTCACCACCTTAGGCCTCCGAATCTTTTCGCTATTCGGACTTAAGGTGCTTACTTGTTATCGCTTCATCGGCCAGACCATTGCCGAGACTTTCTACGTCAGAGCGTCATGTGTTATTTGGACTTCACTACATACATCTTGTGCCGGGGCGAGCGAGTGAAAGACGGGCCAACACGCCGTGAACCAGGCATACAGAAGCGTGTGAGTTGGGATAAGCTACATTCTTGGGATGTTGAAAAGGCAAGTCCGTACTGATATGTTAGTGGGCCCGTGAACTTGATATTACCTATCAGCCGTGCCTCTAGGGAGAGGGCGCACTGAGATCGCAAAGAGCGGGATAAGCGAGGAAACATGTTGAGCTAGTTGCGACTCCCTCTGGAGAAATCAGTAAATGAAATTTACTGACATCAACTTGCCGCTAGACCCAACCCCCTTTCTACGCTTTTTTCTTTTTTTATTATTAAAAAAAACCAAACCTGTCACAGATTTCACCCTATCCTATTGAACAATTGTTGCAACAGTAGGATTCGCTGTTGATGAATGCCTTTCATTATCTAAGATATGGGCAGTTTAAAATATGAGATCAATCATTCACATTACCTACGTCGCGTTCCAATTTCATACCTACCTTTGTGGCTGGTCTCTATATTCTTGTGTTCAACATCTTTTCCGTATCTAGTTATCAATTCAATGCCCATCCCCCGATCCATTGTCTATCACCGTTGAGCCACCGTCTCAACTAAATATCATGGAACCTTGTGACTGGATTTATGAGGAATCCATCTAGTGATAGCATGTTGTAGCGTCCGCGTTCATCGTTGCCAATGGGCACAGGCTCTGGCTCGCTCGCCAGTCGACTAGTGAAGCCACGAGATAGCAGTAACCCAGTGACCCGCGCTATGTCAATGGCTCGGAGACTCTCCTCCGACAATCCCCTGGCTTCCTGCTTGAAGGTATCCCAAAACACTCGCTGCAGGGTATCGTAGTCCTCGTACCGCGCCCAGCCATTCCGGAGGTGGAGGTGCCCGGTCAGAGCTTCGAGGGAGTGAAGATTAAGCCCGAATGGACAGATTTCGGCTTCAGCCCAGTCAATGACTCCGACCAAGCGAAAGGATGTGTCGTCGACCATGATATTGCTGGTGCCAAAATCTCGGTGCAGAAGCACCATGGGCAAGGAAAGAATGGCATCCATTGACTCGATGCATTTCTGAATGATAGGCTGGAAACGATCTGGCAGAGTGAGGAGTAAAAGTTCCAGCTCCTTAACGTATGTCTGGCTTAGGCGATCGCGGTAGGCTGGATCAACCGGCTGGGGTGTGTTCCATGAGAGAGCAAAGAATCTATCTTGTTTCAGTGCAAGACCTGCAAACCCGAGCAGAACCGACGCACCGTGCCAAATCTGTCATAAGATTCTTGCGCCACTCGAAGTTTTCGGGCGAATTTGCAGGGTGACCGTATGCCAGGATGAAGTCCAGGTGAGTTATACCCCGTACACGACTCATCAAATAGACGTAGAGGGGTTCTTTCCCGTCCGTCCCGTCGCCGACCTGGCCCTTGAATGAGACCTCGGGTACCAGGGACCCGTAGACCTTCCTCGCTAGCGCGGCAGTCTCGGCCTTGAGTTCCAGTGACTTGAGCCGGAACTGGACAACGTACTCAAGGTCCGGTCCGGCGTAAACCGAGTAGCTGCAGACTCCCTGAACCTGGACCGGGACAACTTTGCCCCCAGCGAGTTCCTCTGCTCGATCATCACATGCTGAGCGAGTGGCTGATGTCTTCGAGAAGAAGCTGGCAATCTCTTCGTCGACAGAATACTCGGAATAGGTCGGAGCCATTGTTACAATGGACTGCCCGCAGGCGTTGTGGGCGTGAAGGTGGGACAGAAGTGGGTTGAAAAGGTAAATTAGCATTGGGCGAGATTCGGCCATGAGATTTAATAATAGCCCATGTGCTTCTGTGCCGGATACTAGGTCACGTGTACACAGGGAAGAAGACAACGGCCTACTTAACATCGACGACGAGCTCCGCCTGTAGAGGCTGGCCTGTTGGTTAGCTTAATGAGTTAGACTGTTTTTTTCGCCTCCTCGTCAGCGGCATGGTCTCGGCGTGCGTGACATGGAAGGGATGGTCACAATGGGGGTTGAAAAAGCACACCTGTCAGCTTTCCCACAGTGTTGGCTGCAAGTCACCGAAATTGTTGGTAAGACGGCGTGCTTTGGCTTATATTGTTATATATAGAAGAGGCGTTACAGCAACAGAGGTACCTAGTGTAAAACTAATGCCTGTGCCACAGAGCAGGTATGAGTAAGTGCTTATATCATGTGAACGAATTGCGGGTTATGCAAGCCATGATGCGAGTCACACTACGTAATATTTCTTCCTTTTAAGTAACCCCAGATGATGCCCGAACCGGCAGACTTTCTAAGGTGAACTTCACGGGGTGGCCCGCAGCTGATGTCCAGATTCGGAGTAGCGACAGGCCCCTAAGGGAAATTCCAGTATTGTCATTTGAAGAAATTCCTCGGCAGCCTCGAATTCGATAGTTTACCCACCCTTTACTATGTCACGAAAACAACTAGTAAATTATACAGCCTTAAGAGGATGAGCCATCTTAGCCATCGACTCCTGCGGAATTCTCGGCGCTGCGTCTTATTATTCGTGAAATTTTAGAGGAATACCGCAGCCGTTAATATGTTTGCAATGCATATGAGCGGCAGACTGCCGCTATACCCAAGAGCTATTATATCTAGGGCACACGTCTTTTATGAGGGTCCAGGCATAAATACTTAGGTAATATATCTATGTACCTGTGCGTACATTTTATATGAATATGTCGACCTGGTTGTCCCTGCATGATCTATCATGCGTTTAGACGATTTCTTAAGAGTTTGATTAACAAGACACCAGTTTCGCTCATAGCTTTATTCGTACCATGTCTGATATCGCTATTGACACGACCGACCGACCTGTTGTGCGGGCTCATTCTCTTGCATTCTTTACCAAACCCAATATCTCCATCATCTCCACTATATAATCGGTGTCAGTGCTGCGCGTGCCTATTCCCTCGATCTCCCAAAGGCTCCGCGTGCGCCTGAGAGTTACTTGGAATGCGGTGGAGGAAGATAAATTCGTCGGTCGAATGCGTGTGCGTGATGCCCAGTTTTGCGGTTAGAGACACTGCGTCGAATACGTACGAAGCAGCTGGTAGCCTCGTTGTGTCAATCTCGTGAACACAAATAGTTGAGTCAGGACCACCCCTCCTCTCGCGTTGTTCTGCCCACCGGATAGCATGCTTCTCGTTGCTGAAGACCTATACAAAGCAGCTCGGCTGTCGGCAGCTCCAATCGAAATGCTCTTCAGCCGCCTGCTTCAGACTCGACTTATCAGAGATTATGCGGGTACTGTCTGACGCAACAAGATCTCCAGTGTGTAGGTCTTGCCGAGATTGAGTGTTAGCGTAGGTCACCCTCCAGAGGGTTCTCGGAAGAAAGTTGCATTTATAGGCATCGAGATCAAAGGCCCCATGAGCGGGGGGCTTCTTCGGATGCCTTTTCGAGCTTGGCAGCCAACACTGTCCGAGACCGAGAGATTATGCTTGAAATATTTGAAACTTGATGAGTTGCGCAGGAATCCACCCTAGGGAGGCCCATCGAACGGCTTGGTCTACCTCGATATAGGTGAATCGACTCGGACAACCCCGCAGATGGGGTAGAGAAGGCGTGAAGCTTCCAGAATAAGGATCACATGGATAATCGCATGCCTGCGAGGACCGACCCTGGCCGTGCCGTCCGGTCGAGAGCCAAGTTGGTCGCGCTCAGCTCAGCTTTATGCTGCCTAACCGTCACAAGTTCCGGCAAATTGTATATTCGAATGCTCCCTCGATGTATCAAGTGCCGTTGATTTTGTGTTTTAGCAGCTGGACTGCTCATTACGTGTACAATATTGCCGCGTCATTGACCCAACATCTCTGCAGCCATTGTCCCTCCCCCCTTACCGGTGCTTGGAAGCGACCTACTGGCTCATGTCCTGCCGATCTTCTTGTAACCTCGTAATCATTTCCACCTCCACCTGTCGTCCGAGAAAGGCTGGTGACCCAGTGCAAATAGGAAACATCAGCTGCCGTGCTGAATTTTAAAAAGAAATACATGGGATTAATACAATAGCGACGGTCTAAAATTGGAGGTTCTGCTCGCATCATACACGGGCGGTTATCTGGGGGTCGGGGCGTGAACGAAGCAGAATAGAGACATAATATTAGGGAAACACTCTTAGATTCCACCTCTGAAGAGAGAATTTCCTCCAAATATCGTACCGAGACAAGATAAATTCCCCTGGACCGGGTCCCTTCCCGCTCCTCTCCCTATTTTTTCTTTCGGCTGCCGTTACCGCCACCGCTTGTCTACCATATGTACCGATAGGACGGGTGCATGTCTCCAAGCTTGGCAATCTCGGCCTCGGTCTTGCCATCGAGGACGTGGCCGCGCTCGCCGCGGTCGCGCTTCTTGTTTTCGCGCTTGAGGAGGTAGGAGACGATGGTGTAGAGGATGGCGGTATAGGCGACGCAGCCTAGGGTGATGGCGTGGCCGAGGACGTAGCGGGGGGCGCCGTCGGTGCGGTAGATGAAGGGGGAGACGATGCCAGCGAGGTTGGCGATGGTGAAGTTGAGGCCCTGGCCGGTGGCGCGCTTGTAGTGCGAGGGCAGGTTGTTGGGCATCCAGGTGAGGCCCATGCCGACGGCGACGTAGAGGCCGGCGGCGACGATGATGGTGCCCGTGTACTGGGCCCCGGCACCGTACTGCGGCGTGCCGAGCAGGATCGCGTATCCGGCGCACGACGTCAGGCACCCGGCGACGGCGAAGATGCCACGTCGGGAGTACTTGTCCGAGAAGAAAGCGACGACGCAGTACACGACGGCGCCCGTGAAATAGCAGGGGATCGTCAGCAGCTGCGCGTGGATGCCGCTGTAGCCGAGGCTGCGGATGATGGTGGGCAGGAAGACCGAGTACCCGTATAGCATGATGGTTGTGCCGAACTGGGCGATGCAGAGAACGATGACCTTCCAGTCCTTGCAAGCCGCGATGACCTGGTCCCATTGTACCTTGCCGCTATCGTCGTCGAGGCCTAGCGTGCTTCGGTCGAGCTCCCGCCGGACACGGACGAGCTCCCTGTCCTCATCTGAGAGGAACTCGGCGGTGAAGGGGTCGTTGGCCAGGATGAAGTAGGACATGACGCCGAGCAGGATGGTCGGGATGCCCTCGAGAATGAAAACCCACCTCCAGGCGCTGTATCCCCGGACGCCCTCCATGTAGCCGATGCCGTAAGCGAGCAGGCCACCGGAGACACCAGCAACGGCGGAGGCGGTGAACATGTAAAAGATGCGAACGCCGAGTTCGGCGCGGCGGTACCAAAAAGTGAGATAGAAGTTTATGCCGGGGAAGAAGCCGGCCTCGAACAGGCCGAGAAGGAGTCGCAGGGCGATGAGCTGGCCCCTGTTGTGCACGAAGCCGGTGCACATGCTGACGAGTCCCCAGCCGGTGGCGGCCAGCGGGATGAAGTTTCGGGGTCCCATGCGCTTGAGGAACAGGTTGACGGGTAGCTCGAAGGCAACGTAAGTCACAAAGAGGATCGAGACGCAGAGCTGGTAGTCGTCTCCGACGAGGCCAAGATCTGGCTCCAGGTTGTAGAGACGAGCGTTGCCTGCGCACGTCTCGTCTTAGCACATACGTACACACACGCCATCCGCGCCCGCGGACAGACAGAAGTCGGTAGGGGTAGAGCAGGAGAAGAGCGGTTGTTGAGTGTCGCCGTCAACACGCGGAAATGGGGCGTTCAAACTTACCGATATTGACGCGATCAAGGAACGACATGATGTAGAGCAGCGCGAGGATCGGCAGGAGCTGGAGGTCCATCTTCCGCACGAGCTTCTTCTCCCGCTTCTCGAAATCATCCCCTAGCTCGGGTGTCGGCGACTGGGTGTCCAACGCCTCTGACCAGGCGGGAGCCTCCTTGAACTCATCTTCGTGAGAAACGCGTCTCTCGCGGGCCATGATGATGGAACGGCGCGGCCTTGCTGCCGGGTTTACCAGCGGAGGACTATGGATGCCGCGATTTCTTTTGACTCGTAAAATTTTTGTTCTTCCCACTGGATTCGGGAAGCATGCGCTTCATGATCAATGTCATATATTATATGTATATGTATATCACGTACCCCAGGCGAGTCTCGCCGGGTCCCCCGCCGGAAAATCCCGTCGGATTCGTGGAGCCGATTTGCTGATGCGTGCTCAAGGTCCTTGAATTGGCTCGAACACCGAGCGTATTTCTCTGGAAACCAATCCAGGGGCCTCAAAGCGATGACATGGATAGGTATAGCTGGCACACTATATGCTTGCGCGCCCACTGAAGATTACTCACACGCCTAACCAACCCAAGGTCTACGTGTAATAGCTAGAACGAGTTAAAGGTGGGGAAAACAAGAAGACCCCATGGGGAATGAAGCTATCAATCTTCGTTAGGGTGATGGTAAATGTTGGTGTTCATTGGAAAACGCCTGGCCTTGGGTTGTCTGTCTTCAAGTTCGACAGCGACGGAATCGTCGATCCTCGGATCGTGGACAGAGCACCAGAGCACCTGGTGGTGGTATAGGGCTATAGAGTGAGGTACGAGGCATTATACTCTTCTCAAGCTCCGGACGCTCCCGGTAACGTACTGTGCCAATGTCTATGGAGTATAGTAGACCCGACTGGTTGGGGGAGTCACGGAATTGAGTTATCACCAGGCCAAGATCTATTACATTCGTCACCCCCCCGGCTTCCTGATTCCGGGCGTTCTCCGCTTCGGCGGGACTTGCGGAGAAGATTTGGGGTCGGCTTCTCGTAGCATGTAAGACGTAATAACGGTTGCATTCTCGTTATCCTCTTCGCCTCTTCTCTTAATAATAAATCTATAAGTCCGAGGACCGCCTTGGCTCGCTCGGAGAAAGATAGAGAGAGCACGATCCAGGGTCATCGAAGTACCACCATACCAGATACCAGAGCACGACATCAAAAAGATGAGCACTGCACCAGCCCACTCTAAGGTGGTGGTGACGAAGGGGACGCACGAGCTAGCTGTACAGCAGCGGCCAACTCCCGAGCCGACCGGCCGTCAGATTCTGATCCGGATAGAGGCGGCCGGGATTTGCGCAACGGATCTCCATCTCATCCGGAAGTCCATCCCTTACCTCCAGCCCAAAGTTGATATCTGCGGCCACGAAGGTATCGGCCGAATTGTTCAGTTGGGCCCCGATGTCGATGCCCAGTGGAAGGTGGGCGAACGCGTTGCCCACCGATGGATTTTCCGATGGTGCGGCCAGTGCGAGATGTGCAAGGAGGGCAACGAGCAGCTGTGTGATCGCAGAGAACTCAGCGGAAAGGACGTCGATGGCTGCTGGGCGGGTCAGTGTATTCTCTCGCTCCAAATGGCTTCCCTCTGCCGTCTGGTAGCCATGCCAGTACACGGATAATATATGGTATCTGATGCGATCGTCCTACAGAGTACACATTGGTTGACAGCAACTATCTTCTGCGGATCCCTGAGGAGATCGATCCGGCTGCAGCAGCTCCGGTCCTTTGTGCAGGTGAGTAATGATAGACACGCCCGGTTACACCGATACCAGATCATAACGTCAACACAGGCACAACTGTGTATCGGGCGCTGAAGACGGCTGCCCTAGCCCCGGGCCAGTGGGTTGCCATCGTAGGGGCTGGGGGAGGCCTCGGCCACCTGTGAGTCGATTGGCTGACGACACACTATTGAAACGGGATCTAACACACGGCAAAGGGCTATCCAGTACGCAAAGGTGCAAGGTCTCAAAGTCCTGGCGATTGATGGTGGGCAGGAAAAGGGAAAGATGTGCGAGAAACTGGGTGCGGATGTCTACGTCGACTTCACCGCAACCAAGGTACGTCGGAAAGGATCCGAAACCCCCGTTTCCAAGAAGACAGCATGCTTAAAAAAGGCATTCACAGGATATCACTTCCGATATCACCTCCGCCACCGGCGGCGGTGCTCACGGAATCCTTGTGACGAGCTCGAGCCCGCGGGCTTACGAACAAGCCCTGACATACGTGCGGAAACGGGGGATCGTGATGTGCATTGGAATTAGTATGTCTCTTCTAGCCTCTACTTTCTGCCTCTTCCTAGCGCGACGATCAATCATTTTCTTACATGTGAATACACAGCGCCGCAAAAGATGACATTCCCCATTGGCCCGGAGTATTTTGTGGCTCGCGGCGTGCGTCTCACGGGCACAAGCACAGGCACGATGGAAGACACCAGGGAGGCGCTGGAGTACGTTAGAAGCGGCCTGGTCAAGCCAATCGTTATCGAGAAGAGTCTCGAAGATATTGCTGGATGTCTGGATGTTTTGGAAAAGGGGGACGCCGTTGGCAGGTATGTCGTAAGACTGTAAAATAAAAAGAGAAACGCTTACGAGTACTCTGTATGAAGTACATAGAGGGGGTGTATGGTGGATGGCGTTGTAGCAATTGTTGAGATGTCACATACCCGCCTACACACAGACCCGACCTGTAGCCAGGGACAGCACACAGCTTATTTGCACCAACACGGTCCAGGTCCAGATCCGGCCGTGGTACCCATTCCAGCAGTGACCTATGATCCTGTGACGCGTCTCCAGGGAGTGTGAGCCAAGAGGCACCTTGTGGGAATGATTAACTGAGACAAGGGGCCTGGACACGAACCGCCACCATTGGCGGTCAATCCAGAAGGCCGGATGCTGGTCTTGGCTTATCCGTGGGGCTGGATCCTCGTCGATCACACTGCAGGCCCCCTTGTTAATATTTGTTGACGGACAATCTCGCGGTACCCCGTACCCTAGCAGTGTCATTGACCTAATCTGTCGCCGTCTAGAACTCGTGGAAAAGGGTATATCTAGTCCTTGGCACGATCTTGGCCTCCCGATGCCCGTGCCGTGGTTGCAGACGTTCCGTGGTGGTATCAGCTCCATCGCGAGAGACGAAGCGCAAAGATGTCTGTCCCAGGGTCCCGCCGGTGCAGGAACACCGACAGAATCCTCTGGTCGACGTACGGCAACGAACATCGCCATGCCGCTCTCGCCCGGCTGGAGTCGAGCGACGACGACACTCGAAGACTTACGATGGGCTCTCAGCTGACTTGCCAAGATGAGAAGGAAAAGGTGTTAGTGGTGAGTTGCCGTATGGAACCCTTGCCTGGCAGGCCTTGTCGTCTTGTACATACATACATACATGCACGTCTGCACATAAACCCTAGGCCCCTTTACTGCCTATACCTACTAACCGGATTCACTCCAACAGCATGAACGCGGCGGCGCCTCGAACTATGAGGTACGGCAATGCGCCCTTGGCATTACTGTGGCGGTTTGGTCTGACGCTGGCGATGGCTCTTGGCTGCTAGCTATTCTACGACCTTTGGTTCGTTGCGAACCTCAACACCTTCACCTCGGTCCACGAGATCACCGACAAAGGCACACTCTTTTCATTCATGGGCTATGTCTTGTATGCTCCTGCTCCCCGATTTCTGCGGGGAGACAACCCTTGTCTAACTAGCATCGCAGACTTCTCTGGACGACATGGTTCTTGACGACGATATTCGACGTGCGCTTCGGCGTCGACGGCACCCTGCAGCGCATTACTAGAGGTGCTCACCTGGCCGTAATGGTCGGCTTTGCAGAGGCGGGGTCTACCTTTAATCCGGATGCTCAAGCGCAGCCCGTATTCCAAGCGATGTGTAAGTCGACGGGCATCGAACCAATCCAGACCCTCTCTACCCACCTGTATCGGATCCGGCATCTGACAAACCCCCCTTCTTCCCAACAGCCCTGTTCCTAATGGTATCACGGTTCAGCCTAGGCCTGCAGCACGCCATCTTCTTGTTCCGGAACCGCGGGCGACTAGAACAGAAAAGACCGCTTGTGCTCTCCATCCTCTTCCACTCGGTATTCTCCATCACCTACTTCGGCGTCGCGTTCTACACCAACCAGAACCCGCGCGACAACGTCTTCACCTTCTGGTATTACGCTTCCGTCGCGGAGCTGATCCTTCACACCGCCCACGCTGCTTGGTCCCGCCCTCTGACCCTCCGGGGCACACACATCAGCGAGCGGCTGAACTTGCTCACCCTGATCATACTAGGTGAAGGTACACATGTCCTTTTTATCTCAGTAAAGCTGTGAAGCTTCAAAGGCTGACTGGTGGCGTCATTCGTCAGGTGTCATTATCCTGGCCAAGAAGGTAGCTGTCCTGGTCGAGAATACGTGGATCAAGGACAGCGGGACGAATTGGTGTAAGTCCCAGCCTGCGTGCAGAACACAATCCTACCCACCAACCCACCCCTCCTCTCACACCACCTACAGCTGTGTTAACGATTGGTCGCGTTCTTATCAGCGCCCGCCCTCGTCGGAATCATCGCTTCCGCAGTGGCGCTCGCATACACCATCTTCCAGCTGTACTTTGACTGGATGCATGAGGATGGCGGCAGCGGAGAAATCGCCCACTACCTCTGGGTCATGGTGCACCTGCCCTTCCACATTACCCTGGTCCTCCTCGTCGAGGGCGGCAACCAGTTCATCGTCTGGCGCCGCGCCATCGAGGCCATCGACTCAGCGGCCGAGACCCTCTCGAGCGCCGCGGCCAAGGGGTTCCACCAGCAGCTACCCGGCGCCGCGGCCGCGCCGGTCAACACGTCGCAGGTCGTGGGCGCGCTCAGAGGCCCCGTCACGGCGCTCCTGAGCGCGTACCGGCCCGAGAACGAGACCGAGACCTGGGCCCAGGTCCGCGAGGCGTTCGACAACATGGCGGAGATCCCGGACGCGTTCTGGGGCGTCTACGAGGAGCTCCCGCGGACGAGCCTCGCGAAGCAGCGATGGCTCGACAGCCTGTCGACCATCGTGTCGGCCGTCTTCGATGGTATCAGCAGCGCCTTCGACATCCACGAGGCGGAGGACGAAATCCCCGAGCCGGGCAGCATCGACTACGTCGGTACGTCCTTCTCAATTATGACGAGCCAGCCCAAGACGCAGGACCGCGACTTCGATCTGCGCTCGACAGAGGCCGAGGCCTACGTCGCGACGTCGATGAAATTCCGCTTGGTGGTGAGTGCGATGCAGGCATGCCCCCAAACCAGCCGGGGTTACTTGAGACATCTCAGATAGCTAATGCGGAAGTTCGTTCACAGTTCGTGTATGCCTTCGTATGCGCCGGCATCGTCCTCCTGCTGCTGCATACCCTCCACCTATTATCGCAGAGGCAGAGATGGACCCCGTTCAACGCCTTCCGCGCAGCATTCGGCATCATGGTGTCCATCGGGCTTAGCCTCGTTAGCCTGGTGGCGCTCAGCGTCGACCAGACCACGAGGTTTTTAATGACGCCATGGCAGCTGCCCATCATCGCTATGTGTTACTTCGTCTGTTTGGTCCTCACCTACTTACCCCCGCTAAAGGACCTTGTCGTCGTTCGGAAGATTACCAACTGGCTCGATTACCGCAATGAAAAGAAACAAACTGGAGACCCGCATGCTCTTGTGTAGGTTAATAGCTCCTTACTAGTATACTTAGCATATAGACCATTGTGAAGGCGGCCTCTACTTTTCTCACGCCCCGGCTTTCCCGGTCTAGAAAGATTGCGCGCGAGGGAAGGGGGGGGGGGTTCCCCCTGAATATCGGCTGAACTGTATTTTAATTGGACTTTTTCGAGTCGAGCCTCGGACAGGTTTCGAAGGCTCTCAGGGCGGCTAGCGTGTCGTATAGATGTTTACCGGCTAGACTGAATTTGCGGACTGGCTCCTGCTGGGCTACTATAGAATCATTGCCCCAAACCAACTTGAGGCGTTTTGGGGTTTACGTTCTTTATTCTCACCCAGGTTGGATACTGCTCAGCTGTGCGAGCGTTTCTTGTTCTCGCCTGAGCGAAGCATGGGGTCTAGAATTAGTGACGGCAAAATTCGCATAATTATATCGACTGCGTTTTCTAATGTCTAATTTCCTTGAGGTGCTCCTTGCAAAGAGGTGGGCTTATATAATAGCTTCCTACGCAACAACTAGCTAGTTCGCTAAGCCAATTTGTTAAACAGTCGAGTTAGGTCAAAGAATGTGCATGAAACTCGAATTAGTTGTATTTTAAGAAGCGCGCGCCCACGCGGCGCATTGATTCAGTCCATTCTATAAGCGAAAACTTTACACACCTTAATACACCAGCTTATTCCCCCTGACCCCTATTCTTACGTTACTGTATGTGCCACAGCGGCTATGTATACGTATATATGATACCAACACCAAGTACGCGTACCCTCGAGGAAGCTTATGCCTTGACAGAGCCGTCGAGTAGGATTTCGACAATCTGGCTCGATGCTCGAATAAATCAACCTCTACTAGTGGATTACACTTCGAATCCTTTCCATTGCGAACTGCTCGAAACGTCCCGTATTAATTCTAGTTTACCTTCTATCGGTGCTAGAGTCAAGAACACCAAGTAAAACCCGAGTCTATGGGACTTGGATACGGGCACTTTTAACGAAGCTCTTGACACTATAGAGCCCCATGTATGGACGGTGATAGCATACTTCTAGCCGCTAACCTAGCTTCTTCCCTCCCTTCTCTCGACAGTTATTCTTAGTACTGTACAAGCCAGGTCTCGGATACCTGGTACATACACGAATCAATTCTTTTCACCACAACTCTCTATGGTAAATCATCGGTGGTACTTTGCCTGTCGGAAACGTGGGAGCATTTCCCTCTGAACTTCGATAATGAATTTAGGCAGGTCTGCTTTCACGACCACATCTAATACGATAGCCTCCGTAGACTTTTAACAGTCTTTCCTAGGCTGAAATATTCAATCGCTACTCACCCCATGGGCCAGGTAGCGGTACACAAGAAACACGATAATGTATCAAGAAACGGGGTAAACGAAGGCATACCTGGGAATTAATGTAGAGTGAAAGAGAAATAAAGGAAATAAGAGGGAATGTAGATCAAATACAGCCACGTAACTACCTGGGGTGGGGGGGGGGGGCGTTCGTACTGTTTCCGTAGCAGAGGGGAAAGAAGAAGAAAACAGGCAGAAAACAGAAAAGGAATTGAACAGCTTTGTCAACCAGAAATCCTGCTTATACATTTAGAATCAAGAAATTACTAAGGGGTTGTTAACGTTGCCTTCTCAACTATCCCTAGGCTCCTCGCCATATTCTCATCTCGACAATTGCCGGTGCTGTGCTTCTCATTCCACCCCATAAATCCTTCTGGCATTAACCCGTCCACACCCATATCCACCCTTAGCTCTTAGACAATCAGCAGAACATGCCGAGACAACCTCTTCAGCGGTGACCGAAACCTAATAGGTATCTAATACACCCTGGGTTGTCAACCACCAAGGACATCGCTGCCCACCTAGCTTGACGAATCTTACGACTAAAGGTACCTACATAGGTAGGTAATTAGACCACATAAGGTTAGGTACCTAGTCGACGCTCAAAGTAAGCTGGATAAACATACCGCGGATCAACTATTCTTACACAGATGTCTCCTACACGCTGGCGGTAATCTTGCGAGTATTATCGTTATCAGTAGATAGATGCGCCCCCCGACCCCGCGCCATGACTCTGGCTATTGCATCATCTCCCGACTGCCCCGCAACGCGCTATCCCAAGAGAAGACAAGAAGCAAGCAAGCCGCTTGATCTCAATATCCTCGACCTCTTTCGTTTGATAGATGAACAACGCAACCCATTGCGGGTAATTCCCTTACGTGCAGTATATCCGATTTTTTTATAAAAAAAAAAACCCCCCTGACGAGACATATTGAGTAAGGCCCTTCCTCCTTTATCCGGAGACAGGAAGCTATCGCAGGGGACTCTTCGGCTATTACCTACCTACCAGGCATCCACTTCGCGTAGGTGTCAAAACCTGCCACATCCTGATCTCCCTGGTCGTGCCTATGCTCACGTCAAAGCCGGGCGAGGTATCTATTCCGGCAGATAGCGTATCCTAGGCTTGGCGCCTCGCACCCATGGCGGACTTGTCCCAGAAGCCCCTGCGCATCGGCTTTGTGCCGGAGCACTTCTCCACCCCGCTCTATTTCGCGCAGAAGCACTTCGGCCTCGAAGCTACCTTGGTGCCGTTCCCGTCCGGCACCGGCCATATGATCACCTCCATCCGCGCCGGCGAGATCGATGTCGGTATCGGCCTCACTGAGGCGTGGGTGGCCGGTCTGGGCAAGGAGGATGTGCCCGGCGACGGCGGCTATCGCATCGTCGGCACGTACGTCGAGACACCGCTATGTATGCGCTCCTCTCACTACCCCCACTCTCTCACCCACCCACCCGATGCTGTTCAGGCTATCTGCCCTCGACCCTCCTTTTTAACGAGCGCACATCGAGAGTAGCGACGGGGCACTAAACTAGATCAATACATGCAGGCTGGGCGATTTCTACGGGCGCCTCGCGACCCGAGATTACGTCTGTAGCGTCTCTCAAGGGGTCCAAGATCGGCATCTCGCGCTACGGGTCTGGGAGTCAAGTGATGGGGTTCGTGCTGGCGGACCAGCAGGGATGGCTGTCCTCGCCATCCTCCGACAGCGGCAGCAGCAGCAGCCCGTACGCGGACTTCGTCGTGCTGCAGACCTTTGAAAACCTGCGGCGGGCGGTCAACGACGGAACCGCTGACTTCTTCATGTGGGAGCACTTCACATCTAAGCGGTACTACGACAGCGGGGAGATCCGGCGCGTCGGCGAAATCTATACCCCCTGGAGCAGCTGGAAGATCGTCGCGTCCACGGCGCTGCTGCCGAGGTCCGCGAGCGGCGACGCCGACCGGACTTCAGACCCCCGGCTGCTGGACCTGTTCAGGAAGCTCGATCAAGGCGTCCAGTACTTCAAGGAACACCAAGACGAAGCCGTCAAGTACATAAGCACGGCACTCGATTACTCGGAGGCGGACGCGCGCGAGTGGCTCAGCACCGTGCGGTTCGCGAGCACGACCGAGGGCGTCGACGTCAAGGTCGTGCAGGGATGCGTAGATATCCTGAAGAAGGCCGGGGTACTGAAGGAGGGCAAGGGCGTGCAGCCCGAGGGCATGCTAGTAAAGGGGCTCGGCGCGCAGTTCCCATAGCTAGACTGCCGATTGTATCTATCTTGAGGATACGAACGCACATACATTATTCTCTCTAATAGGCCAGACAGAAAGCGATAGCTGTTATGGAAAGAAAAGGGACCAGAGTGTGTTTTGGCGCCCCCTTTTCACTGGCTATACCTAGGTACCGCGGGTGCTCGCCTCAGCACAGTGGAAATTGCGCACCCCACATCAAGCTAAAAGATCACCAATTGCGCTGCGGAACGTGCAACACGTAGAAAAGTCTACGCTGCAAGCTAGCGAGGAAATACCTAGAACAAACTTCGAGGTCTTCTCTCCTCCGAAACAACCTCGTTCTTCTCCTCCGCCGACACCGACCCTGCCCGACAGCCTTCCCACCCACCGCCTCCGTTCTCGCGCCCGACTCGAGCAGCCAACAACTCCAGACCAAACACCTCCCTACCTGTCCCTCTGCCGGCCGACCCTACCAACCCAGCTCCGACACGAGAGCGACCGAAATGCCGCCCGCACGACTCCTCGCGCGCGCGCGCCCCCGCCCGTCGTCCTCGTCCCCGTCGCCGTCCTCGCGGCGTCTCGCGTCCAGCCAGCCTCCTCCTCCTCCCGCGTCCTCGCGCGCGCAGCAGCGCCTGCACGCGGTGCTCGCGCGGCTCGCGCGCTGGACGCCGGCGCGGCTGCGGCCGCAGGTGGCGGCGCTGCGGGCGGCGCCGGGGGCCCACGCCGCTGCCTTCCTGGCGCTGCACGAGGCCACGGCGGTGCTGCCGCTGCTGGGGCTCGCCTACGCCTTCCACCGCACCGGCACCGTGCCCGCCGGCCGCTGGGTGCTGGGCGCCGCGGACGGCGGCGACGCCCAGGATGGCGTGGCTCAGGAGGGCGTGCGCAGGTGGATGCGGTACTTCCGGCGCCGGGGCTGGTTCGGGCTGGGGCCCGGCGAGGGGGAGGGGGATCTGGAGCGGGAGTGCGAGGGGCGGCCGCGGGAGGCGCGTCCCGCCGAGGACGCCGACGCCGCGTACAAGATCGGCCTGCAGATCGCGGCCGCCTACGCTATCACCAAGATGCTGTTCGTGCCGCGGCTGGCGCTGAGCTTGTGGGCGACGCCCTGGCTCGCGAGGGGCATAGTAGCTGCGAGGCAGGCGATATGGAGGAAGCGTGGGTAGTGGTCGATAAAAAAAAAGAATCATGTATGCTGTCCCAATGACGTCCTTCACACATTCATGCATATCACGGCCAGAAAATGAAGCGTATTGGATACCCATCTTGCCTATGGTTTATCTCAATTCCTTGTACCTTTTTTTTCTTTTCATTATCTCGTGACGCCGGGTTGTGTGCTCTGCTCTCGGCTAGCATCCTAGGAGGATATCATCGCATCGGTCTCGCGTCCTACGCTTATTCGTAGATCCACTTGGCCTGGGCGCTCTCCCAGCTGACAACCTCGCCCTCCTGGAACCACAGGGCAATTTCCTTCTTCGCGCTCTCGACGCTGTCGGAGCCGTGGCAGACGTTGCGGCCGACGGCCAGGGAGAAGTCGCCCTGTGTTTCGGGTTTTGTTAGTGATGCGGCAGGCTTCCGTGGTTTTGGTTAGGTACATACACGGATGGTACCGGGAGCGGAGGCGAGCGGGTTGGTGGCGCCGAGGAGGACTATCGAAGCAATGGTTAGCGAGAGAACGGCGGCAGCAAGTTGGGTCTGGGCGTACCTCGGCCGGTCTTGACGGCATCAAGACCCTCCCAGACCATGGCGCAAATTGGGCCGCTGTTCATGTCTGCGCAATGATTTAGTCCAACTGGGTCGAAGAGGGAGGCCACTGCTCAGATTAACATACACTCGACCAAACCGGGGAAGAAAGGCTTGTCCTTAAGATCAGCATCTGTTTGAGTAGATTGTGTTAGTTTACCGAGCCATTGGGTGTCGGTAGGGCGGTGAGCACTCACAGTGCTTCTCGAGGTGCGCCTTGCCAGGGGTAATCAGCTTGATGGCAGCCAGCTTGAAGCTATCCCCAGAGTTAGAATAACACCCTAACAGAGAGCTAGGGTACTCAAACTCACCCTCGGTCCTCAAAGCGAGAAATGATCTTGCCAACGAGGCCACGCTGGAGTAGAGGGTTAGCATGACGAGGTTCGGGGTGTTTCCACAACGAGTAGCTTATACCTGGACACCATCGGGCTTGACGGCGATGAAACTGGAAGCTGCCAGTCAGCTTTCTTTCCCTTTCGTGGTAGTGGTCGCCGGGGTTGGGAGCAGGAAGAGCGGCTTACGTCTGCTCCGTGGTCGACATCTTGGACTCTGAGCTTTCGATAGCTTCTTGGGGTTGGGTCAAGGTGGTGAATCGAGCTTCGACAGGGTCGGTAGTTGCAAAAGTAGGGGATGTAGAAGAAAATAGAACACCCTTGTAAATATTTAAATCGAACTTGACGCTTTGTGCGAAGGTCCAACCTTGGCGGCCCTGTTGTGTCTGCCAGGGAAGGAGAAAAAAGAGGAAAAAGATGAGACCGAGACCTGCGAAGAAAAGATAGAGGGCGGGGTGACGGACATGGCGGGGCACCAGACCCAGCAACGGGCCCTTGGACTTCTTCTGATTGGGCTTGCTGTGGCTGAGGCCCCCACCATGCCGGGGTTCGCCGGCCTGCTTCGGGGGGTTTTCGAGATGTGGCTTGTTCTTCATGTCGGATTATCGCGTAGTGCCTGGGTACCTGTAACCTAACTGCCTGTGTTGGTCAGGTTTATGCCAGCCGGGTTGGGTGCCCAACTACAGGTAGATACCCTAGTTGAGGCGCGTAAATAGGGGTGCATTGGGTACATACCTCTTGGCGAGGGCGGGTACCCGGAGATGTCGGAGGAGAGGAGGCACACAAGGCGTGGATATCCGTAATGATTGGAGGCAGATGTATTGGAGGAGAACCTTGGGTTATTCGGCGCGAGCACGACAGCAGCGAAGTTTAAATTGGCTGAAGAGTTAGGTGAATAAATGGGGAGAGGAAAGACTGGTATCTACCTAGTAAGCAATATCGCGCCTTAAAGCAGATACGTGGAAACGCCTATCTACCTAGTGAATAGTGAATCAACGCTCTTCATACTTCCGTGAAGCCCAATGTATCAGAAGATCCCATGTTACAAAGGATCTGAGGTGGAGAATTCAGCTAGACTAGACAAGTACCCAAGGCACTCAAATGGACAATTAGTTGATATCCGCGTCGGAAATGTGGCTGGGGCACAACGTCGACTTATGCCCCCCTCGAATCTCTAGCTGTGGCTTGACGGCTGTGGCCCGTTTATAATGAGCTGTTCTTGCAGCTGTGGAGCTGCACATTTGGGGTACGTCGCAAACTGCCCAATAGGAAAACTGCACCCTGGAGCTTGGTCTGGATACACAGGTACTTGGCTGATAAGGCATCTCCAGCAAGCTCGATAAGCCATTCCGTTGAAGACAACTCAACATCATTTTCGGGCTTGCGTCTCCCACAACCTCAAAACACATCATATAAGTGGTTTACGGAATTGTGAGGCCATTGCCTAACCCTCCCCATGCCTTCACACCTGCGCGGCTCCGTGGTTTAACTCGTTTCCCCCTTTTGATATTTACTGCACTGTTGTTTAGTTGAATTCGCATCTGAAAGAGCGACGGGCCGCGGCACAAAATGGCTGGCGCTGGTGCAAGCCAGCTGTCCCCAAGATGGATGCCTTTCCTGAGTCTTCTAGCAGTCTTGTGCTTTCTGGCCACCCAAGGATGTATGGGCCTCAAGCACCCACCAAGAAAGCAACCTGTACAAGCTAATGGAATTTAGTGGCGGTCAAGGAGAATGACTTCAAGAAATGTAGCCAGTCTGGCTTCTGCAAAAGGAATCGGGCCTACGCCGACAATGCCATTGCCTTAGGCCCCTCGTGGCAAGCCCCTTACAAGATCTCCTCTGAGCTCGCTTCTTTCAAAGACGGCCAGTTCCAGGCCACGATATTAAAGACTATCGATGAGCAAGGAACTACCGTCCGACTTCCCCTCACCATATCCTTCCTGAAATCAGGGACTGCACGTGTCACCGTTGACGAACAGAGGAGGCAAGAGAAGGACATCGAGCTTAGACACAACAGCCAAATTAGAAAAGAGAGGTACAATGAGGCCGAGAAGTGGGCTATCGTCGGGGGCTTGGAAGTCGACACGGAGGCTAAGGTCTCTCACCAGAGCGAGACTGGGATCAAGATCCTGTACGGTCCTAACCTCGCCTTCGAAGCTGACATCAAATACGAGCCGTACTCGATCGAGTTCAAACGCGGTGGCGCGACCCACATAAAACTGAATGATAGAGGTCTGATGAACTTGGAGCATTGGCGACCGAAGATCGAGAAGCCGACTCCGGAGAAGAAGGAAGGAGAGGAGGGCCAAGAAGAGAATAAGGATGAGACCCCCGAGCCAGATCCGACGGAGGATGAAAGTACCTGGTGGGAGGAGAGCTTTGGGGGCAATACAGACACCAAGCCTCGCGGCCCCGAGAGTGTTGCTCTCGATATCACGTTCTTTGGTTATGAACACGTTTATGGGATTCCAGGACATACCGGGCCCTTATCGTTGAAGGAGACCCGTGGCGGCGAAGGCAACTACGCAGAGCCCTACAGGCTATACAACTCTGACGTATTTGAGTACATATTGGACAGCCCGATGACGCTTTATGGAGCGATTCCCATAATTCAAGCGCAACGAAAGGACTCTACGGTCGGCGTCTTTTGGCTCAATGGTGCCGAGACTTGGATCGATATCACCAAGGCGAAGGAGACCAAGAACCCGCTGGCTCTGGGAGGCACAGATAACATCAACACTCGCACTCACTGGATCTCGGAAACCGGTCAGATGGACGTCTTCGTCTTCCTAGGCCCCACCCCTCACGATATCACCAAGAACTACGCCGAGCTGACGGGGACCACCGCCATGCCTCAGGAATTCTCGATTGCATATCACCAATGCCGATGGAACTACGTCTCGGACGACGATGTGAAAGAAGTCGACCGCAAAATGGATCGATACAACATCCCGTACGACGTGATCTGGCTGGATCTCGAATATACCGATGACAGAAGATACTTCACCTGGGACAGCAACATGTTCAAAGACCCTATCTCCATGGGCAAGCAGTTAGACAACCACGGGCGCAAGCTGGTTACACTCATCGACCCCCACATCAAGAATGTAGGAGGGTATCAAATCGCCGATGAGCTCAAGTCCAAGGGTCTCGCCGTCAAGAACAAGGATGGCAAAGATTTCGACGGCTGGTGCTGGCCAGGTTCTTCGCATTGGATTGATGCCTTCAACCCAGCCGCCGTGAAATGGTGGTCATCCCTGTTCAACTACGACAGATTCAAGGGTACGATGGAAAACACCTTCATCTGGAATGATATGAACGAGCCCTCTGTCTTCAACGGCCCGGAAGTCACCATGCCCAAGGACAACATCCACTACGGAAACTGGGAGCATCGGGACCTCCACAATATAAATGGGATGACGTTCCATGGCGCCACGTATCAGGGTTTACTCTCTCGGAAGAAGGGCGAGCTGCGACGCCCATTCGTGCTCACAAGGTCATATTTTGCTGGTTCGCAGCGTTTCGGCGCCATGTGGACCGGCGACAACCAGGCAAGCTGGGAGCATCTGGGAGCGGCGTTCCCGATGATTATTTCCCACGGAGTCTCGGGCTTCCCTTTCTCGGGCGCCGATGTCGGCGGCTTCTTCGGCAACCCGGAGCCGGAGCTGCTGACCCGCTGGTACCAAGCCGGCGCGTTCTATCCTTTCTTCCGAGCGCACGCGCACATAGACTCGCGACGCCGCGAGCCCTTCTTGCTCACAGAGCCGTATCGATCAATCGTCACCTCGGCCCTGCGGCTCCGCTACAGCCTCCTGCCAGCCTGGTACACGGAATTTTACCACGCCAACCAAGACGGCAGCCCGATCCTCCGCCCCCTATTTTGGACACACCCCAGCGAGGAAGCCGGGTTCGGAATCGACGATCAGTTCTTCGTCGGGTCCACCGGCCTACTCGTTAAGCCGGTCGTTGAGAAGGACAAGGCCACCGCCGACATCTACATTCCGGACGACGAGGTCTACTACGACTACTTCACCTATAAGCGGCTCCCGACCGCGAAGGGCAAGCGCTTGGCCGTCGAGGCTCCCCTCGAGGCCATCCCGCTGCTGCTACGCGGTGGACACATCGTCCCGCGTCGCGACACCCCCCGCCGCTCCTCGCAGCTCATGAAGTACGACGACTACACGCTGGTCGTGGCGGTCGGCAAGGACGACAAGGCGGAGGGGGAGCTGTACGCCGACGACGGCGACTCGTTCGACTACGAAAAGGGCCAGTACCTCCACCGCGTCTTCAAGCTCGAGGGCTCGACCCTCGCATCGACCGACGCCGAGGGTCGCAACGCCAAGAGTCTGAAGGAAGGCGAGTGGCTGAAGCGCATGCGCAGCGTCTTCGTCGACAAGGTCGTCATCGTCGGCGCGCCTCCGGCTTGGTCCTCCAAGACGGAAGCACAGGTGGAGTCGGAAGGGAAGAAGTTCTCGGTGCCGCTTGAATACCACCAGGCGGGTGGAGGGAAGACCGGGTTCGCGATCCTGAAGCGGGTAGGCGTCAGGATCGGGGCGGACTGGACCGCCGACTTTTCGTGACGGGAAGGCGAGGCGCATAGCTTGTGAGTAGATATGAATGTAACGACGCGACTAGCCGGCCTCTTTTGGCGTAGACTTTTCTGCCTCTCGCTTCGCTTTCAAGGAAGTGCGTCGCGTAAATGAATGCTGTGACGCGAACACGCAAACGCCTACGCTCCCCCATTTGGTTGCGTGGGTTTTGGCTTCCCTACGTCGTTAATTTGAAAATACCGACAATGACCGGGTGTCTCACTGTTCGGTCCTATATCACGTTCTCTCATTCGCGTCGATCTGTCATCATTAGCATTGCAGGACAACACATTGATTTCTAGGGGAATTGTCGTCGTTGTCGATCGCTGCTATCAACTAACCTACCAGTAATGTCTCGGCGACCTGCTACTGTAGGGCCGCCCGCTGTTGCGTTCTGTCGCATAAGCATACCTACATAACACATCTGCTCTTATCCGCAATTGCCTTCGAGTGCAACGGGCAGTGCGACGTGGATGTTACTAGTAGCCTCTTACTACTACCTACACAGTATCGAGGTGGCCGCAAGCCGAATTCTTCGCATGAAACCTTTCGCCTCCCCCTGACAAAGGCATCCTCTCCCTACGCCTCGACAAGTAGTGAGGTAGCACACCATCCTTCGAGCGGAAGTGCCTGGCCTTGTTTATCCGCACCTGATGACGCATCTGGTCCTCAATGTCTGCGTGCGTTACGGCCGGTATCGCGTAAGTATACATCCCCGCACCAATCCGACTCCGTCGACTTGCCCCCCCCCCTCTTCCGATGCGCTCTCGCAAGGTCCGTGAGCGAGCGTAACAGTTCCGCGAACTTCGCATCTGCGTTCGCGCGCGTGTTGTCTCAGATGTAGCTAGGGAGAGAACTGCCGCGCCTGATTAATCAGCAACGGACTCGAATGTAGCCGACTCGGGCGTCACGGGAGGTTGCGGGGTGTCGTGCCAATGGGCGGGGAATCAGCTACGGACCAGGAATTCTCGGCGCCGTCGGGAACGCATTAGCTCGTCTTTGTTGTATTCGGGAAGTCCCCTGGGACGCGCCAGACCTTGGAGCTGTAACGGGTCGGTCATGTCGTCCTTGGCATGCGAGCTCAACTTCTGGGAACCATGGTGGTGCTGGTTATACCTTCGCGGCTGTTGGAGCGGTTGGAGGGATGACGCTGCGATCCTCCCAAAGGAGTCCCTGCTGGCCGTGTCGCGGCGGGTTGCGGCAGGACATCACCTGCCAGGCTTAGCAGCTGGTACAGGCGGCCTTCGGTGGGATATCCTCAGGAGAAAGAACACCAGCCCTGGCTGTATGCCGCCCGTCTCTCTCTCCTCTGCAACGCAGCAGCTGTGAGACGACACGTCTCTACAGTTAACGACAAGCCCAACACATATGCAGGCGTGCCATCCATAACCAGCCCATACCTACTTTCCGTTCCGCCATCAGGGGCCCACGGTCTAGCGTGGTCTGGTGTCCGGCGTCCTAGAGCTCGGGTTCTTCACGGGCCAGAATTTGAGACAAGATAGGTACCTACCGCGTCGGGCACTTGACCGACCACAGAACCGCGCCCAGTGACAGGTAGGGCTTAGGTACCTATTTGTCAACTCTGCATACACAAGGTACCTCTCATGTATGGTAGATGGTAGAGGTACCTAAGATAGTGCTACAGTACATTGGACACTATTAGCACTCCGTAGGTTCCGACGACTAAGATGACGCCGGAGCCTTTGTGGCCCACTCGCATCTCGCCCGTCAAGTACGGAGTCGCATAGCTACAACTGGGAAAAAACTCCACTTTTCGGTACGTACACCCTAGGGGTGTGGTAGGTAGGAAGGTGCACGTTGAGTATTCAATTACACGTAGGGAAGGAGCTACCCTCTGGTTAGGTCGGCTAATAGGTAAGTTAGACTACCTACCCCTTCGCGAGCCGGGTATTTTAGATAGGTTTATATATAAACGATTTATCCCCGTAAAAAACCGGAAAAAAATCGGAAAAATCGGAAATTTACTTACGTAATTAATTAACTTAATTAAATCAACATATAAACTTTTCAGATTTTTCGCTTAATAATATAAGAAATTATTTACGATTTAAGGTTTTTTAAAACTATACTAATAATTCGCTATATAATTTATTAATAAATCTATTAATTATATTTTATATCGGCCTCTTAACCTATTTCTTTTACGATAATAAAGTAGGTATATTACTTAATCCTTTATATAATAGATAAAATAATAAAAATAAAAATAAAAATACTTAATACTAATTATTTTTCTATTTATAAAATAAAGTATTAGATAATAGACCTACTTTATTACCGTAAAAAAAATAGGTAAGTATATCGATATAAGTATAGTTAATAAGGTTATTAATAAATTATATAGGAAATTATTAGTTTAATTTTAAAAAACCTTAAATCGTATATAACTTCTTATATTAATAAGTATAAAATTCGAAAAGTTTATATATTACTTTAATTAAACTAATTAATTACGTAAGTAAATTTCCGATTTTTCCGATTTTTTTCCGGTTTTTTACGGGGATAAATCGTTTGTATATAAACCTATATAAAATACCTAGCTCGCGTAGCCTATAACTCGATTCGTACATATACAAGCTACTACAAATACGATATCAAGCTATCGGGGACTTGCATCAAACATACATACCTCCTCCTATTGGGGGCGTATGTGTAGACGATAAAACTGGGGCGTTCGACCGAAAAGTGGAGTTTTTTCCCAGTTGTAGCTATGCGACTCCGTAGTCAAGGTGCTACCTACCTTAGGTACATGTACCTAACTCATAGGTAGTAGGTATGTATATGTACCGACCTACCACCTCCTTGCCTAATGTCAGCCGCCCGCAGACCCACTATCATCCCTCGCTAGACACGGACTAAGCACTAACTGGCTCAAGAGAGGGAGAGGAGTATCGGTATTGTCGTGCCCCTCTTGACTTCTTATTTAACAACCATGCCCGCGCTGTTACCGGCCCAGAGCTATTAACATCTACAACCTCCCTACCTGATTTCGTCCGGCGCCTATATCGTCTCCGAGTTCTATCTACCCAGTCGACATGGCATTCGTCGCTCCCACGGCCGGCAAGGCGGGGGTCATCCCCACGCTTAAGTTGAACGATGGCAACGAGATCCCCATAGTACGGACCCGTCTCCGCGTTCTTATTTCCGGACGTTAACGTGCCGTCGTCTCCAGCTCGCTTACGGCTTTGGCACCGCCAACTATGGCGGCAAAGACGACGATATCTCTAAGCTGACAGTCATGGCCATCGACAACGGATACTATCATCTCGACGGTGCCGAATGCAAGACTTACCCACCTCGCTAAAGCGGACGGAAATTAACCATTGACATCTCTGTAGTGTATTCCAACGAAACCGGGATAGGCGCCGGCATCAAGGCGTCTGGCGTGCCCAGAGAGAAGCTGTTCGTGGTCACCAAGGTCGTCGGCAGCAAAGGCCAGGACGTCCAGGCGGCGTTTGCGGCTTCGCTCGAGAAGCTGGGAGTCGACTACGTAGACCTCTACCTGATTCACGTCCCGTACGCCGCGGAGTCGCCGGAGGACCTGCAGAGGATGTGGGCCGAGGTAGAGGCGATCAAGGCGTCGGGCAAGGCGAAGTCGATCGGGGTGTCCAACTTCGAGGAGGCCGACATCGAGACGATCCTGCAGACGGCCAAGACGGTGCCGGCGATCAACCAGATCGAGTACCACCCGTACCTGCAGCACGGTAACTTGGTCGAGTACCTGCGCGGGAAGAACATCGCCGTCTCGGCGTACTCGACCCTGACCGCGGTGACGAGCGGGCGCCCCGGCCCGCTTGACGAGACGTACGCCGCGCTGGCCAAGAAGTACGGCGTGTCCGAGGCTGACGTCGCGCTCCGGTGGGCGCTCGACCAGAACATCGCCGTCATCACCACGAGCCGTAGCGCCGACAGGCTCCGGGGCTACCTGAAGGCCCTGCCCACCTTCAAGCTGGAGCCGGAGGAGATCAAGCGCATCGCCGAGATCGGCACCCAGAAACACGTCCAGGGCCCCGGCGAGGCGTTTATGAAGAAGATGTTCTGCTCCTAGGCCCGGATGGACCTGCTGTTTAGCACTAGTCGTGGCGGGAGCGCCTGGTCTCCAGCGCACGGCTGGCGCCTACATAGAGCCGCAGTCTAAACGCGGCAGCTCGTGTATTCTATCCGCGAACCGTCGTGTGCTTCAATCCTGTTGTGTCCTGTGTTACGATGCTCGCGCCGCGTGTGAGAATGCCGGATTGGTAGGTATCATAGAACGGTTACGGGCTCCCGGCTCGACACCACCGCCTCCGCCTAGGACCGTGTCAGAGGTAGACTCGGGACGTCCGAGGTATATGAACTATGTGCCACAAGCGAGATCTCCCCGGCTTACACACTGCGGTGGCCAATCGAAAGATGGCATCGCACCCGCGCCGATTCGCTCCTGCGTCGTGACACTGCGCCATGGCGTAGCATACGTGGCGCGACCACACCCACCCTGCCAACCTCCTGTGCTGGCGCCGCGGCAGGGCTGCCCCGGGCCCCCAAGCGACGCCGCCAAGGGCGCTTGCTGAAACTACCCGCCCTAACGGGTAGCTGCTCGCATCCGGTCGACGCGCAGCCATCCCCCAATCTGGCGCCGCTATCGCGACGTGCCGCAGCCGCGCCGCCACTAGCGGCTGGGCCTGCTTTAGGACTTTAGGACTTTGTCTGAGGCGCTCGCGTATCGGGCGATCGTTCGCGTAGGTATACGAATGCTTCTTCGCTGCCTAAGAGAGAGGCTCCACCCGACGTAATGGCACTTCCCCTGTCGGTTTGAAACTAGAGAAGAAAGGATTTATGTGTCCCTGGCCGCAGGCCTGAGAAGATAGTAGCTCCGGTTCATAACACGCTAAGACGGGCGCCGGGAACAGCGTGTTTATCGTTATCGTGGCCGAGCGCATGGCTCTTCTAACGGGTGAAGAAAGGAAAACGGAAGTGTTTATTAACAGTTCTCCAACTTTGGCTCCAAGCAGCCGTTCGGGAAAGCAGATCATCCGCGCAAAGCGTGGTTTCTCGTTTTCCCTGGTGACTACCTACAGTTCCTTAACGACGGCCTCGTCTCCCCGCCCACGCAGATTGTGGACATCGCTTTCCGTGCGTATTACAATACGCGCCCCGAACATCGTAAACTGAAAGCAAGCAAGTAACGTAAAAGCCTCCGCCGTTTAGTGGCCCTTTTGTCCTGTGGCCCCGGAGAAAAGGCGCCTGATCAGCGCGCACTCACTTTGGCTGTCGAGCTCGTGTTTCCATCGCAGCTCCTCGGGGGAAAAGGCTTGCCACTCCGGCTGCACACATATATGTAGAAATCGGTCGACTTGAGGCCACGGGGCCGTTGCTCCCAGCACTTCATAGTACGTCAATGCTCCCCTAGTCGAAGGCACGTTTTCCATTCCATGAAAGGCGTCTCCTGGGCTTGCTTTCTCGGCGGTGACTGACCATCCTTCGTGTCAAACGTGGATTACCAGAATTTCTAGGCACCTCTCGGATTGGACGCACCTGAGTTGAGAGGATTAAATTTCGGCAGAGATAGGTTTCTAGTAGCCGTAGTCGAGCCAGAGGGGGGATTCTGGTTAGCATTACCGAATATACCTCCGAAAAGGGACGGAACGTTGCTAGACGGGGGGGGTTGCTGCACTTCCCCCGGCTTGGTGATGAACGGCCGGCTGTTGAAGGAAGAATTCTGGGTGAAAATACCGCCGGAGGTCTTCTCGCCTTGCTTCTCTCTTGGTTCTGCTCGCTGTTTGTCTTGCCCGGATTCATTGGGAATCGAGGTAAAAGCAACTACAAAATACTTCGGAAATATAACCTTCTTTTTATTAATTCTCACCCTCCTCATAGTTTTCGTCGAGCCTAGACTGCCTTCGGGCTGGGGTTCTGGCGAGAACTCAGAAACACTTGACTGGTCCAGTTCAGGATTGCAGGCCGGGCTTTTTTCAGGAGGGATAACGCCGGCAGGCTCTTTTTGGCTTGGGCATGGGGTCCCGCGGCTAGAGTCCGACCGGGCAGTACCCAACTTCTCGCGGTATAATTCGAGCGCGGCCCCGAAAAAGATGGCGGGGACCGACAAGGCATCGCTGAGGCTCTTAGCAGAGCCGACTATCGAGGATGCGGGGGACTGGCTAATAAATGCGTCTACCCGGGACTTGATAAACTTGCGAAGCCATACATTGATAGCTCCTGGGTGGAGCTGTATATCCTTCATCACGTCGAAGATTTGCGGCGCTTGTAGCTTCTGGCCGAGGCGTTCCATTTCGTTCTTTGCCAATGCCTCCAGGGGAAACACCTCGTATCGATGCGCCAGCGAATACACTCGGACGCTCGTCTCGAACTCGGAAACACATTTCTTATGGGGAGACGATCCTTTTGGCTTGAGGCACTGGTACGTGCGGGTCATGAGGAAGTGGACGAAAACATGACCAGCATCGGCGGTGGTGTTTAGGCGGATCGCTAAGTCTGGGGGGAAGAACCATGAGGCTAACCTGGCATAGTTGGCGACGAGGGAGCGACTGACGATGGCCACCCTGTCGTCGAAGTGCCCATAGGTCTCGTCCGGGCCCCCGAAGAATATAGTGATATATTTGCCAGTGTACGGGCTGGAGGCAGTCTTTAGGACGACATCAACGCAGCAAGACAAGCAAGCGGTGCCTTACCATTTTTCCGGTCGTGTATCGACCGCTTCCGGCCTAGGATCTGGGCCTTTTGGCGTCGAGGAGGAGGGGGGATTCTTACCCATCGCTGCTCTTCGATGCGGAAGGGTCTTTTACGTCTATCCCTCTACGGCAAATGGGGAGAAAGTGGGCGAAGGTCGGCCGTTGTAGTCTGAGAGGGACGGGTATTCAGCCCGAGTGTGCACGAGGAGGTGGAGTAGCGAAGCTTATTTTATCGAAATTTGTTTTGTTTTTATAACCTGCCTAAATCTTTTTCACAGCTACCAGAGCCACCCCCACCTGGCCCCGGCAAACCGACCTGGGAGGGGTTGGCGCTTAGGTTAGGTACCTATCTCTTGTCCTAACCCAGTACCTAAGCTACTTTCCATCAGGTGCCCAGGCCGGGTGCTGGAGGCACAGGCAGAGAGTCCTACACTTCAGATTGCCTCCGCTTGCAGGGGATGCTGAAGCGGGCCTACATTTGGCGGTTATCGAGGTTTCGTACTTGGTCGGTTCTCCCTACAGATTCCCAGCCCAGAGAATCGAAAAAGGACGGCAAGGCTTGGATTCGAAGCCATCCTGTAGCTCGCGTACTGCTTGATTATGAACCTAAGCGGCGGACGGGCGACGAGCGACGCCAGACGGAGTCGAGGGGCGTCGCGGGGTCCAAGTTTACAAGGGTTCGTTTCCATAACATGGTTAGTTTCTCCTTCGTTTATCTTTCAATTCCTCTTGCTGTGAAATTGATTTACTCCTATCTTCTGTGATTGATCAAGAGCCCTTTTCTAGACTCACGTAACTGCCTTGATTCTTCCTTAAGGAAGAGAATACATACCTGCAATGGTTCCTAGGACCCTCGTCGTCAAGGATCTCTTCCTTTTATTGGAACCCTTTGACTCACTTTGTTGGCTTGCTACCTACCTAGGCTAAGCCGACCGGTCACGTGACGATCCAATGCCTCATTTCCCTGGTGATCACCTCCATCGCCCGGTCCCAACATCTGCAACAATATTACCACATTGCAGGTCCGCATACCTCACCAGCAAACCGATATTCCCTTGCTGTTCATGGAGGATGCAGTCCGCCCTAGCGAGGAGGCCTTCAAGGCGATGTACGAGAGAGGATACCGGACGTGGGCTGCACTTTGGGAGGCAGCCGCCGCAGACAATCACCTCGCGCTGGATCACCTTACCAACCTTGGTTCGGTGTTTCCCAACCATCCCTCTTTCCCAGGAAGTCTTGCAGTCGACAAATCTTTCTCCAACACAGTTACCGTAAGGGGGACAACCATCTGGGACACCACCCGAGGACCTTGCGATCTGTCACCATTTCAGGAAGAGGTGGTCGTCCAGGTAGCTTCAAGTTGCCCGACGACGATCGTCTTCGTCTCTGATCTGCGTCCGCCAATGATGTTTCCGAGTTACTTTGGCAGAGAGAACAACCACGTTCCCGTCCTTGTGCTTGCCTGGGCATACATACTCTCGGCACGATGGGCTGAGCTAATTCCTACAGCGTACTCACCCGACTATAGCAGCCACCAGGCACGGCTGAGTGACGGCAGAGGTCGGAAAGGACTGGAAGATGGTTGTGACTCTATTATAGTAGATGTAGGTGACGTAGATGAGGGCGCTGCTCGGTGGTGGACAGCTATCCTAGCAGCAGACAGCGGCTGGAGCGCATCAATTCGCAGTAACACTGGCGTCCTTCTCTGCTCGCCATGGTCCATCAGGACCCAGCCAGGGCCGACTTTCGTCATTTCTGCGAACATTCAGTCCCGCTCGTCCGTCGCTAATCATCATCCCGCGTCGCTCGGCAGCGCCCTCCGCTACCTGTCGGAGTATTGCCGTCTTCACGGCATCGCCGAGCAAAGCCAAGCAGCCCTCACGGCGGCGTTGCTCATTCCAGTAGCAAAGTTCGATAATAAGAGAATCAAATTACCCTACCCTCGATTACCACCGAAGGCAAGCCGGGGGCAGGCGAGAACCCAAGCGCTTCCTTCCTGGGACGGGGAACTCCGCCAGCTTGATCGACTTCTTACATTAAGTTGCAACTCGAGGGGAGTAAAAACCCTCTTGAATAGCATCTTTTTCGAGCCTGGTGTGGCCTGTAATATCTGCGGAGCTTGGCTGCAGGGCTCGTTCGCATTCCTCGATTCTGATAAGGCTAAGGACCCGTATACCCTTTTGCGTACGTTTATAAAAAGAGATCCGGACCTCGGGTTTCTTTGGTTTGGTGCCTTTATTACGGGCGCCGAGGAGCGCTGCCTCCAGGAAGCTCGAATGGGCTGGTGGAAAGTCGATATCAGCGCTGCTGCTTGGACTGGAACGCATGTGTCCTTCATCCAAGAGGTTATCCTGAAAGCTCCCAGCGCCCACGATATCTCGCGAGCCGACGAATGCCGGCTGACATATCTGTCCCACGAACAAGATCATGCAGTTCCACCGCTCTTCCCATTTGCCCCGTTCGGCTATACTGCTATGGAAGATACGGACCTTGACGTCCGTCGACATGTTCGATGCTCAGCAGCTCATGGCCTCGAATACAGCGGTTTTACCTGGGATTGCCAGGGTGGTAAGAAAGTTGAACAGGGAAGAAACGGAGCGCTAGCGATCCACGTCCGTCTAAAGGTCGGGCAACCTCCTAGCTGGAGCAACAGTGTTGCCGTCGATTATGATAGCCTTGATTTCGAAGACGAAGTGTCGGAAATGGTAACGAGGAACGTTTTCACCTGGCTCCGAGGCGAAGACGGATTTCCCGTGGCGGAGAGAGCAATCCGCCAGCACGAGTGGATTGACAATCTGGAATCGGACGACGACAGCCCAATCAAAGGGGATGTTCTGTCCACAGTCGGAGGGAATCTTGGTGGGTGGTTATTGGGCCTGGCAACTAGAAGATCAAACTCGCTTTGACAGCATATAAAGTGAAGTGCATGTCCTTTCTTTACAGCTGCTTGGGCTTGCATTGAAACCCCTCCTCCTGTCGGAGCTGCCAGGCTTTTCGTTTTGGATTTTAATATCTCCCATGAGTTGCAGGACTTCTTGCCACCCACGGTCTAGGCTGTGTCTCATGAGATGGAAACCCTGCATGGAGATTCAATGACTGCACATAAAACAGGCCATGTCGAAACTTGCCGCGCCGGTGTTATTTTAGAAGGTGGCCGGAAACGGTGCCTTGAAACCACGCCCGCTTCGCCGCAACTCGGACCGTACACCAACCATCGACGAAGTCGGGGGGCTAGTTGTTTCCAGATTTCAATGAGCGATATGATATACATACATTTCTATCTCCTTAACTTGGAGTTTGTCCGCACGGCTTTTACCACTCAACTTACCCGCACCGGTCTTCCATTTACACTTCAGTTATCCCTCATCCAGCTGAACCTTTCCCTGGAAACCAAAGTATGGGCCCAAAATAGGATCCTGACAGGAATATGACGTAGGACAAGCATCTACCTACAGTGATAATGATGGTAGTTGTTCATTTACCGTGACCTGCGACATCCCGCTCGCAGGATACGAAATCTGAGATGTAGGAAATCCTACCTACTTGACCTTATAAGTTTCGCACCTATATTTTCGCACTTTTGAAATTTCTTGGACAGACATATACATACACACTCCTTAATACAACTCATCGTCACCTTCTCTTTTTTTTGTTTCTTATTTCGCCTAAGCTGCCCTTTACAGCTAGCCGATCGTGAGTTACAACTGTAGCCACTCTTGCAGCTGTTTCCCGCTGATACGCACCTGGGACCAGCTGTTGGCAGCTGTAGCTTATATACAACTCTTCCAACATTAAGTTCACGCTGTTTCTCTTTGATAAGCAAGTATATATTCTTAGTTAATTGAACAAGAAAGTAAGACGTTAAATTATTATTATCATTATTTATTAATTAATTAGTCGAATCGTTAGTATACCTAGCTACAGCGTGTATTGGCAGTTGATTGGCCGAATAATTGATGTACTTAAGTACCGTGGGGATTACGTAAGCCCGCGGCTCCCTAGAGGTGTTCTGGTAGGTATGCTTGTCGATCCGAGGTGCCATTTCCATCTATCGCGAGGGCGTTCTCATCCCAGATTCGACTCGCGCGCCTCTTCGGTCGCATGTCTCAATTCGCGTCCGCCGAAGATGACGGACCAGCCAACACCGACGAGCGCCCCACTGCCACAACGATTGCAACCGGAACCGCAGCCAGAACTGCCGCAGCCAGAACCGCGACCTGCGCCGCAACCCACACCGCAGCCAGACGCGGTGGCTGCCCAGTACCCTTCCCCCCTAATCCCGGCCCTCCAGGATGAGGACGATGTGCGGACGGGGCTGCACTTAAGCCCGATGAGCATGAATGTGAGGAGACACGTCGATGGCCTGTGGAGGACGATGTTGAACTGTGGAGTCCGTTCTAACTTCGTGCTTTTCGTTCTGTACGCGTAGTTCGACGACGCCTTCGACGACGTAGACTCCGCCCTGGGAGACGATGCGTAAGTGCCCGCATGCTTCCACGTAAACCAGCTCTTATCCGGCCTTGCGTCCCCTGTCTGTCGCATAGCACCTTGGTAACCTCTAGGTTCTGTTGTTTTACCTCTCCAGCGCTAGCATCGCCCACTCCGTCACCGCGAGCATCCTGGAGTACCGCACCATCATGGGCCGGACGTACCACAGCGAGAGGCACGATTCCAAGTACTTCACGCCGAATGACGAGCAGCAGATGAGGTCCCAGGATCTAACGTAAGAGCATGTGCCCATCCGTCGCGGGGATGGGAGTAGACACCCCTGCCCGAGGACCGCTTTGTCATGGTAACCTACCTCTATAGGCACCACTACTTAACGCTTCTATTGGATAACAAGCTCTTCCTCGCGCCTGTGGGGGAGGACATGAAGGTGAGCATCGACCTGGGAGGACATGAGGTGCTGTAGAGACTAATTCCTTCTGCGTAGAGAGTGCTGGATGTCGGAACTGGGACCGGTGCGTACTAGCATCATGCCGTGCGCTGACCTGACTTGCTACACGGCGAACACCCTACTGATCGGGGACGGCTCACAGGAATATGGGCCATGTAAGTCTGCCCCTAACCCTCCCACCTCCTCCCTCTCTAAGAAGCTACTCGAGCTCACACCCGCGCGTTCGCTCTCGAACCCCGCGCCGGCTGCAGCGACATGGGAGACCGGTACCCGGGGGCCGAGGTGACGGGGACGGACCTATCGCCGACGCAGCCGCCGTGGGTGCCGCCAAACGTGCGGTTCCGGATCGACGACTGCACTCAGGACTGGTCCCTGCCTGCCGACGCCTATGACCTCGTCCACCTGCGCTACCTCTTCGGCGCTGTCGCCGATTGGCGCCACCTCCTCCGCAACGCCTTCCGCTGCTGCCACCCGGGCTCCGGCTGGGCCCAGTCCGTCGAATGCGACGTCATTATCTGCTCTGATGACGCGTCCGTCCCTGAAGGCGGCGCCATTGAGACCTTCTGGAATCCGCTCTGGCGCGAGGTGAGTTGCCCAAGTACACATGTCCTTAGCCTCCGCGGTCTACCCCCTGGGAATACGTGCATCTTTTTCTTTTCGTTGTCCTCCATGATTTGCCTCCCTGTACCTCTTTCCCCCCTTCAGACCACAGAACTGTTAGGTTGCGCTCTATGCAGTGTCTCAAAAGGACAGCGGTTGACTGTCGATATATCGTGAACTTCTTCCTGCGTGTATTAATACATACCCTCGACTGGAGACGCAACGACTTACTTGAATGCGATGTAGATGACGAAAAATTTGGGCATTAGTTTCCAGGTCCTCGAGGAGAGACTCCAGATTGAAGCTTTCGAGGAGGCCGGATTTGTAGATATCACGGAGGTCAACTTCAAGGCAAGTCGCGTTCCCCCCTTTTCGCCTTTCCTTCCAGCGTCCATGCAGGCATCGTTCTAACCAGATTGTCGTTACAGCTTCCCGTCGGCGGGTGGCCTCGAGATCCGAAACTAGCGGAAGTGGGAGAGTTTGTGCTATTAACCATGATAAATGATCTAGAAGGTGCGCCATCATCTCCTAGTTACAACTCTCAAATTTATTCCGAACGCTACTTAATACCTGCGAGGGCTACGGTTCGAAGAGTTTTGAAGCCAAAACGTTCAAACGAATGAAGAAGAGCGCTTCAACGAAGCTGAAGAGGTATTCGCAAGTCATTACTAACGGAATAAAAACATAGGCTATACTCTCTTACCCTGGAACATTATCCACGGCGAGAATACGCCGGGCTACAGGGAGATCCTATACCGCTTACGTAGAGAGCTGAGATCTAAATCGATGCACGGGTACATGAAGGTCCGGTATATGTACGGTCGGAAGCCGGAACACGCTTAGGTTGGATATCTGCTTCGTTTCGACGTGTCGAACATACTCATATCCCGAGCTGTTCGGGGTGTTCGGGACGCCGCGTGTGTCGAACATACTCATATCCCGAGCTGTTCGGGGTGTTCGGGACGCCGCGTGCTCCCGTTCTGTTTACATCACTGACACAGGCATACTTGGGGTTATCGGTTTTTAATTTGTTTTGGGATAGAACATAGAGATACTATCCCTTCGATGAATACCTAGATACGGCGCATTCGTTCATATTCCTATTTCCGCGGTTCTTTGCTCTGTTTTTCAAGCAGGCCCGTCATCAAGCGGCTCCTCACTTGGGTCTAGGAGCCCGAGAGCCTCACGCCGCGTCGGAGCGGAGGCGTCGAAGAACGGCTTCTCGGCCAGCCCGGTGACGCGGGTCCCGTGCCTCGGTTCCCTCCCACCGTAGTCCCAGCTTGCGTTGTGGATGGTGATCCTGCGAGGCCCCGCGAGTTAGCGCGCGATTCGCCCGAACAGACGGCGCCGTCCGCTGGCTGCGACCTACCTGTTGTCCCAGAGGGCGCTGGTACCGGGGGTCCAGCGGAAGCGGACCTGGATGTCGACGTTCTTCTCGTAGACGTCGAATAGGTAGCCGAGGATGAGGTCGCTCTCGGCCTTGTCGAGGCCGACGATGCGGTGGGTCATGGCGCGGTTGACGAAGAGGGACTTCCAGCCGGTGGCGGGGTGGACGCGCACGAGGGGGTGGATGCGCTCGAGGTGGCGGGGGCCGGCGGTAGGGTCATCGCGGTCGAGGTAGGCGTGGGCCGAGCGGTAGACGGCGAGCTTACCGTCGATGATCTTGCGGAAATTAGGGGAGAGCTTCTCGTAGGCGCTGTAGCCGCTGGCCCAGAGGGTGTCGCCGCCGACGGGCGGGATGGTGTCGTTGTGCAGGTGCGTGATCCCCGACGGCTGCAGCTCGTGCACTAGGTCCGTATGCCACCGCGACGCCCCGCCCGGCCGCCGGAAGCTCGCCTCCCGATCCTGCCTGAACAGGTCCGGCCACAGCACCGTCACTCCCGGCACGCCCGGCACCTGCGGCACCTGCGGCTACATCTCCGCTCCCAACACCGGGACTCTCTCAGCATACCGTTCGGCGCCGACAATGACAGGCGGGGGCGGGCGATACTCACGTGCACCTCGACGACCCCATAGTACTTCCCGAGCTCGAGCTGCTGCTGCGGCGAGAGGTCCTGGTCCCGGAAGAAGACCACGCTGCGCTCGGCGATGAGCAGCGCCAGCTCGTCCTTCTGCTGGTTGGTGAGGTCCTTGAGCTGGAGGCCCTCAATCTCGGTCCCGATGTGCGCGGTGAGGTCGGTGACCTTGGTGGCGGCGGAGAGCAGCGCCGACTTGGACTTGTCGGCGCGGGCGCCGGCGTCGTCGTGCTTCCACGGCTTGCCCCGGATGTTGTAGACGTCCTGGATGTAGAGCGGGATCGCGGGCCGGTAGGGGTACCCTTGGGACAGGTCGATGCCCGCCTTGGTCAGGCGTCGGAGGGCCGGCTCAGGGATAGCGAGGGAATCCTTGCGCGGCTGTTTCACCTCGGTGATGTGGTCATCTATCGGTGCAGGCGCCATGCTTACGGCTTGCTGTGGCAAAGACGGGGTGCTCCAACGCTGGTTCTAGACACAATTTGGCCTTCTGGCAGGGCTATCCGTGGCTCAAGTCTCCCTCCCCCTTTCCCCAGACACGCCCACCGACGGATATATATACACATACAATATTTCGTGCACTCTACCTTTCTTCCATCCTGAACCCGGATATCATACCACCGATCCCCCCGACTACTAGCGATTTCTACTGTAATTGGCCTTTCCCAGCGTTCGCCAGCTTGGATTGGTAATGTGTCTCTACTGAAAGGCAGCGTGAGCTGCTCTAGCAGTAACGCGGGTGCTCACGTGTGACTCTCACTTACTGAGGGGTGCATGTCGTCCTCTGTGGTTCAGCGGGTCGTTATTGGACCCTGTTATCGATTCGTGATATTGGAGAAGGATGATGCGAGGCAGGATCCCTCGTTGACGCAGCTCGAGCGGGCAACGTCGTTTTATTCGACGCGCTATGCGGGGGGGAGCATGGCGTCATGCTGCTGGGTATGAGGTGATCGCCTGCCCGGTCTCTGAGCCCTGTCGCGCAGGTTGTCGGGGCCGGCGGTGTCGCAATGCCAGGAATGTCTGGTGAGATCGCAAAGTCCCCTGCCCGAGAGGACTTCGCCAATGGCAAAGCCTGTCTCTTTATCATTGCTCGTCGAGATGTTGATATTCGGATGACGAAGAACCTCGGACGATTGTCGCGCTGACGGACGGGGATCGTATCATTCCACGAGTTCCCGCATCCTAGCTAGGTAGATCTAGGTGGACAACTCTACAAGGGAGTTCATGCAGTGATACGCTGCAAAATGGATCCACGGCGTTCTCAACGTTGCAGAATGTCTCTTGCTATGGGAGGGGGCAGGATGAACTTCGGGTCAAGGCTCAGAGCAGCTCCGACGCATTTATAAGTCGTTATTCCCTGGCTCTCGGTGAGACAGTCGGGGTCGTTCATCTCTCGTGCAAGTCAATTCAGCCGGCACAAGATGGAGAGTAAGGAGATCGCCTCGACTCGCGTTGCGGCCGTCGTTGACGACGATCTGGCCGTCAAAGGCTCTGATCGTAGCGATGTGGATTCGACAAACATCCAATCTTCGCCGGTGTCCGTAACGCCTAAACAGACCTGGAGGTCGTATTTCTGGGACACTTTTGACAAGTCCCCCGAGGAGAGGCGTTTCTTGTTCAAGCTGGACGCCATCATCTTGACATTCGCGTCTCTGGGGTACTTCATCAAGAACCTCGACCAGGTCAACGTCAACAGCGCCTTCGTGTCCGGTATGAAAGAGGATCTGGGCTTGTACGGAAACCAGCTCAACTACATGATCATGTCTTGGACGGTTGGCTATGTCATCGGCGAAGTTCCTAGGTAAGTGTCATCATGCCCAACTCCCGGACTCTGACCCAGACTAACGGCATCAGCAACATGTTGCTAACCAAGGTTCGGCCTTCGATCTGGATACCGACTTGCGAGGTATGTTGGATCATCCAAAGCCCTATTCGAAGTCGTTACTGAATGAGCGTTAGGTGGTATGGTCTGTCCTGACAATCCTACTCGCCAAATGTACAAACGCCCAACAAATTTACGTTCTGAGATTCTTCATCGGACTTGCGGAGAGTGCGTTCTATCCTGGAATGCAGTATGTGATCGGGAGTTGGTGGTATGTATAAGCCTGCCTAGCCCCTTTTCTTCATTGTCTGTCAGAGACTAACCGATTCTTATAGTATGTTGCAATATTTTCACTCCCCGTTACTGTTGGCCCAACCGAACACCTCGGTTATCACGCAATAATAAGGTACTAACATCTCACAGACCGAAAAGACGAGCTCGCCAAGAGAAGCTGTATTTTCCACGCTAGCGGCGCGATAGGCTCCATGTTCTCTGGCTACCTTATGGCGGCAGTCTACAGGCTCAACGACGTCAACGGCTTCCGTGGTTGGCAATGGCTTTTCATCATCAACACCGTCATCTCGCTCCCCATCGCGATAGCGGGATATTTCTTCTTCCCGGACGTTCCCGAAATCACACGCTCTTGGTGGTTGACAGAGGATCAGATTAAGCTGGCAAGGAAACGGATGGAGCTAGAAGGCCGCGCCAACAGAGGGTCCTACACGAAGGCCAAGTTCAAGAAGATATTCACCTCGTGGCATATATACTCCCTGGTGTTTTTATACATCTTCTTCAACAACGGTCTCGGCTACGGTGGGCAGCCGGCTTTCGCAATCTGGCTGAAGCAAGAAGGTTACAGCATCACCGCCATCAACTCCTATCCCACTATCGCTTCGGGCATTGCCGTTATCTTTACGTACATTTACGCGTGGACGTCCGATTCCGTCTTCAAGGGTGCTCGCTGGCCGCCTATGATGTTTTCGGGGGTGGTGAATATTATCACCAACGCAAGTCTCGCCGCCTGGAACGTCCCGAACGGCTGGAAGTGGTTCTGCTTTGTCGTGGGAACTATCGGAGGCGGAATCAGCGGACTGACTTTCGCGTGGGCCCACGAGATCTGCAGCGACGACAACGAGGAGCGGGCGTTGGTAGTCGGAGCCATGAACGAGATGGCGTACGTGATCCAGGCATGGCTGCCACTCATTATCTGGCAGCAGGTGGAAGGCCCGCATTATCGTAAAGGTTACATTACCATGGTGTTTTTCGGAGCCAGCCTTATCGCCACTGCGCTGACGATCCGGTTCCTACATCACCGAGAACGCGCCTCGAAAGCTCGAGAGGCTAGCATCGAATAGGTAGAATCAGCCGTGGGAGCAACATAGACAATTAGCGCTCCCATATTTTGATCCTATATACAACGTAATAAGTTGCACCGAAGAGTTGCCGGCGCGTTGTCCACTCAGTATAAAGCTATCTCTCGAACGCGTATGGCTCGTAGCTAGTCGAGCCAATGGGGTTGTTTCCTCCCATCTCTTCGCGATGGCCTCATAGTCTACCAAAATGCCAACATTGGCCAACGGCACAACTGGTTCGTTGATCCCCAGCGTCCGGATCCCTACGCCCCCACGTGTTTCTCGCAGTTCCGCACCGGCTTATCGAGCACGCAATCGCGGGAGAAGATGGTCCCATTCGCAGCGCCATCCATCGATTTCTAATCAGCACTTACTAAGGTGCTGAGAAAATAGGTCCATCGTACTGTCGACGTGGACAATGGCACGATCGGTAGTGCAACGTCCCACGTATTACCCACGGCCATAGGGCGAGCTTGTATTCATATCTGATGTATTCCCGACCTTGGGATTGCCGTCTTTCTCATCCACCTCCCCCCCTGCACCATCACACACAATGGGTTCCCTGAATACTGAAACCGGGACCGACGGCGGCCCAGCCCTTGGCAACATTGGAGATGTGGCTGTCATCGGCGCGGGAATTAGCGGCGTCGTGTCGGCCGCCCACCTCCTCCGGGCCGGCCTGAACGTTACCGTGTTCGAGCGGACCGGCGTCGTGGGCGGCGTCTGGGACTATAACCCGCAGCCAGATCGGGACCCACCGTTCCCTAACGTCCGGCCTCCCAGCCCGCACTGGGAGGACGTCGAGGAAGAGGGATTGACCTCGGATGAAGTCGCCCTGAGACATGGCCCACCAACTCCGTGGTACGTAATAGGGGAATAATATCTCAATCTATACTACTACTCACCACACAGCATGTTACAATGCGTGGATCATGCCTACCATCCAGGGCTCCCTGCACCTGGCCTCTCCAAAATAGGCTCTTAATGCTGGTTCCAATGATGTTAACGTAATTGCCAGCTATGCCGGCCTGAAAAATAACATCCCGACCCCGATTATGCGAAGCAGTCTCCTGAATTGGCCGGAGAGCGACGAGGAGCTGGTAGAGCAGACGGTGGTTGCGAAGTATATCGCGGACATCGCTAACCTTTATAATATATACGATAAAGTGCAATTTCACACCAGAGTGGAGAGCGTATCAAAGCCGAAGGGCGACAGTCAGTGGACAGTGGAGACAAGGACCTTCTCGAGGGCTGGTTCCGGCCACACACTAACGAAGAGGACCTGGAAATTCGATGCGGTCATAGTGGCGAGCGGACACTATCACGTCCCCTTCGTCCCGGACATACCTGGGCTATCTACGTGGAAAAAGCTGTTTCCGGGTCGGGTCACGCACTCAAAACAGTACCGGACTCCTGCCCATTTTAGCAACCAGACACTGCTCCTGATCGGTGCCGGCGTCTCGGCTTTGGATATCGCTAGGGAGTCCGCGCCGTTGGGCGCCAAGATTATCCAGAGCAGACGAGAAAGCAAGTTTGACGTGCTTGCGTCGGCTCTACCCGAGGCCACCGAACGAGTCGCGATGGTTTCCGAGTTTGTCGTTGACGAAGCCGCGGCCGATGCCGGGCCCCAGGTGCTGGAGAAGGGACAGTCGATACCAGGAAAGATCATTTTAGAAGACGGGAAAGTCCTCGAAGGTGTCGATCACGTCGTCGTCGCCACTGGATACATCACCTCGTACCCGTTCCTCGGGGATCTGGAGCAGCCTTTCGTGTCCTGGCAGGATGCCGACGAGAAGACTCTGATAACATCGGACGGCTACATCACGCACAACCTGCATAAGGACATCTTCTACATCCAGGACCCGACGCTGGCATTCATAGGCGTATCCCACCTCGTGTCGACGTTTTCGCTCTTCGACTTCCAGGCTCAAGTCGCCGCCAAGGTCTTCGCCGGACAAGTCCGTCTCCCGCCACAGGCGGAAATGCAACAGGAGCACAAGGAGAGGAAGGCCAAGTTCCTTCCCGGAGACAAATTCCATAGCATGTTCGCCACCGAGGACGCGTACATCGAGAAGGTCCTCAGCTGGGTCAATGGAGACTTGGCCAAGGCCGGGGTGCCGCTGCTCCCGGGGTTGGACGAGAAGTGGCACGCCCATTACAAGGTCTTCAAAGACAGGCTGAAGAATAACCGGCTAGGCGCAGTGAAGGAGGATTAGAAGGGCTGAGGGCAGGATCAAGATAGCTGTCAGGCACGACAACACTACTGTATAGATTCGTTTATTGGGAATATATATACATTGTTAGGATTTCCAAGATAAACATGGCACTTCTCTCTGAGTTAAAAAAGGAGGTTTATCTTATGTAGAAAATACGACGATTACCTAGAATCTCTTCCTCACCAATCCCCCTTTTTTCACACCTGTTCTTTCACCCCTTTCCGGCCCGTCTCCTCACCTCCAAATCCAGTACAAGCAGCTGCAGCTGACAGCTTCGCATGCCAGCAGCTCTCGAGCCGGCGCGGGGTGTCAAGCACTTACTTATCTTACCACACCTATCTCGAGTCGATCTCCGATGCACCCTCGCACGACCTTATCAGCTCCCTAGGAAACCCCCAAGGAAACCAGTCCACGGACACCTCTTCTTTCTCCGCACGCCATCTGAGCGTGTTACTATCTGCGGATTCGACAGACACTGCGACAAAATGGACCGCCGCGCGATCTTCCACGGCGCTGTGATCCACTCGCTCGGGCCGTCTGAGCTCGTCATTCTCGAGCGCGCGCTGCTCGTCGTCGACAGCGGGGGCACGATCGCGCACTTCGCCGAGGACGTCGCTCGGGAGGCGGTGCCGTCGGTGCTCGCCTCTCTGGACCCCTCCCCCGCCCCCGCCCCCGCCGCCGACGCCGACGCCGACGGCCGCCCCCGGGTCGAGGTCCGGTACCTGGGGCGCGGCGAGTTCGTGATGCCGGGGCTCGTGGACGCGCACAACCACGCGCCGCAGTGGGGGCAGCGGGGGCTGGGCCAGGGGCTGCACATCCTCGACTGGCTGGCCGAGGTGACGTTCCCGAACGAGGCGCGGTTCGCCGACGCGGCGCACGCGCGGCGCGTCTACGCCGCCTGCGTCGGCGGCATGCTGCGGCAGGGCGTCACCACCGCCGCGTACTACGGCTCGCGGCACGCCGAGGCCACCGGCGCGCTCGCCGACCTGTGCCACGCGCGCGGCCAGCGCGCCCTCGTCGGCAAGTGCAACATGGACCGCGGCGCGCCCGCGCGCTTCTGCGACGCCGACGCCGCCGCCTCGCTGCGCGACACCGAGGCCTGCATCGCGCACGTGCGCCGGCTCGACCCCGCCGGCGCGCTGCTGCGCTACGTGCTGACGCCGCGCTTCGCCGTGGCCTGCGGGCCGGCGCTGCTGGCCGGGCTCGGCGCGCTCGCCGGCGCCGACCCGCGCCTCGCCGTGCAGACGCACTTCAGCGAGGCCGAGCAGGAGGTCCGCCGCACGCGCGAGCTGTTCCCCGCCTTCGCCGGCAGCGAGGCCGACCTGTACGCCTCCTTCGGCCTGCTCGGCCCCCGCACCATCCTCGCCCACTGCTGCCTCGTCGACGACCGCGAGATCGACCGCGTGCGCGCCCTCGGCTGCGGCGTCGCCCACTGCCCCGTCGCCAACGCCACCGTCGGCGGCGGCTTCATGGCCGCCCCCGTCCGCCGCCTCCTCCGCCGCGGCGTCCACAAGATCGGCCTCGGCACCGACAGCGGCGGCGGCTTCTCCAGCAGCGTCCTCGACGCCGCCCGCATGGCCCTCGTCGCCTCCGCCGCCCGCGAGGCCGCCACCGCCGGCGCCGACCCCGCCCTGACCCTCGCCGAGGTCTTCTACCTCGCCACGCTCGGCGGCGCGCGCGTCTGCGGCGTCGGCGACCGCGTCGGCTGCTTCGCCGCTGGCCGCGAGTTCGACGCGCTCGTCATCGACGCCAACGAGAGCGCCGGTGTCATGGCTATGCTCCAGGACGACGATGATACGCGCATCATTTTTGAGAAGTTCCTCATGACCGGCGACGATAGGAATATCCGCGAGGTGTACGTCTGCGGGCGTTCGGTGAAGCCTCAGTCTTGATTAGGGGCGCTTCTGTATGTGCGAGGGTGGATCATCAAGGCCTAGCTAAAGCCAGGCAGGACCTGTTCGACCTCTGCTATGCCGTGGTTATTCGCCTTCTCACACCGCGTGTGTCGGAGGGAAGGCCCTCCGATGATGCTCAAGCAATTTTTTAAAATATTTGTTTAACGAGTTATCCTAATAGTTGGGTAGTAGTTGATGTTTCATATGTTTTATCGTAGATGAAATGAACGCCGCGGTATCATGCTATTAGTGTACCCACATCCACTCGTTATCGTCCCTCATCCTCTGTGCCCGACACGGATTTTGGCCAAAGACAACACATATAATCGATCAAAGGAAAACATAGGAAATATTAGAATACATTCGGGCTACCGCCGAGTGGGCGGCGCCGGAAAAGTGACGTTGATCTGTTTGGTTTCGACAGGGCTTCCCGCACCACCAGTCCTTCTACCCTTACCTCCAACCGTAGGAGTGACCTTATCCAATGTCTCGGGAACCAGCGGCCTACTGTTTGCTCGCGGGAGCGGGTCCCACCTCGGCGTTCTTTGGTCCCAGGCGCGGCTCAGCAGGGGACTCGCTGTCGTTCCAGAGATAGGACTGCTGAACGTGCCGCCAGAGACGGTGCTCCCCTGTGGCGAGGTAACGGCGTACTCGGCCGGGTTGTACTGCCTTAGGGGTAGGAGCTGCGCGGTGCTCTTCGTGCTAGTGGTACTAGCTGGCTCGTCCGTCGGGGAGAAAAAGCCAGCTTTGGGCGACGTGGAATAGTGCACACCGTCAGGTATCACGGGAATGGCCGTCGAAATGTGGTGAGGCGGTATCGTTTTCAATTCTTCTCTGACGAAGGAATCGAGGCCGCGGCTGTTTTGGGATTGCCATGTGGATCGTTTCGAACTTGGAGACTCTGTAAAGATGGGATGGGAATTCAGGGCTGGGTATGGACCGGAATACGGTTTCTCTTCCTGGATAACACCTGTCGACGGGTCTGGGGAAAAAGATGGCGATCTGGGAGATAAGTGCGTTTGGCACTGAAATGAAAGTGGCGAGGCAGGCCAGTTTCGGTCCGCGTTTGGCCGCATTTTCAACGGCTTCGTGTCCCCGAGGAGAAGACGACGGTTGCGCCGTCTACGATGCCGTATGAAAAAGAAGCCGGCCACGGCTAAAACCACGACGATGGCGCCGACAACGATGCCCACAATCTGGGTTACAGAGAGAGGCGGACTTTTCTCTTCAGTAGTCTCGGGGGCGGTGGGGTCGACCGCACTGATCCTTGTCTTTGAGAAGACGGTATCGTTCAACCCTAGTAACATTCCGGCGGGTGGCTGTTGCTTGCATCCCGTCTGAAGAGCGATGAGATCTACCAGAGCATTAGCAATGCCATGGAGTAATATGGTGATGGGAGAATGGCTTACAGTTTGCGAGATAGTCCAGGCCATCTGAAGCGGCCACGCAGGAAAAACATTGGGAGACTACCTCATCAGACATGGCTCTGCCGTCGGCGCCGCAGTACGCGTAGCCGTGACTTTTTGGGTTCAGGTTCCCGTCCGTCAACGTCCTCTCCAATGTGCCGCAGGCAGTCGAGGTCGAACATGGCGTTGATGGTGTCCCCGTTGCATTCGGAAATCCGAAAATGCAATAGTCAAACGTATATCTGAGATTGTCTACGGAGCGGTTAGAACCACCACTTGTATAGGCCATAGGCAAATTTACATAGGAACCAAGTCTGGTCACTTTCGCTTCCCTGCGAAAATGCGCTATCCTGAAGACAGGTCATACATCTCTGGAACTTTTGGCCAGTCGGCATGCTCGAATATTGGGAGTCATGGCAGGTGATATCGTCGTTTCCGGTCGTCGATGAGTTCGGATCGGAGACGTCGAGGCCTGTGGAATCTATACAGAGGGAGGCACAAGGGGAATTTGGCGTGACCTGTAAGCTCGCGGTATGTTGCGCAAAGAGGGTAAGAATTAAAGCGGTGAGAAGAGAAGCCATCTCGCTCGGAGATGTGCTGTTGACGAATAAGAAGCCCTGTGCTAAAAAGATCGACGGTAGTAAGGAATGGCTGGGCGATCTTGAAGGTGATAGATTAAAAGTATTATCAGAAAGTTTACCAAAAAGAGCGAAAAAGACCACCGCCAGCCGGCTGGTTAGAGGGATGGGGATATACTCTCAACGGATCTCACGACATAATCATTGGTCCCGACGCGGAATACCCAAACATCTACAGGGTGTCGCGACGAAGTCGGGACGGGGCAGCTGATATAGTTTATTCGACGTCAAAAATGCGGCAGAGATGTATTACTCTTTCGATCTCGCCCTAGAGTGAACTCGGTGACAGTGGGCGCCTAGAAGCGCCGAGGTAGAGAGATACGACGAGAGGTAGCATCACAGGTATGCTACCGTTCCCGACCCTTGCAGAGAGCATCGGGGGGGGTGGGGTGCGTATACCACGTAGTACTCGTGCAGTAGGAGCGGACGACGATCTCACATGACGAAGCAGTAAGATGGAGAGCCGGGTCTGGATCGTGCTGTCCTTAAGCGCCGTGATTTGCCCTGTAATCTTACGGGAGCACCTGGAGTGGGTCTTGGATAGGGTCGCTGGCGGCAAAGACAACCGCCGTTTGGGCGCAATGGACGGACGGGGAGAACAGCCCTATGCCAACGTGACCCTATTCGGGACAGGGGAACGCCCTTCATGGCCAAAAGCGGCAATGGAGGCGCTGTAGGGGACCCCATGGGGGCCAGTCTGCGAAAATAGCTGAAGGCCCATTGGCTATCTGCCACAAGAACACACACGATCTACCTGCCACTCGGCACGCACGCGGCGATGCCGTGCATGCCGACGGATCGAACGGGCATTCTCTTTCAGTATGTAGGCACGATGGCCCCGGGGGCGAACCGCCTAACGGGGTCGGTCTTCGGACCCATGTTTCCTTTTAGTTTACCCTGCTCATCATTCGACAGTCACTGCTCGACATTTCCCGAGAAACGTCCTCGCAGCTCGTGCGTGTCCGAGACGAGCCGGGGCTAGTACGAGAGGAAGTCGAGCGGGCGTGTGAAAGTACTTCAGGGCATCGGGAGAACGTGGAACTGCCCGGGGGGCGACGGGATTGGCCAGTAGAGGTGACGGGTCCCTATCGAATCGGAGCATAGCGTCTGCTTTCGTCGATGCTGCATGTTGTTGGTAGATGCGTGGATAGAGAGCGGCGATGTGCGATGTGATGGCGAGCGTGCAGGTTGCAGGGTTGCAAGTTGGCGACTTCGTGTGTTGGTTGTGTTGGGGGGGAGGGAAGAAGGAAAAGGATGGGCGAGCGGGCGCTTATTTTTACACAACTGGTGCCTTGTCATCTTGGTGGTCTGAGCTCGCCCCCTCCCCCATTCTGACGAGACGAGACGTCCCCCTATTGGCTCAATAGACCTCTTTAGCGGGTCTGCTTCGGCGTGGCGAGCCGGCCGGAGTTTAGGCGGGTTTATCGGGTGGTGTTCGGGGATAGCGTACATGTAGGTTAGGTACATAGTCTACAGGTACGGGCCTTACCTGATGGGAGGCACCTACCTGGCGCCCAGAGGGTGCGAAGGTCCCGTCCGCATCGCACATAAACTTGACTCGGACAGCTTCCAACGCACAAAGCACAAGGACGGGGGTGGGTTGAAAGCTCACGATAGGTATTGTCTGCTAGTTCCGCCCATCCTTCCCACCAAATCTCCGGTCCCAGTGTTTCTGTCTCTCCCGCCCATCTCGTCATCTAACCTCGAACTCTCGCGCAATTCGGAAAACTCAGTCTTGCCCCCCCAAGCAATAGTGAGCGTTTAAGTCGGCGTTCGTCCCCGAGTGTTATGCCCTGTCTATATTTCTCCCAGGACCTCGTCCCATCTGCCGTGTTCTCCGTGCTCTGGCACGCGTGTATGCCCTAACCGGCCCGCCGCCGCCGGCTCACTCAACCCAAAGCTCCCGACCAGAAGCGACCGTGCCGGCTATGAACATGCAGCGCCCCTCGGGACAGCCCGCGTGGAAGACCAGCGTGACACCATCCTCCGACCTCACCCCGTTGGCACCGCCTGGGGCTTGGAATCCGCGGTCGCCGGTTCTGAATAATCTACGCTGCGCTTTCTCGAACGGACCCGTCACATTGGTTGCCGTCGCGTAGTTGACGCTGTAGCTCGGCTCGAGATAGCACCCGGCGCTGTAGAGCAAGATGTATAATCCCTCCTCCTCGTCCAGCACCAAGTCAGGTGCCTCAACCAAGGGACCATCCGCATCGTCACGGTCGAGAATCGTGACTGGATCTCCGATCTTTGTCACGCCGTCTTGTTCTACCTCTTGCAGTTGGATCGGCGTGGGAACGATAGGGGGCACGGTGTTGAGGCAGCTACCTCCGTGCCCAATACTATTCCCATCGATCTTGTACACGACGTATTGCCTGCCGTTCGCATCCTCGAAGCCGGCAGGGTCAATCGAACCGCCCCGCGCGAGCTCGCAATTGAGTGGCTCATCCCGGGGTATGTACGGCCCGGTAATCGTATCTGCAATTGCGGCACCAACACAATGGCGCGAGGGATCTACTTTCGTCTGGCCGCTATAATACATGACGTACTTTCCACTAGGCACTCTGCGTACGTCGGGCGCCCAGCTGTTGCCGTCTTCGGCCCAGGAACCTGCCCGGGGAAGGGGATCGATGCCCAGCAGGGTCCACTCTCCTCGGAGTTCTGTTGCTCTCGCCACTTGAATATTTTTGTTGTCGTGCGAGGTCGCGAAGGCGTACCAAGTACCATCTGCATCCCGGGTCACGGAAGGGTCGGGGAAGTCTGCCGCAATTACGGGCACAGTGAGATCCTGTGCTCTTCGGAGATGGTGTGGGGGTTCCGCTGCCGTGGCGCGAGCGGCGGCCAGCAAGAGCAGCGCCGTCGTTACAAGCGTGTGGAGAGGCTCCATACCTGCCCGTTAGTACGTATGTATGTATGCGGACTAAACTAGCGAGGAGTATCCGGGGTCTCGAGACGCCGGCTTATAACAGGATATAGATGGGAAGGCTGCAAACTAAGCCGTGCTTGTGACTGGCAACAAGGCTAGTGCTCGCTTTGCTTAACAAACAGATCGTGATGGGATGAAGCCGGCGCTCATGTGCGTCTTATATATTTTCGAATCACCAATGGACATGGGCTGCCCATGATCTTGCAAGTCATGTTCTATTCATACCCTCGGGAATGCATGCACAACGTCACAATAGATGAAAGCAGCCAACCTGCCAGCTAGGCGCCATCAACACGGCTGCGTAACTATGCGAGTCAAATCAGATCCCAGGGCGTATGGCTAAGCCATGCCACCCAGTGGGACACGGACAGAAAAGGAATCTAGCGGCCGACATGGTCTCGCTGTGGACGCGTGTAACTTCGTCTGTCGTGGAGCTATGACTCTCCCATCCCCCCTGAGCAGAAATTCCGATAATATGCAGGACACGGGCCTAGGTAAGGCGACGGAGAGGGCCTCTTTGTCATGGACCACCCGAGGCACTCGTGGTACGTCTTCTCATAGAAGGTCCGCTGGCGCTTGGCTGTTTAGTTTGGTCTTGGAATACTAGTGTACTAAATCAGGGCTCTGTCTGATGTCTTTGCGAGACTCGGGGCATCATAAAGCTGAATGTTGCTAAACAAGTCCGGCAGCTTAGAGAGACAAGAAAGGAAATGTATGAAACCTGCAGATCTCTCAATGTAAGCCTCGGGCAACGTTCATACATGAGTTTGTAGATCCTCTCGCTAAGGACGGGCCAGTCTAATCTGGAATGGATACGCCTTAAAGCGGACCCAGCAAATGTGACACTGTAAATTTTATCTGAGGCTTCCAGCATCAACCTAGTTAGTGTGGAGGTGATGCGGGCCAGTGCGGATTCATGCGGCGTCTCAGCCGTCGAACATGCGAGCTGATATTAACTGGTGATTCAGTAACCCCTGATGCGGCGGAGTGGTCGGCCTTGCGGTGACGAGCCGCGTTGGAATAGTGGCATTATCTCGTCTATGACAGCTTTGGGATGTCGACTCATTCTGTCAACTCTCTAACGTTCACGGCTTCACCAAACGGGATGCCGCAACAGCTGCAATCACCTCGCAGACGCCATCCGATACCCCGCTCGTCTCTTTTTCTGTCTTGTCTCCGCCGGCGCGCACACAAAATATCAGCTATTGAGGGCACAGGGTAATGTGTAGGTCATAGTAAAGCCCACATGAAAGTCGTACGTAAACATCTCACACGCATTACACATTCGACCACCCGCACGGAGTCGCGCCCCACGGGTCGACATCTTAGTACGGGACCATTGGGACCATCCGTGTTGCGTTTCCCCTGAACTACTGCCTGCCCCCCTGACCTATCGGGTCGTACGCTTGGCGTTTTCCCGCCGAAAGCGCGAGATCTCTCTCTCTCTCTCTCCTCCTCTCGCGCGTCGCACGCGGGAACCTTAATATTCGACCCGGCCGTCCGACGCGTCGGATGGGCGGACGAAGAGAGAGACACGAGATGCAACTCGCACAAGCGGGACCTGTTTCTCAGCGGGACAGCGCGCGGCCACCTGTCTGGCCGAGGCTGGTGCTCAGGTAGAACCCGTGCGACGGCTGCTCAGGGCGGAGTAGAACAGGACTAGCCTTGGAAGCTCCTCCATAGCGCCGGAACACAAGGGGCGAGGCGTGTTTTTCCTTACTCCCTGGTCTCTTACGCGGACCGTGATACCCAGCCGGGATGGAGAGACAGGTCGCAGCACAGGCGGAGGAAGCCCGCCTGCCTGCCCGCATCGGAAGGTCGCGAGATCGCCCATCCCCGGCGGCGCTCTAGCTCTCGGTCGATCCCCCCCCACGCCGCCTGGAGCGCATCCAGGGCACCAGACCTGTCTGAGACGCGCCGACAGCGACAGGGAGTCGTGGGGGATGGACCGATGGGGGACGCTTCGCGTGTGGCATACAGGGGAGGGGAGAGAGCTCCAGAGACACGGCCGGTGCGCGGGCGATGCTCGCCAATCGAGAGGGCGGCATACGCGAGGTCTCAGGTTGGAATCCCGCCGCGGCGGCCCCCGTGTCTCTCTTCGCCCTCGCTCCCTCGTGGCCCGAGGCGCATCAGGAGACCGCCGCAGATGGCACGACGAAAACCAGGTCTTCTCGCCTCCGTGCGATCTCTTCCTGTCCGGCCGTCCCGAAAGACGTAGGTACACACACGTGGCCTAGCCAGCTTAGCTCAGCCCAACCCAGCCCAGCGCGGCCGGTCCCGTCTAGCCAAGCCCATCCGAGGCATCCATCTCCTCTGCGGTAGGCGTGTATAACGATTTCTTACTCAGAATGCCGCCAGGGCGGGGTTCGGGTTTCGGACGGCGCCATCGCACAACGTGCGACGGCGGGCACTTTTCCTGTGGCTAGGCGCGGAGCGCGAGGGCAGGGCGAAGGCGGGCTGCGGATCGAGCCGCGGGCCATTTCGCGACGTAACCGCGCTCTCGTGGCGAGGGACGTAGGGCTGCTGGCCCGCCCGAGGCCGCCGACCTCCGCCGTCGCACATCGTACACGGCGTATGCGGTCACGCGATAACGGGAAGAAAAGAAGAGAAGAAAGGAAAAAAAAGAAAGGCCGAGCAGGCCCCGCTGCGCGCTGCGGCAGCGCGACGGCGGACTTAGTCAACATTACCAAGCATCGATTGCACGATATCGTATAGTCACGTCGCCTTAGGGGTCACCAGACGGCACGCACGCCGCGAATCCGCATGCCAAGATGATTGAATGAGCAGAGCACTTTCGTCCGGCTCTCGTGCCTTGGGCAGCTACCGCCTATCTACGGGTAGGCACTGTGGTCCCCTCTTGGGGGATCCGCCCCTGGTCCTATATGACATCGGGATCGCCTTGTTGCATTCACGTCACGTCGGCGAAAACAACCACAATAAAAAAAGGGAGGTGGAATTCATAGCGGCAACGTAAATCAGCAAAGCAGATCCTTCGCGAACGCCTTTTTCCTTCCCACCGTAGAGCAGACCCTGAACGGAACAGAGTAAAACACGATACAATGACATGACTGATTGCATGATATAACAGGGCGTGACGACGCCGTGTAGGGAGAGTATAGGGAATCTAGACGACGTGACGGAGCTCGTGACCGAAAAGGAGGGGTATCACCCAAGTGTTGGAACGCAGGAGTATTCGCAGCCAGAATTAGGTTGGGAGGCTAGCATTCACCCGGTGCTTCTTAATCTGCGTCGGAATCGGCCTTCTTGCTCAGCGAGGCACGCTTAGCCTCCTTGGCCGCCTTCTTCTCCGCCTTCCTCCGCTTGCGTTCCGCCTTCTCATCCGGCGTCTCGCCGTCGTGCTTCTTCCGCTTCTTGTTGTCGTCCTCGGCGGCCGGCGTGGCTTCGGCAGCAGGTGTCTCAGCCATCGTGACGTCGGCAGCCGGCGCTGCCGCTGCCGCTGCCGCAGGTGCGGGCGCGGGCGCGGGCGCGGAGTCGGCCGGGGGTCCATAGTCCTTGTACTCAGACGTCCACTTGGCCGGGGTCTGCTCGTTTGCTCTTCCGTACTTGTCTAGCTTCCCGGACGCCTTCAGCTTCTTCTTCTCCGTAGCAGTAGGGCCCAGGCCCCATCGGCGAGGATAAAGGTCTCGCTCCATGATGCATCGTTTCACCTTGGCAACGACGCCGTGGTCGCACGAGGACATCTCGACCGTCGACATCATTGCGATGCCAAGAGCGATCGCCTCACCCTTCGTAGTCATGAGAACAACTTCCTCGTGCGTCTCAATCCCGTCCTCTATAGCGGCGTGTTAAATGCGTTTCCCACACGGGATAGATACGAATGAGGGGAGAAGGGTCTGGTTGGCACGTACCGTATCGTAACAGGCCGGGAATCATCAGTTTCGCACCGTAGCAGATGGCATTGACGGTACTGTCCTTGACTACGATTCTCTTGTACGAGGTAAGGAGGGTTTCTAGGGGAGAGATGACTTTGCGTAGGTAGGATTCGTCCCGCGAGTTATCCATCATCCATTGCGCGTCGAGGACATCGTGGAGCGTGACGAGATCTTTGGTCTCGTCCATGGCTCCACTCCTCACTCGCCTCAGCTCCTGCATGTGCGCGCCCACGCCGAGCAGCAGGCCCATGTGCACGCATAGCGTTCGGATGTAGGTGCCGGCCTCGCAGCTGACCCAGAAGATGCCGAGGTGTCGGTCGTTATCGAACTCGATGAGCCGACTCTCGTGGATGGTTCGGATGCGGAGCTGCCGCTTGACGGCGGAGATGAGCGGCGGCCGCTGGAAGAGGGCACCGGTGAGGGTCTCGAGGGCACGTGCGAATTGCGGCTCACCGCCGGGGAGCTTGTCGTGCAACCGGATGACGGCGACGTACTCCTTTCCGGCGCCCTGCTGGGACTTGACGAGCCTAGTGGCGCGGTCGATACACACGATCAGGCATCCGGTGACCTTGGGGTCGAGGGTTCCGCTGTGGCCCGTCTTCTCGACACTGCAATTCCCACACCAGGTTAGCCTCTCATGATCGCGGCGAGCAGAGTGCTGGGCCGTACCGCAAGATTCTCTTCACCCAGGCGACGACCTCGTGGCTCGAGGGGTTCGAGGGCTTGTCGAGGTTGATTACGCCGGAGCTGATGTAGGACTTGAGGTCACGCGTCAAGGGCGAACTGCCGTTGGGGATGGGGGTGAAGTGGCCGGTTCGAACCAGAACTGGTCAGCGGGGTCAGCATGTCAACCGCGAGAGGCTTCTCGATGGAGGGCGGCTATCTAGCTAGCTCTAGCGACATACGCTTGTCGTAGTTCCTCAGCAACAGCGGCCATGTGCTCGTGTCAACGGACGGAGTGACGGCGGTCGGCTTGATAGAGAACTCGTCCTCCTTGGGCTTGATATCCTCCTTGGTGGTCATATTGGGGGCCGTCTCTGCACTTGCCGATGCCCCGTGCGAATGTGTATTCACTGTTCAATAGGCACACTCGCGACGGCGTTGGGGCTGACAACGACGAGGCTTGCGGTTCCAATGGCAATGTGGGAAAGGGTACGGATTTGTACTGCTCGGTTGGATGTGCGAATGGGGATATAAAATGAAAAAAAAAAGACAGGAAGCTCCAAAATTTTTGCTGCTCCCGCGCTTGTGGGGAACCCATGACGGACGGCTTCCTCTGATTGATCCAACGCGGTAGCTCCAGCCACACCTCGAGTCCACTAGTCTATGGCCGGGCTAGTCCCAGAACCCCGTCGCCACACTGCCTCTCTCAGCCACACCTACGTAATCAGAGGTACCTACCCAACAAGACACCGGCAAGCCACAAGCTAGGTATACCCATCCAGAAAGCTCCTATTATACTAGCAACCTGTAGTTATTCACCATTCTGGTTATAATGTGATGCATTTTCGACGCTCTCTTCCGTCCAACCCTATGCTTAAACTCAGGACGGGATTGCAGCACAGAATCCGTACCAATATAGGTATTTCGCCATCGCCGGATGTGTTCGTGGAAGCGTTTGCTAGGTACCTATTTATTTCTAGGACTCTCTCTATCTGTTGGCCCTTCACATCCACCATAACCCATCCGGTGCACATAAATAAGGAACGAGGAGTAAATATCCAGGTACCTCTCTCCTGAATACCCTTCTCGAGCACTCAATCATATTCGAAAATCAACACTACCCGGGTTAGGCCTTTGCCTACGCTAAGGACCACCGGGCGCCGTAACACGGCAGCGCGTCCTGGAACGTGCGGTCCGCCGCCCGATTCGACCGCGCTAAGCTGCCGTAGAGGCTTGATAGCGAAGACAACGAAATGAAGAAGTCTATTTCGCGTAGCGGCTGCGGTTGCAAGTTCCGGGACGAATTTACGTTAGACCAAATAGCGCACTCCCTCTTCCCGTGTCGTGTGCCTTCGAATGCGGCGTCCTGTTGGCTCACGGCTGCACTCACGTACCCCTTGATCCGGGGCATGCCGGCGTCGGCACAGCCCTCAAGAGGCGCCGCCAGCTCGGCCGTTGACCGCAAGTCGCATTGGTTTGCGACTATCTGCGCTTCCTTACTCCGAAATTTCGACATACACCCGCGCAAACCTTAGCGAGCATCGAATGACGGACGATTGCGGTCTGATACAACTCACCGATATAGAACCGGCCAACAACAGGGATTTCCTAGAGCATTTAGCTCGTGAGCGAGTCTAGGGGGCTGGCGCGTATCATTCGCGCGGCCGAGATCGAAGCCCACGAGGAAGCGGCTTCCTGGAACTCCAGCGATTCGAGGATCCCACGCCAACACCCGCGGATATCTAAATAGCCATCGCACTGGAAGACAACTCAAGAACTCTCTACAGCTATAATTCTATCTTAGGAAACATGCTAGGGGTAGATAGTAAACGTATTTAAGCACAACTGGCTGATCTTAGCAAGAAGGAGGGGGGGGGGGGGGGGGGTGGGCATGTTGAAACACTCAGAATGCAGAGGTACATGTTTCTTTGTTGCTTTACGCATCGATTGCACTCACCAACCCCGTGTCACCCACACCACCCTGCTCAAGCTTACTCAAGGCCTATTTGGAGAATGCTCATGAAAGCAGTCGAATCTAGTTAAGAATACGTGGGCAGTGCTTTACAAGTTGAAAAATGTCAACTTTCGCGAGGGAACAGTTTTGGACCCCGGGTTCCAGAAATGGGACCCCTTCCCTCGAGGACTCAACCCGCCCAATTCCAGAGTCCTCCCATATAAACCCAGTTCTGGTTCCCTCATACTCTCCGCTTCTTCCCAAATTCAACCTTCTAATTCCTCTTTTATCTTCATTTAAACATAGGCCGTTGCCATTCTCCCTCGGCGCTTTTCGCCTCAGTTTTTGCCTCTTTTGAGACACTTCATCCACATGTCCCCACCGATGCCCTAAGCCATGCGGCGAGGAATGCGGCCGCTGCCTTATTCTTCTTGACAACATCAAACAAACTACTCTGTAGACGTCATAAAGACGGGGTTCCCTGTTTCCAGAAGTAAAGAACAGACGAGACCCATTGTGATTCCTCGTGTAGGGAAGTATTCCGGGCTTGATCAAATAGCAAGGCGTTGCGCCCGTGTCATTTCAGACGTCTCCCTCTGTCCTACGGCTTACCAAGAGATCTTGCGGTGACTGTCAACGTGCCGGGGTTAATAAACATTAGACGCAATTAAGTAATTATACTATAGAAAACAGGGAGGACTTGAAAGTGCGATTCAACCATGATGATAAAGCAGTTGAATACTCACGCCCCAGAAATATTCAGAATACTGATCTACGATATAAGTAATACATCAGGTAACTAATATGATACCAATAGGTGAAATATAGCCAAATTCTCTTTTCAACAATCGTGTGTCTTCAATTCTGCCTTTGGGAGCTCTATCCTGCCTGAAAATAACATAAGAAACCGACCTTCTAATAGGATAGAAACGGGCTGAGTTGTCTGTGCTAGCAGTTCGCCGCTGAAATCTGATGTATCCGCATAATTAGCTGGGTAGCTACTATAACCCAACATCAGTCCTCAATATTTTCCCTTCTTCTTCTTCTTCTTCTTCCGCTCTTCCTTCTCCCGCTCTTTCTCTTCCCTCCGCTCTTCCTTCTCCCGCTCTTTCTCCTCCCTCTGCTCTCTCTTCACCCTCGCATTCCTGCAGCGCGGGCATTCGGAGCTGTAATCAGGCGCGTATGCTTTCCCGCATGTGTTACAGATTTCGAGGTGGCCCAAATTTTTGCATCTCGTCTTGGCAGTCTTATTGCATACCGGGCTGATATTGGAGCGGTTAGTTACTAGATACAGCGTATGAATCTAACAAACGTTCGTAGAACTTACCAATGGTGTGTCTCGCTACCTGATTCGAGCATTGTGGGCTGATTGTTTAAACGTGCGTCTTGTTGGTGTTCCTGAAGCTGTGACTCTAGACTTTCAAGCGAAAGGCTAGGTGCGAAGTGGTCGAATGTCGTGTGTGTCTTCTAATTCGACCTGAGGACTACACTATCCAAGCGGATTAGTAGATGTTTATATTTCCATTGACCGGGCTTGGAGGGCTCCTATTCGGTTTGAAAGACACTTTAGATCTGCCGACATTTTCTCTGAGGTTGATATGTTGGTGACTGAGTCTTCAGCCAGCCTAAAACTGGAAACCAGTCGAACGGCCACCATGTTGGTAGCATTGTAGGCTCACTGGACGCCAAATAGTCCGGTAGGCTATTCAGACTAGCTGTATACTGACACCGCAACGCCTACCTTCAGGTCAGGCGCTCGCCGGGCCACCCGCGGGCCGTACAATGGGGAGACTAGGCCCCAGTGTAGAAGACCTGTGGGCATATGGAAACAATAAATGGGCTAGGGAGGTTTTTACGGATCTGCCTAATACATAGGTGCGCGCCTCTATCAATCAAGGACACCACCCTACCGTACGTAGGTATACCTATTTTAACGGGGCGTGATATTGAGACCGAAACACCGCCCCATAACGCCGTACTAGGAGCCAACATCTCTATAATGCGTTTTTATACTTATCCAGTCATCATCATGTCCATGCGGCTGTTGGTCGTTGATTGAGCCCATAAGCTGACGTACCCCTCCACGGGCCACCCCCTCACGGACCAGGCTTTTTTGTATGTTGGTTTTCACGGACCAGGTTTTTTACATGTTGGTTTTCACGGACTAGGCTTTTTATATGTTGGTTTACCTACGTACAAAAAAAGCCTGGTCCGTGAAGGGGTGGCCCGTGGAGGGGTACGTCAGCTTATTAGTAGTAGGGGCCACATTGCCGCCTAATTTGCCGTATCGCCCCATAGACAGTCTTATTAGCTACTCTCGTATTTGCCCGAGGAGAAAATGCGAGGTACCTAATAACTACCTAGGGTCTGATTCCTAAGCGTTGCTTGGTGTTATTGTGGCCTCATATTTAAAGGCAGTAATCGCCCAGGGAACGATGAAGGTTGGGTCATTCTGTGCGCAACTGCATTCCTGGCGACACTTGGATCACGTGAGGAAGCTGAACGAAGCAATAAACGTCAAATTCTCATCGACAGAGCAACATTGTGTTTGCTCATCGCGACCACACGTAGCAGCACACCAGCAGCATCCCGACTATCAAGCGTCACTTACCCCAGAATGTCGGTCGAGAACTCTCAGGATGAGCTGGATGTCGAAACCTTCGGTCCCTTAGTCTCAATTCCGGCCTCTTCTCTAATTCTTCTCGCGTCAAAAATACAAAAAAAGGCTCTCGACTCTCAGGCTTCGACAAGCAGTCTAGTCGCCCGGGTCAGCGGGTCGTATAATATTGCCCACATCATCCAGCTAGATAACATCAAGCTGGTGATACGTGTGCCGGCCACTGGATGGGGTAGTGGAATGACAGAGACAGCCGCCGATGCGATTCGGTCACATGTCACCACCTTGCGCCTGATCAAGTCCCAGACCACGATTCCGGTCCCGGAAATCTATGGATTCGATACCACTTGCGACAATGAGATTGGAGCTCCATATATCTGCATGAGCTTTATGCCAGGCGCGCCAGTATCTCAGGCTTGGTTTGATCCCCTCAACCCAAGCCTCGAAGCTCGACGCCTCAGGATTTTGACCTCTCTATCACAGGCTTTGGCTCAGCTCGCCAAGTTTAGCTTCAAGAAGATTGGATCTCTCCAAGCTGAGGAGGATGGGCGTCTCGTTGTTGGCCCCTGCTACAGCTGGCACGAGAACGACGACGGCAGCTTCAGCGTTGTAGCGTCGGGCCCATATGACACTATGTCTACCTACCTTCGGGAGAACTCTGCGGTGAGAAAAAGAGATAATGAGTGGGGGGTTGCGGAATACAAGTTGTTAGATGTCATTGTTCCTTGTCTTCCTGTCGGGAGCCGAGACGAATCGTTTGTTCTTTCCGCCCCTGACCTGGACTCGCAAAACGTTCTAGTAGACGAGGAGGGCAACGTCACAGGAATTATCGACTGGGACCATGTTCAGACCATGCCCCGGTGCGTCGGCTACTCTGGCTATCCGAGTTGGATTACGCGCGATTGGGATCCACTCATGTACGGCTGGCCGAGGATGAAAGATTCAGAGAACTCGCCAGAGGAACTTGACCGGTACCGGGAGCATTTTGACCGGGAAATGGGTGCGGCTCTAGGCTGGGAGGGGGACTGGATTTACACCAAAAAGTCTCATATTAGGGAAGCGGTATGGATTGCCGCCTTGCATAGTTTGAATAGGCCGGAGATTTGTCGAAAATTGGTTGAGGTCGCAATTGGAGGCCAGGGAGAGGAGGTAGATGCCTTAGGTATGATGTACGATCTTGGTTCAGATTACCTAGACGAGCAGGAATGGCGCGATCTCAAACAGAAGTTGGAGGCCCTCGTCTCCTGAAATTCATGTATACTGGTTGCCGAAAAAGGTCCTCGTTCTCCCGGCGATAGATCTTATCGAGTTCGCCATCGAGAATCGCCGTTTCCTTCACCACTGGTGCAAGAAACAGGTGAAATATCCCCCTATTAGACGCGCAAGAAAAGCTACGAAGGCCTTCACTAAGTCCGTCAAGAACATCCCTTGGTATTAAAGTACATTCCTGAACGGCTATTCCGTGCTCTCAAAGCTTCACTAAGAAGGACCATGAACAGTGAAGAGATTGATTTAACTATAGCTTTATCTCAGAAGCCTTTGTGAAGTATATAAGATCTAAGTATACTATGATGACGTCAACTGGGGAGTTATCGAGGCCTAAGATAGCCCGAGCCCAGGTGCCTTAAGACGTGGCGGCTAAGGTGCATAGTATATCGACCGTCTTGTTCTCCAGTTTCCTACTCTATCTTAAAACTATAGCTTTAAAGTGTCGATTCCTTTGCAGATACTTAGTAAGTCTCTCTCAACGCAAGGGCATGACTCAACCCCACCTCTTCTTCCACCCCTTGCGCGCGTACCCGGGGCTGCTCCTCACCAGGCTCATGGCGGCTATTACGCGGTCCGGAAGTGCCTCCACATGGCCACGTACCAAAACTTCCAGAAACACGGTGAGCAACGCAGAACACCTCTCTCGCGCTCTAGCTGTACATACTCTTTTGCCGTCGGGTCGTAGGCCCGGTCGTTCGGCGTGCGCTCGATCGGCTTGTCCTCAATACGGTGACGGCCTTGCGTAATAGTCACTTCGCTCCTTACCCCCTTTCCGTCGCGTGGGAGCTCTGGGCTGGGTGGCGCGACTGAAGACGTCTACCTCAACCTCTGCGTGACTAAGGGGAGTGCGTACCGGAAGTCGCAAATGCGGGCCAAGTATCCCAGCATCATCAATACCCTCGACGAGGCACAGCACCGGAGGAAGCGGAAGTTCACTCTTAAGACCTAGAGCCAGCCCTCCTCCTCCGCTCCCGCTGTCCCGTCAGAGGGATCGAGCAAGTAGCGTTAGGTCCTTTGGGCTTTGCGGAAGAAGCAGTTAGCAGTCTTGGGAATATCGCGGAAAGTGCGTTGGATACCCCGAGCTCAGATGACTCGCCGCCATCCCTATACGCAGCGGAAACCTCTTCTGTCCTGCCGTCGAGCTCTATAGGCTTGACCTAATACCGTAGCGGCGCGCGACACGGGCTTTATCTCCGGCTCGTGGCCTTACCCTCCCCTCCCGATTTCTCGTGTTTTCGCGACTGGTGATGCACGCGATAAGCACGGGTTTTAAAGAGGGGCATCCTTCATATATAAGCCCGTTATGGCCCTAGACTGGAAACCTCTCCCGAGCTCGGCTCCACTGGTGTTGGATTAGCCACCCAAAGACTCGGAGGGCGAGGTGTTGCCCGGCCGCGCAACTGAATATAGCAGCACTCCGGTTAGTTATGCTGGAACTCGTAACGTAGACTCGTTACATAAGATGCAGACCGAGAATACCTGTCTGCCCAGAGGGTTGAGAGATATCAGGGGAGAACGGGTTAGAGCCGATCCTTAATTCATAGCTCAGGTTTATTCATTATCTTAACACACTTTGGACACGACAAAGAGTATGCTCCCAAGCTGCCTTCGCCGAAACGCGCGAACATCCGCCTTCATGGTATCTTTCGAGCATTGCCTCCGCCATTATCAAATCTCCCCCGACCCCGCTTTGTATATACTTGTGATGTCAGCCGGAGCGATGAGATTGTGTCTGCTCCTAAAACGCCGTGCTAAAAAGAAAAACCCGTAACCAGATAGTTAATTCAAGGAACAGTCGTTATTGTAAAATCAGAAGGCGTTTCTCGATATCGCGTCGTTGCCCATTTGCGTCGTCTACGGTTGGCTAGCGGTGCCATGCCGCCCATAGCCAGGATGGCCGAGCGTAGGGGCTTGGTCGGGGATGGGAGGCGGCGGCGGAATGGGGAACCCGTAGCCACCGGCACTATTCACCCCTTCCTGGAGCTCGTATCCCTCGGTGTCGGCTGTCATCTTGTCTTTGCCCTTCTTATCGTCCCACGGGGACGGCGCCTCGCGATCGGGGCTTATGGCAACGCCGATGTTGTGCGACTTCTCTACCGGCCACATGCTCCCCTGTCCCTCGCCCCCACTCACGGGACTATTGTATTGCGAAACGTAGGGCGAGAAATAAGGCGGGAATGTGGCCTGCGTCGCGGCGCTGACGGGCGAGTCCTCCCAGCCGCGGAGGGGTCTCTGGCTGATTGGGGTCTCGAACATCTCGCCACCTCCCTGGGATGGGGGCCAGTTCTTGGCGGCCTGTTCCCGGCGACGGAGATAGGCCTTTCTGCGGCGCTTCCCGTTTATGACAATGCCGCATCCAACAATAGCAAGAAGCACCACGAATCCGCCGATAGCGATTCCGGCGATCGCCCCGGAATCCAGCGGACCGGTCAATCCAGGCGGCTCGTAGGTCGCCGTGGGTGTAGGCTCGGTGACGTTAACGATATCTGTGGAGAAGAGATTGCCTTCAAAATGAATGGTGACAGGCGGCTCAGGCCTCATTTTACAGGCCCCGTCTAGGATTGATATAACTGAAATGAACACAATCGATTAGCCAACAACCCCAGGCCGGATGTAAGGGAGCAAGGCTCACAATTGCTGAGGTAGTGGCCATTGGGTGCATATTTTAAGCAGTCATGGCACTTATCGAGGTTGTATTCGGACCATAGGTCACAGTAACCGTACGTGGCAGAGTTAGTGGATAAGTTGCCATAACGTACGGCTTGCTGGATATTCTCGCAGGCGAACCTACCAGAATTAGTACGGAGCAGCAGAGGTGGGCGAAGGGGGGTGAGAACACGTACAAAGTGATGCACGGGTTTGTGGACTCCTCGAACAAGCATACGTTGGTGGTGTATCGCAGATTATCTGCCGGTTCTGTTAGCAAGCCCTGATGGAACCTCGGCGACGGAAGGGGTTGACATACAGAGAAAAGATTGTAAATCGGATGCGACCCGCCGGCTCTCGGTTGAATATGTGCTGGTCGCCTCGCAGCTAACGCAGCTCTCGTAAACTTGGCCCACGGACGTAGAGCGATAGGCGGATTCCTCGCAGACGATCATGTCCCGCGCTGTCGAGTCGAGGACGTTGCCGCATCTTACCCCACATGGCGAACCCTCTGCCACAAGCAGCGCAGTCGTCGAGCGCCAGAGCGCGGCGAGGATAAGAGCTCGCGACATCGTTTCTATTCTCGCCTGACAATTCCGTGTGTGGACGCGGAGGGTCTAAGATAGCGAAGGTGGGAGTACACCGAAAGGCCTTACGGGCGTCGCGAATCGCACGGCAACGATCGCAGCTAAAATACCGGGGGGTAGCGCAATATATATGGCAGGGCGAGTGTGAGAGGGTGGCACGCAGCCACAGTGAGAGATTCTCGGCCGGATGAGCCGCAACACGGTGGTTTATAAATGTCCTGGCCGGAATTGCGTGGTATTATAGTCCATAGCCCGAAGAGTTGGGGGGGCCAACACCTTTTTTTTCTTCTCAGCCGCGAAGTGAGGGAGACAAGCCAGCGCTTCGTCGATATGTTTGCATCTCCCCCCGTCTAACTACCACCACACATCCCAGAGGTAGCCCAGACGGTAAGCGCGCACAAGTCTAATAGTCTCGTTGATATTTGGCTCGGCCGCCTTGCAGAGCCCGCACATCTCACCAGACTAGGCCGGTTCGGTCAGAAACGATCGGCCGTTGATGAGACCATGCAAGTCACGGCTGGGGGGGGAGCAAGGGGACGGGGTTTGATGGGCAGGCGGAGCGAGGCCTGGTACCATCGTGCTTCGATCTAATAGCGGGACAGATGTGCTAGAAGGGAGAATCGAAAGCGCGAGAGAGAGCAGGCCAGTTCGAGCAAGGGAGCAAGCGAGCCGGTCCTGAACGCAACACGCACACGGAAGACTGGCCGGTCTGGGCTAGGCTAGCAGCATCGCCAGATGGGAGGGGAGGATTGGAGATAGGATGGGGGCGGGTGAATTGAAGCTGAGGACGACGAGAAGACAGCGAAAGGCTGGTCGGCCAATGAAAGGCGGCAGCACTTTGACTGATTCCGTTCCTGCTGCGGGATTCCCTGCCCGGGTGGCACCTGCTTAAGTTGATCACAGGTGGTAGATGCGCATACGGCTGCTCATTGGTCCGAATCGGTCGGGGCCAAGCGGGGTCCACCCAACAAGTATCCAGGTACCGGCCAATGGCAGCTCTAGATCCTCCTGCCCCACCTAAGTACCCAGGTACATACTACGGTACTGAGAGGTACCTAGGTACTCATAGAAATCCCCAATTTGTGCCCCCAGCCGAGTCACCGCACCCATCCCATCCCATCCTATCTAAACCATCTTCATTCGGCCTCTCTCTATCCAATACTGACACCTCCCCCGTCACGCCAATATTAGGCACTTATTATATGTAACGTAGGCAACCGGAGCCCGCTGCTGCGCGCTGCCAACTCGCCGGGACTTCTTACTACGCAGCGGGCCTGCCCATGGGGGCCGAGACGCCTAGGGTTTAGGTGCCCCTGCCCCCCACCGCCTATGCACAACGCGACACACGCCGCAGCTATTACTTATATGTCCTCGATGAGAAGATCGCCGAGGGATTTAGCCGTCCGTCCCCATCCCCAACCCGGGAAATGCCAAACGTCAGCAGCCATCCCGGCCAACTACTGTGCCCCATTCGACGGCCAGATTAAGGCGGTTAAAAGGAGCCGCGGCGACGACGACCTGGTATTACATCTATCTCGCCGCCCCGTTGCCCCTCGCTCGCCGGGTTGCCTCGACTCCCTCTCCCCCCTTGCTTCGGGTTTCGTCACATGTGTCGTATGAGAAGCAGCCCACACGAGCGAGCCGCCAGGAGATTTCCGTGCCGTAAGCGATCCGAACTGTCGGGACGGGACGAGGGCGGAATCTAGGCCATCGGCCGCTCTTTATCCCCCTATTTGTCCAGCTGCAAGATGGGGTCACCGTCTACGCCCATTTCCCCGAGCGCGTCGCAATTGTTCGCTTAGACGGCCGTGGTTTGCTTGGTGGGCGGCTGGCTGGCTGGCTGGCTGTAGATATTAGGCGTTCGACCGATATGTTGACTGCTCGTGATCTGCGCGACGTGATACTATAGATGTGCATATGACGCTGACCAACTAATCAACGGCATTGGCCATCGTATACCGCCAAACTCCAGCTAGCTCTCTCACTATCGGCGTGTTGGGACACTCCGGCGCGTCTTCGACGTTCGATCCGCTACGTCAGTTCCCTTGGTCGCGGTGTGATGCGTTAATATCCAGTTCCTCACGGCCGGGTTTCTAAGCGCCGGAAGGTCGACGGCGTGGCGAAGGATCTGCTTCCGTACGTGACTATTTTGGCAGCTTCGCCGTTCCAAGTCTACGGCTAGTTTGATATTTTATGACTCGTAACCGAATGCCCTGCCGGATTAGGTAGTCGATGTTGGTGCAGTTGAGATATACGGGCGCATCGATTGGATAGATGTTGTGCGTTATTACGACGTCGTAGTAGTGGCCCTGCGCGCGCCAGGCTTTCTCGAGGGGACCGTGGCTGGTAAGCCAACAGCTACCCTTCTTTGCTGGGCACATACATCATGGGTTTGGGGGCGCTTCCGTCCAGCATATTGTACTTGTCCCAACACAAGACCTCGACAGTAGGCAAGCCGATTTTACGAAGCTCCAGCCAGTGCAGAAACACGAATCTCTCCTGTCTACACACGTAACATATATACTTCTCTGTTCCTAAATGTCTACCCGCCTCGCTTCGCAGTCGACATCGCTTGAAAACGCCAGCGTACGCGGTCCCCTTGTCTGTTGTTAACGTATATTGCTGACCTACTTGCCATCTCCACTAACTACAACCGGCCAGGATCGGCCGAGGCGACTCGTTCCCAACGTCATTCCAGTTTCCAACGTTCGCCAAATGTTCAACACCGCCTATTCCCATCGACGGTAAAACTCGTTTCCAAGGATACACGTTCAAACGTTGTACAAACTAGGAATATCCCCTCCTCCTAAACTCCACGCTGAAGGAATCAAGATGGCAATGTTACACGCATAGATAGCTAAGCCCGGACTCACCATACCGCACTCCTCGGCCTCTCCCGCGCTTCGGCTTCCTTATCGAGGCATTTGACGGCTGCCGCTTGTGGTTGCTCTTTCGGCGGCACAGGCATGCTTCGATGACCGTTGTCGTTGTCATAATCCGGAGGGAGCACCATGGCCTTGGGAGTAGGGGGGACCCTCTCCGCGATGGCTTTAGGTGCCGCTTCCTTCTCCGTGGTGTAGGCTGCACCAGAGTGGTTGGAGTCTTCGTTGCGATGCCTCGTCTTTGCAGGCAATCTTTCCTCGCGTTCGACTGCCCGCTCCGGCCCCTTGTTTCGGCCCGCCTTGCTCGGTAATGGCGGTGGAGTTTCTCGGCTCCGATGAATAGGCGACAACCGCATGGCCGATGTGTTGTCGCCCTGCCGTCTGTGCTGGCGGCCGACATCTGCAGTTGTCTCCCGAATGTCACCTCGTCCTGGCAGGGGAATTCCATTGGACGTGACGCGACCGTGAGAGTGTTTGGGTGACGACGTGCTATCAGCGCGGCGTCTTCCTCGACTTGCCGATCGGACGCGCGTCCTATCACCCGTCTTAGGAGACAGAGCTGACGACTCGACCGAGACTTTATTTCTCGAGTGGGATCTCCCGTTTCTCCGTTTCGAAGAGTCATGAGGCTTGGACACATCTCGAGATTTGGAGCGGCTCGTATGTGCGTCTGATTGAGCCGGGAGTTTCTTGCCAGCCGTATCTTTACGCTCCGTCCGCAATACGACGTAGTCGTCCTCGTCTACGTGACACACGAGGCTGTCACGTTTTGGCCGGCTAGCTGAGTCCCCTTCAAACACCATGAGGTCCGCACCCAACTTCTCCAGATCCGGAGATAACAATGCCTGCTGGCGGTCAGGTGCTGTGCTCTTATGTACCATCCTGGCATCCAAGTCCCGGCCCCCGTCCCTGTTTCGTGGCATAGACTTCCCCGATCCGGTTATGGTCCGGGGCTTGTCGGGAGAGGTTCTCGTGACGCCGATGCTATCCACGGGTGTCGGTTGGCGTCGTTGGGGCAATTGCTCTGGCGAACGGATTGGGGTTGCGCTACGAGTAGACATAGAAAAACCCAGAGGCGTTTGTTTCCGGGATGACATAGGCGAGATCGGTGACTCGTCATTTGCCTGCTGTCGAAACGGTGCATAGTCACCCCTAGACTCGTCCGGCTTCGGTGGTAACATCGGCGAGTAGCCTCGCGAGCTCGATGGACCTCCTCTAGTGGGTTCATCCCCCGAGGGCATTTGAGCCTCTCCAGCCGATCCGGCGACGGCTCGCTCCCCGTCATCCGGGCGGTATACCAGCTTAGCCAGTATTGGTTCGTCTGTATCGACGACGAGGAGTTCCTTCTCACCGCGGCCAAGGAGGCCGTACACCTTTACTTCCCCCTCTTGGATACCGAGGACGGCACTTGTTCCTGCATAAACGGCTTCGTCTTCGATCCCGGTACGATTGGCGATGATGACGATGATTTCTTCTTCACTCTCGTACCTGATCAGGGGCTCGAGCCTCGTGACCCAGTACATCAAGGTATCCAAATCGGGTTCGGCTGGCTTGGTGGAGAAAACTTGCTGACTTTCGTTCGTAAGCCAGGCCATCGAGAGAATAACCACATTTGCAGCGATGTCTAGGACGTGTACTGCGAACTCAAATTGGTGCCACGGCGCCTGAAACTTGTAGGGGCTAGAGGAAAAGAGTCAGTTGCGTCGAGAAAGACACGGGTCTCGGTGTCGTTGCTCACTTAATATCCATGCCTAACGGAACAGGTCAGCGGGATCAGAAGCGGAAAGGTGTGACGGTAGAGGGGCCAACTTACAGATGCCCATAGCCACCTTGCCGACGCCGGGGATATGGCCATCGTAGAAGCCGGGTCCTTCGAGAGCCCAGGTCTCGTCAGTATAATACAGGTTTGATTTCCGATAATGGCCCAACGTGTCTCCATCTTGGTTGACGATGATAGCGGAATTGTATTGCTCGGGGGACGTCGGCCACTTGTGCGAAACATCGACCTTTTCCGGATAGCCGACGACGACGACGCAGTTGTGTTTCAGAGCTGTCGTTCGGGCCCAGATGGAGGTGATGCCGGCGCCTGTCGGTTCGAGGAAAGGCGAGATATCGCGCAGCGACCGAAAGTTGTACCCTGACCAAGTTAACCCCGCCCGCTGGCTCGGAGGCCTTCAACAGAAGCATCAAGGGGGTGCACCGGGAAATTAAGCGACCAAGGAGAAAAGACGTGGCTATCGCGATCGACATGCCGCCGTTACCTTCACAATCAGCGGCGTCACTGCGACGTACCTGTAAATGCCAGCTCCGGCAGGACGAGGATATCCAACCCCTCGGGGTTTGCCTTGTTCAGGATGGCATCGGCACGGTTCAAATTGTTATCGACGTCGCCGACTTGGGGCGCAAATTGCAGGCAGCCTATCTTCATCTTCGCAGCGCGGGCTTTGGACGTCGTGGCGGGCAGGCAGGCGGTCAGGAGAGCAACCAAACGGCTCGCACGATGTGCTATCGCAGGTCGCAGAATGACGCTGAACCGCAAGTCTGGAGATAAAGCGCCGAGCGGAGGAGCAAAAATGTGACAGACTGCCTGCACAACGTACCTACATACACCGAGGTGGGCATGTAGGTAGGTAATGTAAGGGCGGGTTGGTGAGGGTATTTGGTAGTGACAGGGACGACGGAGCGGCCCTGACGGGGCGGGGAGCGGAGGCAGGGGAGGGTTCCATCTGGATTATAGCCAGCGAGGGACAGGCCTAACCACATCGAACAGGTACATGTCCAGGTAGGTACTTGCCTGGCCTATCTGCACCACGGGTATTGGGTATAACCGCCCAAAAACGCTACGCCTAGGTACTGCGTGTAGGTGCCCGCTGCCTGCCATCTAGCCGATCAACAGGCGGTGCGTTCGGTATGCCCCACTGGAACTACCGCTGGAAGACGCAGATGGAAAGGCGCCATTCTGGGCAGGCTGGGTACCTCGATAAAAGGACTGGCCATGTACCTACCCGAGGATGGACCACCGCCATCATTGCCATCATTTGAGTGACCATCAGGGCCTACCAGGGGCCCGCGACCGATGTGGCCACTTACAGAGGCCGGTTTAGCGCCTTACCCGTCGTCTCTGTCCGGGGGAGCGGCCAAGGAGCACCCTCGGCAGCAAATCATCACGGCGACGCATCAACCCGGACTTCGTCGATGGCACGATGGGGAATTGCGCGAGAGTGCAGGCGAGAGAGGGATAGGCGGAGGGCGAGCGCATTCGTAGCGGGACAAGCTACCTGCTCGAATCCCCCCAGACCACATTCGCTCTCCGACGTGTTCGAGGCACCAAGCGCGACGCTTCTTCCACGTAGGGGAGGAGGTCCGCTACGGCAACGCGCACCGTACCGCACGTCCCGTATGACGACGACGACGGATCTACATTGCCTACCTACCCAGCGATGGGGGGGGGCTGGACCATCGTCTGGACTAGACCGTCGTGTGTACTCATAGGTAGGTAAAGTCGGTGGCTCTTCACGCGCCGCCCCATATGGGGGTCTACATACCTATATATATACTGGCTGCGGTCCGTCGCGCGGTGGGACATCCGCCCATTCGTCGTTCTCGTCTATCCATCCCGCCGATGCCAGCACGATGTGGTGTGCATGTAATTTCCGGCTGCTCATTGCCGCCAACGCACACGCCCGCGTGCGATACGTCTTGAGCCATTATTAGGCAGGTATTTCCCCCGTCTCCTCCCCTTATTTCATCCCGGAGAGAGAATGCTTATCCCTAGTAGGTACATTATACCTATCTGCTTACACATGCAGGGGCCGACACACCCCCGCCGCCGCCGTCTACTCTCTTCAAGTTACCTAGCAGCGAGCGGGTTCAATTTCTGCAGCGGGAAGAAGCGGTATCTAGGAGGTTATTTTTATTTTATTTTTTGCTCTCTTACGGTCGCACCACCACACCCTTAGATTCGGTAAGAGGACAGCGATCGTGATCGCAATAGGCGGGACAGCCTCCCCCCCTCTCAGCGTCGGCATATTATATATATATATATCTACACCTATATACCTATAATACAGGTGTATATAGGTATATATACAGGTACATACATGCACGTCGGCACACAAACACGCACATGCGTCCGGACAGGCATCCGGTAAATCGCACACCACCACCGTGATGTGATCGTACTGCTTCTAACCACCCGGGCAGAAGCACTTCCAACGCATATGTATGATTCACAACGTCGACCGGGATCCGTAGTTACCGGCCACATGGCGTCGCGCCCCGTTCTAACCCCGCAGGATGCTGGCTGGACCCGATCCGTGGCCTGCAGGCCGAGTCGCTGCCGACCCCATCGAGCCGAGTCGGCGCAGAGAGCCGTCGGCGGGCCCTAAGATCCGCTCTTGTCGTTCTGCCGTATGCATGTCGTGTTCCGACGTGGCTGACATTCTACAAGGTACGAAGCGCTACCGACGAACGCGTGCTGTCGCGGGAAACCAGTACGCGCATGTGCACCTCTCGTGGTTGGAGATGTGGGTTTTATTCCTATACGTATGTATCCCTAGCTTCCTCCGCGATACCGTCTGAAAGGGGCAGAGAAAAGACCGAGAACAGAAAGCCAAGCAGGGAGTGAACCATTCCGCAACTAGAGAAGAAATTATGCATCCGTCCCTAACCGCCCGGACTTGATCACTGCGCCCCGGCCGCGGTACAGTTAATCTCCCTCTCTTACACCTAACCGCGCGCGCCTACCTGCCTCCCTCGCTCATACTACCCCCTTTCCCCCCGTTGCCGCCAACGACCACGTGAAGAGGCAACCCCCTCTGCGCTCGCGGGCGCTCTGGCGGCCAGCTGTAGCGGAGCCCCCACTCACTTGCGCAGGATGGGGAACACGGGCTCGGGGCCGGCGTCGCCGAGGTACGACCCCGAGTTGACGTGCGGGAAGGTGAAGATGGCGACGCGGTCGCGGGCCTCGCTGCGCGCGGGTTAGCCTGCGCTGCGGTGCCCGTAGTACACTCCTCCCCCTTGCTCTCCCGCCGCAGGCTGCGTGGGAGCGGGAGGCGAGAGAGAAGCGGGGAAGAAGGGCCTGGGGCGGGGGACCAAGCTGCTTGCTCTCACCTGACGACCGTCATGACGGCCCTGTCGCCGGCGGCGGCGTAGCCCCACGACACGAAGGCGCCGCGGCCGATGCCGCCGTGGCACTGCCGGTGGTACCACGACCACGTGCGCGGGTCCGCGTCGGCGGGCGGCGCCAGCGCGAGCATGCAGCGCGACTCGGCCGTCACCGCGCCGCGCTCCAGCAGCAGGAACGACACCCACACTCGGTGCTGCTCCAGGTCGACCTCTGTCGGCGGTGCCGCACGCGCGCGCGGTTAGCCCGGTGCCAGTCTGGGAGGGGAGGGGGGGGGTGGGAAAGGGAGAGAGAGGGCCGCGGGCGAGACGTACCTCGGAACAGGTCCCGCACCGTCCACTCCGGGTAGTGCTGCGTCTCGTTGCCGGCACCGCCGTAGGGGCGCGACACCACGGCCGCCACGGACGCGTGAGCCAGGCCGCCGAAGAGCGCGAGCACGGTGCCTAGTCGCTGCAGCCGCATGTCTGGGTGCGGATGCTCTGAAGGTAGGTAGGTATGTCTCTAGTAAGGGGGGTGTGGGGAGTCGTAGGGCCGCGTCGACCTCGGGATCGTCGGGGCGACCATCCCGCTTTAGTAGTTCTCGATGCGGTGCTGTGCAGGTGCAGACGCGGATGGACTTGATAGGGCAGGTTCGAGCCGGCCCAGAAGCAGATAGACGAGCCGTGGCCAGGTGCGAAGCTGGACCGCGCCCGCAACGTTTCATGAGACACTGCGCCAGCTACGTTCGTCCTCGTGTTGAGAGAGCTCCGACGACAGCTTCGTGGAATCGCGATGTCGCAACCTCCTTTTTGGGAAACGGAGTCTACCACGATGTCCGCCTGGTTTCTGCGCTCTGCTTACCTTAGACGACGGCTGTGAAGGCCGAGGAGCATGTGAGACTTGGGTCGGATAAGCGTGTCGGCTTCTGGTGGGCGTCATCTAGATGAGATCGCGCGGCCCTATGATAGATCGTCGATAGTCGAGGCAAAGGGGTGTCTATCCTTTGCCGAAACATCTCGGGAGGACGCTCAGCACGGCTCGGGCCCCGTGCCGTTGTCTTAGTTAGGTCTTCTGTCTTGTTTCGGCACGCACCTTGAGCTCGCGCCCCAGTCTATGTCCGGGAAACATCTTGTTTGTGACAGAAGGACGTTACATTGTGCGATCTGGGGTCGGAGCAACCCGGCTCGGGTGGGTCTTCACTCGAGTTGTGCGTGCGACGAGGAGGCAGCAGGACTCAAAATAATATAGATAGACCAGTCGGACCGGTATCATCTCGCGAGACATCGCCCAAGTAGCTACATGGAGGGGAAATAGAGCCTTGATTCCTGAAATTTACATCCGGGCGTTCAACTCTGCAGGCCTAGATACTCCGTTCAAGTATCGCCATGTGGATGAGTAGCCCGTCTCTAATGGCAACATAACTCCACCCAACCCATGTAATTGCGAGTTCTTGTCTCAGCTAATATGTCGCGGAACACAGAAGACCCGGTGGTAGGTAATCAACAGGAAACCCGCTAGCATACGGCGGATATCGTCACTCCCCAGGCGCGTTACCTTACACAAGGCACAATGTGGCTGGCCTGATTGGTTTCGATTCAAGACAGACGGCGAGACCTCGAGTTCTGGGTTGCAGTCTGGGCTTATAAGACCTATAGCAGGGAGGTGGCAGACCTGATGAACCGCGTTTGAGGACGGAGTTGAAGTGGGATAGGGGCAGGGACGAATGTAGGCCAGTCGATAAGGGGACAAGAAGATGTCCACGGTGCCTTGATTGGGCTGTAATTATGGCACATGCAAGTTCATTTGCTGTTATTCGCCGAGTGTACTCTTTGCCCTTTCATGTGGCCGAGCAAAACGAGAATCCGGAATGCGACTGGCCCGTAACGTACATACCAGCGCGTTGCTATCTCTGTCTCGAACTTCCTTCGCAAATCAACTCGGTCGCCTGGGGATGGAAGTGAGAACTTGTTCGAGCCTGCTCGAGGGACTTGCGAGATGCGCCGGCGCGGGCAACAGCCGTATGGCTACGGTTTGCCCGTCCGCAGAGTGCCCGGATACTACCAGAGCCAAACAGGGCCACCAACGAGATTCCGAAGAGTTTGGAGTTTCGAGTCCGGAGCGTACAGCGGGCCGCCTCGGTCCTGAGGTCTGTCTCTGTTTTTGGTTCGGCATCTCTGCTCGACGTGTCGACGGACTGGAGATCCGATAATTGCCATCCAGTCTGTAGAGACGGGCTCTCAAGTGATAATATAACCTGCATACTTACCAGGCGTCAATCCTCGCGGCCGATTTCTATTCTTAGAACTAGGCGCCGTCGCAACTAAGTGTATGAGTAGGTCGGCGATACTGCAGTTCTTAGTTAGGCACATATATACAGGTCGGTCATGTGATCGCTTCTCTTCACAGCTCTCTTACGTATCTGCTGTTGTTGATCCTCAATTTGAGATATGGTAGCAGTTACATGCGTGCATGACTTGGCGGGCATGGGTGACGTGCATGGTGAGGGGGTAATATACCTACACATTTTGCATCCTTGTCGTGAAGAGAGGATTCTCTCCCTACCCACATGGGTACAACCTCCGTAGTTTCGGCGGAACTCCCTTCGATATTTCCAACCGTATGGCTCTTTTCCAAACTCCGAAAAGAAGCTATTCTTCGATGCGGACTCCCCTAGCACTGTTTAATGTCGTTGAAGAATTGAGAGCGGGCACGGTTTCACTCTGAGGGTGTTGAGCCCAAGTCGCGCGCGCGCCAACTGCCTACTTAGCTGCAAGCCACAGTCACTAGATGTAACCGTGTTGGATGCACGCTGCACACCGTACTCTTGGCGCATCTGCGGGAGCGCAGGGATTGCTCCCACTCACGATGGCTACCTGGTGACCCTTGGGCGTTTTTTCTCTTTCTCTTTCCCTGCCCTCTCCCACTTCCGTCCCGCCTCCCGCCTCCCGCCTCCTTCTCCCCTCGCCACTATTCTGTAGGTTGGTAGGTAGGTATGTGGTGCCCTCCCAGCCTAGACCCCTCGCCGGGTAAGGGCGTGGAGGAGCGATAAGGACAGGCTTGAGAGAGGTTCTTCGGGCTTTGGAGAGGAAGACGGCAGCGAGATCACGGCGTAGAATCGTAGCTATGGTCTGTTGTTATTCCCGCAGGTCCCCACTCGATGGCAACCGGACCCAACGGGCCACGGGAGGGCTCCTCCATACAAGCTTATTTCCAAGGCCTCCCTAGTCTTCCTGAACAGACGCCGATCAGAGCCCTTTGATTTCTCAATATTGGTTGCGGCCCACGCGATCGCGTCTGGTGATTGGTGCGAAGTCTCTCCTCAGTCGGCAAGCGGATGGTCGCCTCTTCTGGCCGGCGTCTGCAGGGCCATTCACGTCTCGTCCTGGCCCCCGTCGACTACCGACCCGCAGCCATTCCCACCACCCCAGACTTGGCCGTCTAGCCTTGCCCACTCTAGCCTGCTGCTCCCTCACTTGGGAGAGCCGCTCTTCGCTGCACTTCCCGTCTTGTCTATTGGCCGACGGCAAAGTCGACTGGCTGGAGGACCTCTAGGAATCCTGCTGCCTCTACATCCAATTGGTCCGGTGTTTCCCACGCTTGTTGGAGTTACCATTCTGCTACGCTATTCTGAGAAATGGCACCATGGACGCAGATGCGCGTCTACCTCGTTGGATTTCCAGAATCCAGCTGTACTCGATAATTCTGGAGCCGCCTGCGTTGCATATGGCGACTGGGGAGCCAAGAGAGAGACGCAGGTCTTTTTGCCATATAGACGAGGAGAGCCCTCGGGTCCGTGTGGGTTAGGCCTTTGCCCTCTTATCGGACCTCTCAATTCATTTCTCTTTTCTGGAGCCACAGTTCCGCCCGAGCTGTGTTTTCTGCCCCCCTAGTATAGCCGGTCGATATTTTGGGTTTATGTGAATAAATGCCATGGTCGAGACATCAGGACGGCATCACCTCCCTCGGTCGACTTGAACGTTTCCCTCCCGACTCCTCCTCTTCTCTCTCCTTGCCCGCCGTGTCGAACTCGACATGATCCTAAATCTCACCCTACTCCTACTATGTCTTCTATTCCTTCAGCAAGGGGCAGAAGCATTGCGGGTCACCCCGGGGTCGCCGTGCGCAGATATTTGTCTAAACAACGCCGACGGCGCGACGCCGAGTCCGGCGACATCATCGACCAACTCGTCGGATATCGTGTGCGATGACCAAGAGTACTCGACGACGGCTAGAGGCGCCAAGTTCAAGAGCTGCGTCGAGTGCCTGCAAGGGAGCAACGCGGTGAGCGGCAAGGACGATGATATTTCGTGGTACTTGTGTACGGCAGAGTGAATATTCCTCGGGGCTGTGAGCATCACCTTGGCTAACACTCCAAGACAATGTACGATACGCGGTAGGCGTGTGTGCCTACGGGTTTCCAGGCGCTAATAAGACCACTTCGTCCCCGTGCGATATCGACTACGCCTGTCGGCCGCTGAAGACGGCGCTCGAGACCGGTAACCTGAACTCTAGCAACGGCACGCAGCTCGATTACTGCACCGCCGACGGTGGCGCTTTTTCCAGCTCGCTCCTAGGAGACTGCATCCAGTGCTTCCGATCTAGCGCGACCGAGTATTATCTGTCGAACTGTGCGACGCCGCCCTTTTCCGTCTTTCCACGGAACGAGACCCCAGCTGACCTTCCGTAGTTCTCACCGCACTCGAGGCGGGATGCAAGCAGAGGCCTCAGCCGGGAGAGCTTATCGGCCTGCAGGGGACTCTCTTCGCCAGGTTACCGATCAAGGTCGTCGAACCCCCGCAGAACGCGACGGGGCCCGCCTCGGGCGATGCATCGCGCGCGGGCATGACGACTGGGGCGATCGTCGGAATCGCTGTCGGCGCGACTCTTCTCCTCCTGGGAGGGACGGGGCTGTTCTTCATCTACTACCGAAAGCAGAAGCGGATACTGGGCGACCCCCTGGGGTCGCAGTACGACCCGCGCGGCGGGGACGCGAGGAGCAAGTCGATCACGCCGACGCCGCCTCTCCTCGGCGGCGGCGGCGGCGGCTACCATCCGCAGTACCAGTACACGTACGAGGGCCGGAAGGACTCGCTGCCGAGCGACTGGGAGCTGCAAGCGAAGAAGCCGTCCTCGTTCAGCAACAACGCCGAGTACTACGATATGCTGGAGAAGGCTATGGCGTCTCAGCCGCAGCCGGGGGCCAGCAGCCACGGTGGTTACGCGCCCGTCGCCGCCGCTCACCAGTACGGCGCGGCGTACGGCCCGCACAGCACGCTGCCCACCCACCCGGCCTACATGCCGCGCGTCGCGAGCCGCAACGGCTCCTCCCGTAACGTGACGCCGAGCCCGCCGCCGGCCGCCAAGCCCAACCGGCCCGACACCTTCGCGCTGAACGCGTACCTAGGCGCGTCGTCGGGCGCAGCGGTTGCCCCCGCAGCAGCCGGCGCCGTGGCGGGCACGCGGGATCCCTACGCGCCGCCGCAACCACCGCTGCCGGCTGCCCCGCACCTTGTGCCTCCCCCTGCGGCAGCCCTCCACCCTCGAGGCGTGCCGGCAGCGCATTCGCACTCGCGCATGCCGGCTCCGAGTTCGACCGCGGTGGCGGCGCCGCCGCCGCCGCCGCCGCCGCCCTCGCAGCGCGCCCCCCGCCTATCCATGCCGACGGTGCCCAAGGTCCGGAAGCCGACGAAGTACGCGCCGCCGCGGATCCACGTGGACGCGCCGACGGAGCCGGACGCGGGGCCGTCGCTGTCGCCGCCGCCGGCGCACCACCAGCACTCGCCGGCACACCGCCGCGGCGCCGACGGGGGCGACGACGCCGACGACGTCCTCTCGCTCGGGCTCAACATCTCGATGCCGGCGGCGACGCGCCGCGAGCCGCCGCCGCCGGGCCCTCGGTGGGAGCACGAGTCGTCGGCGGGCTACGGGTCGCTCCCGGGCAGCCCGCCCGAGCGCCAGCGCCAGCGCCAGGACGAGGAGTGGGAGCGCGAGCAGCAGCAGCGGGCCGCCGAGGGGTACGCGGCCGACCGGCGGCGGAGGATGACCGAGTTCACAGACATATCGTCCGTCCACAGCGCGAACAGCGACGGCTACGGACGTTAGGGTAATCGGCGGCGTATATATGCATCGGCACGGAACCACGGGACCACGGGACTACGACACATTATGGGATTTATACCGAGGCGTTAAGGTGCGCCGTATGGGGAGGCGCTCGGATGGGTCATTCATGGCGGGATAACTTCAGCAAGTGGAATCTTGGAGATACTACTACATGTTACAGGATAGGTACTTGGGATTTTACAATATTATCCGTTCCATCCTAAGAAGCTTCGACTTCATAGCTACAGCTGCTTGCTTTCCTCATGTAGCCGTAGGCGCCGCCCATGATTGCTAACGTGAATTACATGTATTCGCTGGCTGAGGTAGTACGCAGCTCTGCTTGGCTGATGTGATGATATTCCCGCTTACCTCGAAACGTTCCCGGTCATCTAGGTCGTCGGTTTTGAACCAGACGCGGCACTTCCTTACACGCAGAACCGATGAGATAGCTATTACGCACAAGCTGGGCAGAGCGGCATAAATTCCCGTCGCGCGAAAAATAACAGCCATCCTAGCAGGTTTCCCTCAAGACTGTTAATCATTAATAGTGTCAACCAACCCCCTTGCCGCTTGTGTATGTTGCCTCATGCGCATTGTTCAGACTGCCTAATACAGCCGACGGGATGTAGATGCTCCTTGACGCGGGAAGAGACGCGGGAAACGTCCCCTCAGGAGGCCCCTGGGAAGAGTATCGTCGTAAAAGCAAGACGGGGGTTCGGGTTAGTTCGACGGATAACAATACGGACACTACACCATGCACACAGCGGGAGAACCGAATCGAACTGGATAAATTCTCAGCGTATTTCTTGTCTTGTTTCGTCATCCTACAATGCTATCTAACGCATTAAACATACTAACCTAACCGTCGTCCAGGTCCCTTACTCCTCCAGGCGTCGGGGAGTGGCCCCGCGGGCCGGCCTGTATCACGCGGGGAGTCGGAAGGCTGTCCATAGACAACCTGTTGTATTCTTGGGATGCTTATGATCCATTTGAGGATCCCCGGGGTCGGGATGAGATTGGGGCCATTTCCGAACTCGGGGTATATCCGAGTCAAGAAGTCGTGTAGGTGAGCAGCGAAGAGACCGGTGAGACCGACCTTCACATTGTACCAGCCGTTTGGGAAAAGAAGCTGGACGAGCAGGAGACAGTACGGCATAAGCTGTGCCGGGATGGTTAGGACATAGAAATGGGCATTCATGCCTCGTTGGTCTTGCGTAACGGTGTAGGATAGCGTGGTGATTAGGGCCTGTAGATATATACCGGCGCCGGTGAAGAGCTGATTCAGGATCTGGCGTTCGGGTTAGCAGAAGATTCGTGCCAACTAGCCAATGAACCTGGAATAGTTAGGGGCTCAAGGATGGCAACGTGATACGAGGGAATAGAAGATATGTAGGGCGCCACAAACCACCCGAGCGAACGAGTCCGAAAACATCACCCGAGTCATCCAATTAGACATCCCACCGTGCCCGCAATCCTGAACTGGCCCTCTTGAGGTTTGCGAATGACGGGCCAGCAGCAGTGCGGGGGTACTCTCCCTCATTTCCAGGAACCGTCATAGCTGTAGAGTAGATCCACTATGCGGGCAGATATATGAGGTGCTTCAAAAGGCCTATTGCGTCGGCCGGTATGGGCGCGGCAGATGAGGAATTTGGGGACACCGGCAGCACGAAGGAAGAAATTGACCGACTTACAATGATAATAGTTCCGGTGAACATCAGATACCATATCAAGTCCTCCTTCTTCGAGAACTTGGCATTACCCTCCAGCTGGATCATGTAGGTAAATACTGTTCATAGGTTACTGCGCGTCAGCGACGAGACCCTCTATGATGTAGCGAATCCATCCGTGCGAGAATTCTTCGGTTCGTTCTCACATACCGAAATATGTGTCGAATAGCACGGCTATATTAGGTCCCGTCAACAAGAAACTTGTCAGGAGACGGTAGATGGCGGGAGGCCATGTGAAGAGGAGCGAGTAGTGGAAGAAGAAAGGGTAACTCGAGAGCATCCCCGTGTATATCCCGACGGAGGAAAGGAATACTGCTGTCGCCACAGTCCTACGAAAAGCAGAGTCAGCGCGGTCCAACCCAAGCCTCCCTCACAGATCACGAAGATGCGCATGGAGCTGTTGGCGCTAGATAAGACGTGACGTACCTGGAAATGGGCGGCGTGGCGGTGTAAACGCTCCAAATGTCCGCCATCTTTGCTACTATGCGTGGCGAAAGAGCGAAAGTATGACACGAGCGGCAATGATGTCGGAGAGGCAGACACGACACTGCGGTCGATCGAGAACACGCTTTTTGTATCCGGGGCAGCCGCCGTACAAGAGAGGCGGTAAAGGTGGGGAGCAGAGGGGGACGACGCGCGGTCAGGCAGGCAGCGCAATGATTCACATGTTGGCCAGGTCAGGTAAGGGGTGGACGGCGCGAATGGCGTGGGCGGCGCGGGTAGTGGTAGGATGGTGAAGAAGAGGGAGTGAAGATTTTCTGCGTCGTGTCCAATTCAGCCTGCGCCTTTTCGAAGGCGGAAAAATGATGATGACCCCAGCGAAGCCACAGTAGGCAATTATGTCAACACTTCTTATCTCGCTGGCTTGTGTGGCTTAAGTAAGTCGAGTGGCTGGTTGGGCCAGGCTAGGTACATCTTATCGGGATAATGGGTACTTTGGGTACCTGCCGACCTCCCTCCTAAGCTATTACTACCGGCTGGTACTGCACAAATCATACCGATGTGCTGTGTGAGCATAGAGTCAACGCTTTGCAACTCAGGGCGTATTCGAGGTAAAAGAGCGCCTCCACGACCAAGGAAGGGTCCTGGGTAAGGGCGTGTCAACCCGCATTTGCCATTAGATATATACTCAGCTTCGCACTAGAGTTTAGAAGAATACACGGAATAGGAGCATCTACTGTCAAAAGCTCCATCGGGGAGGTTGGTGCGGATAGTCCGAGATTTGGGAATTCACTATTCCCCGCTATTATCGGCTACTTCCATATCGAGGGGTGATTAGCCTGGACTCGGGGGGTGAGACAAGAATATATCCAGTTGACTCCTTCGACATCACGATAATGGCAACAACGATCACTGCCCGGAATGTAGCAGGTTTGCCGTGCGCATCCAAGTGTGTGTCAATTCCACACCTTGCCGTCCCTCGCCATCTGCCTCGGCAACGTCCCAGTTCCCGTTCCGACCACTCCACCAGGGTGGACTTTTTTTACTGTAACGGACTGGTGTCCCATATATAAGGCTTATTTATGTCTCCATTACGCACGAGGACATCCATTAAGAGTTATGAATAGCACGTGTTGGAAACACCAGGCGTGTGTGTATAGGGGTAGGGCTGGTATGGTGCAGCTACATTACAATATTACCGCACCCAGCGCTAGACTATGTAATAATTGGAGTTATTACATCCGGAGCTATGGTGGAGTTAAGGTAGGCGGGATTTAAATCTGCAGATAGCCGGCCCGGCATCGCGTCGTGCACCTCCGCACCGAACATCCGCCCTCGCGCAACTCGTGTGAGTGTCTCTTGTTGCGTGTGCAAATTCCAGTCCCAATACCCCCCATCGTCTTAGCGAAACTTGTTAACCCCCTCTTCGACACCCTACTAGAGTATACCGCATGCTGCAGACTTATCGTAGACTCGACGTAGAACATGGTCCAATGCCTGTAAACTAGACCGTCCGTGTATTAATATACACCAAACATTACGAACACGCACATATAATGAAGCAACGAAATCCCAAGCCTTACCACTTACCGCCGGATGTAGTCTAGTTCATGACCGGCTGCTCCTTTGGCGTCGGCCAGTTTCTGGCCCAGCTCATCGCGAAGTCCTCTAACCGCGTGGTAGCGACCGCCTGGAACCCGGCCTCCCTATCAGCTATTACGCTAACAGCAGACAATGTCCTTAAGATCGGAGCTGCCCTCACCGCCACGTTAGGTAGATTCGACCACATCGACGTCCTCGTTGAAAATCTGGGATGCATGCTCATTGGTGACACTGAAGCTGCCGGGGACGAAGAAGCCCGGGCCCTGATAGACACCAACTTGTGGGGGGTGGTGGACATGTGAATGTGTGCAACTACCGTATTCGTCGCGTCCGTAATAGGAATCCCAGACCCGAAACACTTAGTCTTTCCTGAATCCATTTCAACCGTAGACTAGGGTGCGCCGTGGAAACAAATTCCAGAGGATACTGTAATCCGTGCGATCGTTTCCGAGCTAGCCAAAGTCCGTATTCCATATATGGTCACGACATCACAGTTCGTCTTCTCTCCCGGCCGTAGTATAATATTGGTTAGAGGCTTCGAGAGATCTTGCTCAATAAGCCTGATGACTGGTTGAGATCACACATCCAAGACCGTGGATACGGGTTGATGCATTGCGATGGTATTTTGTCTGACCACTGAGTGGACCCTCAGCCACACTGACGTAGAACCAACAGCCCGAATTTGAAGAAGGTGTATAGTCATCAAATGGGACAACGATAGAAGCAGTGGGGATGATGTAGGTTGGTGCCTCCCAGGGTGTTGTCGCAAGCGGGAACGGTCAGCGGCAAATTGGGCGCTTACCGTATGGGATAGGGGGTGACCTCAGCAGCGAAAGAATTATGCCACTTGACTGAGAACCAGACTTCTCCCCATTCAACAGCCATCATTATAGGGAAAACACGATTTCCACCAGCCCAGGGCGATCAAAAATCATCCAGAAATTGGAAAAGCTTCTTTAACTATAGCTTTTGACCCTACTTGCGAACCTCTTTCCGTCATAGTTGCGTCTGATAATAATACTCCTCTGCGCACGACCATGCCCTCGGCGCCCACAACGCCAGCAGATCAGGATCCTTACGATGCTGCCGATTATCGTTTTCGCACCAACGGCACCGCTTGCGAATGGGGAGAGTCTTACCATCCTGGTGGCTACCATCCTGTAGAGCTCGGGGATGAGTTCAATGGCCGATACCGTGTGATCCGCAAAATAGGTTACGGTGAATATTCCACGGTGTGGCTTGTCGTCGATCTACAGTGAGTTGCTCTGCTTTGGAGATTGTTTTCGGTGTATCACCCTACTAAAGTAAACTAGAACCGCTCGCTTGGCTGCCCTTAAGATTGCCATCGCTAGCATAGACCAGGGCGGCATCGATAAAGAACTCTCTCTTCATAAATGCCTCAACGAAGCTATGGTCCCAATCAACGGTGCTAAGCATGTTGTCAGCATGCGCGACTTCTTTGAGCACCATGGCCCCAATGGGCGACACGCTTGTTTCGTTTTCGAAGTCATGGGTCCAAATCTCAAGGCGATGTTGCACCGGTGCCCCGACTTCCAAATAGGTGAGCCGTGGGAACGACGTTTCACGACACCATATGCAAAGCGAGTTCTGCGTGATACTCTTTCTGGGCTAGACTTTCTACACAGGAATGGTGTCGTTCATGGGGATCTTCACCTAGGAAATATTCTTGCGAATATTCGACACATAGACGTGAACGAGAACACGTTACAAAACCTCGAGCAAACACCATCTCAGGGGAGTCCGCTAGTGCGCTTAGACGGCAAGAAAGACCCATGGGCTCCATCATATCTTCTTGAACCGGATCCGTTGTACGATTATGCTTCTCTTGATCTAGACCCATTGGCAAAGGTTACCGACCTCGGCGCTGGTACGTCACTTATGGATCTTGAGCAAGTTCTGCTGTGCGAAAACTAATGTTGTTAGCGTTCCTTGCGAATGACCCTCCGGAGGAAACAGTCACACCTGTAGCGCTGCGCGCGCCTGAAACGATCTTGGGCCTCTCAGTTGGCAAAGAGATTGACATCTGGTGTTTTGGGTGTCTCGTCTTCGAGTTACTCACCGGTCAACAACTATTTGTCCGCATACAACCTCTTGAGGGAGACGAGTACGACGAACAAATTAACGACGAGCATCTCTGTCAAATATCAGACGTCATTGGACGGCTTCCCGAGCACATGTTCGCTCGCTGGCGTCGGGCACCGAGGTACTTTGCTCCAGATGGTCAGCGGATACGCTCAGAGACCCTTGACGGCGACGAATCATCTCGAAGTTCCGATGGGGAAGATGCAGGGGATGTAGAAGATGTTCATAACGTACGGGCTGGCCTAGAAACACCTCGCTCGAGTGAAAGTATCTCCCTCGCGGCCCCAGAAACTTTCGATTCGCTCGAGAAGCAGTTCAGGGATGGAAAGCCGGATGGCATTGACGAAGTCGAGACGAAGCAAATTCTGGACTTGCTGGGCCGGCTACTTCAACTCGATCCTTCCCAACGACCTTCAACAGAAGATATTTTAAAGCACGCTTGGTTCAGTTCATAGCATCTTTACGTGGCCAGTTTACAATATATCGATCGTATCTAGAGCCGAACACCAGTCTACGAACATATTACACAGCTTATTAAAGGGAAATGGTGTACCAAAATCTTCCACGCTCGTCTGACCGTTCTCAAATGATTCTGAATTCTCAACCAACTGAGGCCCGCCGTTTTGTGAGGTAGTTGTAGATGGTGACCAGACCCCGTATTTGATTAGAAACTGTGTTATTATCTCGGGGAGGTTTGTGGCAAGTTGGGAGTATTGCTTTATGCCATCGAGTATTGTCAACGCCGTTCTCAACTCGGGCGATTGCCGCTCACTGTCTACGCCTTGAGGTTGATTGCAGCAGAGGTCTGTTGCCGTCTATGAATAGAACAAGTGATGCTTGAGCTCCCCAATAGGCATCTTTTTGAAGTGGCCACGAAAAGAGTCGGGGGGCTATGACAGCGATGATTTAAAGCTGAGATGCCGGAGCGATGGCGTAATATCGAGCAGCGCATATTCGGTGCAATAACTTCGGAAAATTGTTCATATTCGCATTATCCCATGTAGAACGTAACGTTTCGCTAGAAAACATGAGAATGCAGATATCGTATAGTTGCGTAAACCAACAATGCGTAATTTCATGAGCGACGCAAAGGTAGCTTAACCAGTCTAGGCTAACAAGGGGGCGGGAATAGCGAGGAACAGTCCGAGCCAGCAATCGTTCAAGGGAGAGGGGGTGCGTCTCCGACTAAAGCCGATCGGCTGCAGCAGAAAAGCTCATAATGTAGCGACCTGGGTGTTCACGGTCACCCCCAAAGGACACCATTCTATTATAAAACCGATCGTGTGGCTCGTCGCGTAAGAACATCTACGGGTGGCATAATACTGCATAGCTTTTCCGATTTTCCCATAACCACTCCTACCTCGTCTTGCATCCACCCTTCCTTTACGCCATGGCTGAGCATCAGCACATCTCGTTCAAGATCGAGGAGCTCTTCTCTGTGAAGGGCAAGGTCGTTGTCGTGACCGGGGGCGGATCCGGCCTCGGCAAGGCCATCGCGGAGGGGTTCGCGGTGAACGGCGCAAAGGTTTACATCACTGGCCGGAGGCAGGAGGTGCTAGATACGGCCGTGAAGCAGATTGGCGGGGATATTCATGCGTGAGAACCCGAAGCTTTTTGTATTCATCCCGGCTTGGACGGTAGACTCGCAGCTGCGCACTGGTGTACCACTTGGGCGGGACGCGATCAGGGAGGGCTTCCGTAGCTGACTTACGGATCCAGCATACAGGGCGATGTGCAGACGAAAGTGGGATGCCAGAAGATTGTCGAGGTAGTCAAAGAGAAAGAATCCCATGTATGCCTTGCTTCCCTCATTCCCATTGAACCTTTTGATGGCATAGTCTCTCTGTGCTCATGGCCCGTCATTGCCGACTCATTCCTTTCCTAGATCGACACCCTGATCAACTGTGCCGGTGTGAACAGTCCGTGGAGGGTCGATGCCAATGACCCCAACGACGGTAAGCCTCTCTCATTTTGGGAGGACCCGCATGGCTCCCCCGCTCTTCGTAGAGCGACGCGTCGCTAACAATACCCAGCCGACCAGGTTGAAAACCTGCTCCTTAACGGTGTCGAAGAGTGAGGGTGTCTCGAGCGTTAGGACAAGTAATCGGTTCACAGTACTAATGATCTCAGGGAGGATTTCGACCGAAGTAACCAGAGTGCGTGTATTCAGCGCCAACAGCACCGGCTTACGTTTGTGGATGATATTATCTAGGCTAACTCAGGTCACCCCTTGTAGTCAACGTCAACGGTGTCTACTTCCTGACGGTCAACTTCGTCCCGCTTCTGCGGGAATCCGTGGACCCCAATGTCTGCGTGATTGCATCTATCGCCGGCATCGCCAATCAGAGGTACCAAAGTTGCCGCAACGCCTGTTCTTCTCGTAAAGACGGGGCTGACATAAACACAGGTCGGTAGGGTCGTTAACATACAGCGTGTCCAAGGCAGCGAGTGCGTCACCTCCTATTCCTACCACGCCGGGCTCATTCTAGTACCCTCGCTAATGAAGCCGCAGCGGTACACCTCGCCAAGCTTCTCGCCGGCCGTTTCCACCCGTGAGACCTTCCAGGGCTTCCATAAAGGGGGCCAGGTGCGGCCGTGTGAGGGATCACTAATAAGAAAATTCAGTATGAAAATCCGTGTCAACACAATCTGCCCGGGGATATTCCCGTCTGAAATGGTTAGTCGAAGGAACCCCTCTATCCTACCCATATGGGATCTAATGTTATCGCAGTATGTCGCAATACCTGGGGACAGGAGAAGGACTGCTCCACAACCCCCTTCGAGAAACCGCAAAATCCACGGCGTAGGCATGTGAGATTCTTGTAGCAGGTTCTAACACGCAGCAGGACGGGTATCACCGCTGGAAAGCACGAATACAACATCAACCAGCAGGCCGCGAAGGCGGCTAAGCGAAGCACAGCTGGTCGCCCTGGCCGGCCGGAGGAGATCGTCGGGCCAGTGCTGATGCTGTCGAGTGCCGGCGGCGCGTACATGAACCACGCGCTGCTGACCGTGGATGGCGGCAGGCTAATGGGGGTCTCTATCAACGACGGAATCAGGATGCCGGACGATACCTACACGTAAGCGCGGTCCTATCGAGAAGCCCTTTTCATAGCTGTAACTGATACGTATGATTTTAGCGACCAGATCCTGGGTTAGGGGGATATCCTCTCATATCGAGATTACTAACTAGCAGAGGTCAAAAGGTCAGTAGTTGGCGGGCGATGGTTAGATGGGAGGGGATGAACTGGAAGTAAATATTCAGAAGTAGATATGACTGAGAACCGCATTGTTGCTTGCCGCCCTCCAGTAACTCGTGTAATACGTGTCGTGCAGAGCTAGATCGCCGACGACGACAATTCACGCTTCCTATATAAGTTCATTCCGTCTGCAGTACTGTCTCGCGTGAAATGTCGTCGTCTCTACTTGCCCCGGATTAGGTGCTTACCGTTTATCGCTTACGAGAGAACTTTATGCCGATCAACAGCAATCCTAGTTTAAGTTAACGAGATAGGCGTTTACTCGATACTTTATATTCCTATTTGTCTCTCTGTTTCAGTAATTACCATACGTAGATACTTTCAGCTAACGTAGGTATCATCCTGCCATGGTCGAATCTGAGACGTCCCTACATTCGCATAACTCTCCTAGTATATATAACAATAGTCTCCCAGGCGCGGAGGGGTCTAACAACAGCGAGTTCCGAACCGCTCCATATTGGGGAAACATTGATCGCCTCGGAGACATTGGTAGATCATCGCGCGTTCTCTTTCTCTTTTCCATCGTCTTCCAGCGGCTTTGCGGCCCAGCCGTCGGAGCGCGGTTGGCCGCCGTCATGCTCACTTACAAAGCTCTTACCCACCATGAGATGCAGCCGCCGCGGCACAGTTGGGCTCACGTCGGTAGGGTGGCTCGGATCGGATAGACTATTACTAGGGAAGATCATTTGAGGCGGCCTGGGGTGCGTGGTAGCGGAGGCGTTAGCGGTGGTGGTGCAGAGTATGCGGGGAAAAGGGCGCGAGGCCAAAAAAAAGGAGGGTGGGATGGTAGGTACGAGACAGGGCAAAAAATAACCGACCGACCGACTCGGCGCACGTGGAGGTTCCCGTAGCATCCCTACATGGGGCGGGTTGTATTTGAATAAGGGGAAGGCCCGTGCGAGTACATATACATACCAGATGTGCTATCTTCACACCTATACAGCCCTATAATGCAGTATCTGGAAGTACCGGTACATAATAACGGCGGGATGTTCCCGCGCGTATCCCATGCCTGGGTACCTAGGTACCTAAGTATCTACATTGCTAGCAGTGCAGGTGGTAATACGGACGTCCTTTTCTTCCCCCCCCCCCCTTTTCCACCCCCCCCTTCCATCCCCGCCTTTACCACGCTGCCTCTACGCCCCAAACAGCCCGTTTTGTCTACAGCGGCGATACGACCTATTGCCCTCGGCGCTGGGGTAGAATTGGGGTCGCCAGACATATCCTGCCTAGCGTAGCCGATCGGCTGGCGTGGCCCTCTACGGTCTCCCTCGGTCGGCGGCCCAAGATCGGAGGGGAGACGGCGGGGGGTGCCCGTGCATGCTAGTATGCGCCGTCCAACATCGTGAGGCTATCTGCCAACGCTGCCGTTGAGTATAATACAAACTGCGACAATCGAAGACGGTCGCCAATATCGAAAGAATGGCTCGAGTCCCTCTCGTGGCACAATAGCTCTTTAGTTATACTACCTATCTACGTTCCTCGTTCCACGCTCCACGTCCTACTACCTAGTGCCTTCTTCTCGCCGTAGCCTTAAGATAATCTTGACATTATGGCCGTATACGCCAACGCAGAACCCCCGGTCGACGCGCCCAAGGTCATCACCTTGACCGACGAGGAGCGCGACAGCGGTGTCATGGGCGACAAGAAGCTCTACGACGCCATCGAGGCCTTCTTCACAGAGGGCTTGGTCGTAATCGAGAATGCTATCGACGTTGCTATTATTGATAAGCTTAACAAAAGGATGCTTCAGGACACTGAGAAGCTCCTGAACGGCGGCGGCCAGGTGCACTTCAAGTGCGTTATCCTAGGTTTGTGGCTATAGCGCCCTTATGCTAACCTCGATAGCCACCTGAACCAGAACGCCGCGACGAAAGGTGCCGCAGCGGGCGGGAACTTGTCACAAGTGCCCCCTCTAGAGAAAGGTAAGCGAGCCCGACGTCAATCCTGGGGTCATTTCCCGCCTCTCAACCCTTCCGCTGAAGTTTGTGATAGAGTGGCTCTTCCCGGAGGTCTACGCCAACAAGCACGGCGCGCGCGTCGTATCTAACATCCTCGGCCCCCGGCCCGAGGTGCACTTCATTCGTTCCAACACCCTCCTTGCCACCGACGAGCGACAGCTGGTGCACGCTGATCTCCGGTTCGAACATCCCGAGCATCCTTTCGCCATTGCTTTGAACACCTGCCTTATCGACGTCGGCCCCGAGAACGGCTCCACCGAGATATGGCTGGGGACCCAAAATACCAATCTCGACGACCACCGCGAGCTCGGCGAGCCCATGATCGCCGAAGCGAAACTAGAGGCGAGGCGCAAAGTCAGGGGCCCCATTTACCCCAGAATAAAGAGGGGCTCCATCATTCTTCGAGACCTCCGGTTATGGTTAGTACAAGGAACTCCGTCCGTCTAGGAGATACGGTCTACGTGACAGGCGGCTAACCTCTCGTAGGCATGCCGGTATGCCCAACCCTACCCAGGAAGTCCGAATCATGCTCGCAATTGTATACTACGCTGCGCAAGTTCACCTAGAAAAGCTTTCATGTATTTGAATAAGCCACTAACCTTTGCTAAGTTGGTACAAGAACGGAGTCGTGACCCCGATGCCCGAGTCACTGCGACCTACCATAGAGGCTCTCGAGGAGTACGGCCAGATCAAGATCGCCACGGAATGGGTCCCTGACGAGGGGTACAACTACCTCAACATCAAGTTCAGCAACAACTTCAGCTCTACGCTCACCCCTTGGGTCTGGGAGAAGATCAGACATATCAAGACTGTCAGGGGTTATTAAAGGATTGAAAAAACGGAACCCCTTTCAAAAATTGGAACGACGGGGGGATATTTATGACTATACGTGGCTTGAGCATAAGCTAATGACTACAATTCTGTTTGAGAAATAGGAGTGGGATTCCGCCACGTCATATTTCTGCTCTACCCTGTACTACCTATCTACACACGAAGAAACTTGAACTGCTTTGTCAGTAGCTGAGCGGAGCCTACCTACAAAACCGAGCCGCAATCTCCGTCAATGATCCCGCCACCTTGTTTACCGAATCGACGCCGACCCATTCCTCCTTGGCGTGAAGCCCTTCCGCTAAAGGCCCCCAAAGCAGGGCTGGGATTCCTGCGCCCGAGAGCAGGGCGCAATCGGTCCAGTAAGCTGCACCTTGAACGACGGGTTCTCTCCCGAGAGCCCCACCGACCACTTCCCTCACAAGAGATGCGAAGGGGTGATCGAGGGGAATGGAAAAGGGGGAGCGGTCTAGTGTGGTCCTTAGCTCGAAGCGAAAGTCTGTGACTTCGCTGGCAACTTTTTCGAGCAGGGATCGCACTTCTGCCACTACGGAGTCCCTCGTCTCGCCGGGTACGGTGCGGCGCTCTAGTACTATCGTGCACCGAGCGGGATAGGAGGAGGCCTCTTCGCCTCCCTTGACTATGGAAGCATGGACTGTAGGCGTTCCGAGGGTGGCGTCACTTGCCGTCGATCGAAGCAAGTGTTGGGCGTACTTGTCTAGCTCCACTAGGAAGTAACCGGCTTTGGAGATGGCGTCGACACCGAGGTCCGCACGGGAGCCATGCGCCGCGAGGCCGTGAATATCTACCTCGAGCCACACGAAGCCCTTGTGCGCGCGGATGATGTGGAGGTCGGTAGGCTCGCTCACCACGGCGGCGTCGGCTCGCCAACCCGCCTGAAGAACCTGTTCCGTGCCGATGCTTGCCGCTTCCTCATCTGCGACCCCGGCAAAGAGAACGTCTCCCCGGAGGGCTAACTCCTTGGTGTTGGCGAGAGCGACCATTGCGGCGGCCACGCCGCCTTTCATGTCTGCTGACCCGCGACCGTACAACTTCCCTCCTTTGATCTCCCCGCTTAAGGGGTCCCCGTCATAGCCCATAAGCGTTACCGTATCGATGTGGCCATTCAATAGAAGGCTTTTACCGCCTCCCGAGCCACGTACCACCCCGACTATAGAAGGCCGCCCCTTTACGGGCTCGATCCAATGTGTTTCTATATCACGGTGTTCTAGCCATGCCGTGATGTACAAGGCAATGTCAGTCTCCCCAGGCCCCGGTACCGATCCCAGCGTCGGGTTCGACGAGTCTATCTGGACTAGAGCTTGGGTTAGAGAAATAGCGTCGTCCGCCGACACATCCAAGGGAGTGTCGTATTGTCTGGAGCCCTCCGTGCAGAGTATTACCACGACTGAGCGACGATCGAGACCCAATCTGGCCTTATCCGCAGCGTCCAGCCGGCGGAGAGCCGCCAGCGGCGCAGCACCGCACGGGCCGGCCGAGATGCCCATCTGCTCCAGTGACATAACAGCTGCGTGGGCCTCATAGTCGGAGACGGTGAGGCTGGCGTCCACGCCGGACCGCAGGACGGGCCAAGAAATCGATGAGACCGTTCCGCAGTCCAGGCCGGCCATGATGGTGGGAGTCGTCACCTCCGTCCGGACCTCCCCCCGTCTCAGGCTCTTCCACAGACAGGCTGCCGTATCCGGCTCCACGGCGAGGACGGCCGCCGGCGCGTCCCTGCTCTTGTAGTGCGAGACTACGGCGTGCGCGAACGACCCCACCCCGACGGGTGCAACCACGAGGTCGACGCGGATCTCCCCCAGCTCGTCGTCGATTTCACGCAGCATGGTATGGTAGCCCTCGACAATCCACTACGGGCACACAAAGTCAGTCTGGAAGCTTTCTCCCTTCTCCTTTCGCATACTCTCCCCCCCGCCGACTGGGTGCGGGAACGCAAACCTGGGGGATCTCCTGGTACGTTCCGAAGGCGAAGTCCTGGACGAGGACGCCGTCAGCACGGCGAGAAGCATCCTCGGCGTCCACGACGGCGTGATCGTAGCCGCCCAGCGACACGGTGACGACGGCGCCCTCGGCGCGAATCGGGTCTACGACGGCGGCGGGCGCGTGCGCGGGGACGAATATGTGGGCGCGGAGCTCGAGGAGGGCCGCCATGCGCGCGACGGCGCGGCCGTGGTTGCCATCGGTCGCGGCATACAGGGCGCGGGGCGGCGCGGCAGCCAGTGCGCGACGCACCGCCTCGAGGTCCGCGTCGGGCGGCAGGCTGACCGCGCGCGCCAGTGCCCGGAACGCCCCCCATGACGCCCCTAGGAACTTGAACGACGGAAGCCCGAACCGCGCGCTCTCGTCCTTCAACAGCACCCGCCCCACGCCCAGCTCCGCCGCCACCGCGTCGAGTGGCACCAGCCGCGTCGGCGCGTACCCCGGCAGGCCCTGGTGGAATCGTCGCGCGGACTCGGCAGAGGCGGGCGTGGCCGTCGTCCAGGTCCTGGCGCTCGGGTTGAAGTGGACGGGGCGGCGCGTACGAACCATCGTGGTGTGGTGTTATACCTAAGACTTACACGAGCGGGATATTGGGTCGGGAATATTTTTCAAGAAAATTTATATTGTAACATGGTATTTTGTTTCCGCCGTAGCCTTCGTCGAGAAAAAAAAACCTACCTGTCTAACCTGCGCATCATTTTCTCCCTTTCTACCCCCTTTAAGGGAGACCCGTCTCCTCATAAAACCCCGTCTATATCTTGCGCCCTCTCGGTACAATTCGTTGCCAAACTGTCTCTAAATTGCGCATATCTGCGTAGTGTATGATTCTGGAGGCGGATCGATGGATGGGGAGAATACTGTAACTATTTATAACTGGTACTTTTCCCCCCCCGCATCGGCCCAACAGGGGTGGGAGAGGAGGCCAGAAATGGGCAGGCTGCCCGCTCAGTGGGCGGGGAGTCTTCAAGATTTTATTATTCCATTTTATCTATTTGATTTTCTTCCTAGTCTACTCCTCCTACCTACTTGTGGTGCTTTACCGAGATTCGCCTGCTCGATCGCCCCTTTTCACAACTCATACTCGATAGAGATATAGGTGTATAGACATGCCGCTCCGGGATCTTGAGTATTTAGATTTTTTCAACTTCGACGACGACGAAGACCCCCGCGACGAAACCGCCGAGTTCCCCTCTTCTATCGATCCCAGGATCCTAGGAACTACAAGCATCTCGACGACCAGCACACCATTGCCAAGCGCAGACCCTTCATTCAACTTGCTCGGGACCAATCATCTCGGCGAAGATGCGCCCTTTGCGCAATCCATGTTGGGTCTAGACGATCCCCTCCCACTCCAGGCGCCCTCTCCGAACACGATGGACGTCAGCTTCGACGACTTCTTCCGAGACAATGGAGCCTACCGCGCTCCCACACCGTGCGCCTACTGCAGCCGCCTGCGGCTGCAGTGCCTCATCCTGCAGACCACGTCGGTCAACCCGAACCCCGTCCGGTCGTGCGCCAGCTGCGTCGCCCTCTTCCGGCAATGCAGTCTCGCTGAGCGGGGCAAGCGGCTGCCGGCCGCCTTCGAGACCGCCGAACCCGTCGTCGCGAACCTGCACGGTGTGAGGGAGGAGGAAGCGGAGGCGCCGGCGCTACCCGCGGGCAGCGACTCGGCGGCGCAAGCCTCGCGCGCGGCGCTGCCGTCGCCGGCTGCGAAGAAACCCCGGTCGCGCTCCGTGCGCAAGACGCAGGCGCTGCGGACCTGGTTTGCGTGCCACCTGGACCACCCGTACCCGTCGGAGGAGGAGAAGGCAGCGCTGACACGGCAGTCGGGGCTGAGCCGGACGCAGGTGGCGGACTGGTTCTCGAACGCGCGGCGGCGGAACCGCATGGCGCGGTCGACGGACCGGCGCGTCTTCCCGCGGGGGTCGCCCATGCCGACGCCGCCGAAGCCGCTGCTGGGCGGCATGACGCCGCTCGAGCGCTGGCGCCGGTCCCCGCCCGACCAGGAGCCCGTCTCGACGTCCGCCCTCGAGCGCGCCCTCGGCCTGCCCGTCGGCCGGTTCGCCGCCGCCCCGCGCAGCTTCGACCGCGCCTGCGCCGACGCCGACGCCGACGCGCCGCCCTCGTCCAGCAGCGGCGCCGGCTCCGCCCGCGACCTCCGCTTCGACTCCCCCCTGCAGTACCCCTCCTCCGACTCCGCGTCCTCCTGCCACACGTACTCCTCCGCCTCGGAGCGGTCCTTCTTCTCCGCCACGTCGGCGCGCGCCCACCCTCTGAGCGGCCGCGACGCCCCCCAGCGTCCCGCGGCGCCGCCCTCCGCCGCAGCATCGGGCGCAGGCGCAGGCGCACGCGGCCGCCGCGGCTTCCCGTGCACCTTCTGCGCGCGCGTGTTCGCGAAGAAGTACGACTGGCGCCGGCACGAGCGGTCGGTGCACCAGGTGGTGGCGGCGGAAGGGGGCGAGGCGGCGCCGCGGCCGCCGCAGTGGGTGTGTCGCGGCGCGCCGCTGGCGCGGGGCCAGGCGGCTACGATGTGGCGGCTGGGGCGGCGCGAGCCCGAATGCGTGTTCTGCGGCCGCGAGGCGCCGCCGCCGGACCACGTCTCGGCCCACCACGAGTTCGAGGCCTGCGCCGCCGAGCCGCGCTCCTTCGCCCGCAAGGACCACCTCTGGCAGCACCTGTACAAGTTCCACGGCTGCCGCAAGTGGGACGGCTGGAAGCCCGACCTGGACATGCTGCGGCAGGACTAGGGGAGGGGCGGGAAGGGGGGTGCGATGATGCCGTTCGGAGCACTCTACGGACAGGAGAAGACTGTAGGGGCCGCCTGAGCTAGCTCTAATGAGCACACGGGGCATGTTCTTTTAATTCTGCGTGTTTCTTCCTATATACCCTCTTAGATATATCTGTGATACCATACATTAAGGCCACATGATATTTGCGAACATCCTATACCTACGTGTGTATGCCGTGATCCGCCAGGTGGTGTTTTCCCATGCCACTCAATACTCTTTGCAGGCTTCGAGAGTGGGAACGCTTTCAACCCCATCGTCCACTGTTCTCACAGATCCATGCCCTTAACTGTTCATAGTCAAAGCAGGATTTATCCACCATCCTTAGACGTGATAGGAAATGTTTCTCAGTTACTATACCACCAAAAGCGCTTTTTTAAAAAAGAATTTCTTGACACATTCATAGATCTTTGGGCGGCTCTTTATATATCGAGGATTACCCGAATAGGGGATGGAGGAGCTCGTGGATAAATCATCATATAAGACACACCCAAGGACTAGGGGGACACCCGGAAGGTCCCAAAGGTTGGCCTTTGATCATGTAATCAATATCAACAAGTTCAAGGTATAGTACATGACAGATGAGGGCATTCTCGGCTATGATTATTGAGGCAAATCTGTCGCCTGTTCTTTAACCCTGACACGTATACCATGGGTATCTCGGAAGATATCCATGAAAGAGCTACAACTAGTAGCCGATATAGCGCCACTGGAGGTCCAATTGCTGTTGGGTCACACCACTCCTCATAGCACGCTGTCGCTCCTCGGGCGTACCGCTGAGCAGCTTGTTCAGTCGCCTCACGTTGAACAGGTATCCGGTGATGGTGATGACGAAAGCAGCGACGCAGCCGAGCACTGCAGGCTCAGGTTAGCTCGGCCCCTTGAACGTGATGAATCGTTATCTTCGTTGGAAGAGATGGGAAACTCACAACATCCGAACGCAGCATAATAGTGAGGTGGTCCTCCGTACAGGTACGATGCCCAGAAATTGGACAACCCGCCGATAGAATTCATCATCGCAACGCCAGCCGCGCGTTTCGGGTATGGACGCGCCATATGCAGGTTCATTGTCTTGTACAGCATAATTTGCGGTCCCGCTAGAGTCCGACTTGTAAGTCACACACCTTTCATATAGTCCAGGGGGTGTCTACTTACCGCAGACCAATGGCATCAGCATCATGGCGAAGTACCGCGGGCCAGTTCGTAACGTCGCTAGGGGGATGACATATGCGACGACAGCGACGGCCAAGCAAGATACGATGATCGGGTATATAGTACCTTTCCGCTGAAAAGATAAGAAACGTTAGTACGTCATGGCATGAACTACAGATACTTGTCAGGTCAGGGGAGGATCAAATAGGGGTAACTTACGTCGCTGATGTACGAAACTATGTAGAAAACGATGGCGGCAAGAACATATGGGGGAGCTGTCAGAAGCATCGTTTCGATCCTGGGGTAACCAAGGGTCTCGACGATTGATCTTTCCACATAGCACGCGTTAATAGTAAACATTTAGGCCCAGTGGGGTCGGTGTTAGAAATTTCTAGAGACATGATAAACTCACGGGAAGAAGTTGACGATGCTACCCATGGCCTGGGCCATTCCCATACACCAGACCAGGGCCCAGATTTTGGTATCCATGAAGGCGAGCTTCAAGCCGCCGAAAGTGCTCGTCTCCTCGTGGGCCTCGCCTAAGCCGGCTTCCGCCTCGAGACGCCATGTAGCGTACGACTTTTCGATAGGTGTGAGCAAGCGAGCATTGTGAGGATATTCCGGCATGATGAGCGCGAAGATGAGGCCGCAGCCGATGGTAACAGCACCCTCGCTACATCAACGGATTAGCCATCAATCACAACCAGGGTCTTGATACGCGGGGCATCTTACACGATGAACAGCCATCTCCACCCGGCGATCCCGTATCGCCCGTCAAGGGTCAAGCAAGCGGCGGCGACGAAACCGCCAAACGCGCTACCCAGCATCTGGAAGATGAAGAGCGCGGCTAGACGCTTCCCGAGTTCCTTGCTAGTGTACCACGCGCCGAGGAAGTAGATCATGCCCGGGAAGAATACAGCCTCAGTGACGCCCAGAAGCACTCGGATGCCAAGAAGACCTTGATAGGTCTGCACCGCGGCCGTGGATGCACTGACGGCTCCCCAGATGATAGCAGCGCTGCAAATGTCTGCGATAGCCAGTTAGGTGTGAAGCCGCAAGATAGAGGAATCATCGTAGCTCTGATCGCTAGACTTACAAAGACCGGGCCGGGAGATCTTGGTGATGACCATGTTGGAAGGAATTTGCATCGGGATGTATCCGACTATTATTGGGAGTTGGCGCGCGCTGTCAGCTTTCGGCGCTTCCAAATCGGCGACGTTGTGATGCCCCTGCCGGGAACCCGACAACTGCCCAGCAATTCCTCACACTCTTCAAACCAGAATTGGCCTTCTACTTACCAAATAGGATAGAGATTGCGGTGGCGAACTCGTTGGGGGTCATGTTCAGATCTTCCGTGATTCCATATACCTTCGTAGCGGCGAGCGCTGATCTATCGACATCTTCACGGCTAGGGTCAGTTTCCACCAGAGCGTTGACAAACGCGCGGCTGTCACAGCAGCATACAATTGAGGATATACAAGATACCCATTATTGGCCTGCGATAGGTAGATTTAGTTGTCAGCTATTAGTTCCGCAACCAGGATTCGTCGCAACGCGCTAAGACTCACATGATGACGAGATCGAGCTTTTGGACCATTTTCTTCTCCAGCGCTTTGAGATCAGCATCGCTCAAGCCCTGGATGTTCTCGGGCTTGGGGATGACATCCTCAACGTTGTGTTCCAACTGCTTGAGATCGGCCTGGGCGAACTCGTCTTCGTGAGTCGAGGGAGCCTGCGCGATCTGACCCTTTTCGGCGGAAGCCATGTTGGATGTATGCGGGGGAGAGGGAAGGGGGCACGGAGGGAGGAAAGACAGAGCAGAAACGCCCCGGGAACGTTGGGCTGTTATACACGATACGCACACATCCGAGCGTCTCCGTCGTGGGGGTCAACGATGGAGAGGTCTGGTTGGTGTTGGATTCGTCACGGTTAGTTAACCGCGCCCATTTTGGCGGCCCACCATCGATAACAGTTCAAGGACTCGCGGTGACCGGCTTAGATCACGTCCAGTACGACAATCGTTCAATGCCACCGGATGTTAAGAAAATTTTGCCTTAGATGAATTCCCGGCTCAAAAACGAACTGCCCCCACCCTAGAACTGAAGGTCTCAAGCGTTTGGGGTAATATGGTCCTGTGGGGTACGGTGGACCTCGTGTAAGTCCACTCATTTCACATCCTCAACCCCGAGACGCGGTTCCGTCACCCCATCCCCGGGGTTTCTCCCCGCAAACCTGCATCTGGGGAGGGGGTAGTTACCCCCATGGGGCAGGTATAGAGGGCTAGGGCAGATGGGCCAGGGTCGGGTGGCTCGATTGGACGGGAATCGTTGCTCCCGTCGACTCGGGGTGGCAGTCGGCTCGGCTAGCTGGCGATTGGATCGCCTAGGGTTTGGTAGGCATAGCTCCCGACATTAGGAAACACTCTAGCCCGAACACCGGCACGCAGCTGCAAGATCAGATCTCAAGCACACCAAACCCTCCATCGCGCTTGGCTTATAACAGCGCGACGGCCGACGCCAAGATCCCAATATCAAATTGCAGAGCTCCGGACCTGAACGACGGAGAAGGATCCGGACCTGTACCGGGCGCGGATCGGCGATATGCAACGTAGCCATAGCCTTGTCACCGGCAGGATAGAATCTTGATAGAACGGATTTGCGGCTGTATGATTACCGGATGGCATACCACGTGAGTGGGCTCCAAGTGCTTTGCATATTACCACAGCTTGCTAATATTGGATTAGCCTGGGGGTTTCGTCTTACATCGAAGGAGCTGTGATTACTGGGCTGGGGAACATGTCATCATCTCGAGCATGTCCAGCTCTAGTTAAGATGGACAATAGGAAATTTGGACGTGGACAAACTAATGAGGTCGAGATACAAAGTGCCTCAGTGTAGCCGACGGGGGCTCTACCAAGGGCTGAACGCCACCGTCGACATAAACTCGCTCGTTCCAAGACCGACTGAACTCGAAGAGTAATGACATCGTAGGTTGAAGAGTTACACCTCGAGGGGCATTTTGACTTGTGTTACGATGACGCTGATACTGAAATTTCAAGTCACGTTATCTTTGTTATCGATGATTCGCTTATGTTAAAACACTGTATCGTATGGGCTAGAGGTATGTTGAGAACCGAGTAGCTGTTTTGGCATCGTACCCTTATTCACAGGTCGTATTACTATTTTCAGGTCATCGATATTCGATACGAGTCTCTTCGGGAGTTAAGAGTACGAGAGCATGATGGAAGTTATATTTACCGAGAGAATAAGTAAACCTTGCGGAGAGTTCAATACGTTTGCGGGTGGCACAAAACTGCATAAAAATGAAGAGAGACAACAGTTCCCTGGCGCAATTAAGAGGCTCCCCTATTTGGTTCCTCGCCGACTGATTCTGGGCTGTCCATGCTACGACAAATACAACCCCCTATCTCACCCACTCCAGCTCTTCGCCGCGTCTTGGCATACGTGTATGCTGGCGTGTTCCTGTTGTATCCCCCTATTCCTCGTACACCTCTGCACTCGGAATTCCGAATGGCGACACGAGGCCTAATAATTATTACCCACCGACTACTACTCATACAATGCGTTAAGGGGTAAAGACGCCTGTCTGCCCGTAGATGGCGGCCGTTGGCAGCTGGCACCACGCGGTGACACACATCGACCCACTTTATATGACTGCTATGAAGATTTACTTCCCTAGAGAAACATCATCGATTTTGCCGCATAGTCGAGTCTTTTAACTCAACACGACTGCTGGGTCGGGGCTCTGCCGAGCTGAGAGTAATTGGGTCACCTTAGCATCGTATCCAAGCCTGTATATATGGCTCCCTACGTCTCGCGCTACCAGGCAGTGAGCCAATTCGGTCAGCTGAAAGCGAAGGTCTTGGGTACTCGATTCTACTCAGCCCCGGTCGATGGGAGCATTCCTGCTGCCAAGAGGAAGTACATTCCGACGAGCGGTACCTATCCGCGAGGATTCAAGGTCTCGGGGACGATAGTGGGCGTAAAACCAAAGAACACCACGAAGCCGGATCTTGCCTTCATCACCTCGGATACGCCGTGCGCTGCCGCTGCCGTTTTCACCAAGAATAAGTTCCAGGCTGCCCCTGTGACTTTCAGCCGGGCTTTGCTCCAAGAGCGGAATAACTCAGGCATCCGGGGTGTCTTGATCAACTCGGGATGTGCCAATGCGGTGACCGGAAGGGGTGGCCTCGAGGATGCACAGGCAATGGGTGCGGAGGCAGACCGGATTCTCGCTGATTCCAAGGCAACCATCGTCATGAGTACCGGTGTCATCGGGCAAAGGTTATAACTCTCGAAGCATTTCCTCGTGCACATACCCGGACGCTATTCTGACGTGTTCTCAGGCTGCCCATCCAGAAGATCCTGAGCAATGTGTCCAAGGCGTATGAGGGACTCGGTGATACCCATAAGCACTGGCTAACATGTGCTACCGCGATCTGCACGACGGATACATTCCCCAAGTTGATCTCGCGGAAGTTTACATTGCCATCTTCGCCGTCGGTGGAGTATTCTATAGCCGGTACTACTAAGGGTGCTGGCATGATTCATCCGAACATGGCCACCCTCTTGGGCGTGATCGCTACTGACGCACCCATATCGCCCGCGGTCATACACCCTGCTCTGAAATACGCAGCCGACCGATCTTTCAATAGCATCACGATAGATGGAGATACCTCCACGAACGACACCGTCGCATTACTGGCGAATGGGGCCGCAGGGGGGAAGACGGTTACCACAGAGGACTCGGCTGACTTTAACGCATTCCGAGACGTAGTCACCGACTTCGCCATTGACCTCGCCAAGCTCATCGTCCGAGACGGCGAGGGTGCCACCAAATTCGTCACGATCCGGGTAACCGAGAGCTCTAGCGAGGAGGGCGCCCGCAAGATCGCCAGCACGATTGCGCGATCGCCGCTCGTCAAGACCGCCCTGTATGGTAAAGATGCCAACTGGGGCCGGATCCTCTGCGCCACGGGCTACTCATTGATCAGCGAGCCGGGTGAGCCCATCAACGAAGTTGCCGAGATAACTCCCGAAAAGACCAGCGTGTCGTTCATCCCGACAGATGGCAGCCGGGAACTGAAGCTGCTGGTCAACGGCGAGCCCGAAGCGGTGGACGAGGCCCGAGCCGCGGAGATCCTCAAGCACGAGGACCTGGAGATCCTGGTCAGGCTGGGGACGGGTACGAAGGCGGCGACGTACTGGACCTGCGATTACAGCCACGAGTACATGTGAGTGAAGACAAGACAGGCTCATTATAGTGTGTCCACGTACTAACCGTCTCCAGCACGATCAACGGGGATTACCGGACCTAACCGACATGATTTTGGTTTGGGTATGGGAGGCTCATAGAAAAATTCGGTGGATAGAATCACGGATGTTGTTGGTATTTTTGAGAACGCCACGGACAGTTCCCCGTATTTGTGTACGCGCATCGTGATGTGCCTGGTAGAGGCGAAACGGACCAGGAGAACAGAGGCGATGTACCTAAGATGCGGAGAGGACGAAAAGGCAAAAAGAATTCGGTCATGGAAAGAATCTACGCAACATAGAACAAGGTACGAGCTCGCATATAGCCAAACTCGAGCATGCGCTTGAGTCTCGTAAGGGACGGCAAGGTGTAGGAGCAAGCGAGAGCAAGGGACAGACAGAAGAGACGCTGGAGTGGGTTACATAAGCCAACCGGCACCCTTGTATCATGCCAGGGTCCTGAAAGCTTGGACCAGGTTCCGATTTCCACCCCACCAATATGTACCTAGGTACCTAAGCTCTGCATATGCTTAGACGCGTCTGGTTTTGCGGGCACGCGTAAATTGGTGCAATTTGTAGGTATGCATCACTGACGCTCCCATCGTGATCTTCGACCCAGCTACCCATTGTCTCTCCTGCCACACGACGACGATGTCAGCGGCCAAGCCCGAAGCTAGAGGTGAGTCCTCGACGTCAGCCGCCCGGAAGGCGTTGTCTGCCGTTTCCAACGGCAATCCGACGTACGAGTTGCCATGGTATGTGTGCTCCCTCTTCGAGCTGCTGCTCCCTGTCGACAGCTCACCCGTTGACACGATATCTGCGCAGGGTCGAGAAGTACAGACCCGTCTTCCTCGACGACGTCGTCGGCAACACGGAGACTATCGAACGGTTGAAGATTATCGCCAAGGACGGCAACATGCCCCACGTCATCATATCGGGAATGCCAGGCATCGGCAAGACCACCAGCGTCCTGTGCCTAGCTCGACAGCTACTCGGTGACTCCTATAAGGAAGCGGTCCTGGAACTGAACGCGAGCGATGAGCGAGGTCGGTCCCCTTCTACTCCACCTACATGCACCCGTATGTCACGGGGGTGAGGAGGACGAGATTGCTAAATAGGCCGCCGGCGTGTCTAGGTATCGACGTGGTGCGCAACCGGATCAAGGGCTTCGCGCAGAAGAAGGTGACGCTGCCGGCGGGGCGGCACAAGCTGGTGATCCTGGACGAGGCGGACAGCATGACGTCGGGGGCGCAGCAGGCGCTGCGGCGGACGATGGAGATCTACTCGAACACGACGCGGTTCGCGTTCGCGTGCAACCAGTCGAACAAGATCATCGAGCCGCTGCAGTCGCGGTGCGCGATCCTGCGGTACGGGCGGCTGACGGACGCGCAGGTGGTGAAGCGGCTGCTGCAGATCATCGAGGCGGAGCAGGTGGCGTACACGGACGACGGGCTGGCGGCGCTCGTGTTCAGCGCCGAGGGCGACATGCGCCAGGCGATCAACAACCTGCAGAGCACGCACGCCGGCTTCGGGCTCGTCAGCGGCGACAACGTCTTCCGCGTCGTCGACAGCCCCCACCCCGTCAAGGTCCAGGCCCTGCTCAAGGCCTGCCACGAGGGCAACGTCGACGCCGCGCTCGACGGCCTCCGCGAGCTCTGGGACCTCGGCTACTCCAGCCACGACATCATCAGCACCATGTTCCGCGTCGCCAAGACCGCACCCACCCTCGGCGAGCACGCCAAGCTCGAGTTCATCCGCGAGATCGGCTTCACCCACATGAAGATCCTCGAGGGCGTCCAGACCCTGCTCCAGCTCAGCGGCTGCGTCGCGCGCCTCTGCAAGATCAACATGGACCCGAAACGGTTTGAGACCAAGAACCAATGATTTTTTTCAACCACTCTCCCTCTCTCCCGTACCGTACGTCGTCGGTCGCAGGAGAAAAGGGACCTTGCATCTGGATCGAATGGGTAGCGAAAAAAAAAAAAAAGAAAAATCCGGACAGCAAGTTTGATCTTCTCGAGATCGGTATGGAATGGCATGGCACCGGCGTTTTGACAAGTTTCACGAAGTTGAAACCTTTTTTTCATTTATTTGACCTTTTCCCTTGGTGACCGCAAGCTGGACCTATGTAGCTATCTGGTATCTGGGACCACCTAATGGGAGTAGAAGACATAGAGAAATCGCCAACCTGCCTTCGCGCACGCGCGAATATATACATGGCCAATCTCGCCTCGTGATACCGGAGGCGCCCTTTTCGCCTCCCTTTAATTGCTTTTCTTGGCCCATCCCAGCGACAGTACCGACGACAACATAACGGCAGCAGACAATGGGAGAATCCCGGCGTCGCCCCACCTGACCTTACTTCTTGCTGCTCTCCTTCTCGATCTCGGCGAGCTCCTTCTCGTAGTCGGCCCAGAGGGCGCGGTCGCGCGCGAGCCGGCGCTGGACGCGCACGCGGTTCTCGTACTGGCGCATGCGGTAGTCGGCCTCGATCATGCCGCCGAGGATCATGCCGGACATCTGGATGTATCTGCGCGGGGGGCACCGGCGGCGTTAGCTACCTACGAGGCCGTGCCTGTGTGCCTGGGGCGCTCCGCGCGGCCGCGTAGCTTTCCGCGCGTGCCCGCCCGCCCGTATGTGTGCACACCTACCCACCTAGGTACGGATACAGACGGCGAGGCGAGAGAAAAAGGACGGGGGGCCGCGCAAAACTCACACCTTGAACTGGATGGTCAGCCCGCGGTAGACGGGCGACAGGGCGTACCCGAGGCCGCCGAGGGCCGCGGTCGCGACCCCCCACTTGGCGGCGCCGACGGCCGCGCCGCGCGCCGCCTCCCACTGCGCCTCGTTCGCGTCCTCGCTCTCGAACGCCCGGTGCGAGCGCATCGTCGCGTCGTGCTGGCTGGCGCGCGGGACGGACCGGGTGTGAACGACGGCGCTGTCAGGTCATTCCGTCCGCGACGGGCGGGGCTGCGTTCGTGCGTGCGTGCGTGTGCGCGAGGGCGGGTGCTTGCGTTTTGTAGCTCTGACGGGGGGGGGGGGGGGGGTTGTCCTCGCTGTTGGTCCTACGTCCGGCGGTGCTTCGACTGCCGAATGGTCACGCGGCCGGAGAGAAGCGCTGGGTGAAGTGAGGAGAAGAGACGAGATGAGAGCTCGCGGCCCGGGCGGCTGGGGACGTGGGCGATTAAGTACAAGTAGGACAAGTTAGAAGTCGAGGTCGGGAGCTGGTTGCAATGATGCGATGAGCAGAATTCGAGGGCGCTGGTCGGTGGGGCTACCGGCTTGGGCGGGGACGCCGACCAGGACTAGCTACAGGCCATCGGGTGGGCGGTATTTGCTGCTATCGACGCGCTATACTATAGGGGACCTTAATGGGGCTCCCCGGTCGACGGCGGTTGAACTCGCCGTTCTGGGCCGCTGCGTCCAGTGGCTACGTCATCGACGATCCCCGCCACGCGCCAGAAATCGACTCTGTCGTTGACGGCAAGTAGTAGTAATTCCGTGCAAAGAATAGGTAGCGCTGGATCACCCTGGATGCGCACATTTCCCACCATAACTGCGAGTTGTCTTGCAGTGCCTGGAGTCGTAGCCGGACCATACCCACGCGCGATGAAGATACCCGAGGCAGGGTGTTGGCATGGCTTTATATGGTGTTATATCCACGAGCCAGGAACCGCTTCAAGTGAAATAAATACTAGTCTCTTCATCGTCGTCTCTTTCGGACTCATCAACGCTACCAGCTCGAACCCCACCATCCACTCGATTCGTTGCCCATAATATCGCCATATATTCTACGGCTACCATCACAATTCCACGGCATACGTCTTATATCCCAGCAGCTACCGGTCCATGTCCCCCAAATCTGACGCCGCGAAACCCAGCAACCTCTAGACTAAAAGCACCCAGCATGGCCTCAGCCTCAGCCTCCGCAACCCCGGATCCGCGCCCCACCAACAACGCCGCCGACCCCGCCGCCGACGGCGACGAGTCGTGGCGCTTCGCGCCGCCGTACCTCGCGCTCGACGCGCCCTCCACGCCGCCCTTCACCCCGCGCTGGCGCGCGCGCTGCCCGTGCGGCCAGGTGCGGTACTGGCTGGGGCGGGCGGCGCCGCTGGCGAGCAAGTGCTGCCACTGCGGGACGTGCCGGGGGCTGCACGGGGCGCCGTGCCAGTGGGCGGCGGTGTTCGCGAAAGCGGACGTGCGGTTCGCGCGGGCGGGCGCCGCCGGGCTCGCCTTCTACCACGCGCCCGCCGCCCTGCCCGCCCACCGCCTCCCCTGCAAGGTCAGCTGCGCGCGCTGCCGCGCCCCCGTCCTTGACGAGGGCCGCCGCATGGCCCTCGTCTTCCCCGGCCTCGTCGACTTCGGCCCCGGCGACCCCGAGCGCGCCAGGAGCGTCTTTGAGCCGCGGTAGGTGGGAGACCGAGGCGAGGCGGGGTGTGGCCCCGGAGACGAAAGCTAACGCTTCTGCTTGCCCGCTCAGGTGTCACATATTCTACAGCCAGCGCGTCATAGATATCCCCGACGGAAAGCCCAAGTGGGCGGGCCTCGACGGCGAGAGCGAGTTGATGGACGAGAGAGAACGATTGGGTGCGGTGGAGGGAACCCGCCAAAGTTCGATCAAGACAGAAGAAGACTAAAAATACAGACGAATAAATTATCCAGGGGTATCTCTACTGCACGCATACTGTATCCTACGGCTATGTCTGTACCCTGCCCTTTCTTTTACTCTATATGCTATCATGCTCCCTCCGATCGTGACGGCCATTACTCAAGAGGTAGATATATACTACGCTATGCTTATGACATAAGGTCTTCCAAGATGCCCTCGAGCTCGTCTTTCTGGAATGGTGCGCTCAGCAGCTCGGTTCCTAGCAGATCCTTGCGACTCGTGATCATCTGATGATCGTGGAATCTAGAAACTTGTTAGCATATAACGAGCAACCATCGACAGTCGTAATGTGAGGGGTCGCATACTCTTTCAGCAGCGTACGGAAAGCCATCTCCGAGCTGCAGATAAACTCCTCAACCGCCTTGTTGTACAACATCCGGTACTCCACGCCGGGATTCTCGCCGCCGGACGCCACGCCCTCGTCGTCCATGGCCGCCAAGACCTCGCCGACGAGCAGGCGGAACAGGTTCTTGGCGTTCTCCGGCAGACTGCGGAGGACGTACGTCACGCCCTCCTTGCCGCCGACGCGTCTCGCCTTGCGGCCCAGCAGCTCGTGGACGTCGTCGACGACCTCGATCTCCGCCGTGAAAGGCGCGAACGTGGTGCAGTCGTGGAACACGAAGCTGAACGAGGACCGCAGGCTGCTATCCCACAGCAGCGGAAAATCGGGCGTGTCGGCGGAGCATATGAGCCGAATGTTGGGGTGCGCCGCCAGCTGGGCGAGGGCAGGCTGGGTGCCGGCCTTCCGCAAGGGAGGGGCATCGACGGAATTCAACACGATGGTGACGACGGTGTCGTGAGAAGATAGCAGCGACTTCACGCTATCCAGCATCGCCGCCGGGTTCCCGCTGGGTACCTTGTGGGAGGGACTGACGGCGCTCGCGACGGTGCCTAGGATCTCGCGGAGGGAACTCGTCCGGACGTAGCCATTGATGATGACGATCTTGTTGGCGACGTGATCCGGGTACTTGTCGTATACGTGCCTGGCAAACCTGTGAAGGAGCGCTCGTTTCGACCCGTACCCATACAGGCACACGCTAAACCCCTGCGAGAGCTCAAACGTCCACTGCGGGAAGGACTCGAGGTGTATCGATTCGAGGAACTCCACGTCGTCTGCATGCGGGTCCTTGTAGTCCCGAATGAGGGAAAAGTATTCTTCGTGGGTGAGGAGCTCAAGGGATGCAAGAGTATTGTTCGATGTCCTCGAGGCTCCCGGCCGGGTCTGGGCAAAATAGAGCTCGTGAGGAGGGAGGTCGCGAGGCGGCGTCGGCGATTTCTTCCGAGCGCGTTTCGTGTTTTGCTTCCTCGGTCTGCCTCGTCGGGGCTTTTGGGATGGCGTGGCAGCTTCGTCAGGGGGGTTGTCTTCCTCCTCGGCGCCTTCAGCTCTCTCCTCACCTTCCTCCTCCACCACCTCCTCCTCATCGCTAGATTCGTAGATTTCCCGCGCAATGTCTTCATCATCGTCATCATCACTCCCGTCTCCACCCACGACCCTCTCGATGAGTGCTCTAGCGCTCTTCTTCCTTGCAGAACGATCGTTTCGCTTCCATTTGGGTGTCTGGGCGTCAAGGCTACCCTTGGCCTTGGACGGCGTCGCAGTATCGTTGGTAGTCCTCCTATGGCTTCGGGGCATTGAGATTTCTCCATTAGTGTTAGGAGTCGTGGCAATAGCTGGGACATGTTTCCTTTTACTCGGGGTCTCTTTCACGGGTGGGATGCTATCGTCGCCGTCCGAAGGGAAGTCGAACTCGGAGTTACGCTCGCTCGAGGTACCATTAACACGCAGTACGACTGTAGCGAGGCCACCACGCCGCCCAGAAGAAGGTCCTTCGTTCGGTTCTTCACCATCGTCGCGGGCTCGCTTTCGTAAAGAGCGAGTAGGGGCGGGATCGGCAGCTTGAGGCTGAGATCTTTTCGCTCGTACCATTTTTCGACTACAGAGGAGTATGATGCAGCGAAGCTAAAAACATGGCAAGAATTATTTTAGCCGCCACGGGAATGCAAAATGAGTGAGTGTGGGAAATCAGCAACGGAGATTGGAATTTGTGTACTAAGCTGAGGAGGCAGCGCAGACGTCCATCGCGACTTGTCGCGTCGAATTGAATTTGGTCCCACTCACGATAGTCACCTAGGTACTTGCTAGTCTACTGCGGACGATGACTTATGTAAGCAGATCCCGGTGGAGCATCATGGCCGGCATTGGAAGTAAGCCGATAGGCCAAAGTCTGGTTGCCCATATGTGCATGGGTAACAGATAGTAGTTACCTGATATACGTGGGTAACACCGCAAGCCCCACCCTCGTGACCCTGAGCTTACGCAACGAATTCAACATCGTCGTTTTCCACCTCTTACTAAGCATGGTGGTGGGAAAAACTCAGGAGACTCGACTTCTAGCACGGCGTGCAAACCGGAAACAAGCAGCTCGACGCCCCGATCTCAATATATATCTGCGTGGTAGGTATCTCATGAATACATACCAATTCTCGAGTACGCCATCGGCAGGAGCGGCACTCCGATAAACGAGTCCGATATGAATATCAATCTGTCCGGGACTGTCAACGTATTCAAATTAATAGCAAAGCCGTCGCTGTGTCTCCCCCATGCCGCTGTGCCTACCTTCAAAGACATCCCCACTCCTCTGGAAAAGGTCTTTGAAGGATGGGGGAAGAATGTAATAGACATCCGAGCTGTCGTTCTTGACAAAGATGATTGCTTTGCCTATCCTAACACGAACAAGATATATCCTGCTTACGCGGTAAGCGGAAGCTGCTGGTTGATGCTATTTTACCGCAGTTATTTTACTCTCTTTGTGCTGTAGTCGCGCCCTTTACTGACCTGTGAATAGGACAAGTTCCGTCAGCTTCGAGATGAATACCCCGGCCGCCGTCTCCTCATCGTGTCCAACACTACCGGTGCCACCAGCTATGATCGCGATGCCCGTCTCGCCAGAGAACTCGAGTCCGCAACTGGAGTCCCTGTTCTCGCCCATCGAGTGAAAAAGCCCGGCTGCGGGGACGAAATCATGGCGTACTTCAAGGGCCACCCTGAGGCCGGTGTCACCCACCCGAGTCAAATCTCCATAGTCGGAGATCGTCTGATGACCGACATGATGTTGGCCAACATGATGGGCAGTTGGGGCCTCTGGATTCGAGACGGTATTAAACCCCTCAAACAGAAGAGCATAGTACGGTTACCCTGCATCTCGTCGTTGTTTTCTGCTTGCTAAAGCCGACGACATATACCTGCAGTTCTCCAAGTTCGAACAACGTCTTGGGCCCTATTTAATCGCGCGTGGATACAGTGCTTCTGGACCACAAAGCCCATTCGAATAGGTTGTGTTAGGTTCAGGTATCGTCTTCGATATGATAAAAGCCGGGTTGTTTCATGAAACCGGAAAAATTTGGCTATCTAGGAAGCCAGGAATTCGAGGAACTACATTCCGTCTCTACACACGCACTCATCATACATACAGTTGCAACATCACGTCGGCTGTAAAGTAGCCGGCCCAGACGAGGACGTGGAGTCCCAGAAACTGAGGACTTGTTCAATTCTCAGGGTGAATCTCCTGGCTAATTACCTGACGCGACTAATTTTGACGTCGCAGATTGTTTCGCTCGGTGATACGAAGCTAATGGGTCCCCATTGTGAGGAAGCAATAATGAGGACCTCTCAATTCAATGTGCCAGGATAGCCAGGGCTATTCAGACAACTTTGAATTACAGTTTCCTACGATGACTCTCATTTACTGGCACCCCTGGCGAGGTATTGATACACAGATACACGAATTGGTCAATGGTTCGACACGGCAAACCCCAGATTCGGCCCCTTAGGGCTGCTGAACACGAAAGGATCGAGACATGTCCTCGAAGTTTGGTTTCGTGGTACCTGTTTAACTAGCAAGTGCTAGAGATAACATCTGACGGTGAATGGGTAGCCTCGCGGGGAAACAAACGATGCGGTCCCCATCACGATCTCCTCGTTCCCACCCCTCGCCGGTAAAGTTTGAACACAACCAAATTGTAGCTGTCCGATGAGCTGCACAATAATGTATGACAGATGTTGCCCATGTCACAGCTAACAAGATGTCTATGTGTTTGCCCTGACTCCGACCTAGTTGCCCGACTTGTCTTGAGTTCAATCAGTCCCTCTGATTGTGGCACAATAGGGGTCGCCACGATTGGCGGAGGGGGGGACACGAGATGGGAGTGCCAATCGGAGACGACACGGGGAATGAAAATTACGAGCCACATAGGTCCACGGATCGCAGACGAAGCGCTGATAGCTAGTAGAGTGTTTGTCTTCATCGTGGTGCTTCATCCTACTGTCACAAATCATGCCTATCCGATTCATACGTCCACACACACCCTGGTTGATTTCATCCGCCCAATGACAGAGAAATGCATAATGCCACCTCCAAACTGCATAGAGCAGAATTGAGTTCTTGCTAGGTATCCGGCGGGATGTATAAATAGAGGTCTTTTCGAACCGAACCATCGCTCGTCCCCTCTTCATCTTCCTGTTAATCCCACCCATACCGCATCTCGAGTTGATTATCTGTTCTCAAGCGCATACTACTGACCTACTTACACAAGGTATACCCTATTTTCTCCCAACACGACATAAACTCCTTCCCGCCAGACTTCCACCAGATACACGAAAAGATGGGAGGCAAAGTCTGGTCCGAGGCCGAGGAGAAGTACTTCTGGAGGCGGGCCATCGCCCAGTCCAGCAAGCGCGCCGGCATCGACCGCGCGAACCCGGAGAAGTCGTGGGAGCAGCTTGCGGTGGAGATGCAGGAGCGGATGGGCGGCCGGGACGCTCGCCGCGTGTACAGCGGCACCATGCTTTGTGAGCGTTCCTCTCTGCGCAGCGCTGCCCCGTCAATCCCATTCCCATACCGTCGTACGCGGGCGGCCCGTGCCCGAGCAACTAACGTGTGGACCTCGAACCTCCTCCGCGCTCGGCGCAGTCGAGCACTACTTCCAGAACATCGAGGGCGAGCGCCGCTCCCCCAACGCCGCGCTCTACGTCCTCGAGTACCTCAAGAAACTCGGTAGGACTTCTTCTCCCTGCCCCCCTCCCATCCCCCCCCCCCCCCATGCGTCCCGCTCTCTCCCACCCCACCCTCCAGCACCCGCGAGCGCGCCTGAACTCACGCCGCATCCCAGGACCCGACCGCCGCGTAGGACCCGGGCGCGCGCCGCGCCGCGCGCCACGCGTGCCACCAGGCAGCGGGCCGTCGCCGCGCTACCGGCACGGGCGGCGACGGACAGCACTCCCGGCGCCACGGCGGCCGCCGCCGCTCGCCCCGGCGGCGCCGACCGCCACGGCCGAGGTCGCGGCCCAGCGCTGCCGCGAGTACGCAGCCGCCGCCGAGCGGGAGCTCGCGTGGGGCTACCAGCTGGGGAAGCCGCCGGCGGCAGCGCGGCCCTGGCGGCAGGCGAGCGGGACCGTCAAGGAGGAGTCCCTGTTTGTGGGCTCGGAGAGGTGCGACGACGTCGACGACGACGAGACCGTGGTGGACGTCTGCGGCGGCGAGGCGGGATACTACAACTAGTCGGGGTGGGGGGGGGGGGGCAGAGGTGAGGATGCACGTCAGACGCGAGCGGCGGGGGTGTGCTTGAGCGGGGCGGAAAAAGGGGGCGGGATTAGCGCGGGCGGCTTCGCAGGTAAGGTAGGTACAGATTTTGGGGCTGGCTGTGCTGATGCTGGGGGATCGTCAAAAGCGTGGCGCGAAACGCGGAGCCCGTCGAAGGATGGCGACACGGGGAGGTTCGACATATTGCTTGATCTCCTGAGCGGTGGATTTGCTATTATATGATTGATCTCCCTAGCAACGCGTTTTCCCAGAGCGCAATTCCACTATGATTTACATCTTCTCCTTTTCTGGGCCTTTTTGCCAGACAACCTGCTCTTACAAGAACCTATATTCAGACTCGCCCTAAGGCTTTCGGATGATCTGACAACCCCCTCCGACTGGACAATGATTTCTAGTTGAACTGTTTCAACCTCTCGATCTCTCGTCGGGAGTGCAATTTCGTTTTAGTCGCAAGTCGCATCTGCGGCCCTGTTCCCGCTCGTGGTGGCTTTTGGTCCGTATACTGGGGCCTGTAAGGAAGTGGGATTGGCACACTGCACGATGTTGCGATAACACCTTATTCGGCCCAATAAGGGGGAACGTGTGCACGGGTTCCTACAGTATCACACCCCCCTTTTCCCTTAATTTTATTCATCTCCACGTATAATCTTCATTTCTCATCATTCCCATATGTTGATGGACGCTGATACCCTTCTTGCTCCGCGCCTCCTCTAACTTCCGAGTTAGTGTTTGCCGGCTTCACTTGCAATAATCCCATCCTCGTTCCCGACCCAAAGCACGAATTGCCAAGATCGGTCACCGTCATTTGCACTAGCAAAAATGCTTCTCGGCCTTGAAGTACCCGTTTTCGGCGCGATTTCTGCATCGCGGGCAATCGAACTGGGCGCAGCTCGCGTCGAACTCAACGCTTCGGGGTCGTATCCCGCTGGAGGGTTGACGCCTACGATCGAGTGCTTGGAAGACGTAGCAGATGCCAACGTCCCTTTGCGAATTATGATTCGGCCACGAGGCCCACCTCCGCCCAACGCGGCGGGGCGAGATTTCGTCTACTCGGCCGAGGAAATCGACCAAATGGACGCCTCTATTCGATGCTTCAAGGCAACAGGCTTGCTCAAGTTGGAGCGTGGGGACGGATTTGTATTTGGCGCGTTACGGGAGGACACATCGCCCAGTATAAAGCCGGGGGGTCGTAACCGTTGTCGGGTCGATAAGGATGCCTGCAAGGACCTCGTCGAGACTGCCCGCCCCTTTAAGGCGGTCTTTCATCGAGCGTATGACGAGATCGTGAGTTGCGACGAAAGGTCACCCGACAAGGAGCGCGCCGCTTGGGAAATGGGACTCGACGACATAGTAGAATGCGGCTTTGATGCTGTGCTCACTTCCGGCGGTCTCGGCCACGCAGCACAAAACATACCTACACTGGGGAAAATCATCGCCAAAGCAAGAGACCTCGGTGCTGAAATCATCGTTGGCGGCGGCGTCCGGCGTCATAACGTCGGGGAAATGGTCCACCAGCTCAATTTGAAGGAGAGTACATCCGTATCGCATGTTCACTCAGCGTGCCTCGACAATCCGGAGTCTTTGGAAATCGATGGAGAAGAACTTACCGCTATCTTGTCTGCCCTGAAGGATACGGTATAATTCGAGCGTCCATAATAGTGTATAATTGATCACCCAACTTGATAGGAGATGCGATCTCCTAGACCGCTCACCTCCGCGTTCGCTGAGTCTACCTTAGGCTAATAGAGTGTATGCAGTCCTAGGACGAAACGTTAGACTCGAAGGTATCAGCATCGAGATCTGAGGACATCTAACTACAACCATTGTCCATCATATACGCTACATAAATATTGTTGCTGTCATCATAGCTCATGCCGGGAATTGCGCCGTTATCGGAAATTCGGAGCAAATAGGGGAATGTGACTTTTGTGGCACTGAAGCGCCGCTTACCAGTGAAGTGGCCAAGAGCTTGGACTTTTGAAGTAAAGATACGGGCCAGCTTGATCACAAGTGCATCCTCCATCAATTTGGGGACGCGTGCCGCATACCCAGCAACTCTTTGACTGCGGGTCCCCGGGCGTCTCCCGCGAGTCGACACGGCAGGCCTTCAAATTTCACCATCAAAGCTCTAGGGCACACTGGTCGGCGACGTCTTTGCCTCCTATCGGTTCGACCAAGACCTCGAATCCAGGGTACAGGGGACACACCAGCTTCGGAATTACTTCGAGCGATGGAGTCCGTATGTCACGGTGCGGAAAACATACGGATGAAAAACACTAGGACCATCGGAGAGTACGCGGCGTATTTTATGCGTAGCTCCTTTACGACAGACGTTAAGCAATTGGGAATAAGGAATCGTAATAATCGGCTTTTAAGTTGATTGAAAGCCATCAGGAGGCGCCATTGGATAAGGGGCGTACCGTCTGTAGGTGAGGGAGCTTGCGTAACACGGACAGAGGAGCAGCACTCGCCCGGGCGCAACTATTACTATCATGCCCACGGCCTACGACGGCGCCGGGAGATTAGGATTCAGGCTGAAAGGCCCCAGTACCGGACTCCGTTGACGTCGCACACGAGCGGCCGCGGACACCTGAGGAGGACATCGATAGCGGCATCAACTCGGCGGAACTTGCTCAACACATCGGACGCACGTCCTGGCTAAGGTGGCCTACGGTGAGAGCGAGCAGGTCTAATTTACTCAACCCGTCGTGTCTTGATGGTTTTCGTAACCCCATCTAGTTGACCAACATGCGTGGCGTAGAATCCCGAATATCCTGCCGCATTGTAGGACTAGTTCTGGTAATCACATTCACAGTTGTGAGCTACACAAAAGGAGCCCGTAGCTTCGATTAAGATTGTGGCTTGGAGGAAGGACCCCCCAAAGTCGATAGTTTTGACTACAGGGAACGAGCGCAGGCTCTCACGTATGTCTCTCACTGCAAACAAAGTAGGCAGGACTATATACGACGGCACATGGCTTGTCGAAGCCATGCCGTCCGTCCTGCGTACCAATGCCGTGCCAAGTCCGCCGAACTTGTCGAAAAACTGTTGCTCATCTCGAGAACCAAGGTTTGGTAGCATGAATGCCATATTTCTGGTATGAAGGTCCTTAGAAATCGATTCCCAGCAAAGCTTGGCACGCGATAGATTTAGCCAAAGCTGCCGGGAGTCTTTCGTCCCTGAAGAAGGCTTCAATAACATCCGGCACATCAGGGCCTAGTCATCCCAGGACAAGACAGTCGTGTGTTCCGTCGGGCCCATTTACTGTGAAGTGGTCCAATATTTATAATACTCAATGGTCTTGGCCTGGACGGTCTCTTGGGAGCGCAGGTATTGCTTGTAGAGCTTGGATTTCGCTATTATCGCTCTTTTCCGATACCGAGACCTTTACCGCGACGTATCGAACCTCCCCAAGCCAGGGTTAGGATACACCACGAAGCTCGCTTTCAATGCAATAGTCGTCGCTACCTACAGTTGATCACGGGCAATCCAGGTAGTTGAGTAACCGCTTCATCCGATCTTGTGAAGAGTCTTGTACCTTCCATCCTTAAACAGATATCTATGGGCGAAGCGTGCCACGGAGGAAATAGAGCGGCGCTTGGCGCTAGCCAGTGGTGAACAAAAAAGGGCTGTCGCAGAGATGATTCGGGTTCTCGGAGCGGAAATACTTGTGGGCCACCTCCTCGTATTTGATATCAACACCCCGAGAGCAATGGAATAAGTACCAGGGTCATTTCTGGGAGAGAAGGGAGATACAAAAGATTTAAGTTGAAAACGCTAAGTGAGAAAGGAAATTAACTAACAGGATAAATCTAATCTCTAATATTGTTTGAACTCAGGCTTTTTCTAATCGTATATTTAAATATGTATATTTTTAGTTGCTCAAATAAGCTATATTCATCTTTTTCATATTTTCCTCCCTTTTATCAGCAGGGAAAAATGCTTGTATGTAGATCCATATTACGACAAACCCGGTCTGTGAAGGGGTGGCCCGCGAAGTGGTAGGTGGCTTATCCTGGCAGTTAGATATTATATATACTGCGTCTCGTGCCTGTCGACACCATGACACCCAGGACGGATCCCTTCTCCTAACTATGACAAAACCGGCGGCAATTGCCACATTATTTTCCGGTTTCAGCTTGTAAGAATGGCCGAGTTAAGTTGAACCTTACCAGCATGGAATTAACTGTGGTTTAGGCTTTCGGCTTGCAAATTCTCGCAGTCTGTCGACCGACAATATGGAAGTCAAGCTTTCCATCACCGTCTTTTTGTGTGTTTCATTGCAGTCGTCGGTCTTGGCCTTGGCCAGAGTAAACCAACGCGAGCACGTCACATCCATCGACAAACCACATATCGACGAGTCCGGCTGGGCCGATGAACAAATCCCAGCAGAGCACGATCCAGAAGTTGCGCGGCTTCTGGACATATACAATGCTCCTGAGGCGTGGGATCACTTCTGATGTCATCTTGGAGGACGACGTAGAGCCCAGGGTGAAGGTGGAGCAAAGGTGTTCTTATTGATAGAACGCTACCATATCTGGAAGGGGGTCTTGGGTTGAGATGAAAGTAGATACGGGACTAGGACCAAATATTACTTTACTCATCAACTCCGTCTCCTACATCGTCCATCAAGACTTGGTTGACCTCGCCGTATTGCGATTCCTCGCCTTTTGAGTCGTCCCGTAAAAATCGGTAAGAAATGTGAAATACCATGGCAATATCTGCTATAGCCACCGCCGTAGTCACTCCCATGATAGACTTAGATCCTCCTTCTTGAGCCAGGCCGCTGGTGCGCATTAATCCACGAAGTCGCGTGCAATATAGGAGACAAGATTGACTTACATTAAAGAAATGCAAGCACCGCCAACGACAATTATCCTGCCGATAACTACATGAGAAGATGCAATATTACTCGCCGGCTCAGACACAAGGAGTGATCGATGATGAGCGATTCCCAGCCCGATCTGGCAAAATATCAGTGGTAAAAGAAGGAGGCCAACCAGCGGATACAGGGAGTGCAAAAGTTGTGCCTGACACGCTTCTGTTAACATTGATCTTCAAGACAGAGCGCAATTTTCATCCGTACCGGCTGGTCAGCGTTGATTATAAGGCCCACTATGCCATAGATAGCCATAACTGTTCCTAGTGCTTGGAGGCCTGAATGCCAGTGGAATGAATATTTCCCTCTCGTACGGATTGCTATGGCCCCAGAAGGGTATATAAGCATCGTCGCTATTGCGATGAGGGTTCCATGGGGGCCGAAAGACGTGCCGGAGCTAGATGAGTTCTCCTGCGTCCCTGTCGCGCTGCTGTCGTCGCCTCGGTTAAAATCAATCACAGGTATGGCTATGTCTTTCGGGTTCTCCAGAGCATCATCCCTGTTCGTAGTGAAGTGCCCATAGAACTGATGGTAGCTTAGGCTGGAATGGATAGAAACTTCCGTCATCTCCAGAAGATTATTGGTGGCCCATATCCAAGGCTGATCCGTGGCTGAAGTATCAACCGTGACCCAGTTATCACAGCTATAGCATGCGATGCTGGCCTCAATCCAGCCACTGTGGTTGGATGACGCCTTCAGGGTTTGAATATATGGTAGTTCTTCAGAGACTTTTGGCTCCCAATGCCCTCTGATGTTCGAGTTAGTGATGGCAAATAAACAAGCTGAGGTGCATGCAACCGACCTGCCATATCGTGGGCTGACTATGGGAGCTATACCAAGTAGTCAGTGCCGTCGAGGGAGAACAGGAACTTGTAGACTTACTGCTGTTGGAAGACGTCTCGGCGTAGACAGCGAAAATGAGTGCACCTAGCATTTCATTCCCCAGTCCCACAGCCGTCCAACCACCGTAAGAGCTTCTGCTGTATCCAAAGGTCAGGTAAAGATCGGTCGAAGAGGTTGAGGCATTCTGCGAAGTCTGGACCGCTACACAGAAGTGTACTGGTATTCTGGCGTCATTGTGGCAATATTGGGTAGACCCGTATGCCCGTCCAATCCAGGAACTTGCGATGGCTGCTATACAGAGACAGGACCAAAGGTAAGCCATGATGGCAGGCGTGCCACGTAAGAAAATCATCCGGGAATGAACTGATGATACCATGGGGGTGATGAGGGTATCGTAACAAGAGAAGTTCGGTCGTGCTCGTATGACCTCTCGAGAAGGGATATGAAAACCCAATTTACAGACACGTACCTCTATGCCTAAGTGTTCTCGGTGTCGATGTGCGTCGGTATTCTCAGCTCTGCTGCCGCTGCTCTTCACCTAACGGCTTCGCTTTACTCTGGCGGGTGTGCATATGGCACGCGCCAACCAATTTCGAGCAGTTGCGTCATTCAAATGTCGTCGCCACCAACACATCCTGGCTTCTGTTAATATTGCTTGCTTTAGACGCAGAAAAGGGCTACCCTAGTCATGACGGCAGTGATCTTCAACGTGGCCCATTCGGGAGCCTACACAACTCCCTAGAGAGTTTGTCTCGTGGTATCCGGTTTGGTGGGATGGATGTTCGCCCCCGTAATAGGCAGGTATCAATACCGCTCCAGTTGTGCCAGTTTAATAAACGACAACAGTAAGGAGGAAAGGGAGTAGCAAACACTTCCAACCAACATCGAGGTCCTGCTGTTTCAGAACGTCGGCAAGACGACAGTGAACCGAGGGAGATGGAGAAATTAGACAATCAGCGGTCATGCGGGGATTCCCTTTGTCACCATTTCATCTAAGCCACCTTCGGGGCTCGCTGGTTGTCAAAAGAGGTCAACTTTTTATGAACCGTGTTATCGATACCAGCCTCAAAGTACAGAGCTTGAAAACGCTTAAAGCACATTTGTCGATTCGAGCATCTGCCTTGTCAACCTAAATCATGTCTGAAATCAAAAGTGTACGCTCAGCAATACTCTTTGTCGCGATCAGCTTCTTACTAGTGCCCTTGATCGAGAGGTTTACTCTCAACACTGGCGGGGTCATACCGTACTGGGGTCTCATTAAATGGCCGTCTTTTCTATCATCGACCAAGGTCGCCGAAGTTCCGTACCAAGTCCAGATCTTCTCTCGCGATCCTCTCATACTCCACATCAAAGACTTCCTGAGCCAAGATGAGATCAGGCATGTCCTAGATGCCAGGTGAGCAGTTTCAAGTGAACGAGCGTTATCATTGTGAAGAGTCGGGACTAAGAAACCGATTCAGCAACGGAAACTATGTGACCTCGAGAGTTTGGCCGGACACCGTAGGTTATGTGGATCTTGACGTGCGCGTTTCTGAGACCGCCACGCTGCGATCAGATGAGATTGTTAAGAGGATCGAAAGCCGGGCATTGCGGCTCATGGGGTGGCGAACCGACAGCTTTGAGCTCCAAGAACTTAAAGTACAGAGATACGGATTCAACGGGTTCTATACCTTTCACTACGACTGGATGAACAACATGAAGGAGGGCAATAGGATGACCACGTTTATGATATATCTCGTCGACCAGTGTACAGGTGGCGGCACGAATTTCCCGCGACTGGAAAGGCCGAAAGATTCGAGATGGTGTGAGGTTATCGAATGCGACGATAGTGATATACCCAACGACGATGACGACGAGCACTATGGTGGAGTTACATTTAAGCCTATCGCAGGCTCGGCGGTGTATTGGGAGAACTTTCACCCCAACGGCACCCCTCACGAGGGTGTTCGCCATGCTGGGCTGCCAGTCGCCTCGGGTGAGAAAATCGGGCTCAATATCTTTTCATGGGATTACTCTTGGAGGCCCCATGACGATTAGGCGTTGGATGTGAGAAGGAAAGGTCAGAGAGGACATGCTGCTCGACAAATGTTGCGTATGTTTGATGAAATACCGGATGTTACCTCACTTTCGAGAGTATTGCTTAGGGGGTGTTTTGTATGGATCCTCAAGTGAAGAAATAAATGCGGCATACGCGGGAGAATTTCCTATTTCTTCTCTTCACCAACGACCTTTACAGTCTACTTTACCAATAGCTGGTAATACGTAACCTTGATTGATATAATAATGAATGCCAAGGATATTGTAGTGGTGTGGCGGGACTTGTCCTTGTAGAGTTTTGGGTGAGTAGGTATTCATATAGACACGTAGGTATTTTTACCACCCGCACTTCGTTCTTTATTGTTCATATCTACAGCACCATAGGCAGCCAGACAATCATTCATTCTTTTGTCACCATTATCGCTGCCTGATCACGGATACAGCTGTCGTACTGCCGCTACAGCTGGCTTTCTTTATTGATCGGCACTGGGCTAGCTGATCGCAGCTGTGGCATATTCTATCCCGGCCCCTTGTCAGGAACCAACTCATTTCATACTGCCAAGAGCGGAGGAAAGGTAAGTAATTATAATGGAATTCTTCAGCCAGGTAATAAGTATATTCTTATAGTGATGAAAATAAGTGCTTAATTTTCATAAGGATAGGAAGGCCAGTACCTGGCGAAAGGTGGTCGTCCTTATGGTCAAAAGCAAGGTAAGTTAAAATGGTCGCTAATTAGGAGATATCGTCGTCTTGGCATAAGTACCTTCGTACCTTCTACCCCGGTACCTATCGCGCACCTTCCTGTCGCTCCCTTACAGGTACGTAACCGCTCTTTCTATATATTAGGTAGCTAGCTCTTGGAGACGCGGCCTTAGTAAGGCGTACCTCTCTTCCTTTTCTTCTTCGTATAGCTTTATTCCTTTAATATATACCCTGTCATCTAGCGAACAGTTCATGAAACTGTGACAGCCACCTACCAATCTTTTTATCCATGCCACCTTTAACCGATCACCGATTCGACACTAGACCAAGATGGATTGCTCCAGGTACCTCGTTACTAGGTTCATTAGGGCGCGTACCCTCGTCGAACCATTCCCTCAAGCCTAGTATATGGAGCGGCTAGGACACGCTGACCCCGATATTGCTATTTTGGAAGAGAAGCTGAAGGATATCTTCTATTAGGGATCAAAGCCCGCGAAGGAATTCGCGAGTTCGGTGTCCGAGTTCGCGTCGATCACGAGACATGTTTTCAGCGACACCTACCGACAACATCTCGTTCTCTGCGCCAAGCATTTTGATCAGATTTCCGGGTCCGACCAGAGCCTATCAGATACATTCATCCAGAGCCAACCGGTAAGATGGTGGATGGGGCAAGTGGCCGATATAATGGCCAAAGAAGCCGAAAAAACAGCAGATGCTGAACTAGGAAGGCCGAATCCTGCGTTCGATAGCTCGACTGAGGCGAACGCGGGCCACATACCTCTGGTAAATGCCCTCAGCTCTTGAAGCCCTGCAGTAGCCCCAGCAACAGGCCGACCTGCACCAGCACCAGATTGACCCATCATCAACATACATTTGACTGGCGCAACGATCCGGCAGGTTTGGAACGCGAATTCAGCCACGAAGATGATGGAGGAAGAAGCGTGCGCCCCAGGGAGACGAGACGCGGCCTGGGACCCGAGCCACACGCGTGGACTCGCAGTATACCATGGCACCACGGGCCCTTGTACGGGGTTCGAACTTCTCAAGTCATCTATAGCCCATTAACCTCGAACCGGATCAAGCGAGAAGCCTACTTTTTACCGAGCTTCATCCTTACTCCTTCGTATTTCTAACCACCGTACGGAAGTGTACTTAATTAATTCTTTCCCGCAATCTAACGTTTGCCTTATAACGTACATCGTACGCCATCATAATAAATGGTGGTGGTGCAGGTAACTTAGTGCTGCCGGGAAAAGGGAGAGAGCACTGCTTATGTGATGAATACAAACTCGGCCCAGTCCTGGGAGATAGACTAAACAATAGAGACTACCAAGTAGCGCTGTCAGGAATCGAACCTGTCCTCTATTATATAACCTACTTAGCTCTGGGACCTCCCCAGCACTCTTCTCTATATTAGGTATACCTACCGACCCCTACGACGCCTGCTCACACAAGAAAGCCCGCGATGCTACGACTTCGGAGATCCTCCCTGCACCCTGAGCCTATCAGACGGGCACCGCGGGACCTAACCCACCCGCGACCGAGCCTAGCCTCGTCCCTTGGGGGCGGGAAACAGAGTAGACGTAGGCATGGCCGTCCGGCATACATACCCGTATGCCCACGCGCGTGGTATGCCTCCTACCTGTCCGGGGAGGGGTGGGACGGAGGGGCACGAACACGTGGGGCGGGCTTTCGTTTGTAGGTGTAATCTGGTGGCCAGGGAGCGTAGACACAGGCCCACCTGCGAACGAGGTAGTTAGGAGAAAGGGCGGGTTAGTAGTGTCGCAACTGAGACGGGTCCCGGCGGCGTGCGACGTGTTGTCCAGCTACGGAGCTGCGTACAAATTTGCTTGTGCTCAGTTCCTAGCGCCATGGTGCCGCCGCCGCAGCTTCTCGTGTGCCACGATGTGGAAGCAATCGACGATGTTGGTGGCGCTGGTAAGGGTATTCGGCGAAACCCTCCCATGGTATCGTATCATTCAGGGGTAACCCCTTTTCCAAGACGGCCGTGGTCCACTTTTAGTCCCTGCCGACACCCGCGGCACGACTTGACAGCCTCTGCCACTATACTCATAGCTACGCCTTATGCCTGCTCTCGGCAGCAAGCCGAGTGTTTTTGGTAGGACATATTACCTACGCCGTGGCCGCCGGGTAAGTAAGTGACTTGGGTGTGAGCGGATATTGGCGCCACTGTGCTTTAAGATGCTCCCCAGTCGTAATACTCGATCAGTTTCAATTCCCTGGTATTACTTACCACAGCTGGCACCCGTGCAGCTTGAAGAGAGTCTAAACAACACTGTGAGGCCCTCGTACGGAACCCCGGACCACAAAGACCCGTCGGGCTGGCCTCATGTCAGCCGAGATCCCCCATCCTAGCGAGAGTCTCCGGCCGCGATCCTGGGTATCTTTCTAGACTAACGTTGCACTCTACCTCCCGAACCAACGCAATATGAGCCCCCTTCCCCTCCTCCTCTTCCTGATTTCAACCGAGAATGACATCCTGGAGCTGACCAGTCGCGCGATCAGGGACCCACTTGTATCTATCCTTCGCATCTCCGCCCGTCTCCTTCTCTACCACCACCACAAATTCGATATTTGTCAACTTCACGTGAGCTCCAATATCCTCCTTCCACTCGCTGAACAGCTTTAAAAGCTCCTCCTCATGGCTGTTCGCCTTGACGCGGACAATCGCCTTGTCCGTCTTGTCGACGCCCTTGACTGCCTGTCTCATGAGATACAGCGTCTCCACGTTGGGCCACGATAGGGAAAGGGTCAGCCAGCACGGCAAGGCACTGTGGGCGAGGTTGGGGGGCTCGGTCTGCACGGCTAGGAAACGAACGGCGTGACGAGATTCGTCGGTATACTGGTGGCACGCGCAGTAACATCCTCGGCAACCGCTGCTGCACGGCTCGAACACTACGATGTCGACATCGGGATTGATGTTTTGGTGAGGTAGTAGAGCAAGTGGGATCGAAGGCGCGCGAGGACTGAACAACATCTGATAGTTGCGTCTCGCCACCCACGCTGACAGCTGGCAGGCCATGAACCAGGTCGGGACCCGTATTTGAATGTCGGCCGGTGTCAAGAGGTGGGGTGCCGCAGAACGGTTGCGGACGTATACAGCGCGAGGCTCGATCGCGGCCTCCCACACCATAATCTTGAGCTCTGGCGGTAGCTCCGAATACTTGTGGAATTCCAGCAAGGGCTTCGAGTCACGGGCGGAACGGCGGATTGGTCGGCCGAGGCCGCTAGGCTCTAAGGCTACCGGTGCCGTTTCCGCGCGGCTTATCTGTCGAGCCCAAGACATGGAGGGTGTCGTGTCTCGAGACTGAAGCTGCAGTCCATTTATGCGGGCCGATCGTCGCGTCGGGGCCTGGAGTTGGCTCGAGGAAAAACGACGTCCCTTGGGCTTCCGCAGCGGTGGAGATTCCAGAGCCTCCCCGAACTCGACGCCAGCGTGGCCGTCATGGCCCCGATCCGGGCCCACGTCGGCGTTGGGCTCTTCACCGTCGTAAACAATGTTTTTGGCGTCTTCAAGGTTAGAAGAAGCACCGGGTGGGGCACTTTTCCGGTTGGAAGCGCGAGAAAGCTTGCGACGGAACAAGGTGACCTTTCTAGAAGCAGGTCGTAGGGGACCAAAGAGCGGTTCGCCCATAGACCGAGTAACCGGCCGAGTGTAAGATAACGAGCGAGCGACCGCGGGCGTCGAGGCATCTTCCTGTACCGGGGTCAACTTAACGAAAGAATTGGTCGTCCCTTGCTCGCCGCCACGAGACGGCCCTGCGACGGAGCTCATGGGTTCGCCGTGACGACCAGCACCACGCTCGTCTCCAGCTTTCATTCGGCCCGCCATCCTGTGATTGGGGTCAAGTTCCAAATCCATCCTAATAGAAATGAGACAGCGGGCTGCTGCGTAGAGATCAAAGAGGGTGGTCGGCTTCGCTGCTACCAATGAATCGCCAATATCGGACGTGCTAAACGAGGCCAGCACGCCGTCCCGCGGGTGCGGTGACGGGAGCAGGAGTGGTGGGGCTGCGACGTGAGTACGTCGGGCCGATGTACGCAAAGCGACGCGATGCGGTGACGAAGCGGTGGTAGGCGAGAAAGGGCCAGGCAATGAGGAGGAGGACGCCTGCGGGGGGGCAGAGAGGGGTGTTGGCGTCAAGCAGGAGAGCTTGAGGCGGTTGAGCCTGGCACAGAGTCGTGACAGCCACGAGCGACGGTTAGCTTTGGCCCCACGACCTGGGCGAAGCGACACAGCTGGAATGCTCAGTTAGCCGGGTCTGGGAGGACGGAAACGATGCTTCTGCTACGCGGACAGCACGGCAATCGTCCGCGATAGAGGGCTACGCACGCGGTGCTTGGGGTGGGCCTGTGGCGGCAGATCGTGGTGAAGCTGACGAAGTGGGATGCTGAGGTCGGCCGCGGTGATGTGACGGATGCGGGGCGGAGGAAGACGAGGAAGAGGGAGAGGTGTGACGAGGCGGTGGCATGGTGTAGGTGCGGTGGGGGGCGGTTGCCGCCCGGTAATACTAACGAGGTACCTCGCCTAAAGGTAGGTACGTGAGGGTAAGTATCCACACGTAATACCGTCCTGCCCGACACCACCCTCGCCGCGATCTCTCCCATCCAAATTACTATCTCCGCGACGCTGGCGGCAGATATCTACCTATATACCTAGGTAGGTAGGTGGGTGGGTGTCTTACCGCTCTCTCGTCGTGCCGTAGGTACCTAGTGGTTAGGTACCTATCTGCAGCGGTGTCGCGTATCGCCCTCGGCGCCTAACCGTGCTCCTGTGTTCGGGGTATTAGCGATATAGACCGGCTTCCTCAGCGCCTTCTTAGGTACCTACCTGCTAGGTAGGCAGACCCCTAGAATTCGATTCCTATCCTTCCTATCGACCCGACAAGGGGCGAGGGGGGGGTGGACGTGATGGGTGTCGTGACTGTTGGCGAAAGGTACTTCAGCCCTGCGCAGCCGAGGGTGGACATGGAGGTAATACTCCCCAATCCTCCAACACGCCCACGCCCGCGGCACAGTGTCTGCTGGTCGGCCTTTTGGGGTACGGCTGGCAACAGAATCGCGATGCTCGCCTTTGAGACGATCAAACAAAGAAAGCGCTCGTCGCTTCAACCCGAGTCTACCTCCCTCGAAGTCCCAGGGTAGAGGCCTACCTACCTAGTCAGACAGAAAGCTAGCTATGCATACAGTATTAGCAGATGGTAGGGGTGGGATTCTGTCGAGGGTAGGGGTGAGGAATGGCTCGAGTGTTTTTGTCGGAACAGAGAGTGAGGGTGAGAGTGAGAGGTTATTATACCCCTCTTCCGCTCTCAGTCCAGTAGAGGCCCCCCAGTTTTGGGTTCTACTCACGGCCAACCCATTGACTTTGTGCGTGTGCGTGTGAACCTTCTGTTGTAACTAGTAAGGGGTGGTCAAGGGGTATTTACCTCTGGCGTTGCGACCAGGGCCAGGACCCGATATTAACATCATGTCCGTAGGGTAGCTGCGGTTGCGGTGACATGGCAAGGCAGCAAAGCGTATGAATGGCAATACCCGGCCCCTGACTGATTAATCTTACCGTTGTTGGAGCCCTCGTAGTCTACTAGAACATACGAGTCGACTAATTTATGTGATCTTACAAGCCAGTATCCGATAGAAACTAACCGCGGATCGCTGTTAGGGGGACTCCGTCAACCTATAAGGTGAATGCGCGTTTGGAGGTAATATCCCTTCTAGCTATGTTCCTAGGTAATAACAAGCCACCTCCTAGTGTTGCGGACCAGGTCTTGGCCCCGAACCTTCCGGCACAGACGCACACTGAAGATAAAAGCCTGTTAGTTACCAGAGCCAGGCTGTAACCAGTGCCGATATGAGAAAATGAAAGCTTGTGCAGTCCAAGTTCCAAGTGTGGATCACATTTCTAGAGTGTTAAAACGCAACCTGTCATAGGTTGAAGCCAGGCGTTACATGTTGTGTATGCTGTGGAAAAAGGCTATTGTCTTCACTGTTGCCGCCATCATTGCAGTTGTCTTTATTATGTTCGCCCTTGTTGACTCTCTTTTTCCAACGGTAATATTAACCCATCTTACGTCGTATCCTAATGGTGCTTGATACGTCATTCATACTGGTGGAGGGCCAAGTGCAGCATAGAAGGCATAGGAGTGGGATTACAGGCAAAGGAAGCTGGGGATTGACATAGGGGAGGGGAAGTAAAATGGACAGAGCCAACGTAGGTTTCATCTGGGTTAGGCAAATGGCCTGGCCGGACACAACCGGATGGGCTCTAATGTGCTTCCTATTATGGCAATATACCTAATTGCAAGGGTTTTTACGTGTCCCTTATCAATACGTTTACCTGACACTCAGGGGTACTACGGAGTCGCATAGCTACAACTGGGAAAAAACTCCACTTTTCGGTACGTATACCCTAGGGGTGTGGTAGGTAGGAAGGTGCAGGTTGAATATTTAATTATACGTAGGGAAGGAGCTACCCTCTGGTTAAGTCGGCTAATAAGTAAGCTAGACTACCCCTTCGCAAGCCGGGTATTTTATATAGGTTTATATATAAACGATTTATCCCCATAAAAACCGGGAAAAAATCAAAAAAATCGAAAATTTACTTACGTAATTAATTAGCTTAATTAAAGTAACATATAAATTTTTTGAATTTTCCACTTAATAATATTAGAAGTTATATACGATTTAAGGTTTTTTAAAATTACGTTAATAGCTTCTTATATAATTTATTAATAATCTTATTAACTATATTTATATCAATATATTTACCTATTTCTTTTACGGTAGTGAAGTAGGTCTATTACCTAATACTTTATTTTATAAATAAAAAAATGGTTAGTATTAAGTAATCTTATTTTTATTCTTTATTTTCGTTTTCATTTAATTTATTATTTTGAGAAAACTACGTTTTTAAATAGGTTAAAACTTTTTAAAATCGTACCTATTTTTATAATAAGAATTCTACCTTTCTAACTATCTTCTTTTTTTATATAAAGAGGTTCTAAAAAAGAATACTAAAAATTAACATTTTTAATACTTAATTAATTTAAAAAAAAAAAACAAAAAAGTTACATAATCTTAATTATTATTTTATCTATATTATAAAGGATTAGGTAATAGACCTACTTTATTACCGTAAAAGAAATAAGTTAAGAAGCCGATATAAAGTATAGTTAATAGATTTATTTATAAATTATATAATAAATTATTAATATAGTTTTAAAAACCCTTAAATCGTAAATAATTTCTTATATTACTAAGCGAAAAATCCGAAAAGTTCATATATTAATTTAATTAAGCTAATTAATTACGTAAATAAATTTCCGATTTTTCCGATTTTTTTCCGGTTTTTTATAGTAATAAATCGTTTATATATAAACCTATATAAAATACCTAGCTCGCGAAGGGGTAGCTCGGTAGCCTATAACTCTATTCGTACATATACAAGCTACTACGAATACAATATGAAGCTATCGGGGACTTGCATCAAACATACATACCTCCTCCTATTGGGGGCGTGTATGTAGACGATAAAACTGGGGCGTTCGACCGAAAAGTGGAGTTTTTTCCCAGTTGTAGCTATGCGACTCCGTAGGGTACCCCTGAAAACCCTCTGGGCAGGTAGCTAGAGACCCCTTAGATTGGTAAACGTATCTACCGAAGCTCCGCCATCTCGCATTTTACCCATTATTACTGTTATAGTTTTGTCTCACGTTACTACTATCTTTGCTAGTGTGTTAAACAGCACTCTCCCTCGACACCTCCGTCTACGCGTCGGACTAGCTTATATCATATCCAGGGTCCCCCAAAACTTGGAATCATCCAAATGCCCTTCAACAACGACTGCCATCATCACAGTTCATCATCCTCACTTCACTGAATCGCCTCACATGTCAGCCCGCTACCGCTGCCAGAGCAGCTGTTGGAGAGAGTCATACCCTACAGACACCGTCTAGTTATAGATTTACAGAGAGATCTACTCTGCAGTTTGGCCATATTACTCAATTAGGTCCCCGTTCTCATCATTCTCGCTCCCAACAACTCAAGAACCACTGGTGGCCCTACCTGTCCCACAATGTGCCATGCTATAGCCTGGCAGTTTTACTGCATCATCTGCGGCCAGGGCCCGCTGACGAGATTCCACTTTGCAGCTGACAGACCGTATGCGACTTCGGTCAGGCACTTAGGCTAGAACGCCCAAATTTAACCCGCGACGATCGTGAGTCTCACGGAGACGGCTGCAACGCCTGGAAAAGGAAACATCTGATACCTCCCTCGATATTAACGTCTGATTTGGTGAAGTACCAAACATCCCGATCAAAGCAGAGAAAAAATTATCCTCAAGGATTTGATGCTATGAAACTGGGGTGGAGAAATTCAGTATTATGGTAATCTCCCCGGGGGGATACATTGCGCCTCACGAACCCCTCTGTCGGCCGGTATCCAAACGGAAAGCCCAGGTGACCAACTCTGGTATTATAACAAAGATGCGTTACGAGTAGCTATATGACTAGCCTCAAATTATTAGTTATCATGAAACAGCAAGCTAAATATGGAGTTTATGTTGTGAACTCTGGTTGAATATCGCGCAACGTAAGCCTGTGTGGCTGAGGTAAATACAGTACCTCTAGGATAGGGTCCGTTGAGTTGGAAACTGATTACGTCTTTATCTCTTTAATATTGCCGTTTGGTTAAAGGGAGGAGTTAGGTATTTAATGGCTTACACATAGGACAGGCTACCTGGTAGTAAAACGAAAAGGGGTTAATGTCACTATTAGAGTCTCGATTGTTTCGGTGCCTTAATAGGCTATTATATAGGTACTTACTTCAGGATGTTTCTGTTTGTAGCAGGTAGAGAAATTGCAATACATAACGTGCCTCCTTTCTGTAATAATGGCCTTTACCTACTCGAAATTTTCTTAATGCTCCCATTGCACTCAACTACTTTCGAAAGACTTAAAATATCATCATCGTCATTATCTCCTTAATGTATATCCAAGGTTGCAGTTCTTTAACAAGGGGAATATCGGATGACGAACTTCCGTTTTCGATGGATAAGGTAGGCCGTCTAATCTCGGTTCCATGAGAGAAGCTCGGGGCGACAATAATTATTACATAATATTAAAGAAACAATCACGAGTATTAAGTCTCTTGAGCTAGCCATCCCTCCACAGACCACACCTTCACAACTCTCTGTGTTGAGTCTTGTGGGCGCACCTTTTTATAAGCTCTCTTAGTTTAAATGTAGTTCACTTACATTATTGATTTCACGAAATAATACTTCTCTTCATTATTAACCTATGTTCTTCCTTAGTAATAAATCCATCAGCTTTATGGGAATCTTAAACGCGTGTCAAGGTCGCTGATGGTAGCGCAGCTACACTATGAAGAACTTGAAAGTATTAATTAAATACCTATATACGGTAATCAACTTGGTCTCACATTCACATTTAATCGCCTGCCAAGCTTGCATAGCCCCCATATTCACCTATTCAACATGCAACTCATCAATCAGCAGGTTGCTTGGAAGTGGTTATGTTGTATAAGGCCTGGTAGTTGGGCACACATGTATTGAGGGAAGTGGGGTTATAGTCTAGACCGCTACCTATGCCAATATCATATTAGCTACTGCTTGTGATTGATTATACACCATCGTTTATGCTACATCGGCATTAGTTGAGAAAGACGTCCCCATTCTTAGGCCAGGGCTACCCCTTATTATAGATCTACAATGTTTAATATGTTCTTCTATGTTGAAACAGGGATCCAATGTTTCCCCATTGAGTCTAAACCAATATTCTTTCCTCCAATAGAAGACACAGTGCACTACGTGCCACTCGGGGACCTTGGATATCCTGAACGTGTTATTATCGGCCTTTCTCACTGATCTGTCCGGGAATTATTCCTTTGGGGCACCCAAGCCCCACCAAATATATCCATTCCCCATTAGGCTTGCCTCCAGACCTGTCAAACTCTCTAGTGAGCTCATGATCTCGACAATAGTCATGTAACCAAGCCGCTCCCATCTTGTCGTAGGTATTTGCAGCGGCTGGTGATGGATTCCGCAACAGTGTCCCCACATTTGCAGCTTTCCCTCCCCGATGCAGATCCTGGCCCTAGATCCTGGGTTTGTGAAGCTTCGGATTGACGTTGGGTCATCGTAGTGTTGTCTTCGTAGAACATGGAAACCTTGAAAACAGAAATAACGCTAAGCACAGCGAGAATCATCAGTATAATATCTTTTAAGAGTAGCGCTGATCGTAGAGTGAGTGGTTGTCGAGGTCCTGAGTGATGGTGGCGACGGACGTTTCCACAAATTCGAGTTTCATCGTTGCTATTCACTTCGTCCCTCTCGTTTCTAGGTAGTCTTGAAGCAAGAAATATTAGTCTGAAACCTCGCAGCAGCAATATTGGTGCGACTACTCATGCAGCATATTCTCGGGCCGTGTTTTTGAATGCGTGATTATCGCATCAATTCACTATTGAGGTGACGCTTGATGGCCTGCAAGGTGGAGATGATTGATGACGCCTCTCTAGTGTTGATATCCGCTTAGGTTTAGAGTAAGTATAGATAGACGACACGACGCTAATAAGCAGTAAGCTAGACCCCCCCTCTACGGACCACCCCTTCGCGGACTACCTAAAAAACCCTTACTATTACTACTACTACGTAAGTAATTAAAGCTATTTAGACTATTAAAATTAATTAAAATCCTTCGATTACGGCGTTATTATCCTAATATAATCCTTCGTTTACGATCCCTCGTTTTTAGCCAGTTCTTACGCCGTTTCTTACTCGTTAGGTACCTCCTCGTCGCTTACCTCGTCCTTATATACGATTCTCCCTCTTAACGACTTTTTTATTCGCCGTATATTAGCTATACGTACGAAGCGCTTACCTAGCGCCGGGAGGACCTTCCGACGGGTCTTAGGAATATTCTTTTCGTTTTTTACTACCGTATACTTAACCTATATCTCTAGAGCCGTTATTTTACCTTAATTACGATCCTAATTACTACTAGCCTTCCGAATTAATAGCCTTAAAGCCGGGATTTCGGACCTAACCGTAGTAAGTATCTCTTTCCGAAAGGTATTTCGTAATTCCTAACCGTTAAAAGGCGTTTTAATATACTCTAGAACTAATAATGTCGTAAAATTAGGTATTTTAGGTCGCGTAACCGATTCCGATAACTCCGATTATATCCGAGGGATATCCTTATCCTTTAAAACTACGAATCTCGACGAGAAAGGCTTTTTACGATCCCGTAGAATAATCCTAAAGGTCTTCTAAACGCTCTTAATATTTCGCGAAGTTATCGATTAAATCTTAATTAATCGATATACCTTTAAAATATTTATTTTCGATAGGCATAAGCTAAGAGCTACGTTTTAACTCTCCCTAATAAGATTTTTTAGCTTTCTTTTTAATAATCCGAATACTTTTACGTTTAAGACCTAAACGACGTAACTATAATAAGGCTAGTAAAAGACGAATTATATCTTATTCTAAAGATAGCGTTAAAGGAAGTCGTCGTTAATATACGATTCGTAGTCGTCGTAAATTAAAATTACTTATATATTACTAAAACGAACCCGAATATAAGGAATAAAGATATTTTAGAGTTAATATAACGTAATAACGTTATTAATTTATCCTTTAGGTAATACCCGAAACCGTTTATCCTCTTATAATTCGCGAGTATCGTTAGGAAATTACTACGCTTAAACGTCGATATCCCTAAAAAGTATTACGGAAGAAAGAGGCCTTCCGCCGTAACTTATATACTTAAAAGTAATAATTTATTAGCCTTTTTCGACGCCTTTCTTAAGTATTCTTTAGGTATTAATATCGGTAATTACCTAATGATTCCCGGTAACGCTTTTAGCGATATTTATTTTATTAACGTTAAAGAAGCGTTCGTTAAAAATAATTATTAATTAAAAAGCCTTTAACTTATCGAAAAAAATGTTAATATTTACCGCCGTAGCGCCTTTAATCCGCTTATAATCGACGACCGTAGCCTTAAACGACTTAACCTCCGGGTTTCGAGCTAGAAAACGGTAATGCTAATACTTTCCTAGCTTTCGAGAGCCGCCGTCGGCGTTTAATAAGTATTAGGTTATGAACCTAAACTACGTAAACGCCGGCGCGAAGCTTAACTTAACTTACCCGATAACCTAACGAATTAATTCGGCTTCTTAAATAAGTAATAAAGCCTAACGATCCTTATTAAGTTCTTTTCTTATCGGTTTATTAGCTATACGGCGTATTAGGTAGGAACGAAAGGTATAGGTTCTAAGGATAGCTTAACGGATATTCGTACCGTATAAAACTATATATACGGCGGCGTTCGCCCGGATTTAGGTATTTTTTAAAGGCATTACGAGAATTAGAAAGAATTTAGGAATAAGTTAATGGTAAGATAAATTACGGAGGATTAAAACTAATCGAGAAATTATGGGTTATTTAAGTAACGGTATTGCGTTAAAAAACGCGTTCGTAGGTCTAAACGCGGTAGTCCGTAAAGGGGTGGTCCGTGGAGCGGTATCCTAACTTACTAGGGCAAAACCTAGTCCTAGTATATTGGCTGTTCCTGTAGTTTGAACAACGGGCTGAGGTTATCATCCTAGCCGTACGGGGGAGAGGTTCAGGGTCTCATAACGGAATATTACCTTAGTTTGTCCAATGCCTCCCTTCTTACACGTTGTGGCGGGGGGGGGAGGGGGTGACTGGGGTAGTGCTACAGTATATCCTCTTGATCTCTTCTCAGTATAGTAAAAGGAGCAATCCGACTGCCCTGATGATCACAAAGGTCAGGTAGGCCCACAAGTCGGCCCGTGTAGCTGGGTAGAGTTTTGGGCGGGGCCGTATACGGAGTCGCATTTCAACTTGGAGCTTTATCTTACCATCCATGATATCTACCAGATGTCGGGTTACACGACTATGCTATATTCAAGCCAGCAACACATCCACTGGTTCTAGGCTAGTCTTTTCAACCCACCGTATGAGAACCTGCCATTTCGAGAGGTCGTTATTGCTCTTGCATACTTGAGGCCTAATCTCTGTATCCGCGGCTTTTGACCCTACGGTTTGTCATCCAGACTCTCCGCCGGCGATAGGGACATCTAGATAGTAGTAGCTAAAGAGATTCATGCCAGTTTTCCTCCCTGACAGTACCGGACGGCCGGCATGGGCGACCCGCGGGTCCCCAGACCCATTCATGAACAAATTATTCCAGAACACCGCATTTCCCCTCCGCGGGTTCACTAATAGCCCCTCTCCGGTTTCCGTTCTCGTGAACTTATCCCCGTCCGCGTCCGGGGCCACCCCTCTGATGTCCGGAAAATAAGTTTCTCCTCCGGAGCAGCCGTCTTCTAGGTACGCAAATATGCTGCCCAGGCGGTTGTATGACCTGAAGGGCGTTTTGGGGTTAAAAGTCTCGTTGCGTGGTCTATCAAACCAGTCCATATGAATTCGAAACCGTTCGCCACCCTCATACTTGACCACCTGTAGTGGTTCAGTATCAATATGCTGGATGTTACCCAGTAGCGACTTCATTCTTTCTGATAGGCATATGCTGACGAAGTCTTTGGGGCTGACCATGGCTGATTGAGATGTTCGGTAACGTTGGTCAACCACAGACTTCAAGTCCGAGTCGTAGACGTAAGAGTGATCAAACTGGGTATTTCTGGACATGATTTCTTAGCATCAAAGGCAGCTACTATTTCTGTGGTGCGTTTTGACTTACGTAACTTCCAGGAGGTGCTTTATTTCGAACTCCTTCAGGAATCCATTGATATATATCACCAAGGGGTCAATCGATAGAATTTCGACAGAGTAATTGTGTTCGCAAGCATAAGGTTCAGTTATGAGTATACCGCGGCTCGACAGTGTCCCGTCACTCGAACTTCTCACATACGCAGAGATGTAGTGATAAATCTGAGATATGCTGAGTAGGACAAAGCTGACAGGTATGAGCCATAGCGACAGGCTAGATTGAGGCTGCAATTGATTTTGCCCTTCATATTAGATTATTATTCCTCGCGAAGAGAGAGAACTTGGGGCATACCATGGCTATTACAACCACACAGCAAATTGCTGGAATAAGAGCCTGAACCTCCCCCCGGAGGCCACAAAGGATGTGTGTAGAAAATAATTCAACTATCACGACTTGAAGAAATGCCGGCCAACGTACCCGCACCATCTAAATGGTCCCTTAGGACAATGCTTTAAAGGTCCGACGGTGGTTCTAGCCGTGTTTACGATATTATGACGATAAAGCTCTTTATTCTTGCGAATTTTCATCTCACCTGAGTGCTCCAAATCACCACCGGGACTCTGTAGTTCAGAATTTGGCCTTACGCAGGGCGGGTGATATGTTGGATGATCCCCCTAGCTAGGCAGGTCATGATAGTGTTGGTATGTGCATCGACTGAAAACGCATATCGCTGAAAGATAGCCAATCATGGTAAGTTGCTGCTGTTGGAGACAAGGGATACGGACATTGTTCATAGTAGCGGACAGGCCTCCACTTCACACATATTACGATCCTTAGGTGGGTTACCAACAGATATATTCAAATTTCAATTAATAAATAGTGGAGAGAGTCTGCCGTTACGCTAATGCAGGCCGTCTGTTTGTTGGAATACCACTTCTCTTGTTCTAGATTGTCAATGGTATGGTATCATTAATTACCCAGACTCCGAGCCGCTACCGCAGTGAAAGCTGTATGAGAAGCTGATGAGGTCGCCTAAAATACACCAGTGGAATAAACAAGGTGGGCTACGCAGCCAAGGCTTTAGAGTAGGGATGGCTTGTCGGTATAATCGGAAAGTTCCGATCGTCAATTCAGCTGCCAAGCCTTGTTGCTAATAACTTCGGTACTATCTTGACGACAACTCAGAAGCACACCTTTGTTTGCCAATACAGATTCCAAGGTTCTGTCCCGTGGGTAACGCGGGGGCCTACGGGGAAGGCATATTCGTCAAACCAGTCAAGGCAATGCTTGATATGACTATAGTCAATATCCCTTGGGCAGACATGCCGGCCGGACTCCCTTGCCTTCCAATATCTTCTAAATGCCAACACACAATGGGCGAGATGGAAATCGCTATCGGATGGGACAACGACGCCCAGAGAACCCAGCCAGCTTGGTCGTATGTACTGCCTCGTATCAACGACCTCGGCGATGTTGGGATATCTGGAGCTGAGCGTAAGAAAGATGTCGTGGACAGTTTATTGCGGACTCACCTGGAACGAAACCATTCCTGATACCGGTGCTCGTCATCATCGTATAATTCGGCCGGGATCAATGCTTGATCATCTATTCGGACACGCCACTCGTCCTTCTCGTGGGGATTATTGGCAGCCCAATCACTTGCGTTGTGATAATAAATTCGAAGTTGACGACGTGGGCCTTCGCTGCCTGGGGTCGGATAACGAATCCAGCCGTAGGTTGGCCACCTAGGGCTAAAACCTCGACAAGCAACATACCCAATAACAAAGATAGCTGCGAGAATTGTGGCGGCGAGACCACATCGTTTAGCGAAACGATTAGCATGGGACCTACGATGCGTCCCATTGCCCATGGGCGGTAGATCTTCAAGACCTCCTTCGAGTGCTGCGTAATGATATTCCTTAACTCTCGTAGCCCTAAACCATTCTCCCCATGACGGCTTCAGCTTTCTATTGGGTATGGAGCTGGCAGAGGAAGCACTCGACTCCTGCCCAACGACTGCAAGGAAAGACGGGCGTTTAGGAAGTTTTTCGTTGCCGATGTGAAATGTAAATAGACTAGGCCATTCGAGAGGACCCGGGCCCGGGTTGTTTAATAGGGCGTCGATATGCTCGACAGCATGCTGGATATCGTGGGTAGCTTCGGCGTCAATCACGTCAACCCATACGAAGTATGCGCGACGGCCCTGAGTTGGAGGCTCGGCAGGAATATGAAGCAATGCCTTTGTTTTCAAGCGAGTTTCATCCTCACAGAGATGTTGTAGGAGAGACAATAGTTCTCTGTGGCGTGATGATGAAGGCATTATATGTAAGAAGACCATAGAAAGAGTGGAAGAGGTAAATTAGGTGGTGCAGTAGAATACTAAGGGAGGGGAAATCGATCGGATACAAAGATTATTTAAACGTGTTTAGATCACAGTCCACGCTCCGGTTCACCCAGGCTCCATTCTAGTCCTAACCAGCGTAAGTCTAGATGACATGGACCTACACGAAGAGCCGATGTGCCCGAACTTGCTGTTCTGAACTAGGTGACGTAGACTCAACCCAGGCCAGTTGCGTCCAGTCCAGTCCAAGTAAACGGACGGGAGGCAACCCACAACAAAGTTGCTACGCTCTAGAATTAATCATCCTCTACGCACTATCAAAAAAGCGCTTTATGGGTTTTAGGTTCTCTGTTAGCCCCCTTATCTTGGAGAAGAAATTGGGCTTCTAAATGCAACTATCAAATGCCCCAGCAAACGAGAGGCATGCTGAGCGCTGGCAACCATCGCCTCATGACGCTCGTACAGCGAGAGATACTACCTATGCGTTATTTAATAGTCCAGGACGTCCCAAGGATGCTTGAGAAACCGTTGCCGTCCAGATCCATTCTCAAAAAATCCCACTGCACGCCCTATGAGCCACCTGGTTTAATGTGCATCTTCCTTTGCGCCGTTGCCCCCCTTGGCTTTCGCCTCGGTAGAAGGTGAGTTTGGGGCTTTGGCAGTTAGTTCAAGGTATCTCATTACTACTCTACTCAGGAACTTACGTGTGCCGGCCTGGCGGTCCTCTAAGTCGCGAAGCTTCACAACTTTTGGGGGCGCTAAGGCTTGAGTAGCTCCAGCCAGAAGGGCAATTGCGCCGAGAAATTTGCAGAACTGCATCGTTGGTTGGTGGATGTGGATGAATTACCGGTTAGGTATGCAACTTGATTCTGATGAAGCGGATGGTTGTGCTGGACACGTCGGGAGGGTTATCTAGAAAGTAGTGGTTCACTCCCTGATTATATAGATACTAGCCCTGCCTTATAGTTTTGACGGCAGGTGAAGAACCCAATCTACCCAGTTGGTTGATGAGTGTTCCCCTGCAACGTGGTCGAAAGACCGAAGGCCCTTTGGTGTTGGCTCTGGACCCTGCAATGGAGATATCACTCACTACGGCAAATGCAAGAGCATAGTAGACAAGCAATCACTGAGGTGGCCGTGATGCGACGTAGGTTGAACTGAAAGCATAGCAGATTTCCCAAGCCTGGATTCCTGTTACAGCTACATGCACATGGGGTTTGTTTGCTTGGAGTGAAGTAATATGTCGTAGTAAGTAAAATACCATTGATGACTTGTCCAACACCCAATGACGACATTTCCGAATTTTGGTATGATGGTGGACGAGAGATCCGCGGAACATCCTTACCATTTGGAGAAGTCCGAACAGTTAGAAGTCCTTTCGGAAATACCTATCTGGAAACCCAGTTCGTGATGGTAGTAGCCGGTGCTTCGTCGTAAGGGAGATGTCGTTGGAGTATTCTGATAAAAGTTGCCGATCAGGTGCTTCTACGGTGGATATTACTCTTCAAAGTCCGCAAACGGGCATGTTTTGAACGTGTTGTATACGAGTTGATTGCCCTGCTTGCATGCGATAGAGAGAGCGGGCAGTGAGAGAAGTTGGTAGTAATATTACCAGGAAAGATTGGAAGACGTGATCGACACACCCTGACCCAGGAGTAGTAATACGCATAGAGCTTAAACTGTACCGGCCCCATGTCGGCGATGCCGAGTATTACCGCTTGAGCTAGACCTGAACCGGGTTTTCTAGGTGTGGGGGGGGAGTAGGGGAGTTATTGATTATGTTTACTGCCTACTATCCTTGTAAAGAATGGCGATCCTGATATCACTATTTCTATCACATTCCTAAAGTGCTCTCATGACCGAGTTCCCGAAGCAAAGAATCCGCACTTGGAGCGTGGCCCAGAAATTCCTCAAGCATACTCCACTCGTCTCGGCCTCCTCCATCCTCAAGAATACCTTTGCGATATCGGTTCCATGTCTTCCGACTCCTGGGGCTTTCGGCAAATACAGCCTAGAACATTTCGGCGGCGGATACGTGCGCACCAATCCAGGCGTCTGTTAGTATGCCATGATGCCCATAGGAGCAGAACTGAATACGTACCAAAGATAAGCGTCGTAGCTAGAAACCAGATGGCCAAAGTGAAGGTGAGGATTGCCACGATCCTCTTCACTTTGGGAAACATTCGTGATCATTTCTGCCTCGTCAGCCAAGTCGTTATACAGCTTCGTCTCATCAACCCGGAGAAGCTGCTCGCGGCTTATGGAGCTATGAACTGCTATATAAAATTGAGCTGTAGCGCTATAGTTATAGGTGAGTTAGCACGTAGTTAATATTCCATCAGCAAGGACGTCATACATTTGGTAAAGAAGCCAGAGGCTCCTGTTGAGATACTGACTCTTGCGAAGCTTTTCCGACATCTCATCGAGAATCTTCTCGGGCGGGACCTGTCCAGGGTTCGTAGCTTGCCATTTTTCTATATATGAAGGGTTAAGGTGAGTGAAGTGGAGGCCCATCCTCTTCAGCTCGTCTCTCATCCAGCACTAGTTCTCGAGCATCACGCTCGGTGCTTCCGCAAAGTCCGGCGGACGGTTGGTTCGGTGAAAACGAACATATCTGGCTCTCCACAAGAGGTTGTGCATACCATAACCGAGCTCGTGGAACAATGTGACAAGTTCACTATGCTTTAATAGAGCGCACGAGCTGAATGTTGATGGAGGGAAAGAACACATCAGTATCGTAGCAGGATAAGTTCTGTGCTTGTCACTTTTCTTAAAGCTAGCGTTAGACGGATATTATCATCGTGGGCGTAGATGATCATCAACGTGCTGTATAAAATACTGACGCATTAAATGTTGACATTTCGGTTCCCCGTGTACTTGTTAGGGCGCGAGAAGAGACCCAGGTGCAGGTAGCCTAAGCTCTTCGTAAACCTCGCCGTCCCACACGTCCCACACCTGCACATCATGGTGCCAGATAGCGCCGTCAAGCTGTTCATCAGGGATTCTGTGGAATTCGAGGTCCGAGGAATGAAGCCAGTATTATATCTGGCATGGCGGGGGTTACGTGCAGGATAGGAAAGAACTCTGTCTGAGATTGCCTTCTCGCCGATGTGCTGTTCCTCTTCGATAAGACGAGAATAGTAATCTACGTCCCATACCATCACCGTGGCTGGGTCATCTTCCTGATACACTTCGTCTGTTGTATTACGCATGGATTGCTTACAACAGCCCCTAGGTCGAATACTCTACCCTCGTTATGTTACCAAGGCACTGCTTAGGTAGTGATTAGGAAAATCACCAAAATTAGTTTAGCCAAGTACGCAGTGCTTTAGAAATTACTCAAAAACCCCCATACTCCGTGAAGGGACAGTCTCAGACCACCTGGGTTTTAGAGCTAGGCCACTTCTCTTTAAGGGGTTAATGAAAAGCTCACAACCAACACCCCTGATATGCTGCAACCTTTTGTAGCCTTGAAAATAGCCCTCTGAATCGCCCTCAGCAGTTGCCGGTGGAAGCGCTAGGAGATGTTTATTTTTATGCTAGAAAATAGGTTGTGTTATGCTTGGGCTACATAACTATTCTTTTAGCCCTCCTAAAGGGAGTTTTCTGTCACCTGAAAGGTGCCGTATCTAGGTTCTAAATAGTAAATAGGTTAGGTACTTTGGTCTCTAACCAAACTAGAGCCTTTAAAGCGACTCTGAAGGGACGGTAATAGTAAAGATAGTTGGTTTTTCTTGTAGTAGCCTATCCCTTTTTCTTCCCTCCCTAAGGTAAAGCCTTTTCTAAACCTAGTGATATATCTGGAGGGGTCCCCACTAACTATTCTCCCCCTCCGCCATTATTCTCTCCGGTTCCTCTCAGGCCTTTTTCTGCTGGGAGGTATACCGCCTCCTAATTAATGAATACCCACCTACCTAACCTAACAGCCTACCCAGAATGTCCCCCCCCTCCGTGGATGTACGAAGCCCAACTACTCAGTAAGTGGTAAAAGTAACGTGGCATGGGGCGCTAAGAAGCAGGGGAGTATCAACACCACGTTCTGCACACTGCATACCTCGGTACTACATGCCGCTGCATATCACTACGTAGGTACCTCTTAATGGATTATGAATGAAGGCCTCACGAGAAAAGGGAACGCTAGACGAAACCAAGATATCTCGGTAACGCGTTCATCCGCCACATGCCGAACCCGCGTATCTCCTCGAATGGTGCTGCGCAGCCGTGGTACGGAGGTGGCCCCGCTCAGATTTCTCCCTCTGACAGGACGCGCTCGAGGCTCCTCTCGGCGTTCTGACGCCTCTCCTCCCTGCTCGAGCAAAGCGCGGCAACCTTCTCGAGGTGCAGCAGGTGGCCGCGTCGCTTATAGACGAAGGAGGTGTACGACAGACTCGCGGTGCCGACGGCAACTATAGAAATCAGGGACGGCCACTTGAACTGCGACGGGCGAAAGAATACGATTGTCGAGCCGTAGCCTACGAGCTCGAAGGCGTTCTGCCAGGCCGCCTCGACCGAAGAGAACGCACCGCGGTTTTCGGCTTCGACATCCTGCTCGTTCGTGCGTGAGAAATGAGGCTCAGGACGAGCTGTGCCGACGGCAGAACGATGGGACTCACCTCTTGGACGATGATCTGCGTGCAGAGATCGAAGCCGCGAAGGCCGAGGCGGCTGAGGATTGTGCCGCCCACGAGCCCGCTAGCGGAGACGAAAGGGTCGATTCCGTCATACGCCCAGAACACTATTAGCCCGGCGACGAGCATGCTGACCTGTATGCTACTTAGCCATAGGCCTGCCCTCACCGGGCCGATCAGGCCGATCAACCAGGGCGCCACCCAGGTGGCGAGCACCTCGAAGACGACGCTACCCGTCCGAGTAACACCAATCTGGGTGCTAGTGTAGCCCGTCGATAGCAGGTACGTAACCATTTGGCCAGCGAAGCTCAGGACGGTGAGGTAGAGGAGGGAGCCGGCGAAGGAAGGCAAGAATGCACGGTGACGAAAATACAACCGAAAGTCCTTCTGAGACCGTTTCAGCGCCGACATAACTCTCGCCAGGACCCGGTGCCCGCTTCCACCAGGCCGGGCGGTGCTCGGCCCAGCGTGGACTTGTAGATGTTGTCCCTTGGGGGCGCGCAGGGCGGGCACCTCGTAGTAGACACGGGCGATAGCCCAATATTCGACGGGGACGGATGCGACGTTCATAGCGAAGTTGACGGCAATGGCCACTTTGGTGGAGAAGCCGTCGATCAGGGCGATGAGCAGCGGTCCGAGAAGCTTGCAAAGCAGATCGAGGCGCCTCATGCGCGCGTTCAGCGAACTGAGAGCCCCCAGGTCATCTCCGGCGACTATGACAACCTGAGGACGAATGTTATGAGTAAGGACATCCTAAGAAATCAAGCGCAATAGAGAATACACGCACTCACCCAGTCTCTCTCCACTGACACGAGGTTCATGATGGAGCAGAGCTTCTCAACGCAGGCCAGCAACGACAGGAGCACCAACATGCCGGTCTTGGTCCGGCCGTCGAGCCCGGTCTGCACGGCCATGACATAGAAGACAGCACAGGACACGGCGACGACGAGCCTCTGGAAGACTACAGGTCCGAGACGGGAGAAGAGCGCGTCAGTGGGGCACTACGATGCTACGGGAACCGGCGCAGGAACGAACCGATTGATACTCGTACGACCTGGAGCCGGTCGCCGGCGTCGATGTACTGGCCGACGGCGGGCGCAAACAGGATGGCGGACAGGCCCCGCGTCAGCGCGTATACCGACATGGGCAGCAGGGTGCCGGGGTAGACGGCGGCCAAGTAGATGACAGCACCGAACTCGAAGACGCGCGAGTTCCAGGTGGAGAGGAAGTGGGACAGGTAGAGCCGTGAGGCGATGTGGAAAGGCACATCGTCGCGCGGGACCGCCTCTGTGTCTGGCGCATCTGGAGCAGCACCGGCAGCGAGGAGAGGCACCCGCTCGTCGGGTTGCGCGGAGTCATCGCCGCCACGCGGATTTTCGTCGGCCATGGCGTCGCAGGAAGAGGGGGCAGATAGATGTAGGGACCGCTGACGAGCGATGGAGATGGAAAGAATACCCCCAACGAGCGTGAATGTTACCGCCACGGGCAGACGACGCTAAGATAAATGCCCGCAGCGCAGTTCTCGCGCGTCGCCAGCCCCTCAAGGCGGCCCATGTCGACCGATCCGGATGTCACGAAGCCGCCCGTTAGCGGGTGGGCCGGTTATGGTGTGCGCGCGACGACATCGCGCCAGGGTCTTCTCTTTCCTAGGCGCTTCATCATCCTGGAGGCTTCGTCGGAAAATTACATAATGAGGGCCTTCCGCCACTAACCTACGCTGAGTAATCGATTGAATACCCCCACATTTCCACCCACCACATCCCATCCTAGATGATACCTTCGCATTCAGCGCTCTCGCTTCGCCCCCTTCCAACCTCGAGATTGGCGTAGCTACTCCCACCGAATGCGATCGAAAGACATAAAAGGGCGACACTACCCAGGCGCACCACCGAGACATTCTCGCTGCCAACGGAAGTAAATTCGATGCCCGCTACGATCGGAGCCTGCCCTTCATTCAGCTTCAAGCCGGGAGGTGGTCAGGCCATCCAACGATACCACCCAACCATTCATTACTCTCGCCGGTTTCGAGTGGACCCTGACAGTGGCGCATGTAGCTAGGACCAAGCGATCTTAGACGTGTGCATTAGCGAGACGAGGTAAGAGGAGCAACCCCCATGACCCCCCGCGGCGATCCTGGCGACACCCCCCTTCTAGTGCCCTGGCGGCAGCGAGAAACACATGCCTGTCGTATCTTAAGGCCTCATGCGGAAAGGAAGGATACCGGCCACTCGCCAGAACATTGGCCCTCCCCGCCGAGCTCGGGTACTGCAACCGAGGCATCTGTCCTATACCGGCTAGATCTACTCTCGGTACGTAGCATATTTCCCCGGATTGCATGTAAATTTAGAAAAGTAGAAGCTCTAACACACACACCTTTTAATGTCCGACAGGAAAACCATTGCCACTGAGGCTGCCGATTACACGAGTTCAACCATTAGCGATACTTCGGAACGAGCTCCGTCCACTAAGATGGTAGAGAATCGGACGACAAGCAAGGCCGAGGAGACCACAAACGGCACCGCAGCTGTAATCGCCGATGACCTACTGGGCCACGATGAGCTCTGAAAGCCCGAAACACTATCACACGTGCCCGTTATTGCTCTATACGACGCGTAAATATATCCCGAGGCCTTGTCAAATGGCGCCGAAGCCCCATGTAACTGGGTCTCGTCTGCTTTTCAGCTTGTAGCTGATGAAAATGAATACCACCTCGACATCGTATGCTGCACAGTATTAATCCCGCAGAATGGGGGAGGGACAGGGTGAATTACCTTCCTAGCACATGGCCCTAGAAGAATCCCGAGTTGGCGTCACTCATTGCGGATGCCCCCCCTCTGTATGCGGATGGGGCATTACCTTTGGTAGGTCTGCCGAGTAGGCCACAGTGTGGTGCGATTCCCGATTCATACGTCTGACGCCTATCTAGAGGACCCAACGAGGACTGGGGGAGGGGGGAGCGGTAAAACGTGAGTTGGTATGTTTTAGAGAAAGAGGTCTGGCGGTCTACACGAGCTCTAATCAGCTGCAAAAATAACGCCACCATCATCTCCTTCTCCCAGAGCAGAAGGTGGTGAGAGAGAGAGGGGTGGGAGAGGGGGGAGAGGGGGGAGAGGGGAGAGGAGTGAAACATAGGTATTATAGAGGACGAGAAGGACAAAGTCCACTTCCCCCTTCCCCCTTAGGCCTTGTTGCACTCTCTTCCCGCACCTCTCAAACTAAGAGATACGTGGCTCATCATGTACGCGATGCGTAACTTCCGGTTTCTTCTCCCTCCTCTGAACTTCTATACGTACTTCATTATCGTTCCCCTAGTTACATCGGTAGTGTTTTAGGGTTCCCCCAACCCTAAATTCAGCATCTCGTATGTCGACAGTCTATTCTTGGTCACCTCCGCCATGACGGAGGCTGGCCTCAACACCGTGAACCTCAGTCAGATGACGACTTGGCAGCAAGTTCTTCTTTGGCTCCTGATCATCTTCGGCGGCTCCATCTGGGTATCTATCTGGGCTGTCCTCGTTCGGAAATGCGTCTTCGAGTCTCGCTTCAAGGAAATCGTCCGCAAGGAGCGGAAGCGTCGTCTTGAGGGGAGAAACCCAACTCTCCTATCCGTCATCAGAAAGCTCAGAACCCTCGTGAGCAGGAAGTAAGTCCTCGAAGGAGATCCCGCCTCCCTTTCAGACCGACCCTCGAGTAGCAGGAGGCAGCCTTCCGTCATGTTTTCCTCAAGTCGAGAGGTGGACGACCCGGCCCTGGCCGAAGGGGGAAATTCGAGTGTACTGGCAAGCGCCGAGCGCGTTTCGTTCGTCGATGGCCTCCAGGCCAGGCTCAAGGCTACAACCGTCTTACCCAGCGACGTCTCAATAGGGGGCAATTTGGCGGATGCGGACGCTGCAGCGCCCACAGAGGAAGATTCGGAGGTGGGACGCAAGGGCGTCCGCGGGCTAACTAGGGAGGAACGAGAGAAGCTCGGCAGCACCGAGTATCGCGCCCTCAAGCTTCTATCCATCATCGTCCCCCTATACTTCTTCCTCTGGCAATTTATCGGCTGCATCTCTCTCGGGGCGTGGATGGCTCACAACCTGCCGCAGCCTGCCAGGGACAACGCAAGTAAGTAGGACGCGACCTATTAACTCCTCCCCTTTCCCTTCACTTTTCTAGCTTCTCTCGGGAGTCCACCGGACTTCTTCTCGTTCTATCAGAATCGTCTGACGCCGGCGATTCGCGAGACGCGGTTCCTTTTGCTTAGTATTATCGACCTGACGAAGTAACCCTTAGCTGACCCTAATTGATGTACCTAGTTTCGCCATGGTGGAATGGGATCTTTAACGGCGTGTCCGCTTTCAACAAAAGCGGTATGAGCGTGTTGGATCTAAACATGATCCCCTACGGAAGCTCATATTTCGTACTCATCGTTATGGGGGCAATGATCCTCGCTGGGAACACGGCGTATCCTATTTTATTACGATTAATCCTATGGTGTAAGTTAGGGTACCGCTCTACGGACCACCCCTTCACGGACCAGGCATTTTGTATGGGGTTTACATACAAAAAGTTTATTTTAATAAAAGCCATAAAAAATCGGAAAAAAATCGGAAAAATCGGAAATTTGATTACGTAATCAGCTTACTTAATTCAATTAACATATGGTTTTTTCGGGTTTTTTAGTCTGTAGGGTAGGGGGTTTTATACGATTTTAGGTTTTTTTTTCTTGCACTAACAGTTTCCTATATAATTTATTAGGGAATGTGATACAATGGTACGAAATCACCCTTTTAAAGTTTTTTTTTACCGTAATAAAGTGTAGCTATTACATAATCAAAGATAGGCTAATTAGAAAAAAGGTTATAATTACTTAATCTTATTTTTATTAGGTGATTTTATTTTTATTTAATTTATTATCTTAAAAAATAGACGTTTTTTGATTAAAACTTTTTCAGAATTTTGTATGGGAAATCGGGTGAATTTGAAAAGTTCAGGTTTTCCATACAAAATGAGGTTTAAAAAAAATAAAAAATTTACCTATTTTTTTAGATAAACAATTAAATAAAAATAAAATGAAGTAATAAAAATAAGATTAAGTAATTATAACCTTTTTTCTAATTAGCCTATCTTTGATTATGTAATAGCTACACTTTATTATGGTAAAAAAAAACTTTAAAAGGGTGATTTCGTACCATTGTATCACATTCCCTAATAAATTATATAGGAAACTGTTAGTGCAAGAAAAAAAAACCTAAAATCGTATAAAACTCCCCACCCTACAGACTGAAAAACCCGAAAAAACCATATGTTAATTGAGTTAAGTAAGCTGATTACGTAATCAAATTTCCGATTTTTTCGACTTTTTTCCGATTTTTTACGGGGAAAAATCGTTTGTATATAAACACGTATAAAAAGGGTGGTCCGTGAAGGGGTGGTCCGTAGAGCGGGGGTCTAGCTTAGTCGTGAGTCCCACCTTCTTCTTCCCCCGGTGTCCTTTTTATTACTTACGGTTTAAGCGGACTTTTTTCCTACGTACGGATTCTATCGATCTAGGGAATTACCGTCTTCATGCTTACTTGCGAATAGTTATTAATATCGGGTTTTATAGTCAAGATATTACGTAGTGAAGAGGAGCAGAGCGTACGCGATACTAGAAACCCGGATAGGTTCACTCGAAAGTATACTCTATCGAAGACTATAGCTCATACGATAGTCTAAGATAAATAAAATAAGTACCGCTATACTAATCGGGAAATAAGGAATCTAATATAGTTATCGTATCTTAGTTATACCCCTTAATCGATAAGATATAGTAGTCGCTAGCCCGAAGGCATAAGAGGTAAGGGAAGAAAAGAAGTAAAACGTAAAAGTTACTTATTCGGTTATAGCGATACGACGAAGTAACTTAAGCGCTTATAACTAAAATAAATACACTAATCGAAGAACGACGAATCTAATAGCGAAAACGAATCTTTAATTAAGGTAAAAATAATAAAGATAGTAATCTAGCTAAGTAATAAATTAAATAATAAGCATGTTATATCCCGTGCTTACGGGAGCTATAGTTACTCTATATAGGCATAAGGCCTATCGTAGCGTGTTACGTAATGCATTAAGAGGGCATGTCTTACCGTACTACTACAGTAGCTAGCGAGAGCTACGTGTGGATTGATAGGTTACGCGTAAAGAGAGTAATGGAATACGGGTAAGAAGGTATATATTAACTAACTAGAAAAGAAGGAAAGCTATTAAAGAGTATAGAGTAATCTATAGGTATTGTAGTGGTGCGGTAGATCTAGGCCACGTAGCCTTTTCGATATATATTTATATAGGTCGCGTACTCATATTTTCATTAGTTAGACTTAGACCTATAGATATTACGACCTATAGCTATTTACTCGTTTCTTGCCATGCCTTTCTAGCTATCTTCGTTACCCTTTTCTAGTCCCCTTTCCTAGCTGCCGTTTTTAGCTGGCCGATTAACCGATTATAGCTATTTATAGCTATAATCTTAAGTTAATCGGCACTAGGCTAGTTATTAATAGTTAGGCAGTCCTTATTTCGTACCTTCGTTAGCGTACCTACGCTACTCCTATTTAATAGCGATTACTTAGTAGCTCGAACCTTACTTCATCTTAGGAGTAACCTTTTGCGACCGTTTTTATAGTCATTAGGTTTAGGATTCGTTAATTAGGAGATTCCCTGTTTTTCAGTTAATTAAGAGCTATTTTCGTAGCTCCAGAGCCGTTTTTTGTGGCTTTCGGATTAAGCCTTTTTTAGGTTAGGATTAACGGAAGGGCGGATAACCATAGCGACCATTAATAACCACGCCCTCCCATTAGCTTTTGATTAGCTTACCTAAAAGCTCGTTCGCCGATTAGTAGGAATCCCTGTTCTCGTTTCTCAGTTATCTCTTTTGAAGGAGCTATGCCCGTTTTTACCCGGTTTCGCCTTCGTTTTTCACCAGTGCCTAGATGGCCGTTTTCTCAGTTGATCTAACACCGTTACCGCCACCACCCCCTTTTTTACAACACGCGCTTGAAGGCAGTTAGGCCTTTCCGATCGGTCTATTTCAATTATAAGAGGCTTACCGATAGCTCGATTACCCTTGTTTTATCCCTGCTAGCTAGTTACGGCACCTAGGGAGGTTTCTCCTTAACCGATAGGTGCTACGATGCCCTCAATTACCACAAGAAGATACCGACATACCTTATACCCACGAACCTAATCGGGGAACGTACCGATTAACGCGAGAAACCTATAAACGATACCGATACGAACGAATTGAATAAATATTAAATAAGATAGCCTAGGAGATTAAGAATAATCACAAGAACGGTTATAGGATTACCTAGAGACCCTTCTTATCGCCCTTACCGATATATAGTTAGTAGGAAGAGCCCAGAAAGCCCCTAGAACTACGTACAAGGGAGGGATCGAGGGTCAAGGGAAGCCCGGTAGATGCTACCGGACGAATATAGGAACGGTTACCAGAAACGAGTCATAGAAACGGGCATTAAACAAGATATATTAGTTAGTTTATAGGATTAGGAATCAGTTGAAAAGGATCGGCAAAGCCAGTCATGGACGAGAAGGACGGGATTACGTTGCATCGTATGGGATTGTTTCTTTCGTTTCTTACGGGAGCTACGCTTGTTTTACCTGCCCGTTATAGTTCCTATTTCCTAACTATTAATCCCTGTTATTTCTTAGTAGCCTTTAATAGAACTGGCTCGCTTTTAGTTAATTAGAGTTAATTAGGAATAGGTTAATCAGGTTAGTTTATAGGTTATAGCTCCGCTAGCCTAGTTATTCTTGTTATTAGATCTTTCCTATTATTTCCTATTAATCGTTAGTTAAACTGGCTTAGCTCCTAATTAGCAGCGATTGAATAGGTTCGGGATTGATTAGGAATTAGGTTCAGGATTAGGTACGGTTGCAGTTACCTACCCTACCACTCACTTATTGTTGTTACAATCGTTCCTAGTTGTCAGGATCACCCTATTTCTTCCTAACTTATCCTATTAGCCTTTAATTAAACTAGCTAGCTTTTAGTTAATTAAGGTTAATCGGGATTAGGTTAATTAGTAGTTAATGAGGTTAAATAGGAACGAAAGCCACCGTACCTATTGCTATTAGGAGTTTAATTACTCCTTACGGATTAATTAAACTAGGGAGGCTATAGTAGTGCGGTAGATCTAGGCCACGTAGCCTTTTCGATGTATATTTATATAGGTCGCGTACTTATATTTTCATTAGTTAGACTTAGACCTATAGACATTACGACCTATAGCTATTCACTCGTTTCTTGCCGTGCCTTTCTAGCTATCCTCGTTACCTTTTTCCAGTCCCCTTTCCCAGCTGCCGTTTTCAGCTGGCCGATTAACCGATTACAGCTGTTTACAGCTGTGATCTTGGTTGATCGGCACTGGGCCAGTTGTTGGCAGTTGGGTAGCCTTTTCGTGCCTCCGTCAGCGTGCCCACGCTGCTCCTGTTCAGTATATATAATAATACTTAACTAACTTAAGTAAGCTAGGTAGTTCCTACTAGGGGTACATGCCTACGTAATATATCTCTTAGTTAAGCTTACGATAGTAAGGTTAATTATAGTTCTTCACTCGCGATATTAACCTAAGGAGGTTACTCCTTAATCTCGTTATACCTCATTAAAATTAATCGATTATTAGGTACCCTATCTCAGGATCCCTTATATCCCCTTATCCATATATACTCCGGTTTATTATTAATAATACTTTCTCCTAAGTTATATATTCTTCGTATCCCTTACTTAATATTCTAAAGTTTATTATAAATGAAAATAATTACTCGCGTAATTACTCGTATAATTACTCGCTTTCGATTAAGCGGTAGTTAGCTATATATATAATATAGTAATAATCGCTCTAGTATTAACATTAAGATTTAATCTCCTTTATTATTATCGCGCGCGTTCGCGCGCGTTATTCCTATTAATCGATTCTACCGTTTTTCTTACAAAGGCGGTTAAGCGTAATTATATCTAGGATTTCTCGCTCTCGAATTAAACGTATCTCTCTCTCTTCCTTTCTTTTCTAAGTTATTCGTCGTAAGTATATATACCTAACTATAATTAAGTAATTTTATTAATTAAGTAATCGTAAGCTAATATAATTAATAAAGCTTCGTTAATTATTATCATAAGATAAGTTTCTTTTATCATTTACGTAAAGCGTAATTTACGTATTATACGAATCGTAATATATTCTTATTAAGTAACCGTGAGATAAAAGCTTAACTTATCGTAGTACGGGTTATTATTTATAATTAATATATTATTTTTAATATTAAAATATCCTAGGATAATAAAGCGACCGTTAATTACGTTAGGTTAATAAGTAAGAAATTATTTAAGATAATTCGTTTATTACTTTTTTATTATCTAACGGTAATAATATAATACCGTAATTAATAATCTCTTAAAATATCCGATAATCGAAAGCTTCGTAATATTATATTAACGCTTTAAGGTACCGTAGCCTCGCTAAAGTAAAAGGTACTCAGTTTTTCCGCTGCGAGTACTTAACCTCCTACCTCCCGTACTTAAGCCAGTAACTAAGCGTATGTTATATATACGGGAGGTAGCGCTACAACTTCGGTCGGTAGCTAAGCTCGCCGCGGAGGGATACCTTTTACTCCCGGGTCCGGGGTCCTAGTTAT